GCGTTGGAGAACCGGAGAAAGAGAACCTCAGTTATACTTGTACACTAATTCAGCGACGCCATGCATCAGCGTATTCCGCGTTCAGTGAGAACACTAGAACGTCGACATGCACAATAGCTCGAAGCATCGCACCGTTATTGGGTGTGTGTGCTACTAAATTAGAAGTGGGTGGGTAGGCAGGTGCACGACGCTGAATCGAGACATTCGAGTGTGCAAGGTCATCTGCTGTGCTACGCATCACCAACGACGCATCACGAGGTTTTCTTGTCGAAATAGGCAGAGAAACAAGATTGGGCGTCGGCCAGTTCTTTCTTACTGCGTACCCTGATAATATTCTATCCCCCCTTTTCCTTTTGAAATTATTTGTGTTTTTCCGAGAAACCGAGTCTTTTGCGACGAGGCTTGGAGACTGGGAAAGTTGGGCTGTAGCTAAAATAATCCACACACATCACATACGTCATTAACTGTATGTACCCTTGTTCTAGGGTGGGGGAGAGCGGGTGCAACTGAGCAGCAGGACAATGATGGGGACCAGCCAGTGGGGAGAGCAAGTTTCCAGTTCAGGTTTGAGGGGGTTCTCGATGGCGGGGGGCAAAAAGACCCAAGGTCCATTTGATGTTGAAATGGCACGTTCGCAGCCGAGATCGCAGCACGTTTGAGAACATTATCTTCTGCTTCGCTCATGGGAGCTGAAATTTGGATTTTGTTGGGAGGCAGAGGAGAGCAGAGGCTTGAATGATGGGATTAATAATTCGCTCTAACAACGACGCTACAATTGTAGGTTCACTGGGTTTATGTCGGGGTTGCCGCAGAAAGGTTGGTGATGGTTGGCGACGATGAAGTATGTGTAGACATCTACTGCAGATTAATGCGTGTGAGCGCATTCGGTTCATTCGCCGTTGATGGGATTTGATGATTTGATCGGTTGATGCAGACAGCCTCAAGAGAGGCACTTGCAGCAGCAATACTCTTTCCTATTGAAAAGTATTACTCGGTAGAGAAGGCTGGACTGGATGTAGAAGGGGAGCTGTGCAGCGCACCAAGAAGATCTGACTCGGTTGAGGTCTCAGCCCCAGCGATGATTACATGAGTACACGATTACACAACTGCGCGGCTGCGCGACTGCTGCGCCTTTGGAAGGTGGATGATTTCGATATCGAGTGCCACCTCCTTCGTAGGTAGGTTGTGTCCTCATCGTGTCCGTGGTAGGAGTGCGAGCGTCGATGTCTCACGACAATGCAGCAGACGACAGTCCAAGCCCAACGGGATCCCCCTCCTCCTCTTCGTCTGCCCCCGAATCTGCGGCGGTGAGGCGTGAGGTGGTCCTGTCCAAAGGCCCAAACCATGGCAAATATGGCCACTAGTGGGGGCAATCAGACACTGTCGTCACTCCCAAATCATCCCCTGCATCATAAATTGAGCCGTACCATTACCCCACAAAATCGAACAATCGACACTGGTTCTGCCCGTCGCCTTCTTCGATCTGACTTTATTACACCACAACTGCACTTTGTGTATCTCGGACATGCATGGATGGGGCCATTTAGGTATTTGGTACTACTATCATGTGCGACCTTGTCTTGATTTAACGTGCCAGAACTTGGTCTTTCCCGCGACAAGTCGAGGGGCGAAGCAAGATGACGAGGGTATCGGATACTTTGATCCAACCTTCTCTGCCCAGGAATCAATCCACCAATGTTGGGCTGCGCGTGGTCTTGCCAACACATCAGAGAACAGCCAGCGGAGGCGACAGACGCCCGCCGGACCGCCGAGCCTTTTTTAGCGTTCTTGTTCTTCGCTCCAGTTGTCGTTCTTGTCTTTCTACTGCTGTCTTGCTTCCAGCCCATAACCTTCATCTCACCGTTCATTTGACTTAATCCGATTGATTTGATGTGATCATTCGAACCTGCATCTCCTCCCCTCCTCCTTTCTATTACACCACAACACCACAACGTCGCCTCCCCCATCTCCCGGACTGTGCAACTACAACCGTCATCCTTCCCGTCCCAAATTTCCTCTCCTGTAAATTCTTTCTCCTTTCTTACACCTACATCCCATCGTCACTTTTCACCCCTTTTCCTCTCTTGCATTCCTATTATTTATCTCCAGTCAACAGTCGCCATCCTGTTGGCGTTATCATAGACTGCTCGTTCAGCGCGTTTCAACTTTAGAGGCTAACAAAAAGGCGGGGTTCCGCTGTCGGATCACACCTCAACGAAACCACTACTGCTACCACTACTGCCACCCACTTACCACACTACGGTAGTCACGTATACGCCATAGTGTCCAAGTGTCCAAGGTCACGACCACGACCACATCCACGACTCCGTATTACCCCCTGGCTTCCGGCATCAGTCTGGCTTATCTCTAAGCTGTATATTCTCGATCGCGAAGCATCCGAGAACTCGAAAATAAAACTACAGACGGAATAAAGAAAACAAAAAAAAAAAAAGCAGAAAGCTTATTCTTACCACATGGACGAGCACTCGAGTCGCCATGGCCAAGGCCAAGGTCGTCGCTTGGTAACCTCAACCACAGCACCTGCCCCGTCAGCATCCCAACGTCGAAATGATGGTTCGTTTTTCCAAAACAATATCCCCAAAGAAGATATTGAACACGTCCGAGAGATTAACATGGAGTCTCCTCAAACAGAATCATGGGTAGAAATATCCTCGCAACCCTCGTCGTCGTCCTTGTCCTCGATCGGAGATGAGATCGTAACCACAGGCTTACACGTCGCCGGATCTTACCCACCCCGCAACCGACGCCGTTCCTATCCTGCACGATACTCCTATGCTCATATCAACCCTTCCTTCCACGCTGGCGCGGCAAGCAGCCAAGATGAATATGAGGCCAGCGAGAGTGAAGAGGATAATTTGGCGAGTTCGACCGAACAGCCCTTGCCCGCACAACTACCCCCTGCACCACCCCGCTTCCAACAGCCTGTAGATTCCGACACCGATTCGGATGACGACGAGAACGCAACCGCTCTGGGCACGAGAGGTCCAGACGATCATGTATTCCGCCCCCAACCGAACGCCTTCTCAAACCCCCCTTCCACCGTCGGACGGAGGCGGCATTCGTCCACGACGACTGTTACTTCTCATCCACATAGCAGTGTCAACCGGCCCCACCTGTCCCAACGCGCACAGGCCCGCGCTCAGCAGGGTCAACCCGATTTCTTATCTCCATCATATCAGGCCGATAACGATGCCGCGCTTAGAGCATCGCTAACTACTCTTTTGTCCTGTGCCGCCGCCGCCCGCGGCCTTCCCAAACACAAGGACGAAGCGGAGAAGAGCAGGGCATCTCCCGCGAGCGCTGGCACAGGGCCTAGCAACCAACCCATGGAGCTGAGACTGGTGCCCGAGTCCGAACTCATGAACGACGCCCCGCCGACCGCTGCACAAGCCACCGGTGCCACTAGTGCTCGCCCCACGCCTCTTGGCCAAACGCGATCGACTCGGTCTTCTCCCCCGAGGTCGTCGTCAAGGGCTGCCGCTACTCCGGACAAGGCGAAGCGCGGTGCCTCCTCCGCCATCAGTCGTGGCACGAGAGCGAGCAAGAAGAAGAAGACGGCCATGGCCGACGATACTCTCCTCACCCCGACGCTAATGACCTGGGTGTTCAGCGCCGGCGTTGTCGTTCTCGTCTCCGTCGTCGGATTCGGAGCCGGTTACGTCATCGGTAGGGAAGTCGGCAGACAAGAGGTCCTCACCTCTGCCGGCACGGGCCTTAACGCTTCCGACACTACGTCCTGCGGAAGGGAGGTTATGCAGTCGTCTGGGGGCGGTCTACGGCGTCTCAAATGGACTACTGCTGTTGGCAAGACCGTGGTGACGTCGTAGAATAACTCGGCAGGGGGCATTTGGAGAGCATAGTAACGGAATACCCCGGGTGGGTTTTTGCATCTAGGACGGGCATATGGGGGAAAGAATGTGAACTGAACCCAGGCGGATGGGGATGGCGTACGTGGAGGGGCGCAAAAAGGCGTTTTTTTTCTTTCCTTTATTTTTCTTCTAATTCTCTCCCTTTTGCTGCGATGTTTTCCAGATTACGGTGGTTGCGGTTTTCTTCATGCGAGGACTGATACGCTTGGTTTTCCAGAGGCTTCGGATCGTATGGGCTGGATGTCAAGATACCACCAGAGAGTGCTGAGATGGCCTCTCCTTTTCTTACTTGGGACATGACGACATGATGGAACTCATTGATAGTATATGACCGACACGTCACTGGGAGGAGTGTTCTACGCCTTCATTCGCTTTTATTTTCCAGTTCTTTCGTTCTTTCCTTCTATCTCTCTTTGCACTTTCCTATTTTCCCCCTTGTGTCTTTCTGGACGAGATTGGAATCTTGGGAGAATTCGTCGTTTGCGAAACCCTTGATCCGGGTGTAAACGGGGCGGACCATGAGCGGATTATGAAACGGGGTGGGCGCAAGGAAATATTGTAAGTAGTTTTTTGTTTGATCGTTTGATATCCAGGGGAGAAATACCATTCTTTACTGTAGAGAAAAACGGTCCCTCGCATATAACCTTGAACGGGGACTATAATGAAGTTGGGAGCTTGACTTCTGGCTCGAGAGTCCATAACTTTTGTGCCGTGATGGATTGCAACGAGGAACACATTCCGATGATGGCAAGAAGAAAAAAAAAAATCTATTGTTCGTACGCCCTATCTCTCATAAACCAAAGAAAAGAGAAACCGGGGGGGGGAGACGACTACCCCATCTTATCCCGTATACCTGCTTGCCCAAGCGGCGTTCTTCCTATCCGGTATCCGCTGTCCTTCTATTCCCCATCAGAACTCAATCTACGCTAGGTTCGCAACACGTTGAACGCTGCCCATCATAAGAAAGTGAGAACCTGTCGCTGCAAGTAGACCCTCCTCTCTCGATACCAGCGACTGGACCGAAGGCCAACTCTGGACATGAAAACCCTCCTCTCCATTTCAGGCTGCTTGTTTTTTTTGCAGTTTTTATCTTTTTCTCTTTCCATCCCACTACAACGCGCTCAGATCAAGCGGCACACTGCTCCCCCTCCCGGCACGATACTTCCTCGGCCCGCCCACAAAAGACCTCGGCGGCGGAAGGTCATTCTCATCCTTGAACTTCCAGCGCGAGTCGTCGATGAAGATACGACCGCCGCCCGAGGAAGGGGACATGAGGCCCTTTGTAGGGCTAGGGCTCTTGGTGCCGTTGGGGCCTAGCGTGAAGGAGCTAGGATCGAGCATAGAGGCACGGAGCGGAGTCGGCACCGTGGAGCGAGAAGACGGCGGCGGGGGCGGCGCGGAAGGAAGAGATGGTGCGGACGAAGGTGGTGGTGGGGGAGGTGCTGATGAGGGTGAGGAGGCTTGACCTGCTGCTCTGATTGCTGCCTGCATTGCTAGGCTGGACACTGCGGACGCCGCGGGCGGGGGTGGAGGAGGAGGAGGGGGCGCTGCGGGGGATGAAGAGGGCGGCGCCGCGGGCGGAGGTGGTGGCGGAGGCGTTGCGGGTGAGCGAGATGGAGGTTGAGGGGGTCTCGGCGGCGCTGAGGGAGGTAGTGGAGGTGCCGATGACACCGGCGGCGGAGGCGCTGGAGCTCCCGGAAGAGGGGGTGCATGTGACGCGGGAGTGGAGGGTTTCCGCGAGGCTGGGAGTGGTGGTGGCTTCTTCCCGATGGGCGGGGGAGGACCCTTACTCGATGCTATGGAGTGAGGGCGCGGGTGGTCGGTGACGTGCTTCCGTAGGGCTGCGACTGACGGACGGGTTGGTATTGCTGGGGCGCTTCCTGTTGGAGGCTTCGGCGCAGAGAAAGTCGGGGGCTTGGGTGCTGAAGGCACTGTCTCGGAGTCGGAGAGGAACGAAGCGTTGGAATCCGCTAAAGTACACGCGATTAACATCAAGACTCCGAGTTAGAAGAAAATGATGGCAAAACTTACCACCTGTGTCTACGCCGCCACCGCGCTTTCGAAGCTTGGGCATCCCTCCAGCAAAGAGCCCGGCTAGTTGCGGAGCACCGTCTAAACTACCACTAGGCTTGTGTGCCGCTGGTCGATCTCCCTGGTCGCTGTTGCTTCTAGCTCGCAACGCAGGCACGGGCGGGGCGAGACCACCAGGTGGCTTGGGGGCCATCCCGGGAATCGGAGGTGCGCCGCCGATAGGAGGGCCTCCACCGCCACCGCCGGAGACCTTCCCTACTTGTGGTGCGGAACGATCGTTTGTTACGGCCTTCCTAAGGGCTTTGCCTTTGGTGATGTCGGATAGGAGAGCATTCTGGGCACAAAATGGATATTGTTAGCAGCCAAACCCTCGACGCTTTATAGTAGATAAGGATAGCAAGGTTGTATCAACGAACTCTGTTCGTGCCACCGGCGGGCGGCCGCGATGGTAAGTTCCCGGGAGGCGGAGGAGGAGGTGGAGGAGGCGGCCCTCCTAACATCGGGGGAGGAGGTGGAGGTGGAGGTGGAGGAGGCATGGCGGCAAGAACTGTGGACGAGGTGCGCCCTCGGAGAGTAGAGTAGATGTGTTGTTCAGTAATTCGAGGGGGGTATAGGTGCGTCTTCGCCTTCGGTTTGCAGTCGGTTAGGCTCGAGGTGAGGAGGTTCGAGACTCTTGGTCCGGTTGGGCAAATGGATTGCAACCTTCGGTCGCGTGGTACGAGCGTCGGGGTCGGAACTAAGGAAATAATGAAAATGATTGTCGTGGATAGTATCGGGGATCGTAGTACAAGGGCCTAGGACTGCGAGGGTGGGAGGAAGGCTACTATGCGAGTAGTTCAGGATCGTTGGGATGGACAAATTGGGGGAGAGGGTGGGTAGGGAAGGCTAGGGAAGTTTAAGGGAATGAGGCAGCCTGGCTGGGCTGTGCTATTGCCATTGATGCGTGGGTTCAGAGGTTGTTCCGTCATCAATACTTCGTAGATCTGGTAATCTTATTGATGGATCTTCCCTGAATTCAATGTTCCAGAAGTTCCAGGCCTTCCAGGCTTCAATTTACTGGGTTCCTTGGCCTGCGTGACCAGGACTCTCAGGGACCGTGTATAACTTGTATTTATCATGCACTTTTAAATATGAAGGTACATTATTATACTTCTGTGCTATCCGCATCCTCCGCCAATGGTGTCTCACCCATTCGAATTTGTACCCACGATTTTTTCTCCTTGCGCATCCCGAAGTCAAATCCACGCATCCATACGAACTATGCGAGAGCGATAGCCGCCGACCGCACAGCATCGTCGCCAGGTACCATAGCCGGCCCTTCCAGCCTACCTATCGAATAATTGAGCGCCCAATTGGGGCCCAATTTGAATTTAGAAGATGCCGCGACTGTCGGTGCAGGGCACCCGCCAGCTCTGTCGGCAAACTCTCAACCACCACATTCCAATCGCGCGACTGAGGTGCGGGCCCGTTTCGATTCAGTCGTACATCCGGCCGGGGCAAAGGCAGACGGCGCAAACGAGGATATGGAAGCAACCAGCACAGCGCAGGAGCTACGCGACGACGACAGTAGCACCTACCTCGGGAGCGCCGGCCGATGCTGAAACGCCGGGAGCGACGCAGGCGAAGGCCGTCCCAGACTTGACGAAGCTCTCGGCCGTCGTCGAACAGACCAGGAATCGATTTCTATCGGCCGGGGGTATTCCGGCTGAGCAGTTAACTCTCGTAGCGTTAAAGACGTGCCAAACCGCCGCCAGCGCCCTCAAGCCTCACCTAAACCGAAAGGACTTTAAGCCCCCCCGAAGCACCAGCTCTACGCTATTAGCCCTCGACAACAATGGATCGAAGACAGCCGCGAAGGCGCCGCAGAAGGGGTCTTCTAGGATGCAAGAGGCGGCGAACAGTATATCCAAAGCGGCCTACGAAATCGCCTCGAACCCCAACGTCGTGCTCACGCCGAGTATTCTCGAACTCTATGTTGACGTGCAGTCCAGCCTCGGAAGGCCCGGTACAATTCCCGAAGTCTTCTCTCTGTTTGGTTCGAAGCCCTTGCCGCGGAAGTCGGGAGGCGCGGTCACCTACAAGAAGCAGAATCCCAATAGATCCGCCGCAGCCATTGAGCTGGACCTTGCGGACAAGGCCCTTAACGCGGCCGTGGCTGCCAAGGATCTCGATGCGGCCATCGGGATCGTTGAGACGTGTTACGCGGGGAGGCCTTTCGTAAAGCAAAAGCTCATGCGAACCCTGTCGCTCCCCGCGTTGCTCGCGGTTCCCACGCCCTTCGCAGTCTACGCAATCTCCCAGCGGTTCGCAAGTCTTCACTACAACATCGACCCGATCACGATGACGAAAGTCACCTTTGCCCTCGGTATGGCGTACGTCGTCTTCACTAGCTCCTTGGGTCTTATTGCCAAGGCGACGGTTATGGATCACATGGTCCGGGTGACATGGGCACCGGGTATCCCTCTACGAGAGCGCTGGTTGCGTGAAGAGGAGAGAGCGGCTCTGGACAAGATTGCGATGTCTTGGGGGTTCAAGGAGACTTGGAGGCATGGCGAGGAAGGAGGTACGGACTGGGCTTGCTTGAGGGAGTATATTGGCCAGAAGGGCATGGTGTTGGATAGGATCGACTTTATGGAGGGCATGAACTAAGTCGCGGAAAAGAAGGGAACGGAGTGTAGGTTTGAAGGAGGAGAATCTTGATGGACACAACTTGTAGACTTGCATACATGAAGGCACCGTACCTCGAGTGCGTGTATAATACAACAAATAGAAACTAGAAATCACCTGCCACCACATTGCATGCCGTGGCCCATTGGGCATCTGTAATCTGCTATTATCTGTTGCGGCGATGGTCAGTCTCTTTTCATTTGAAATCAATATCAATTTGATCCCTTTTTAGAAGGCGGTGAGGGGAGCTAAGCTCTCCCTGAGTTGCAGCTTAGCGGGGCACACGCGACTTTGCCTGGCATTGAACCTGCCCCGCTAAACCTTGGCTGGGTATTATTTCGCATTTCCAGCTCACAGCGCAAACCAATTCTAGAACTCGACAGAATCTCTACACTCTGCCGGAGACCGCCCAGACGATTCTCTCCCTTGGGCGCTACGCCTTGCCGAGTACTCCACATTTCTATACCAGCAGTCCATCTGAGCTTCGCCATTGTCCATTTGAGATCGAGATCCATTTCCAAAGAACATCAGGTAGTGTTCTTTCCAGATCGACATTATCGCAATGGCTGTAAAGTGTGTTCATCAGGGATGTGGCAAGCTCTTTGAGGAAGGGTCGAATGATGAGTGCCTCTATCACCCTGGCCCTCCGATCTTTCACGAAGGCCAAAAAGGCAAGTGAATACTACAGGACCCTCTGCCCAATTGATCACAGCCCTCCTTCCTCAATTTGCCACAATTCTAATCTCATCTCCCCAGGTTGGAAATGTTGCAAACCTCGAGTCCTCACATTCGAGGAATTCATGACCATCCCCCCTTGCACAGAAGGCAAACACTCGACCACCGACAAACCCCCCGAGCTCGAGAAGAAACCACAAACCTCGGATGCCGAGCTAGCAGCCAAAATCGACCGACTCAACGCCTCGGCAGAAGCCCCAGCGAGGAAACCCATCACTGCGCCCCAGCACATCCCGACCCCTCCGCCCCCGGCGCCCGAGTCCGATGAAGACGAGGAGGGCGTTGAGATTCCGGATGGCAGGACGTGCAGGAGGAGGGGATGCGGGGCCGAATATAAGGCTGGGAGCTCGAGGGAGGGCGAGTCTTGCTTGCATCACCCCGGTGTTCCCATTTTCCATGAGGGAAGCAAGGGGTATTCGTGCTGCAAGAGGCGGGTGTTGGAGTTTGACCAGTTTATGAAGCTTGAGGGATGCACGACCAAGAACAGGCATCTGTTTATTGGTAGCGGGAAGAAGAATAAGAAGGATAGCTCCGGCTCTGGCGAGGAAGTGTTGGAGACTGTCAGGTACGCTAACGAATTTGGATATTCCATTGTTACTTTTCATACTGACATGGACACGTGCACGAACAGGACCGATTTCTACCAGACATCCTCTACAGTCATCGCCTCATTCTTCCTCAAAAAGATCGTCAAGGACAAGTCGACGGTGAAGTTTAGCGACCAGGCCATCGATCTCGACCTAGTAACGTCGGACACCCCGCCTAAGAGATATACGGCCCTGGTCCCGCTCTTCGCACCTATTGACCCGGAGAAGACCACTTTCAAGATACTGGGGACCAAGCTGGAAGTAACCTTATTCAAGGCGGATGGAGCCTCGTGGCCGGTTTTGCGGAGCGATGATACTCATACGGGGGAGATACTACAGATCGGAAGGGCGGGCAAGCTGCAGTGAGTGCAGAGAACCGTTTCACCGAGATGAGAAAGGAAAGAAGAAAAAAGAAAAAAATCAAGAAAAAAATTAGTAGACAACAGAATAGATGTTAAAGTTTTCTCTCTGAAAAAACAGTACGCTTTTGCCTAAAGCCCTCTCGTTCGCCAACATCATCAATAAGAGCCCGGCCTGTTAGAAGGTGGTTGTCAGAAGTACTTGGTACCTGTAGGCGACAAGTGAGGAGGAGCAATTAAGCTCTTATCAGATCTTATCTAATGCCCCTCCACTGTTCCTTCCTCGAATTACCCCACCAACAATAATGTCGCAGGCTGCTATTTCCGATCGCCAGCATTCCGACGCCACCCATCCAACCTGCTTCATCCCACCTCCAAATATCATCTCCAATATCCGCCACCCTCATAAGAAGGGGCCAAAATGGCAAGTAAAACATCTCTACAAAATGCGCAGACCACGAATCCACAATCCTCCAAACAACAAACCATGCCAAACCTCACAATAGACACCTCTGCGACGAGCTACACACCTCCTCCCCCATCCACATCCACCACCGGCACAACGACAACGACAACAACAACAACAACAACAGCAACATCCACCTCCTCCCGCCGAAGCTCCTCTCCGCCCCGGCCACCCGTGAGCCCCATAACACCCACCCTAGCCTCAGCACGCCTCCCAACGACCACCGCCTCCTCCACCGCACCTGCCGCCGGCACCACCGCAAACGACATAATGGCCACCCTCCCCCCACGTCAAACCTTCGCCCACGCGCAACCCAACCAAATCGGCATCGCGCCCCCTCCCCCGCGCCCCATCTCCTTCGACGAAAACCCGGACGCCCTAGCGCTACAGAGCGCCATCGCCGTCTTGCAGATGCAGAAGCGGCGCGCTGAGGAGGACATCCGGGCTTTACATCGCGCCAAGGGGGAGGCGATGCGTGATGCTGAGGGGTTCGTGAGGGATTTGGCGGCGGGGCGGATTAAGAGCGGGGAAGCCTTGGCGTTTTCGTCCGCCGACGGTGAGGAGGAAGAAGAGGATATGGAGAGGAAGACGCCAACAGGCCCGGCATGGAGGAAGTTGCCTGGGAGGCAGGACGTCGTCAGGTGTCCGCCGATTAATTGGGCGCAGTATGCCGTCGTGGGCGAGTCGTTGGATAAGTTGCATGCCGATCAGAGGGCGAGTCCGTCGCAGGGGGTTCCAGCCACGATAGCCCCGGATGGCACGTACGAGTTTAAGGGCGAGGGGGAGAAGGCGCCGTTTGTGGGCATTGCGGCTCCGTATACGCCTGGCAGGGACAAGTTGACGGATAAGAGACCGAAGGCGCCGAGGAGATGAGACTAGGGGCCTTGGGATGGAGTCACTTTCAGGGAGTCGTTAACTTTTGGAATGATGCTTTGACGAGGCTTACGACTTGTAATGTTACGAAAATGGGAGAAAACAAAAATAAGAAAGGGGAATGGAAAGTGGGGGCGAAAGGAATTGGGATTAGCATGACCCGTATCGTTGCATGTACAATTTTAATATGGCCGGCGTTGGAGTAGGGTCTATAACGTGAAGTTCACGATGGAATGACTTAAGATGAGAGGTCAACTTCATTAGCAGTTCAAACTGTTTAATAATTCCTCGATAGAAGTTTCCGAGCTTCGCTACTATTCTCTCCTATCCGAGTATACTTTCGTCCGTAATCTACCCTTCAATTCTCAACTTCTCAGGTGCAAATGGAAGGACTCTCCTGCCGTTGGCCTCTACGCATCATTTCCCCCCATTATTACGTTCTCGGTGACCAATATGGAGAATAGAAAGGGTACAACGTAAGAGAAGAGACAAAAAATCAACGAAATAGGATATCAATATCGTAACTAGAAAGAAAGAGGAAATGACAAAACACTGATTTACCCGCCGTAACTTCCGGAACCCATGAGAGAGAGGTATGCCAACCTCCTCGAGAAACGCCGAACGAACTTTGCGCAAAAGGGCGCAACTAATGAGACAAGCCATACTTCGCTGAGCTGATCGTAAAACATTAATAGGGAAGAAGAGATTCCGTGGTATGCCTGTCTAATAAGGTCGAGGAATGGCGTGCTGGGGGAAAAACATCGTGGAAATAATAGAGAAGACAAAAAAGAAGAAGAAGAAAACCAGAAAAGAAATGTGAGCACACATCCTCGTCGAGTCCTTGGGAGAGAGGGGAGTCCTGGGCTACATCTAGGCTTCAGGGAAGTCCCTAAGAAGAAATACGTATGTTAGTCGCTGATGGGGTGGATATGGTTTTTTTTTTTTTTTTTTTTTCCCCGCTCTGTCTCGAGGCAGGCCGACTTACTCCATGCTTTGTTGGACAGACCGACGAAGACGGCGGTTATATGCTTTCCTATCCTCCGGCTTCCCCCAATATAGCGTGTGCGCCTCGGGGTTTACGAGGGTTCGCGGGTCATAGGCGGGGTCTTCTTCCTCGAGGGCCGCAACGATGGAGGCAATGTGAGATCGCACGTCCTCGCGCTTCGAATAATTGGGAAAGTAGCATATCGTGCCGTCAGCTGCGATTCGGTGGTGGAAAATCTTCGTTTCCATGCGCACTCGAGGCTGCTCTTCAGGGAAGCGAGGGCTAAAGTGCATTTTGATCCTGAATAGGCCGCCATCAAGATTCGTCATGGGCGGGCCAAAGTACGTGATGATCCAGACAAAGGGGTTGCCGTTCTCCAGTTGAACGTGGTGGGGAACATCATCGGCCTTGAACGCTTCAATAACCTGCTCATATTGGTTTTGGAGGTTAACCGCAATCGTTCCCTCTTTGGCGTTCTCCTTCGCTCCGTCGGCAGCCCACATTTCTAGTTCGGCATCCAAGGCCTTCTTGATGTTGCGGATACGACGTTCAAGCTCGGAGTAGTTGAACTTGCCCTCCATCGCATTGCTAGAGCCCTCAAATGGCATCCGCGAAAAGTTTTGGCCGTCCTTGACCTCGGATTTGCCTTTTTGTATCGCCGCGAGATACGAGTCGTAGTACCACAGGAAGCGTTGCTTGCAGAGATCCTTGAACGGTTCAAACGGGACGCTAGTCTCATCGAGGTCTTGCATGTCAATGTCGTTATCCTCTTGGTCGGCTGCGGACTTTGCGGACGCGGACGGCGTGCCATCGGGGGCGAGCCCTAGGTATTCCTCCATCCTCTGCATGACGGAGATCCTCAAGGTTTCGTGCCGAATCTATTATCTGGTTAGCTTCAACGGAACGCCCATACACTAGGCACGAGCTACAACAACGCAGGGATTTCCCAGGTCACGTACTTTCTGGACATAGTCTGCCTGGTTCTTCTTGTCGCTGGCTTCGTTTGCATCTTCGAATCCGGGTTCATTCTCGTATGGATTCGAAGACATCAAGCTCTGAATAGAAAGCAGAATGGACTCTAGTCCTTGAGCAGCGGACCACTCTTCTCCGCGTTCGCCACGCCATGTCCTACCGATTACAGTCAGCCCGGGGTCGGACAGTAACGGTCAAGTCGCCGTAAAAGGGAGTATAAGTCGAGTTGGTCGTCGGGAAGTCGGGAAGTCGGGTGTAAAGGACGGGTCCTATGTGAGAAAACAAAGGGAAGACGAAAGGAGACAACGCTATCATACCCTAGAATTGATCTGTGGAAGTTAGCACAGGGCGACCTTAGTGCCGAAGGTAAACGAGAAAAGGGCGATGGAAATTACAACATACAAGCAGACTTTCCCGCTGGCATAAATGTTGGGATTGAATCGGCATCGTCCAGCATTAGTGGTGATCGCTGTTACATTCGGGGACTTTCTGGGGTAGTCTGAGAGACAACGTCAGTTCCCGCGCTTCAAGACTCGAAAGATTGAATGACTCTGAAGCAACGATCAGTGGTCGGGGATGTCGCGACGAACCCTTGTTGAATTTCACAGTAAACTATTCCCCCAAATTGACGCGTTAGCAACCCAAAAGACCAAGCCAAGCTTCTGCCCGAGCCTTGAGAGGTAGAGGCTGAGGTGGGAGCTCTTCTATTTGAATCGTACCTCAAAGAAGCCAAACTCGTAAGGTGTCTCGTGAGGCCCAATGATTAAGGCTTTGACATTGCGGACGTCGGAATCTCGGCATGCGACGGCGAGAGCTGTGGATTCGAGGCGTAGAACGATCAGATTAGCAAATACGAATTAAAAGGCAGAAAGAAATACTAGATTAAGATATCAGGCCGTACACAAATCCGAGTCCTTTTGGATATCGCAGAGCTCCTAAGCAGTCAAATGTCGTCAGTCTTGGAACCCCGCGGATAATCTAGAATGGGTGGGCAGCGCGGGGCGGAAATGTGGACTGCGGGGTGCTGTGCCGGAGCACTACTAACCTTGGTAATACGGATTATCGACTGGTCAGCCATGGCAAATGGCTTTGGCTCCTGGCGCTAGGAGAGAGAGGGAGGGAGACGGAAGAGGAGGTTCGATGCGCAATGAAATGTAATGACGGGCCGATATGCAACGAGGAGGAAGGAGGTGACGAGATTCGAGGTTGGGCGTGGAGCTGTTGGTAGTATGCGGGAGTTGGAAGAGCAGGGCGAAGAGAAGGTGGGAAGAAGGCTGAGGAGGGAAAGTAAGGGAGTAAAGGTGTGGGAGGCCTTGGATAGATTATCGGCGAGTAAGAAACCAAAGTCGGATCCGGGACTGGAGCACAAACAGCAGGCAAAGACCAGGCAACCGCAGCTTCCCAGCTTGGAGTGTTTGGAGTGTTTGCAGGGTTGGAACTTGGAGGGGGTCAAATGGAGGCTCAGAGGCTTGTTGGAGGGGTGGAGGGGTCAAAGGGAACCAAGACAAACAGAACATGAATTGACTTGGAGACGGCTTGGGGGTGCGGGGCAGGATCGATGCAATTGCAGTGGCAGCAGGCGCTAGGTTCGAGGTTCGAAATAGCACAGATTGAGTCTGGTGTTTGGGCTTCATGAATTTCTGGGTGGTGCATAGTTTGAGACCGAGACTGAGTGGTGGTGGTGGTGCAGGTTGGCAGGCGGGTCACGTCAAATTGAGGCGACGCTGTTTGGGCCTGCACCGCCGTTTGCGTTGTCTTTGTACTTCGTAGTTCGTACTTGTAGTTTGTACCCATCCGTTTAGACGCGGACAAGCGCCAGTAAAGGTTTCAAGTTCAATCAAGTTCCGTCAATCAGATGTATAGTTGTACACTCACTGCCTGCTGGCTTCATGCAGCCTGCCAGTCTGGTCTGCCTTGTGAAAGTCATTGCCCGATGGCCGATGTCCGAAGTTGAGCTAATTTACACAGGTACCGTGCTTGCATTTCCATTGAAATCGATATGCCATAACTACGTCTGCCTGCGAAGGTACATTTACTCGCGTGTGGATTGGTGAGAGACTACTTTGAAGCGAGGAATTGAATATATTGATCAGGTATGCTAATGCGTCTATTACTCGCATGTTCCCGGTCCTACGGGGCACCCAGGAAAGCAGGGAGCAACCTGCGCGAGGGACGGTAGACACCGAATGATTCGCTTTGATACGCGTAATATGTGTCAATCTTGATCATAAAAAAGTGGAACTAGCGACGACAAGATGTAGAGAATCACGATCTTGGAACTGGCCGAGAGAATCATCTCAAGCCTTGATAGCCGATAGCCCAGGAGGCCACGGAAACACAACTGTATGGCGCCGGAGGTTCTTGAAGTTGCACACCCCAAGGATCCAGTGCCGGGTGTAGAGCCTCGGCATGGGCATTTTGCTATGCGATGCTTCAAGGTCTATCGCCATCGAAACTTGATGATCCACGTCACCCATATCGCCCCTTTCTTGGAAGGAGGTGAACACATACTTAGATTGCGACCAACCAGCTGCCTCCCAGATAAAAATGGCACGGCAGGGCTCGTCCGTGCGCCACGGATTCCATGGAACTCCCAATCTTAGTTGATGCCCTTGTGCAATGGCGTATTCTAGATGCTGACACATCATGCCGAGTGTCTTGTCGCGAAAAGACGGCCCGCGGTCCTCACTCGAGCTGGAGAAGCTGCTGTCGGAGGGTACGAACTCCTCTATCAACTCAGCAATGTGCGTGTGCCCACGGCGGTAAAGATAGTCCACCAGGCCATCGAGCCCCCGCGACTGATCCAAGTCCCTAGACGTGTCGATGACCTTGTCCAGCGTCCAGAGGTGGCCCTTGGTTTGGACACCCTCGCGGATGAGTCGGACGCCACTGAAGCGGCAGCCTTTGTAAAAGGACAACTTGCGATGCGACTCTGGCTCAGGAGCATGGAACCCACGAAATAAGTATCTTTCAAGAAAGCTGCCAACAGACATAGCGGACACGACACCACGGCCCTCTTTCTTTCGATTATCGAGGATTTCCCCATTAATCAGACACATAGTTAGAGTAGCGAGACTTACACTGAGCGAACTTTCTTGCAGGAGCTCGACGTCCAGGCGTCTCGAGTAACCGCAGCAGTTGCCAATAACAGGAAGTCGGTCCATCGGCTCTGAGATTCCTCTCAATGCAACATCAGAGATAATACTCCGAGTCATGGACTCAGAGTCCTTGAGTAGGAGCGTGTATTTTCCTGCTTTGCGGAGGATCTGCTCTACTGTTACCTCTTCCTCTTTTGTCTGATGCTGGAAAGCCAGGCAGAGCTTGGTAATCTGTTCAGTGAGGGTTCTGAAGCGTATGCAGAGCTCTCCGGGAATGCGCCGAAATTCACCCCACCCCCGTTTCTGCACCTCAAGGGAAGGTTCGTGGGGCAGCAACAGATACATCTTCGCCCCTCCACAGTAGGCCTCCTGGTAAGTCCAGGCTCGCAACCACCAGCCGTCCCTAAGTATGTCAGCGATAAGCTGGAGTACCTCCCATGCCTCCTCGCGACTTGTTTCTTCCGAAAGTTGAAATCTATGTCGTCTGCCGCGCCGTATGTCTGTGACCTCTCCTCCCAACCTGTCCTTGACAAGGTGCCCTCGTAGGAGGCGAGCAAGGAGAGCTAATTCGCGCTCCGACCTGACTTGTCTCCAGAGCAGGGCAAGCGGGTAGTCACTAAATGCATAGACACGATCCATTGATTCGAGGCCGTCTTTTTTTTCTTCGCTATAGCGTCTTTTACACTGCTTGATACTATGCTTGTCAATCCACAACAAACGTACGCCCTCATAGTGCATGTACTTGATGGTGCGCGTGAAAACCTGGCTGCGGACTGGGGATGGGAATACCTTAACACCGTCTCGAGATTGGACATAATACAACAACTCGGAGTCGTTTGGGGAGGACATGTTCTCGAACTCAGAAGGTTTCCAGGTATAGGACACCGAGACGTAACGATGGTTCTTGAATGCATCGACGCAGTGCCGCTCCAAAATAGGTCGGGACGGGTCACTCGAGGGAACAGGGTAAAAGCATTCAAGATTTGCTAGAAACCCCTCCGACTTGTTATGAGGCTTCTCCATCTTCTGGATTTCTAGACACATGGTTGAGATGGACTCGCCACGCCTGACAATTGTGAAAAGGGGCTGGTCCATGTCCTCCATTGTCTGTCTGTTCGCCATGTTATCGGGCTCGCTTAAGATTAACTTCGCTCGAACAACGATGATTGACGTGGTGTAATGTTGGAAGGAAAGAGGAAGTCAAGCCATGAAACGCGACGCGTTGTGAGGTGAGGTGGTCGCGCTAGATCACGTGATTCACACGTTCATTGTCTGGGACACTCTGCCTCATAGAACATAAACTACGAAGAAGAACAAGTGCTCCAGATCGCTAGAATTAGTCCCGCCCAGTACCTGGGTACATAAGTGGGTGAAGTAAGTACTGGAGAGATCTCAAGATGAAGGGCTCAGCTACAAACTGCACTACCTTCCACCAAACCATAGCTGCAGCGACATATCCTTTGTAATCTCACATTTTACTTGTACGCTTGCATTTCCTGACGGACCAAGTTTGGAAGCCCCTTTACCATTGGGAGCCGTGAGCATTTAATAGTAGCCATCAATTGATCAACCAGAAGAATATTATCTATCTCACAGGTACCTTCGAGTGGGGGCGGCGCAACACTGCCCCGCATTTGGGACCCTACCAGCGACGCGTTGAGCGCGACGGTCCCAGCTTGAACTTTAATTGCTTCATTGTTCTCTTGCGCCTCATCACCTCCCAATTTGAGCATCTTCAGAGTCGTCCATTTGTACCCACGCAACGCCGAATATAACCCCCAAAACCGAATATCAAATCTCAAGTGGAGGAAGAACCCGCGTTTCGTCCATCTAAACTCTTCCGGCCTCGGAAATGGCGAGCTTCTTCGACATCAAGGCCAGGAAACAGGCTGCCGCCAACGGCGCAGGGACTCAGAAGCAAGACAAATCGGCACAACCCCCAAGAACGCAGCCATGGGTAGAGAAATAGTACGACAGCCAACGCAGCCTCAATTTTCGATAATGTCTCCGTTCTTCGGCTAACAACAGGATGTCTATACAGCCGTCCACGGACCCTCAACGATGTTGCTGCCCAGGAGCATACCACCGCTGTCCTTCAGAGGACCCTGCAGGCTTCTAACGTACGGCCCTAATGGGTTTCCTGCTTCTCCAAATGCCTCTCAATCTCGCCGTCTAACCGTCCTTTTCTCCGTAGCTACCTCACATGCTCTTTTACGGCCCTCCAGGAACAGGCAAAACCTCTACGATTCTCGCCTTAGCGAAGGAACTCTACGGACCCGAGTTCATGAAATCTCGCGTCCTCGAACTCAACGCCTCAGACGAACGCGGTATCTCTATCGTCCGGGAAAAGGTCAAAGACTTTGCGCGAATGCAGCTCACGAACCCCCCTCCCGGCTACAAAGACAAATACCCCTGCCCACCCTTCAAGATCATCATCCTCGATGAGGCCGACTCCATGACGCAGGACGCCCAGAGCGCTCTTCGCCGCACAATGGAAACGTACAGCAAGATTACCCGGTTCTGCCTCATTTGCAATTACGTCACCCGTATAATCGACCCGTTGGCGAGTCGATGCAGCAAGTTCCGCTTCAAGAGCTTAGACAAGTCGAACACGAGGGCGAGGCTCGCCGAGATTGCCGAGAAGGAGTCCGTTCCGCTCGATGATGGCGCCTTGGATGCTCTAATAAAGTGTAGCGAGGGCGATTTGCGAAAGGCCATCACCTTCCTCCAAAGTTCCGCCCGGTTAGTTGGCTCGATGGGAGGCGTGGACCAGGACGGAGACGAAGAGATGGATGGACAGAAAAAGGTTGTCACGGCCAAGATTGTCGAGGACATTGCTGGCGTAATACCGGCTCCGACAATTGATACTCTTGTGAAGGCTATGCGCCCAAGAGGATCCGGTTCGACATTTACCCCGGTCGCCGAGGTTGTGCAGGAAATGGTGGCGGATGGCTGGAGTGCCGGACAGGTCCTGAACCAGGTATGTTATACGTCTCAAGGATTTTTTTTCCCCTGTCCCCCCTAAAGCTGACGGAACCCCTTCCAGCTTTATCAAGCCATCATATTCGATGAGACCATCCCCGACAAGCAAAAGAACAAGATTGTTATGGTGTTTTCCGAAATCGACAAGAGGTTGGTTGACGGCGCGAGCGAACACTTGTCGATTCTAGACATGGCCCTGAGAATATCTGCCATCATGGCTGGTAAATAGAGAAAGCATATTATCAGATATTGTGTATAGGGAGAAAAGTGTAATCGGATCGGGTATCAAAAAAAGGTCTGGCGTTTAATGTAATCTATTCATTATCATCATGACATGCTTGCGCTTTTCGCTTAAACTTGCCATTTCATATGTAGCAACAGTGCCAGCTGGATCCAAGACGATCGAATTTTTCTTGGAGGTACCAAACATCCTTTCATCAGACTTTCGGCTTTTACGACCGAGATTTGGGGCCGAGAAGCCCAAGATCCAAAGCCAGAGACCCCCAAGGATCCGCTTGCTTGTTTCCACTAGAGCCATCGTCACCCCCGCCGAACATGCGAGAAATTTCGGCCAAGGTACTGACGATGCCTTCGATGCCCATTTGGCCGTCCTCTATGCCCTCTGCCACGGCTTCCATGGTTGCAATCCTGGCCGAATCCGAAGCAAAGACCCACGGTTTTATCTTTCCCGTTAGGTCTGGCTGCTCGAGAGCGGTCGCCGACCCTAGGCTATCGAGGAATCCCGGCTTCAAGTGCTTAGCTTGCTCCGACGCAGGCCATGGGAATTGCGGAAGAAGTTGGCTCTCCGGAACCAAGTGCTCTACTACTTGGCACGCCTCCTTCAGCTGTTTGGCTAGAGAAATGTTGAATTGGGATTTGTAGGCAATGATGGATTTCTGCGCCGAGGTCAATTTGGACAAATTTGCCAAATAAGGTAGTAGGAGATGCGCTGCCGGGCCCAGTGCAGTCGTGGCTGTGGATTTTTCTTCTTGTGAGGACATGACGGTGGGCTTCACAATGGGTTCTGCCAACACGGAGTCCGGTGCTCCGAGAGAAGTGATGAGAGCTTTTCGTGCGTTTATGTATTGATCGTAGCTCTCCTTTACAGTCTCCAGCTTCGCGGTGATTTTGGCTTTCTTCTGCTTTGTGGTCTCATCCTCTGGGCCAACTTTCCTCTCGCCATCGGGGGGAGGCTCTGCATCAGGGTCGTCCTGGTCACTCGAAGCCTTGCTCAACTCTGACTCAATCCAGTTGATTAGCTCATTGCGGGTGGCGTCGAGAGCGCGAATCTTAGCGAAGGGTGTGATTGAGTTGGGGTCAAAGGAGCACTTTGCCTTGAGTGCCTGAAGGAACTGCTCCTCTCGGGTAAGGAGAAGCTTTGATTTCAGTAAGACTTTGTCCAGTTTACCGGCCAGCTTTGCTAAATCGGGCTGAATCCCCTCCTCGTCGGTTGCGAAGCTATCCACAATCTCATTCGGAACTCTGAGAAGAGGGGCCAAGTCCTTGAAAATGGACTTTAGGTCCAGGAAGCTGGAGTCGGCGGCCGGTTTCTGGCCCAAGACATTAATATACTTCTCAAGCGACTCGAGCCGACCCAACTTCTCTTGTTGATTGATCAAGTGCAGTTTGTCGTCCAAAATCTCCGGATGGCTCCGCTTACCTCGGGGGTCAGCGGATTGATTTAAGTGAGAGTGGGCTTTCCGGACAGTATCGAACTCGTCTTGCGCCTTGAGGTTTGCTGAGACCGCTTTGAAGAACTCGTCCATAAGCACAGTTGTGCGTTGCTCAGGCGGAATCAACTTAGTTGACGGGTCAATTAGGGATAGTGGACCACCGGTATAAGAGCCTTCCAACGAGGATTCCAAATGGAATGCCAAAACGCGTCGAACATGCTCAACTTGCTCCCTCGGCTTCACATAGGCCGCCATGCCCTGTTGTATGAGCCTGACCGTTTCCTCAGGCGACTGCATGGCGACGAAATTTAAGGGATTGTGCAAACGGAATTATTGAAAGTCGCAAGATTTCAGTTCGGTATTATTCTCTTGGAATTGGTGAACAGTATAATTAAATTGTCATCTTGATCGTGAGCTCGAGGTCGTGGTAGCTCGGAGCTCGATCAGCTTCTCGCGAAGTGTGGTGGGGTGTGCAACTATGAGTTGAGCTGTTGTTACTTCGTAGTGAGAATCCCAAAAACCAGGGCCCCGCGAAGCTACCTGGAATTGCGGCAGTGGTCTTGTAAACACGCTATCACGTGACATATAGCATTGTGGATATGTACAATGTACCACACGCAGGTGGCGAGTGGGCTGCAGCTTACTTTGTAACAATCCGTCGTGCAGCAACCAGGCTGAAGCAGAGCAACTTAAAAAATCGATGGGCATCTTTGGTGTCGGTGTTCTGGGCCATTTTGTCAACCTTTACCATTCAATTACCAGTTCCTTGCCGTGTACTATATTAATTCGCATCTTCTCTTAGAGGACTGCCGCATATTTGCCCAGAGAGCTGGTCCCATCAGCTCCAACACGAATTTGCCATCAAATAATCTCCAATACGAACTCCAACATCGACCATTCATCCGCGTTACGCATCACCGCCCACCATGGCCGACCCACGAGATGTGTCGCAGTACAAGTACTCGGCCATGTCCAACCTTGTCCTCAAGGTGGACCGGCGACTTATCAACCGGCCCACGGACAAGGCGACAGGCGAGCCAGAGTCTATTGCCGGTCGCTTGACGATCAAAGATATGGGGTCGCGCGTCGGCCGCGAAGCCGCGCCGAAACCGAAGACCCTTCCAGATGTTGAGAGAGGAAGCATACAAGAAGGCCGAGATGTGTTGTTAAGAGACCAAAGGAAGCGCAAGGCCGATGGCCAGTTACGGGGGAATGGTATTCTGGGCGCAGCAGATCTCGCCATCGAAGGCATCCAATACCGTCCACGGACAGCCGCCACGCGCGCGACCTTCGACCTTATCCTAACACTCGTCGCCAACAGCTTAGGCGACGTACCCTACGAAGTGGTGCGAAGCGCTGCCGACGCCGTCTTGGAGTATCTCAAAGATGAGGACATGAAGGACTTTGATAAGAAGAAGGAGATCGACGAGATTCTGGGCATAACACTGAGCCCGAAGCAGTTCAACGACCTTGTCAATCTAGGCAAGAAAATCACCGACTACGATGCGCAAGACGAAGAAGAAGAGGATAGGGCATCACAGGGCAGTGCCACCCTTGACGATCGGCAAGGTGTCGCTGTTGCGTTCGAGGACGAAGACGAAGAGGAGGAGGAGATTGTTCCTGAGGTCCGTGACTATTCATCTGAAGAAGAGGAGGAAGAAGAAGAGGAAGAAGAGGAAGCTGCGAGAGAAGCCGATGCCGCTGACGCAGAGGCATTACGAGAAAGCGACGAAATGGTTATCGACTCTACTCTAGCAGACCAAGGGAAGCAAGATGGGGAGACCACTGTACCAGCCCGGGAAATAGATGCCTTTTGGCTTCAGCGGCAAGTCGGCAAGATCTATTCTGACCCCAAAGAACAACACGATAAAACCCAAGAGGCGCTGCGAATACTCTCTGGCGAACCGGACGAGCCGGGTGGCGAAGAGAAGCCGTTGCGAGAAATCGAGAACGACCTCATGGAGCTTTTCGAATACGAACACCACGAGCTCGTCCAGCTCCTTATCGAGAACCGAGAGAAGGTCGTCTGGCTTACCAAGTTAGCGCGGGCTGTGAGCAACGAGGAGCGTGCTGCTGTCGAACGCGAAATGGCTTCAGAAGGCTTGCAGTGGATTCTCAATGAACTACACGGGAAGAAGCCCGAGGAAGGCAAGAAGAAGCTTGATATCAAGATGGACATCGACGTCCCGGAATCTATCACCAACGGTGCCGCCAAGGCCGAGAAACCCGAAGGCCAGCTTGCAGGTGGGTTACAACCGCGGAAGCTCATCAACCTAGACAATCTCGTTTTCGACCAGGGCAACCATCTCATGACGAACCCAAATGTAAAGATACCTGCGGGTTCTACGAAGCGCACTTTCAAGGGCTATGAAGAGATCCATGTCCCAGCACCGAAGAAGCGGAGTGACCCCAACGATCCCCTTATCCCGATTACAGAGATGCCAGAGTGGGCTCGTGTTCCCTTTAGTACCGCGAAGTCTCTGAACAGGATCCAGTCGAAGTGCTATCCCACGGCGTTCCAAGATGATGGAAATATGCTTGTTTGCGCTCCCACTGGCAGTGGTAAGACAAACGTAGCTATGCTTACAATTCTTAGGGAGCTCGGCAAGCACCGCGATCCGGAGACTGGCAATATTGACCTGGATAGCTTCAAAATTGTATACATCGCCCCTCTGAAGGCCCTTGTCCAGGAACAGGTCGGGAACTTTGGCAAGAGGCTCCAGCCCTACGGTATTACAGTTGAGGAACTTACTGGCGACCGCCAGCTCACGAAGCAACAGATCGCGGAGACTCAGATCATCGTGACCACCCCAGAGAAGTGGGATGTCATTACTCGGAAAGCGACGGATCTCTCCTATACTGTTCTCGTCCGACTGATCATTATTGACGAGATCCACCTGCTACATGATGACCGTGGTCCAGTTTTGGAAAGCATCATAAGTCGTACCATCCGCAAGACTGAGCAGACCGGTGAACCGGTCCGCCTAGTTGGCCTATCAGCTACTCTGCCCAACTTCAGGGACGTAGCGAGCTTCCTCCGAGTTGATATGAAGACAGGACTCTTCCACTTTGATGGATCTTTCCGACCCTGCCCACTCCGCCAAGAGTTCATCGGCGTCACAGACCGCAAGCCCATCAAACAACTCAAGACAATGAACGATGTTACCTACAACAAGGTCCTGGAGCATGTCGGTACCAATAGGAACCAGATGCTGATCTTTGTTCACTCGAGAAAAGACACAGCCAAGACTGCCCGGTACATTCGAGACAAGGCTTTGGAAATGGATACCATTAACCAAATTCTACGTCACGACGCTGGTAGCCGCGCTATCCTGAACGAAGCCTCGGAGCAAGCTACTGATAAGGACCTCAAAGATCTTCTACCCTACGGATTCGGAATCCATCATGCCGGCATGAACCGAGCCGACCGTACCGATGTCGAGGATCTCTTCGCCCAAGGTTCTATTCAGGTCCTTGTTTGTACTGCTACGTTGGCTTGGGGTGTAAACCTTCCTGCGCATACAGTCATCATCAAGGGTACACAGGTTTACTCTCCCGAGAAGGGTAGCTGGGTTGAGCTTAGTCCTCAGGACGTTCTACAAATGCTTGGTCGTGCGGGCCGGCCTCAGTTCGATACCTACGGAGAGGGCATTATCATAACGACGCAAAGCGAGATGACGTATTATCTATCGCTCTTGAATCAACAATTACCCATTGAGAGTCAGTTTGTGAGCCGCCTGGTCGACAATCTGAATGCAGAAGTTGTGCTTGGTAATGTCCGAACGCGAGACGAGGGAGTAGAGTGGCTTGGGTACACGTATCTCTTCGTCCGTATGCTTCGGTCACCAGGCCTTTACCAAGTCGGGGCGGAATATGAAGACGACGAAGCCCTCGAACAAAAACGAGTTGATCTCATCCACTCGGCGGCCACCGTCCTCCGAAAGTCGGGCCTGGTCAAGTATGATGAAAAGACGGGGAAGCTACAGGCTACTGAACTGGGTCGTATTGCTTCTCATTACTACATCACCTACGGCTCGATGGATACCTACAACACCCTGATTCTTCCGGGCATTACCACCATTGAGCTCTTCCGAGTATTCTCGCTCAGCGCCGAATTCAAGTTCATTCCCGTCCGACAAGACGAAAAGGTTGAACTTGCGAAGCTTCTTAGCCGAGTTCCGATCCCCGTCAAGGAGAGTATCGAAGAATCCCACGCCAAGATCAATGTTCTTCTACAGGCCTACATTTCTCGGCTTCGCTTGGAGGGTTTCGCTCTCATGGCCGACATGGTCTACGTTACTCAATCTGCAGGGCGAATCTTGCGTGCCATCTTCGAAATCACCTTGAAGAAGGGCTGGGCTGATGTTGCAAAGACAGCCCTCGACCTATGCAAGATGGCAGAGAAGAGGATGTGGCCGACGATGACACCACTTCGCCAGTTCCCCAGCTGCCCTCGCGACATCATCCAAAAGGCAGAACGAGTTGAGGCCCCTTGGAGTGCATACTTCGACCTTGACCCTCCAAGGATGGGAGAACTCCTCGGTATGCCGCGACACGGCCGGACTGTCTGTGGACTAGTCGCCAAGTTCCCCAGACTGGAGGTGCAGGCCCTCGCGAAGCCCCTCACGAGGTCAATGATGCATATAACTCTTGAAATAGCGCCAAACTTTGAGTGGGACGATGAAGTCCACGGCGCAGCAGAGAGCTTTTGGATCATTGTCGAAGACTGCGATGGAGAGCGGATCCTCTACCATGATCAATTCATCCTCCGAAGGGAGTACGCGACGGCTGAAGATAACCGCCACATCGTAGACTTTACCGTGGAAATTTTGGAACCCATGCCACCCCATTACTTCGTCTCCTTGATTTCAGATCGATGGATGGCCTCGGAAACTAAGCTGGCTCTCTCTCTTCTGAACCTCATCCTACCAGAAAAGTTCCCGCCGCATACTGAGCTCCTTAAGCTTCAGCCTCTCCCCGTGTCCGCGCTCAAGGTTGAACAATACGTCAAGCTATACCCTGACTGGCAAAATTTCAATCCTATCCAGACTCAAACGTTCAATTCGCTGTATAGCACTGACGACAATGTACTTGTCGCTGCGCCCACCGGATCCGGGAAGACTGTCTGCGCAGAATTCGCCCTTCTCCGTCACTGGGCGAAGAGCTCGGCCGGTAAAGCCGTATATATCGCCCCCTACCAAGACCTTGTTGACATACGGTTGCGCGACTGGGAGAAGCGGCTTAGCCATTTGCGTGGCGGCAAGTTGATTGTGAAGCTCACGGGTGAGACGGCAACCGATCTTGACCTGCTCAATAGGGGTGACCTGATCTTGGCCACACCGTCTCAGTGGGACGTTCTGTCGCGCCAGTGGAGGCGGCGCAAGAACGTCCAGCTGGTCGAGCTTCTCCTTGCCGACGAGCTGCATCTCCTAGGAGAGAATCTGGGGTACGTCTACGAAGTCGTCGTGTCCCGGATGCAGTACATCAGTGGCCAGACGGAGCACCCTCTGCGAACGGTGGCTCTCAGCGTCTCCCTCGCGAACGCGAGAGATTTTGGGTCTTGGATCGGCGCGAAGAAGCACGACGTGTACAACTTCAGCCCGTTTGTCCGGCCCCTGCGACTCGAGCTTCATCTTCAATCCTTCTCAATCCCCCATTTCCCTTCTCTCATGTTAGCAATGGCGAAGCCCACCTACCTTGCCATAACACAAATGTCGCCGAATCAACCGGCCTTGGTTTTTGTCCACAGCCGAAAGCAGACTCGGCAAACGGCTCGAGATCTTCTTGCAGCCTGTTATGCGGATGACTACGAAGACCGTTTCCTTAATGCTGAAGGCGACCAGCTCAAGCGCATTCTCGATCACATTGACGAGGAACCTCTCCGTGAAGCCCTATCTCATGGTGTCGGCTACTACCACGAGGCTCTCAGCCAGAGCGACCGGCGCATCGTCAAGCATCTCTATGATAGAGGAGCTATTCAGGTCTTGGTCGCGTCTCGTGACGTTTGCTGGGAGCTGGACTGCACTGCCCACCTAGTGGTGGTTATGGGCACTCAGTATTTCGACGGGCAAGAACACCGCTATGTGGACTATTCTATGAGCGAGGTCCTACATATGTTCGGCAAGGCCTTGCAGCCTTTGGAAAAGAAGAGCCGCGGCGTGCTCATGGTACCAGCAGTGAAGCGAGAGTTCTACAGCAAGTTCTTGAGGGAGGCGCTTCCGGTAGAGTCGCACGTTCCCGATAACCTCCACGATACGTTTGTCACTGAGATCAGCACCAAGATGATCCAGTCGGCCGGCGATGCTGTCAACTGGACCACCTTCACCTACTTCTACAGGCGCCTGCTTGCCAACCCAAGCTACTACGGCCTCAGCGAACTAACGGATGACGCTCTCGGTCGCTTCATTTCCGACCGGGTAGAAGAGACGTTCAGCCAGTTGAACGAGGCGAAGATTATCGAGTACGATGAGGAGGACGGCTCCGTCGTGCCCTTGAACGCAGCCATGATCGCAGCATACTACAACATCTCCTACGTGACCATGGAAACCTTCCTTCTCTCGCTCACTGGTCGCACGAAGCTCAAGGGAGTCCTCGAAGTTGTGACGTCCGCCACGGAGTTTGAGGCAATCCAGCTAAGGAGACACGAAGGCGGAATTCTACGCCGTATATACGAGAAACTTCCCGTCAAGATGTCGGGAGACGTCAACCTGGACTCAGCGCATTTCAAGGCTTTCGTCCTGCTTCAAGCACACTTTTCAAGGCTCCAGCTGCCTGTCGATCTCATCAAGGACCAGGAGGTTATCCTATCCAAGGTGCTCGGCCTTCTCAGTGCAGCCGTCGACATCCTTTCTTCCGAAGGACACCTCAATGCCATGAACGCCATGGAAATGTCACAGATGGTGGTACAGTCCATGTGGGATCGCGATAGCCCGCTCAAGCAGATCCCTCACTTTACGGACGATACTGTCAAAGCCGCTCATAAGTTCGGGTATGTGAAACAGATTCTAACCACCTTTTCCCCCACCCCCTTACCTCAAAGAGAACATGCTAACCAACGTCCCACCCATAGAATTAAGGACATTTTCGATTTCATGGAGGCAATGAACCCTGAAGAGAATCCTGATTACAGCTCGCTGGTCAAGGCTCTAGGTCTCACCAACAATCAGCTAGCGCAGGTTGCCGACTTCACCAACAACAAGTACCCCGATATCGAAATGGAGCACGAGATCGAGGACGAGGACGAGATCCGCTCGAACGAGCCGGCGTACTTGAACATTCGGATTCAGCGCAACATTGAAGAGGACGATGAAGTGGACCCGACGGTCCATGCGCCATTTTACCCCGCGAAGAAGATGGAAAATTGGTGGCTGGTTGTCGGCGAAGAGAGCACCAAGAGCCTTTTGGCGATCAAGAGGGTGACAATTCTGAGGAAACTTGACGTAAAGTTGGAGTTTACGGTACCTACGGAGGGCAAGCATGATCTGAAGCTCTATCTCATGAGTGACAGTTATATGGGCGTGGATCAAGAACGGGAGTTTACTGTCACGGCAGCAGAGGGTATGGACGTCGACGAGGAGGACGAGGAAGACGAGGATGAAGAGTAAAAAGACCAAACGACACAGGCTCGGTTGGTTGATTAAGAGGGGTTGCCACGATGGCCCCCAGTGTATAGAATTCACGTGGTAAGAATTTTCGAAGCATGATAAATAAAAACGGAAAGGCAATGTTCATTGATTTAGGGTATTCAAAAGCTCGGCGGCCACTTCGTCCATTGCCACAAAGTTCGGTGGTGAATTGTGTGGAGGCTGGAAGCGACTTGTTAAATGGGGTGGCTGGTGATTGGTCGGCAGGCGGCCAATGGGTGCGACGAGTCGGGCGTGAGATCATATTGGCGACGTCGCAGAACGAGGAAACGCAAGCGCCCGCCCACATACTCTCTGCCTGCTACGGCGATCTTGGTACGAGGCCGCGACGGCATAGTTCGGCGGCTACGGGCAGGCATATTCAAAGAGCAGTCTCCTGGCGGAAGGGAGCGGACATGCAAGGCAGAGAGACGATAGTCTCTCTCCATCAAGTATTCTGTCATTGATAAGTACTGGTGATGGCGATGGTGATATATCCAGGCCGGCGGTGAGAAAAGTGAACGGAAGGAGGCACGTTGCCATCCTCTCATCAGACCCTGCACCTCGGAGCCATCTCCGGGGCAAACTGCTCCTTCTCTGGCATCTCGATGGGAGACTGTCTCGGCCAGCTCCTGCCCGGCTTGGGCTGAAAACTACCCTCGACCTTGCAAGACTCACCTTCCTCATACATTAGATGAATCACTCTTGACAGAGACACCTGGTGGTACTGCTAGCAACTGGTAGTACTTTTAGGTACTCTTGTCATCCCCGTCCATGATGTCTTTGAAGCTACAATGTGCAAGTACTGCCAAGGTATTTGGCGTAACATTGGTGCCTCTTCATGGCAATTGCCCCCAGCTTACTTTCCAGAGTCAGGCTCACTTGTACCAGATTTGTATCAAAGACAAGTGGACGAGAAACTCCAAGCCAAAACTGTATTAATTGACTACTTCTTCTGGTGCATGCATGTCACGTGCCCTGCCCCCATCCCCATCAGCTCACTCACTGCCAAAGTGCTGCAGTACCAAAGTCTTAACCTTGTCTTATTATTACGAACTTCTCTTTTCTGACGAAAATCCTCGCATCCCTCCTTGTCCCGATCGCCTCTTTTTTTTAACCCTGCACTACTCTTCCTTTTCCTTGCAGACCTTCACCACACCACAACATCATCACAAGGGCTGCTGGTGCAATTGCCACAAATCCATAGTGGATTGTTTGCACCTTGTCCCAAGATCCTCATCCTCTCCCCAGCCTCCCCAGCTTATTTGAGAGCACGCTAATCACGCGAAGCAAAGCCTAACGCGTAGTCCTACCTTATTTATTTATCCTCCACACCTCTACCTCACCCCAACACCTGGTAGCTTCAGCATTGCGCCTTAACTGATCGCATTGCCGTTGCGAACACCAACACAATGTCGTCTCCTGAACCATCCACCGACAAGAAGGACGTCACTTCTGCGACTGCGCCTGATGTCACTGAAGCTCCTGAAGCTAAGGAGGAGCAGCCAAAGGTCGAGGCTACCAAGGAGGCCGAGTCCAATGCTGAAGCTGATGCTTCCAAGGGTATGTCTCGATATACACGTCATTCCCCTCGCGCCCTCGCCGTTCGATCTCTACCTAATCGTCCACGCTCTATCTATCTCTGGCGCCTCTACATCTCAATTGAGGATGGCGCAGCCTCCGCGTCAACGGATCCACTCCAACTCGCGTCCAGGCTCATGCATCCCTTGCCCTCCCTATCAAGTCTTTCGTCGCATCGCGTTGATATTACTGCGCTCGCCATTTGTTCATTCACTGACACGCTTTCTGGTTTAGATGACACTTCGTCGGAGAAGCCCACCGAGCCAGCCGAGGCCAAACCCGAAACTGAGAAGGCCGAGGCGAGCAGCGCCGAAAAGAAGGACGAGGAAACCGATATCGAGATGAAGGATGCCGCAACCGAGGGCGGAGATGCCACTCCTGCTACCGACGCGAAAGAAGAGGCGGCGGCCGATAAGACCAAGGCGGCGCGTCGCAAGTCGACTGGTGCCACCGAGAAGGGCAAGAAGCTCAACAGGAAACAGTCCAAAGCCCGCATTACGAACCTGAATGCCCAGCCTGGCGATCATTACCTCGTCAAGCTTAAGGGATTCCCTCCTTGGCCCGCCGTTATCTGCGATGAAGTCATGCTTCCCCAGCTTCTTCTTACCACGCGACCCGTCACTGCCAAACGAGCCGATGGCACATACCGCGAGGACTTCGCCGACGGAGGCAAGCGAGTCAATGACCGCACATTCCCCGTCATGTACCTATATACCAATGAATTGTAAGTTTTTCCTATGCCCTAGGGCATCCCTTTTAGACGCGCAGACTTGTCACGATTGCCGTCGTCCGTCTCTTCATTACCCACCACGATACTCCATTCCGCCCCTCGCTCTCAGTTTGCTGCCATGATTCTGAAGATTATCAATTTATTGTGGTCGCAACGCTAACCGTTTATCGTTCCGTTTCATAGTGGTTGGGTTCCCAACACGTCCCTTCAGGAGCTGTCACCCGAGCAAGCTTCGGAAGCCATCAACGACAAGATGCGAAAGGATTTGCAGGCTGCCTACGAGTTGGCGGCGGAAGGCCATGACCTCGACTACTACAAGGACCTGCTCCAACAGTTCCAGGAGGAACTAGTTGCCAAGGAAGAGGCTAAGAAGTCGAAGAAGTCCAAGGCCGCAGCCGCTGATAGCATGGACATCGACGAAGTCGAGGAAGCGACGCCTGCCAAGAAGTCGAAGAAGCGTAAGGCTGAAGATGAGACTGCCGTAAGTGTCCCAGCGACCTCTGCCTTAGACAGCCATAACGATCCATTTCCGGTCGCGCTAACAAGACTCCTCTAGACCCCTCAACGAAGCGACTCGGTGAAGAAGCCCAAGATTAAGCTCTTGAATTCCGCCGCTAAGGCGTCGAATGGCGGTGCCCCACCTAAGGCCTCCAAAGAACAGGCGGCCCCCAAGCCGTCCAAATCTAAGTCGAAGCCCAGCAAGCCAGCAGAGGAGACCAGGAGGCCTGAGTTGACTCCCGAGGAACGCCACGAGAGGAAGTCGGTAAGGACTATTTAATTCCAGTCTTCCACGTCTCATCCTGTTGTTTCCCATGTCATTTGCTGATACGCCGTCTACAGAAGGAAGTGTTGTATCTTCGACATAAGCTTCAGAAGGGTTTCTTCCCTCGCGACGCGGTGCCCAAGGAAGAGGACATGCAGTTCATGAGCGAATTCTTCACGAGATTGGAGAGGTTTACGGAAATGGACGCGAGCATCCTCCGAGCGACCAGGATTTACAAGGTCCCCCGGGCCATCCTTAGAATGGAATCAATCCCCAGGGAGGAGGAATTCAACTTCAAGTCTCGCTCCCAGGGTCTCCTTGATCAGTGGAATAAGCTTTTGGCTGCCGAGCCAGCACCGGTCGAGGGTGGCTCTAACGGCGTGAACGGGAAGGAAGAGAAGAAGGCAGTTAAGCCCGAGTCTAACGGAGCTGACGAGAAGGCTGAGAAGGCGTCGGCGGATGAGAAGACCGCGACAGAGCCCGTCGAGAAGAAGGAAGACGTTGCTGACACAAAGGGCAGCGAAGCCACCGAGGAGGAGGAGGAGGTAGGCACCTAACCCACCACCCATCCCCCTTACTAGTTTACTTTTCAGTTACTGACTACCTAATTACCATAGACAAAGGCCCCTGCTGCTGTCGAGGCCTCGGCTTAGAAGGAATTCCGTTTACGTATGGTTGAAGTCGAAATACCCGAGGATCTCGACTCATCATTCTTTCATGTGCCGACCGCAACGAGGATAAATGATCGGGATACAGTATCCACGACCTCACGATAAGAAAAACAGAAAAGAAAAATAAACAAAAAGGCATTGGAAGGGCCAGTTAATGATGTCTTGGTCATCAAGGATCCGGGGGCGCGGTCTTTATTTTTGTCGCTTTCAAGTTCGGCCCCGTTCAGGCGTTTGAGGAAACCAAATTGATTTTTGTATTCGAAGGTGCTTTGTGTTCTGGGTCGTTGTGGATTTTGTTTCCTCCCTCCTTTTCCTTTTGATTTTCTCTTTTCTCTTCCCAACATTACACGTCAGTTGTTTTGACGGTCTTTGTTTGACTCTTTTTCATGCTTTGTCAATTCTGATTTCTGTAAATTACAAAAGGGTCGATGGATCTTTCACATACGCGCCTGGGAACGGAGGGAGGCGGATTATTCTATTTGGGGGGGAATGGCGAGGGTACGGGTTTTGACTGTCTGGGCATGTTTGCAAGTGCCAGTGAGCCAGAGCGCGGGTGATTCTGTGCGAAGCTGGCCGAGGCACAAGAGGAAAGTTACTGTCGCTCTTTGCCGACGATGCCAGTGACTTGGCGTTGGAGATAGCCAGGCAGGGCAGGGGTAAAGCTGGCCCTGGAATGCGGGTGCCACGGACAGCAGGCATTCCGGCATGTCGAGGAGAGGTGATCGGACGACTTCGCTTTGCCTGTCCCCCGCGAGCGAGTGGCTGCCTGGTTTCCCACAGAGTATAAAGTCTTGTTCGCTGGTCCGCTTGGTGACGGACTTATGGCAAACAGGAGTACTAGCAGCGAGTTTCTATATATATTCTCACACATTACGAATGATACAAGAAAGAAAATGGTGTTTGATGATTTATCTCCGTCTTAAATATCTTCAAGCTTGCTCGTTTCGTTGTCTTTGTGAGTTTAAAATAATCTCGATATTGGCCGTCATTTGCGCACTGTGTAATTCCCGCGATCCCCATGCATTGAAGGGCAAAAGGTGATTTTCCCACACTGTACGTGTTCCCTTGCTTCTTGCTTCTTGTTGCGCGTCCCAAGCTCCGCATTCAACATCCAGTGTTGGTTTACTCAAGGCTGTTGCGAAGCGCCTCACTCAAGAGCTATAATATTCTTGCTCAAGTTATCTTTTTCTTAATACTCTATAGTCATGTCAGATGTCGAATCCCGTGCAGGTGACCAGGAGGACCACCAGGTAAAACCACCCCCTTGTTAAGCCATACGTCTCAGTCCATCGTTAATGAAAGTGATAGGCCGCTTATGTCTTCGACCCTTATGAAGGAGATTCAAGGCCAGAGAGGCCAGCAAAAAGGCGTCGTACATCCAAAAAGGGCGCGACTCCGAAGGGGAAGGCTGCAGCTGCTGAGACGGCAGTGCAGAAGCGGTCTCATTTTGTGCCACTGCTACAGGGGAAGGAGAAGCCGGAAGCAGTTCAGCGGAGGGAGATATTGTTCCGAGAGACATGGTCTCGTGTCGAGGGTCGCATCAAGGCAAGAACTCCTTTTCTACGTATCCTGTTGAGTTGGGTGGGGTGTGGAAAGACGAACTAACAGGGCTGTTGTGAAGCGCATGTTGAGGGATGCGAATAGTGCTACGCTTGAAGATGTCGGTTCTTTTGTTGAGACAGCCAAGGACAACCGGTAAGTTGCTTTCTCATGACAGTTTCAATGGCTATATTTCTCACGACGGAAGTAGAGGCGACAAGATCTCCTGTGCGTTCGTGGTGACGGGGCCAAACCTCGCATCTCAAGACCTTCTCTTTGAGCAACTTGAAGAGAGTCTCCTTGCGTCTCCGGCGAACAAGTTTGTGAGGCTGAGATCGGCAGATGCGACGAATATGAAAGCTACGTTGAAGAAGATTATCCAGGACATTACGTGCAAGGCATCCGATGAAGAGGACGGGCAGTTGATGATTGGGAAATCCGTGAGTCTTCCCTTCTCCCTCTTTTCCCATGTCAGGTTAGGGCTTTTTTTTAGCAGATAGAGCTGGCTAACATGATTACGGTTCCTCAGAATCGAAAGTATCTAAATTATGACCTAGCGGCCGTCCACGCGCTTATCAAGGCACAAGGCGGCTGCGACCATGTCTTCATCGCCTTTCAGGACAGCGAGGGATTTGATAGTGCGCTCCTATCCGATCTCATTCTCGTTTTCAGGTAAGTTGACGATATCCCGAACCTTCTTGCCGCGGAGTATGATGAGTCTGACAGGACCCAAGCAACTGGCCGCAAATACCCTTCACCCTTCTATTTGGCGTGGCCACCTCTGTAGAACTCCTCCAAGGCCGGCTCCGCAAGTCCGTTTGTGAGCACCTCCATGGAACAGAGTTTGACGTCACACAAGGGACTAGTGTCTTGGAGGATATCATTATCAAGACGGCCGTGACTTCGCTCGATATTCCCCTGCTCGTTGGGGGATCTTTGCTTGAGACCATGATCAACCGGCAGTACGAAAAGGTCTCCGGCGTTCAGGACTTCATTAGTGCACTGAAGGTATGCTTCTACTTCCCCGTCCGACCCCCTGCGGGGCCCTAGTTCACTTCCTAAAGAAATATGTTACTGACCAAGCATACTCATAGTATGCTTATATGTGTCACTACTACGCCAACCCCCTGAGTGCTTTTGAAGGAGTGGAATACTTTGAAAAGTTGGAATGGATTCAGCCAGAACATTACCAAGCGCTTCGATCCTTGCCCTCCTTTGCCAAACATATCGAGAAGCTCCTCGATGCGAACAACAGTCGCTCGCGTGAACAAGTTATAGAGTGGCTTAAAAACGACGATTTTCTCATCGGCGAAGCAAGAGCAGAGCATGGCGTGGGGCACGGCAAGGCCCTATACGCCGTAGATCTTCATCGAGCCGCGTCGTTTTTGGCGGCTCTAGGCTACCATAAAGGGAGATACGCTACGATCATTGTGGAGATATTAAATCGAGGTATTGATCTTACCGATGACCATGAGGCGATCGTTGCACTCCGAAAGATGGAGCCGGATCGTATCATCTCAGCTATGAAGGACATGCGTACTGCACTAAGCCAGAACAACTATGGCGATGTCCCCGCCGATGAAGACTCTAATCTCAGAGATGCGCTCGCCCACGAAGCCCACGCGGATGAGAATGTATGCGACGATTTGACAAGGTGGATTGACCGGTCTGAGAAGCTCCTTGCTGAAGCAAAAGAAGAGGGCCACACCTTACGCAGCAAATATAGTGGCCAAACCAAGATTGTGAGGACAACTGTCGTGGCTCAAAAGGTGCAGCTCAGCCACGATTCAGCAGCTCTCACCGAAGTCGACGAAAAGTTTACCAAAATTGTCGACAACCTTGTCTCGGCCGTCAAGCTCATGGCGAGCATGGCGCCGCCTACACATTCCCCGTTCCACGAGATCTGGTACTACGACTCGAGGATACCCCACAAAGAAGTCTTCACCCCTCGCCTCCGCGCCGTCTTCGAACGCGCCCTCGCGCGACCGCGTGATTATCTAGGCTGCCAATGTTGCGGCGATGGAAGTGACGGTGGCGAGGCCATATCGCCTCTGTCGCCGCCTGCGTCGATCTTGTACCACTTCTACCAAGAGGCTGGAAGCTTGATTAATGTTGCCGATTTACGGACGGCTTTCTTTGGCGTGCTTGCTACGGATGCCGGAGACGATGCGGATGAGAGGGCGGCGTTGGCTTTGTTCTATCAGGGTCTTGCCGAGTTGAAGAGTTTGGGCTTTGTAAAGCCAAGTAAGAAGAAGACGGACCATGTTGCTAAGTTGAAGTGGTTGTGAGGGGGCGACGAGCCGGGACTCGAGGATTTGAGAGTGTCTCAAGAATTGTTGTCTTCTTTGATGGGAGTTGTTTTTTAACTGTTGAGATAGCGATTCGGGTTAATGCCGCGCATTGTTGTTTATGACTGTGTCGGGATGAGTCCATTGTTTGTCTCCTTTCAGTGACTGGAAGGAGATTGCGTTTATTTGACAAGGCAATGTCCATCCCCAGTCCTCCAAAGGATTCTATTCTCTTCTTCTTCTTCCCCAGGGATTCCTCACCATGTATATATGATCCAGCACCACTTTCAGGCCCTTTTATGCAGGTATTCACAGCAAAGCCAGGCCCGTCATCGGGAAACGGCCACTATGACATTCCCTCTGTGGAAGGAGAGAACGGGTTCGGATTTTCTTAGACAAAAGATATGCGTGGGTCATGCCGTAGATGAGAATTCCCATGATTCAAAGAAACAACAATGAGCCACAATAGCTATAAAAAGCCAGACACTCCTGCCGTCTCTATTTCTCAGTTTTCTTGTCTCTCTTCTATGAACCTCATTCAGTTTCAGCTCCTTTGCTGAACCTCACCCTCACATCACTAGACTGGGAGACCAGACTCGGCGAGCGTCTCTTTCTACATTTTACTTCTTTTAGCCTTGACGTCCCGCAACCGCACTGTCGAGGACGGTTCCCGGTCTACGAGGACGAGCGAGCTTCCATATACCCAGACGACATACACATCGCTAATGCGGCCTAATACAGTCCCAAAGATTTCCTGACTTTCCTGACTGTAAGTTCTCCGTCGCTATCTGCATCAGAGAGAATCCCCTGCCAAAGCAGCCTACTAAACAAGATTGGGATAGATCTTCTCTATATTCAACTCCCTCGAACAAGCCAACGCGCACAGCAACAAAAAAAAAAAACCGAACAAAAATACTACTACCATGTCCATCCAATCCATCTACCCCAGCCTCACCACTCGCCGCTCCGCCCTCTCCCCCGCCTTCCGCCTTAAACTCGCCGAGATGGCCCTCCCTCTCTCGCCCCTTGTGCAGGTCACGACGGGCGCCATCCACCCCAGCTTCCCGCGCCTCCTCGTCAACTACTGGCTGCTCACCGAATCCGACCTCGACGAGCTGGCCGCCTTCTACCACCAACGGAACGGCGGCGGCAGTAACGATGATTCCTGGAAGTGGAAGACGGAATATCCCCTCCCCATTCGGTGGGACGACAACGATGGTATCGAGACGAAGAGGAGGAGGTTCGGGAGGTTTATTGGTCTGAGGGGCTGTGAGAGTCCGGGTCCTGGCGTGGAGGCGTGGTCGAGGGTTGAGATTCCTGACGATGAGGTTTTGAAGAAGATGAGGTGGTATTATTGATGGCGATGAGAGAAGGTTATAATATTTGATTTTTCCAGCGATGATGCTTGCAAATAATGACGGGTAGGAGCATATGAGATTGGAGAGTCTTCAATAGGGAATGTACGCTTGATTTGGCGCCGAAAGCAAGGATTTGAGGCCACGATTTCAGTTCAGAAGCGAAATATAAGTCGAACTTTTCTTTTTTTTCCTTCTTTCGACATCCATTCACCCGTACTCAACTGATTTGTATCAAAAGGAAGAGGACCCAAGGAAACTAACAGAAAAGAAACCGAGAACCGGAACGCCCACATAAGAATGCCCGTATATGCTTTGCCCCCATCGCCCACACGAGACAGAAAACAGTCGGCGATATAATTTACAGAAGTGGTGTTGCTCTTTCTCCATCGTCCAATCAAACTAATCCCTCTTCTATGATTTGGAACAGAGAAGCACGCTGAGCATCGGGGACATGAAGAAGCGGCTGTGAAGTGCATCTTGAAGTAATGTAAATTCGAGATCAAGTACGGAGAAGGTAGCGAGTTTATTTCTTGCCCCTCTTCTTCTTCGACGGCGTTCCCGTAGCGGGAGTTGAGTTCCCAGTGGGAGCTTTCGCGGGTGTCGCGGCAGGGGTAGCGGCTGGGGTTGTAGAGGCAGCTGGAGCCTTCGCAGGTGTGGCAGCGGGAGTAGCGGAGGGGGTGCCGGGATCGACGAGGACGGCAGAATCTTCGCTAGAGGGCTTTCCGGTGGAGGACTTTTCCGCTTCCTCGTCGTTCAAGAGCTCGGTCTCAAGGGTGGCCCGACGCTTCTCCCACCATTCCTTCTCGCTGGCAACCTTGCCTTGGATCTCCTCGAGACGCTTCCGGAACTGGACATTAACGGCGATCTCGTTGGCGGACTGGAAGATGAACTGGCCCCAGTTCGGAGCGAGACCGTTGGCCTAGAGAAAACACACGCACAAAATTAGCATCACGCCAGTTGCGAAAATGGCCCCAAAAGGTGCTGTTTTGTTTTCGCGGTTAGACTATACCTCCATGACAACGTCGCGGAGCTCGTTCTCCATCTCCTTCTCGGCGCGCTGGAAGCGTTGCCACAAGTCGTCGCCCACGCTTCCCTTCTGAAGCAGAGACGTGATAGCTTGTTTGGCGGTGCGGATCTGCACAAGGCGGTTGATGTCCTCGACGGCGCGGCGAAGAAGGGCGGCCTTTAGGACGTTATCGGGGATCTTCTTCTCGGACTTCTCGTCGCCGTTTTCGGGTTCCATGTGGAGGAGGGAGAGGTAGATGTTTCGTTGAAGGTGTGGGCCAAACCATGGCTCCAGGTTCGCAGCTTGAGCTATCGATGGCAGCAAAACATTAGTGTCACAGGTTTCAAATCACGGCCACAAACAAGACGATGTTTAAAGGTGCAACTCACTGGCCTTGCGCTTCCGGTATATGCTGGAAAAGGTCATTAGGGAGCCACTGAGGACGATGAGGTAGGCAAAGGGGAGGACCAGGCCCACCCAGTCTATTTCTATGCCAAGCATTTTCGCGACGAATGTGAGATCTTGATGAATTCGAATTCAATTAAAATGGGCGAAAACGAGAAGGGAGAAGAGACAAGGAGGAGAGAATGAATGACAGCTGCTCAAGTGGCAGCGAAAGGGTTAGAACGGATGTTCTCTTTAGGTTTTGATGGTGGTTGTTGGAGTATTACATCAGAAAACGAAAGTCGCGGCCAGCTGTTCTCTTTTGGACCTGGACGAATTAATTTGGTTTTGGACTCGGGAAGACACACTTCACGCTTGACGTTTGCTGGCCTCAACAGGCGGACGGCAAATTCCGATGAACAGGGCAGCATGGGCTTGAGCTGTTCTCCCGATGTTTTAGCGGATATTCACAAGATATTTGTGGCAATGAACAAACAGCTGGATTTTGATTTTGAATGCCACCGCGGGGCCGATGCTGACTGATCAGTGCGACTCCGATTCCGGCAGTGGATTCACTTTGGGGAGTTGTCGGCGTGGTGATTGGCCAATGGCCGTCTTTTCAGCGCCGAAAATCTCGGAGACAGTGATTTCTATTTTCTAAACTTGACCAGAAGCACCGATGCTAGCCTGGTGAGCCTCGTCTTTGCAGGGGAAGTTAAACAAGATGGTCATGCCGAGGTATCCCGAGAGCTGTTGTGAGCATGTCGACTTCAGGGTTGTTGGCATCCGACAATTAATAGTGAAGTCACAGAGCCCGATCAGAGATATAGGAGATATGCAGGCTAGATCAAACGCAAAGGCTTCGCCCACTTGAAGAAACATGTCATTGGACAGGGGAGAATGAATGTCTCGATGACCCTGATTTGCAGAGGTGAGGTTGATGTCTAAATGCAGCCGTTGTACGAAGTAGTGTGCATCTACACAAGAGGAGCGTTCCTCTCTGCACTTGGCAAGAAAATTTTTCTTCTCTACCAGCACCAGCACCTGAACTTGGCGACCAGATTGGCGGTGGGTCATACATTCTCCAATGCCACAGCTCGTCGCCGGGCTGGCCAGCCATGTCGTGGAGCACCATATTACTTACTTCGTACTTCATTGTTTGTACGAAGCAAAGCCCACTACGTTTACTGGATCTCTCCGGTTGCGAGGTGGGTGGCTGTTTGCAGGGTGTTAGTGAGGCAATTTGCACCGCTGGTCGTACTCGCATGAACAGATCCAGGACAATATCAGCTGTATCTGGACACAGATGATACGGTCAGAGAGCATGGATTTTTGTTGAGAGCAGAAGAGCAAGCTCCTACCGACAGAGTAATACCGTGGCACCTGCCAATTGACATTATGACGGAGATGGGTTAGCGGGACAGGGACACCGTCCGTGAACAGGGGGTTCGCATACTGTGTTACTTCAACATTGACTCCAATTTGATGGTGGTAGTTCTGAAGAAGAGTCACAGTTAAGATCAATTGATGAACCCAGGGACGGTCTGCGGTACCTGAAGGACCAGGCGGGCGGCTTGCGCCTGCTTGCAGATAATTGCACGCGGTGCTCTGCGCTGTGCGCTTGTGCTGCTGGCAGGTAGAATTTTACGGGCATGCAGCTAGCGTCTTCAGGGCACTTTTACCCACTAGCTTCGCCTAGCTCCGTCAAATCGTCAGTAGCTGGCTGGCTGAATTAGACACAGTGCTTATCTTATCGGCGCCGTCTCCCACTGGCTCGTTAATTTTTTTTTTTTTTTTCTTCTCCGACATCCACATCCCACCTCCAAAAGAGTCATATCCCAATATCCCATATCCCGCCCATCCTCCCACCGCCCTCGGTCGTCACAACCTTCTCTTCCCCAGACCCTCCCTCTCCCGAGCCGTACTGTCTAGGAAGTTTCAATTGGGACCGACAGACGCTAGATAACCTTCTTTTGCTCCTTCTATCTGCATCTGTCCGCTACTTCCTTTACAGTACGTCGTCGCCATGTCTGGCAGGCTCGCCGGTCAAGCTCCGGCTCTGCTCCGACAAGGCCGACGGATAATACCTTCTCCTACTCCCATTGCTGCTCGCAGCCTCACGTCTAATGTTTTCAACTCCTCTCCTCTCCTCCGACTCCAGAATGGCCGCTCTACCCTCTCCCAGAAGCGCCTCTTTACCTCGACTCGATTGCGAGCGTCCACCGCTGCTGATGCGCAGTCCCCGCCAAACTCCAAGGCCTACCTCGCTAGCGGCGCCGTCAAGCCCTTAGCCCAGGTTAACGTGAAGAAAGTCCTCGTCGTAGGAAGCGGTGGTCTTTCCATTGGCCAAGCTGGAGAGTTCGATTATTCCGGTTCGATCCCCCAATCGTTTTTTCCCCTGCCTCTCTGCTAGGCGGCCGATTGGTCTCAATTCGAGTCACGCGAGCACATCCTGGCAGCATCCAAGCTAACCTCCTGGCTTCGCCCTGTAAATAGGATCTCAAGCTCTCAAAGCTCTGAAGGAAGCAGGCGTTGCCTCGGTACTTATCAACCCTAATATTGCTACTATCCAGACGAATCACACCCTCGCCGATGAGGTGTACTACCTACCGGTTACCCCCGAATACGTGTCCTACGTCATTGAGAGGGAAAAGCCCGATGGTATCTTCCTGTCTTTCGGTGGTCAGACTGCCCTGAACCTTGGTGTTCAGATGCAGCGCCAGGGTCTCTTTGAGAAGTACGGCGTCAAGGTTCTCGGAACCAGTGTCCGAACCCTTGAACTCAGTGAGGATCGTGATCTCTTCGCCAAGGCTCTCGAGGAGATCAACATCCCCATTGCGAAGTCCATCGCCGTCGGAACCGTTGATGAGGCTATCGATGCTGCCCGAAAGGTCGGCTACCCCATTATCGTTCGTGCCGCTTATGCTCTTGGAGGTCTCGGGTCCGGTTTCGCGAACAACGAGGAGGAGCTCCGCAACATGGCTGCCCGCTCCCTCACTCTCTCGCCCCAAATTCTGGTGGAGAAGTCCCTCAAGGGCTGGAAGGAGGTTGAGTACGAGGTTGTTCGCGACGCCAACAACAACTGTATCACCGTCTGCAACATGGAAAACTTCGACCCTCTCGGTATCCACACTGGTGACTCCATTGTTGTGGCACCCAGCCAGACTCTAAGCGACGAGGAGTACCACATGCTCCGAAGTGCTGCTATCAAGATTGTCAGGCATCTCGGTGTTGTTGGAGAGTGCAATGTGCAATATGCTCTTCAGCCTGATGGTCTCGACTACAGGGTTATTGAGGTTAACGCTCGTCTGTCTCGCTCTTCTGCTTTGGCGTCTAAGGCTACCGGATACCCTCTTGCGTACACGGCCGCGAAGATCGGCTTGGGCCATACCCTTCCCGAGCTCCCCAATGCTGTTACTAAGACGACTACTGCCAACTTCGAACCTTCTCTCGACTACATCGTCACCAAGATTCCCCGATGGGATCTTTCCAAGTTCCAACATGTCAAGCGAGATATCGGTAGCGCTATGAAGTCTGTCGGCGAGGTCATGGCTATTGGTCGTACCTTTGAGGAGTCTTTCCAGAAGGCTATCCGCCAGGTTGATCCCAAGTTCCTCGGTTTCCAGGGTGACAAGTTCGAGGATCTTGATGCTGAACTCCAGAACCCTACCGATCGAAGGTGGCTTGCTGTCGGTCAGGCCATGCTTCACGAGAACTACTCGGTCGATAGGGTACATGCGCTTACCAAGATCGACAAGTGGTTCCTGCATAAACTCCAGAACATCGTGAACTGCACCCGGGAACTTCAGCAGGCCGGCAGCCTCGAAGCGGTCAGGGAGGATCAGATGTTGTCCGCCAAGAAGATGGGCTTCTCCGACAAGCAAATTGCCTTGGCCGTCAACAGCACCGAAGACGAAGTCAGGGCATGCCGATTGAGCATGGGTATTCGCCCATGGGTCAAGAAGATTGACACCCTGGCTGCCGAGTTCCCCGCCGATACTAACTACCTGTACACTACCTACAATGCTTCCACTCACGATGTCGAGTTCGAGGACAAGGGTACCGTCATTCTGGGTAGCGGCGTCTACCGTATTGGTAGCTCCGTCGAGTTTGATTGGTGTGCTGTCAGCGCTACCCAGGCGCTTAGGCAGATGGGCCAGAAGACTGTCATGATCAACTATAACCCTGAAACTTACTCAACCGACTTCGACACTGCCGACAGGCTCTACTTCGAGGAGCTTAGCTACGAGCGAGTCATGGACATCTACGAGCTTGAGAACGCTTCCGGCGTCGTCGTCTCCGTTGGTGGACAGCTTCCTCAGAACATCGCTCTTCGACTTCAGGAGACTGGAAAGGCCAACGTTCTCGGTACCGACCCCAAGGATATTGACAAGGCCGAAGATCGTCAGAAGTTCTCTGAGATTCTCGACAGCATCGGCGTTGACCAGCCTGCCTGGAAGGAGCTTACCTCCGTCGAGGCTGCTGAGGCTTTTGCCGACGAGGTTGGCTACCCTGTTCTCGTCCGTCCCAGTTACGTCCTCTCTGGTGCTGCCATGACGGTCATCCGTAGCAAGGAAGATCTCAAGGTCAAGCTCGAAGCCGCAGCCGACGTTTCCCCCGATCACCCAGTTGTCATTACCAAATTTATTGAGGATGCCCAGGAAATTGATGTCGATGCCGTCTCTTCCAAGGGCAAGCTTGTTATTCACGCTGTTTCTGAGCATGTCGAGCAGGCTGGTGTCCACTCTGGTGACGCTACCCTTGTCCTGCCTCCTTCCAAGCTTGACGAGAAGACCATGGACCGAGTCAAGGTTATTGCTGAGAAGGTGGCCAAGGCATGGAACATTACCGGACCCTTCAATATGCAGATCATCAAGGCCGACGATCCTAACGGTGGAGAGGCCGCGCTCAAGGTCATTGAGTGCAATCTCCGTGCTTCTCGATCCTTCCCCTTCGTTAGCAAGGTTCTCGGTGTCAACTTCATCGATGTCGCCACCAAGGCGCTCGTCGGCGAGGACATTCCCAATTACGACAATCTAATGAAGGTCAAGCGCGACTACTTGGCGACCAAGGTTCCCCAATTCTCCTGGACTCGTCTTGCTGGTGCTGACCCCTTCTTGGGCGTCGAAATGGCCAGCACTGGTGAGATTGCTTGCTTCGGAAAGGACCTCGCCGAGGCCTACTGGGCCTCTCTCCAGTCGACTATGAACTTCAGGGTACCCCAGCCCGGCGAGGGTCTCCTCTTCGGCGGTGAGCTTGGGAAGAACTGGCTCACGACCGTCGTCGACTACCTCGCGCCCCTCGGATTCAGGTTCTACGCCGCCGACCACACGGTCAAGGAGTTCCTCGAGTCTTCGGCGAAGAGCAAGATTGATGTTCAAGTTATCGAGTTCCCCACGGAGGACAAGCGAGCCCTCCGTGAGGTGTTCGAGAAGTATGATATCCGCGGTGTCTTCAACCTAGCGCAGGCTCGCGGTAAGACTGTTACGGATGTTGACTACGTCATGCGCCGAAACGCCGTCGACTTCGGCGTCCCTCTGTTCATGGAGCCCAACGTAAGTAGACCTTTAAGGGCCTTTGCCATTACATGTGGATTGTAATTGCTAACATTTACCCCCGCAGACTGCTATGCTATTCGCGCAGTGCATGAGCGAGAAGCTTCCTCGAAATGAGGGTATTCCAAGTGAGGTCCGTCGGTGGTCGGAGTTCATTGGCGGCAAGCCCCTGTAAATTGATTTCTCAGGAAGAGAATATAAAAGTAAATGAGGTCGGATGGGTGGGTTTAAAAGGAAGGAGAATACCATATTAGCCATTTGCTTTTTGCCATTTCTAGTGTTTTTTTTTAAGGATATGCGTTTCCATCTTGGCTTTTGCTTTCTTTCTCTTTTCTTCTTACGCGTAGATCACTCTTCTTTTCATGTTGGTGGTTCTTACGGGTTTGTGTTTATATCATTTATGTTCATGTTGTTCTGGGTTCGTGATCTGCAAAACGGGATGGCGTGTAGGTAAAGCAAAAATGGAAACAGAAAAAAAAGTAGATACCGAGATGAAGGAGAGATTTCGATTCATTTATAAGTGCTCTGTGTATGGAAGCGTTGTACGTGATTCTGATGGTCGACTCGAGTCGACTGACGCAGCGCAACTTAACTTGGAAGCGAGTTGCGATGGGAGAGCCGTTCATCACAATTCTCCTCTCTAATAACTGAGGTCTCACTCTCACTTCAGCTGTCTCAGTCATAATCTTGATAATTTCCATGTTTAGCAAACCGGTCCTCTGACTCCGTGAAACCTTATGAAGCCTCCTGTGATGCGAAGAACAACCACCACACATACGAAACTCAGCCTGGAAACATTCATCCCGGCTCTGCTCGTACCAGATCTCCCGATAAAAAGCTACTTCGGCCAGGGGGATTCGTTCGACCTTCCATCTTTCTGCCATCTGCGCCAGAGCCCTTGGACAAAATCCCAATTTATTTATTCTATAACGACCACGTCCTCATCCTCCGTGCTCCCGCGACTCGAACGAGCCTTCTTCCCAGAAGACTTGTCGTCGTTCAGCCTAACGGCAGACAAACGTTTAGCAAGGGGCGCTTCGACGGTTGGCTCTTTTTTGGGCAGCTGACGGCCCTCGACTGCGCGCGGCTCCTCCCCGCGGCGTCTTTTGGTCACTGAGGCTCCACTCGGAGATGTGTTGTCTTCGGGCCCCCGTGAGCGCTTGGAACGTGGGGTTGGAGAGGGCTCACCAGTCGATTGCAAGATGGCCTTGAGGGTCTGCCAGCCCTCGGTGGACTGCAATTGATATGAATCGGCGAGGTCGTGCTGGGACGCGACTCTGCATAGGAGTGCTTCCTCGTCCTGTCGCGTAGAGATAAGGAAGTAGAACGATCATGGTTAGCAAACCGGCTCCTAATGAGGAACCAAAGGTTTTGATTTCGAAGCCCTTACCTTTGATAGAACACCCATTTGATGGAGGAAGCATAGGAGATGAAAGTTGGAAATGGAAGAAAGGTCCTTGCCACTAGATCGCCTCAGCATTTTTGTGACGGCCGAGTGCTCCTGGCTCTCGCCCACGTATCCGCGATTCTCGATTGGGAACCCAGGCTCCGTGAACACGGGGTTCGGCTCATCGGGGAAACCGTGAGTCAGAGTGACGAAGAGGTATTCGACAGGGAATGCTGGCTTCGCATTCTCTTGTACGTTGGCGCCGTATTCGTTCATCTTTCGGTAAAATACATCCGGAATATACCTAGTCCGCGCGACGGTGGGATCCTCCTCCTCCTCTTGGACAAGCATGACGCCCGGGTCAGCCGACGGCTCGATGATGTCTGCCCTGACCATCTCTACGGCAGAGTTCGACATTTGATAAGCCGAAACGTCGATCTCGCCGCGCTCGTTGCCGGAGATGACGCATGTTACGAACGGAGACCCGAATCGGCCGCTGTGGCTCCATTTCGTCGTCTTCGGATGTTGGGCCTGAAGACGGGAGGAGAAGCAGATTTCAAGGGACGATAGGAAGTAAGAGTCGATATGTCTCTTACATATAACAGACCCGTCCTTGTTACCGGCGTCGAGAAGATCTGTCCAGATCACACCCACTCGTTCTAGCCCGCACAACTTTGCGACCTCGTCGATCTCCTTCTCATTCTCCCACGCCTCTAACGTCAAGCCGTCGCTCTCATCGAGTTGAGGAGGTTCGTATATCGCTTCTACTACCGCCTTGATTCCAAGGGGTACTTTGGTATATTCGGCGTACCGACCGTATAAGAAACCCAGCCTCTGGCTGCCGGATTTTCTCCAGGCATTGATGAAAGAGTCGACAATTTCTGGACTCGAGAACTCGACGTGGTCTACCATTCGGAAGGGTTGGGGCTGTAGCGTAATGGCGCTAGGTTGACACTTGCTGCAAATGCCTTCGGGCCACTGGGGGTGTCCGGAAGGACAGTCTGGTTTGACACGGTAGAAAGGTTCGGAAAGGGGAGGAATGAAGGAGCTCCCGTGCTCGGGCTTGTTCGTCGCCGAATTAATCTTCTTCAGGTACGCGTGGAATGACAAATATTTGATGCCGTTGTCGGCAAGGTAGTTGGGATTAAATGGGTCGAGGGGCATGCAGTAGTCGCACATTCCCTTGGGACCATGTCGGCACATGGCATTGCGCTGTCTTGGGATCTTGCCATCCTTCTTGTCTAATAGGTCATCTAGTGGAGACTGCTTGACAGTGTCCCAAGGGCGAGGGCCCTCCGCTACTGTAACGATATCAGGGTTCGGAAGCGGGACTTCTTCGCTGGGCAGGATCGGTTTACCGTTCAACCTGTATGATGTGGTAGCAGTGGTCGAGTCACCGTTTTGGTCCGTGACAGCAGACGCGGCTCGGTGCTTGTATGTTATGAAGATGAGGTCGCCATGTCTAGTATGCGTCAGTGGACACACACTCTCTTCGTCACGAACAGCATGGCCATGGGCAGGGGCGCGGCGGGAAGGCGCATATTAACATACTTCAAGCCCACCTGTCCTATCTTGAAATTGGCAATATCCTTCAAGTACTTGACGTCGCCGCCAGTCGGTGCGTTGGAGAGGGTAAGGGTCCGCGGATCGACAGTATCGGGTAGCTGGGGGAGGATCTGGCAGCTCAAAGTTAGCAGGGGAGGAGGGATCTTGCAAGCTTCATGTTCGGCTTGACTGGAGGGGGAAGCGGCGGGTTGGACATACTTCTCGACCGAGATCGCCAAAGGTGTCCGTCTTCTCCAGGGACACCCTGATCATGCCATCAGGCCCTCGTACTCGAAGAAGCATGTTGAGCGCGGGCGGCTGGCGAGTGAAGCTTGTTTCAAACGACAGAAGGAGTGGTTGTTTGAGGATGAGTTTTGGGCGTGCAGTGGACAATCTATGGTGGGGTTTCTTCAGGTCCAGTCCGAAGAAGCTGGTTGCAATGGACTAATTAACATGCAGATGGTAGATGCATTGGGCAAGGTTTATGGCACTTCAATGAACCAGGGAGCCAGGGTTGAGGTGATGTTACGGGAAGGGGCAGGGTCGCCACATTATAAAAGGAGCTTTAAGCCGTGACAAAATAAAAGAGGATTCTAGCTACGTAGTCAACCTTGCTCTAAGTTGCCTTCGGTGTTGATGACAATGATCGAAAGTGGTGGAAGTGGATTGCTTTGCTTTAGAGCTTTGAGGGGGGTTACAGATCCAGCTTCTGAGAGGTACTTCTCGAAGTATGCAGGTTACTGATACATTTGATGTCACTGGGTGGTACCTGGCCTTGGCAGTCTGTCCATTGTCCAGGCTGCTACAGCGAAGCGTCATCGAAGTTTTAGTTGTTGCCCACTGAGATTAGTCATTCCCTCGCTTTCAGCATCAGTCCAACACAGTCTCCAGCTTGAACTGGGACCAAAACTACTCCGATATGAAGGCGCCTGGTAATGTAAAATAGCAATCCTCGAGATAGCCCTTCTCTTTTTTTAACCCATATTCAATGCTTGGAACAGCTAGAGTCCAAGTCCATGTACTATTATTGAGGTATTGGCTATGGCGCCACCGCATCAATGTACAAGCAACATAAGCTTTGTCAAACCGTCCCAAGATGAGTGATGCGTCCACCCCATGGCAACTTGGGATTTCTATACGGGATTTTCATCTAAAGAGTAGATAGCGTCTTTTTTTACCCTATTCACTTTTTAAGACTGCCATCGATACGATCATTATATGAGCGCCCCTATGTTCGTATGATCCGTGACGCCACCGCTATCTCCTAATCCCTAGCAACTAACTTCCGCACACCACAACCATGCCCCATCATTAATTCTTGTCCAGCCTGACGGCCGGATTCCTCTTGATGAATCCGAGATCGACCTTGTGGCCGAGCAACTCTCGGATATTCGAGATGCCGTACTTGATCATCGTCGGCCGCTCCAAGCTAAGGCCCCATCCGTATACCCTCATGTCCTTGGGCAAACCCATCGCCTCGAGCATCTCTGGCCGGAACATGCCGCTGTTGCCAATCTCGACAAGCTTGTTCAAGCCCTTGTGGTAGCTGAAGATTTCCATACTAGGCTCGGTGTAAGGGTTGTACGCAGGCTTGAACTTGAGATCAGTAATGCCCATTTTGCCGAAGAAGATCTCCATGAACTCCATAAGGCCGCCAAGAGTAAGACCGTAGTCCGCAATAACACCCTCTACTTGGTGGAACTCGGCAAGATGGGTGGCATCGACGGACTCGTTTCGGAAGACACGGTCGATCGAGAAGTACCGAGCCGGGGGTGGCCTGCCGTCGGGGCCCTTCTCAGACGCGAGCTTTCGCAACACCGCCGCCGAGATAGCCGTAGTATGTGTACGAAGCACTAGGCGGAGGGACTCATCGGCAGACCAGGGGTATCGGTAGCCGATGGAGCCGAACAAGCCATCCTGGTGCACCTCCTTAACATTGTCCCAGTACTTCGCCTCAAACTCGCCATTCTCTTCCGATCGGGGTTGGTCGGCGATCTTGGGGTCCGCAACATAGAAGGTATCCTGGAGATCTCGCGCAGGGTGCTGTTGAGGCACGTAGAGAGCGTCGAAGTTCCAGAAGCCGGACTCGATGTATCGGTTCGTGGGCATCTCTTGGAAACCCATCTCAAAGAAGATCTGTCGGAATTCGTGGCGGACCTTGTTCAGGGGATGCAGAGCGCCTGCGTTCTGATCCGCACCGAGGGCGTTGAAGTTGTATGGCTTGAAGTCGACCGTCTTCCACGCTCCGGACGCGAGCATATCCGCCGTCAGATCCGTTTCCTGCTTGACTACCTCGAGGGCGTATTTTGGTCCCTTCGAGACAGAGAAGCTGATGACTCTCTGGATCTTGATAAGCTTGCGCTTCCTGAGGTCGGCGATGACCTTTGCATCGTGCGTCTGGTTCTTCTTAATGTCTAGGAGTTGTCTTTGCGTAACGTCTTCGATAGATTTCGCCTGTCGAGCCAGGGTGTGTTAGATCAAGCACCAGCGAGGAGGAGGAAGAAGAACAAAAAAAAAAAAATCGTCACTTGGTGGGGTAGAGATAACAGCATGGTGGGGTTGAGGTTGGGAAAGTGCGTACTGTCGCGACAAGCTTGCCATCCTTGGTCTTTGAAATCCACTTCTCCTTGAAAGCCTTGCCCTGGCCAAGCTTCGTCACCGTCTTGTCGCCAATGGCCTTCTCTAGCTCAGGGATGCTTAGCCCCTCCATGGCGGAGCGGAGCGCCTCGAAAACCCTCGCCTCGTGACTGCCATGGGCTGCGATCTGCTCTCCCTCGGGTTCCAAAAGTGCTAGTTCCTTTTCTAAAGGCTTGTATGTGATCATGGACTTGGAGTTCAGGCTATCAACGGCGGCCTTGACCTCGGCGAAGGGAACCTCCGGAAAGGCCTCGGAGGTGAGTACCGGCTCGCTTGTCGATAGTGCATAGAGTATTCTGGACGGAAGGTCCGCAGAAGGACCATTGTCGGCTGTGGCCATGGCTGTGGGTGGTTTGGGAGTAAGCGCGAGAATGGGGTTTAACGAGTCAAGTTTTGCAATTGACTTGGGGATGTCGAGCAGCATGGAAGTATATTTCGTAGAGCGAGCCCACCTTAGGACGATCCCGATGACTCGACTTTGGCTGGAATAATTCTTAGCCCAGGTCTTAATGTGCACAGTGTTTCATCCTAGGCCCCTGGAGCTGGTGTCCCAGCCACGGCAACCCCTCCAAACCCCCGCCAAAGATCAAGCCACTGCCGCAAATTGTCTGTTTCACTCAAGCCGCCATCAGCTACAAACACACGTGATTAACACCTGAACTTGAAACTTTACACTGTGCCTTCTGTCTGCAATGCAGCGTCACTTGATAGTACATATCCCACCACCTGGCAAACATGGTTACAGTGATCAAATGCCATCACTGAGGAGTCCAGGTGAGCAACGACATCTTAATAACCACCGAGGTGTTGTTTAATGACGGTCATAATTCCTAATTTATTTTCTCTTTCCCCCATCTCGAGACACAACATACAGAGAATACAAATGTGTACTACTAGCGAGTCTTTCTGACGATCAATACCTTATCATTCCTCCTCTCTACTAGCACCTCGAACATGTCCAGAGCTGCGCATCGCTCCCGTCTCTGAAGCTATTCCCGATTTCAAATGAGGCCATGAACCATGACTCCATGCCGACGCCGGCACCTCCGGTGTCGCAGTCGCGAAACGACAACGAAAGCCACAATGACAACCACCACGCCAGCGACTCAGAACCCCAGAGCGACGATCAACGCAGTTATGCCGAGACCTCCCGATCCCGTCGCCGCCGTCGGCGGACCAGAAGGTCGGGCTCGGCCCTATCCAAGAAGCTCGAGTTTATAACACACCTCCTCACGAGCCTAGACAGCTTGTTCTTCCTCGAGATCGGAACCTTGTATTACCTAGAGTGAGTGGCTCCCGGCTGGTATCCCCAGATGGCCACTGGTCGCTAACGGGAGGATTCTGTGACCACAGATGTTCATTTCTTCGTTTCCTCCTCCGCGCCCTCTCCCACTACGCCTTCCTAACTCCAAAGCCTGAATCGTTTCCGATCGCGTTGCCGGCTTATCCTGCGCATGTATTCTCGATTCTTTTCCCAAACGTCGTGTGCATACTCTGCCACATCTTCATGACCCTGCCTAAAGGAACCGAGGCCTCACGTGGGTTCCTTCATGGTGGCATCGTGATTGATTTCATAGGGCAAACGCCCCCAAGGTCAAGGCTAATACTTCTCGCCTTCGACGCGTTTATTCTGGCGATACAATCCCTGATGCTAGCTGTTCACTCTCAGCGAGAGGCTCTGAGGGGCGCCGTAAAGCCCAACCGCGGAAGCATTGACTTCCTCCCGGAACTACGCCGGCAGCTTCGGCTGCAGACCCTAGATGGAGAAGAACGGCGGGAACGCCGGAGGCGACGGAGGCGACGGCGACGAGAAAGGAGAGATTCGAATGCGAATACTCCTTACCAGGACGTAGAAATGGGTGCTGTGCTAGACAATATGGAAGAGACCAATTACACGGATGAGGATGATGAGACGACTAGCCTCATCTCGGAACCTGCGATGTCTTCTAATTCTGGCCGGCAGCTGTCTGAAATATATGCATCTGGAACTGCTATGATAGGCGAGTTTCACCTCTTGCAGAGCATACGCCTGGCAAGTACAGATTATAGCGCCGCCGCTGCTCACTCTATCAGGACGCTGGGCTACACGGCGTCTCTCGCCACGCTGCTGGCGCGAGAAAGAAATGCAAGAACAACTGGGCGCTAGGTATAGACGGGGACAGGACCTGGACATAAACCATTGCGTCTTTCTCGGGCGCACTTTGCTATTTTGCCTGAATTATTTGATCTCACACAACTCCCTAAACTTGCGCCCCGATTTCTCCCAAGTGGTATATTATGCGCTCACGCGACCTTCCGCCCGACATTGCCCACACCCGACCCTTTCACTGAGACTATTATATCATCGGTATCGTCATCATCCACGTCCCTCAATCCCCAAGTGCTAGCACCAAATGTCTTCAAATCTCGCGCCAATCCAACGACCTCCTCGGTTCCCAAGACGTTCCTACTAATACGTAACCGGCCAACATCTTCCGAACCCATTGCCATTAAAGTCAATACCGTGCTCGCAGACACTGTAGTAACACACCCCCCTTGCGCTATAATCTCTAATAGCTGGTACGCACACCTCTTGCCTATGTCTTCTGGGACGACACCACCCGATGCCGGGGCTGGCACGTCGGCGGAATAGATGACGCCGGGTGACGAGGACTCAGCGACCAAGCTGAGACCGAAACCGATACCCTTCCGCCTCTTGCCCGTCGACTTGCCTCCGATGTCGACTAAGGGAGCTTGATCGTATTGCGCCGCGATATGAATGTCGGGGACAAGAGGGTTTAGAATCTCCCTCGCTGCGTGGATCATGCGCGCGTTGTTCGACGCAGACACACCTGTGCTGTAGGCAACACCGCGCACTCGCCTTACTCGACCGGCATTCCGGTTCAGGTGTAGCGTCTTTGGTAACCTAACCTGGCTTTCGAATCGCAGTTCCACAACACCGCCACCACCCTTACCGCCGGGGCCGGGGCAGGACCTATTCAGCACTCGCAGCTCTATCCTCGCCGGGGGGATTCCGAACAGCCCAAAGAGGGGCAGGATTGCCGTCCTGAATGTATCGACCGAGATATCGCCCGTCTCAGTCGCCGACGTAATGACACCAGGTCCAGTAAACCGCACGTTCATATGCGTCTTCGCGAATGGTGCCAGCAAGCAGATCGGTAGCAGGAAATACGTCACGCCCCGCGTGCACGAATCCGGAAGCGCGTGCTCGATGACGCCGCCTTCGCCCGCGCCGAAGCCCTCTTTCGAACCCGTTATTAGACCCGGGTGGAATGTCATCGTGGCACCCGTGTAGGACACTTGCATGGTGCTGCCGTTCGTGACGGCCTCGAGGAGGCGGAGGAAGGAGATTTCATGGGGAGCGAGACCGGGGTTGGTGGGTGAGGTGCTTCGAATTTTGGAGATGTGGACGGGCCTGCCCGTTAGGGTGGCTAGGACAAGGCGTTGGGTGAAGGAACGGTGGCCGGTGAACCGGAGGTAGTCTGTCGTGGAGGCCATCTTGGATGACCTGGATCCTGGTGCTATGCTAGAGATGCCGGTTGCTGAAGTGGTGTACCACTGAGGAAGGTTGAACTTTTTTTTTTTTCTTGGAAAAACTATTTTCTGCCAGATTCACAGAGTCTATGCGCCGTAAATAGAAGGCGGTGTGATCGACCCGCCTGCTGCTTATCTTATCAGTCGAGAGGTGCTAAAATTTCATCACTGCAACTCTGCAAGTTCAACACGCGGTGTTAAACGCATTTTACACGGACCTTCATTCACGCCAGCAACTTCAAAACGGAGAAGAGACTTCGACATTCTCGAAAGCGCCACGATCCCTTCCTTTTTCTTCCCCTTCCTTTTCTCATTTTTTTTTTCGGTGTGTCCTCTTTCTTGCACATAGACTGGATGTAGTGCGTCTCCTATTCGAACCTCCTTCTCCCGATGTCTTCCCGGGCGATTCAGAGCTTGCGGCACACCCCGAGATTCGTCTGCTCGCAATGCCTCCTGATAGCACGCAAACCGACATCCCCGGCCGCTCTCCGACCCCCTCATCTACTATCGCAGCCCTCTAGAAGATGGAAGAGCCAGCTGAAACGGCCGCCCGAGGTCGCCACGACGACAACCCCTTCAAAGAAGTCGGCGGACCGAGACTTTCCCGAGAGCATTGAGGAAGCGCAAAAATTGTTGAATATTCGGTACTTCGAACAGGACGCCGATGGCCAGCGGCAGGAGTTCCAGAATCCCGACGAGTTCGCGCGAGCACTTGATGGGACGGAGCAATTCCAGAAAGATCTAGAGAATGACCTCGCGAGCATCATGGACATCGTGGAGGGGAAGAATACGAACGAGCGATTTCGAGCGCAATTAGAAAAGGAACTCCTCAAAGCCGTTGACGAATCGAACAAACGCATTGCCGAAGGTACGGCCGGGGGACAAGCCTTGACGGGCAGCATCGAGAGCCCGGAGATAAACGAGAAATTGTTCAGGAAGGAAGCTCAGCGCAGGTTGATCCGAAAGTTGAACAGCTCCCTAGAGCGTGCGGAAAAGGCCAATCGCCGCGAGAATGCGGCCTCCAAGAGGACGCTGGTCCCCCTTTGGAAAGCCTATGTGGCGGCACGACAGACGTTGGCGCTGAGCTGGGACGCCACCCCTCGTCCGGTGTGGGATGTGTTATGGAAACTCTTCGCCGTCGAGGATCCCGTCGGAAACCCGAACCGACTGTCTCACATTGCTGCCCTTGCGAAGGATATGAGCGCGGCGGGGGTAGACTTGTCCCCTTCCCAGCAAGTCTTGACGATTGAGTCGCTCTTTGTTGACAACTGGGAAAGCGATGCCATCAAGAACTGGAAGCGGTGTCTTCCTACTCTTGGCGCTGAGGATTCTAGTTCTTTCCAGCAGTTCTGGGAGTTGGGTGCCCGCATGTTTTGTCAAGTTGGCGACATGGAACAGGCCAATCGCGCGGTTGAGAAGCTTCTCAACCAAAAGTCCGATCCACGAATTCTCATGACGCTGATCCGCACATATTCACAGATGGGGACCGAGGAAGCCCACGCTCAAGCCTGGGAGATGTACCAGCGACTTCGAACTCTCTTGGGCAAGGACATGAAGCTGGAAGACTATGATCAGGTCATCTCCTATTTCTTGGCCGCGAACCAGATCGAGAGTGCGCTGCATGCCTTCGTCGATATGATGACATCAGGCACGACGGTTCTCAAGAAGCACAAGCGTCTGCCACCGACAATTGGCAACAAGTTCTTCTTTGGGAAGTGGCTCAAACGACTCATCGGCGCTGGAGAGCTGGACGGCGCTCACAGCGTCATCAAGTTCATGTTGACAAAACACGTTCAACCGGCCCCGATCCACGTCAACGGTCTTATTGGTGCGTGGCAGCGGGCCGGTGGAGAAAAGGATCTAGAAAAGGCCAATACGGTGGCCTGGAAGATGATCGAGTCCCGACTTCAATTCGTACGAGAAAGGCGGGGCGAGAAGACGCCAACGGAGCAGGCGCGTTCCTCGTCCACTTCTTACCCTCGGGCAACCTTGGAAACATTCTCGTTGATGGCTGAGAACTACCGTCTGCGGCAGCAACATGAGCCGTTAAAGCATCTCTGGCAGGCCTTCAACGAGGCAGAAATTAGCCATGATGCGTTCATGATGAACCAGCTTCTCGAATCCCACCTCCAATACGGACAGATAGCCGAGGGTGCGGAGCTTTACAAATCTCTCGTCTCAGAGGGTCGCATCAAGCCCAATCCCCACACGTTCATGGTTCTCTGGAAGATGCTCAACATCAACCGCATCCACGTCCCTCAAGACCAATACTACGACGAAATGGAAAACGCGCGAAACACCTTCCGCGAAATGATGAAGTTTGTCGACGTGTTCAGGGAACCCATGGACGGCCAGCTCGCGCGCAAGATCCTCCACACCTTCCGCCGCCTGCACGACAGCCACGGGTTCCTCGTGGCCCTCACATCCCTTCGAAACACGTTCGGCTTCCTGCCGCCCGAGCTGCTCGTACTCGAGCTCGTGCTGGGCACCACGAACTTGGCGTGGGATACGCCTCGCGCGAGGCACAGGCTGCGCACGGAGAAGAAGCGCATGGATCTCGATATCCTGCAGAGGAGGATGGCGCTGGGTAGGTCTTCGGGGCCCGCTGGCGATTTGGAGGAGATGACGGTCGAGGAGAGGGGCGAGGAGCTGTACGAATACTTGGTGAGGGTCTATACGCCGGTGAGGTCGGCGGAGGAGAAGGAGTTCATTGATGATACCCGGCTTTTGGAGGAGGCCGCGGAACAGATGGGCGTGTTCGAAGGTGGCGTATCGGACGAATAACTGATCCGATCTTTATAATGTACTACTACTATTCTTTACTACTCTGTCATGCATAGAAGGGGATATCGGGTTATCTAGATTTGATTCGGGCGGCGGGCATATATAAAAGCACTCCACGTAAAAAGGATAATATTACACTCAGCTTCGACTTCCAATCTCGTCCACATGACATTTCTTAAAAGACTGGTGAAAAGAGAGAACTTGAAATTTTCAGTATCATTGCGGAGTAGCCAGCTCGCTTCTACTTCATGCCTAAATAGCTGCTACATCAATAAATTAAGAAAGAAAGAGATGTAACTAAATAGAAAAAACCACCTGCCGGTATCGGTATCGACCCTAGAACGCCATCGCTATGCAGATTTACAATCACCCCATAAGCTCGAGCCCTCGCTCGACTCCCACAGGAGTGACACCATCATGAGAGTTCCATTTCCACGTCCGCTATCCTGTCGCCCACCGAGCTAAGAACTGAGCTTGGTGTGCCGGGCTCCGGCTCTCCCTCGCGAGCGTTCGACTCGTCGGATTCATCGCCAGATGAGCCCCTAACTGAACGTTCCCAAGACTCGATGCTCGTGAGCACCTCGGCGCCTTCCACTAGAATGTCGCCCTGGTCGTTCCCCTTGCCGAGAATGGTGGAGTGGTATTTCGAGTCCTCGCCCGTCTTGCTATGTTTCTTTTTTAGAGCTAATTCGAGAAAAATATCCCGTCAGTACAACAATGCGCCGCAATCCTCATTGAAGAAAATCATATGAGGAAAGGAAAAAAAACGAACCGGAAAGATAATCCGTCGCATCAGGGTCGCCATCCACGGCAGCATAGTCTTTAATAAGCTTATTCCTAGGTCCCGAGAACCACGCCAAGAACTCATCCATGCCCCGCGTATCCTCGACGCCAACGTACTCCTGGTCCGTGAGGACACGCTCGGGTAATAAGGCGGCTACGTCTTGTAGCGCCATGCGCAAGTCGACGACGGAGGGGAGCTCGGCGTGTTCGTTGTCCGCAGCGTGGTTGGCCGTCTTCTCGGCGAGCATGTAGAGGTATCGCGCGGCAAGGTCGGTGAAGGTGTCGAGGACGGCGGGTCTGCAGGCGTAGTATCCCGTCGCTCGGAGGATTTGGAGGACGACAGGGCGGAGGAGGGCGTGGTAGAAAGCGGGTGGCGAGGCCATTTTGGTGGACTTGAGGGAGAAAAAATGTAGCTCGATGGTGGGAGAGGTGAGTGAGGGATCGCGAGCGAAGTCGACCGGATTGAAACAGGGCAATGGTCGTTTTAAGTTTGGAGGAGGGAGGATCGGGTTTCGCAGTGGCACGTGGAACTGAAGGCTAGGGTGCGCGGGGGAGTGCAAAAGGCAGCTCCTGAAGCTTCCAAATAATCGAGAGCGAGTCGTCGGAGCTAGCTGTCGGCAGGTTTCGAGACGCCGTTTTCATGGAGATAAAGTCACAAATAGGTACCGACCATCTTGTTGGCATGGAGTCTCGCCGATGGGGATTCAAGATGGATGCGCGCGGACTCGTCGCGTCGTGAAAGAGCTTTGACGATGGGATGTCAAAGAATTGATTTAGCTTCGTGGATAAGTCGATAACCAATCAACCCCCCAAAAGAGCAAAGAGCAAAGAGCAATGAGCCCAGCAGCCTCATTCCTCCACGCTTCGTCACGTGAACAATGATGAGCCCCACGCTCAATTTTAGTGCAACTTCAGTCGATCAGGGCGCCTAGCGCGGAAATTCTCAAGCTGCAAGCGACGTCAATGACCTGCTCAATGGTTGGGGGAGAGGGGCGGATAAGCGCGCAGCGAGGTGAATGTGGCATTGAATGTGTCTCAGGTTGGGCCCTCCTAGATCCTCTACTACATTATGGGAAATTGATGGGCGTATTTCGTACATGTTGTCTCGAAGTATAGGATCGCCTTGATGCACCAATTGATCAACGTACTATTGATACAAGGAATAATTACTTCGTACACTACTGCAACGTTTTTGGACTCGCAACACATCTCCTGAAGGAGCCTCCCTTGTCCTTGTTGGTGGATTGTATGAAGTACTTTGTAGAAATATCAAGATCGGCAACTTCATTGTGAAGTGAATTACGAAGTAATTAATTTGCAGGTACAAAGGTACATGGACCGGCCTTCGAGTTGTTTCACGCATTCCAGGGGCAAGACTTAGTCCCTTTGGCATTGTGGCCCAAAGAGGGGACCAAATCGATCAATCAATGCATTTGGACCTAAAGTTTGAGGCATCAACACCCTGGACCTCTCCCTTACGTTCACTGGCAGATGATTTGCACAATTCGAGGTCTTCATGAGCCTTTGAGGAACTTTGGAGTATTTTTCCAGAGAAGGACGCACATGGTCTCCACGCCTCGAAGGGTTTATGCCAAATATTGGGAAGCTGTCTCCTGTTGGAAGCAGGTCGGCCCAGATGTATCACGTCTTCTGCCCGCTCTGCGGAGTTGTGCTCTCTCATTACTCTAACGAGAATGGCCCTATGCCCCCAATCGAAAAGCTGCCATGGAACTTTGAAGTCCGCGCGGGTATGTAGCTAAAACTCTAGGTGCCAAGTCTTGGTCCTGTCACTCACTACGAAATCTAGTTCTCACTCCTGGGAGTGGTCAACTCCCGACTTTGTCTGGAGTTGGTATAATCGAAGAGACTCGCTTTCAAGCTAGTTCTGACCCTTCGATCTCTTACATCGAGAATCCGGACTCTCTCGAGACACATGAGGTCCCCCCGCCCTCTCGGGCATTATCTTCAATTTTCTTTCATGATGTTTGTTGGCGTCTTCTACTCGCCCGCCTTTCTGGTGATACTAGGGCCGGAACATGCCAGCTTGATCCGCTCCATGTTGGTCGCCATCTCCTCTACCTTCTGCATTGCTTTCCTCATGATTGCTACGGCGGACTGCTCACTCGCCATGATTATGGCGGCGCATCACAGTTCCGTAAAAGCTACCTCTACGCTAGAGGTGGCTATGAGAGGAGTCTCCCTGATGAGTGGCAGTTTCTCCTAGCCGATCCCATGGTGGATATAACTGGCATTACCGACATGTCTTCTACCATGTTATTGAATTCATATCAATCAAGGAAAGACCTTCAGCAGATTTCAGCTGAGGATCCCTTTGGATATCTTCCTGCGGAAATCCTCGATATACTCTTTATAAAGCTGACATCTACTGACCTCTGCAGTCTTCGTCTCGCATCTAGAGTGGTTGCTGGTGCCTCATCCCCGGCATGGCTTTCCCAGGCTTTCTGGAGGAGCCGGTTTTCTGTTCATCATGAGATGGGTTTCTTCCTCGGCGGCCAACGCCAATCTATATCTCGCATAAGCATAGATTGGCATAGGCTGTACGCATTTCTTCAAGAATCCCTCGCGGGCAATAACAATAACTCTACTTTCTGTGGGTTGCTGAATAAGAGACGCATCTGGAACGGCTTATCTAGTTTATGTGCATCGCTACGTCCTCTTCTAGAGGCCTCGACCTGCGGAATTCCGACTCCTTTAGAAGTTCCTTTCCCAGAAGGCTATCAAAGGGGCGCCTTCATACGAAGCCATACGCCCCCCACACCTTTCCGTCAAAATCATGTCGTCCTCCTACCTAGTTGGCCGCTTCGTCTATCTATATCTTTCATCAACTTCAACTGTAGACGCTACGTTTCTGGAATCAGCCTGCGGGGTCATGACGGCCGAGACTGGCGGATACCACAGTTTGGCCAGGCAGGCCTTGTTATCCCAACAGCAGAGGAACATCTTGACTTATCGTCGCCGGAAGCTATTAAGTCTATTAAGATATACAGTATCGATGATGGAATAGTGGGAATCGAGTTTCACAAAGAAGCCCGCGGGCTGAAACCTGGACTAGTCGGCAGTGCATCCAATCCAGATACCGCTGTTGCCGAGCTGGTTCCCGGCGTATCAGGGGGTGTCCGGGGCTTCACCCTTACTTTCGATGTATGGACTTATTCCCTCTTTCCTCTGTATGCCTATACACTTACTTATCTAACTAGGCGTGCAAATGCATTTCTTTTGGGCTCATTGAGTCTTCCGTTGAGAGCCCTAGTGTGAAGTCCGTCGATAATATATCAAAAGACTCGGCGGTCCCACAAAGGGAAGAAATCCTGTGGAAACCAGAGCCCCCCTTCGATAGCCGTATTGAATTAAGTTATCCATCTGGTAAGCCCAGCCGACCGACTGCAGATGGCTCGGTTGTTCGTCTAAATATGGACTTTGGTGGGCCAATGGGCAACAGGCTAGCCCAGCTCAATCGGCTAGTTGCTGTGTTTAGCCCATTCACTCATCTGCCTGTTGGTTTTGGGTTTATCTACGACGATGGCAAAGACGTTTTCTATGGCTCAAGAAGCATTACCAACACCATCGATTCCCAGAGGCCTTGTGTGGAGATGTCGTTCTCTATAAAGGGTAGGCTTGGTGAGCGTATAACTGAGATACAAGGTCTGAGCTGGGTCTTGAGGGGGGAATATAGTCTTAGAGGTTTCAAGGTAAGGGCGTGTCTCCCGTCTCCGTAACCTGTCAATTGGTCTTACCTTATTTTTAGTTTACAACAAATTCCGGATCACAATGTTCTTTCGCTACCCCATCTCGGCACATTGATTATCTGCCCTCGGAGTTTCAGGCATTTACAACCTTCCAGTTTACTCCGGATAAACCTGTAGTTGGCCTCGTGGCAGAGATCAAGGTAATAGGACTTTCAAGTATTTTATCGCTACTGTAGGCTAGAAGGCTTTTAATGCTAACCCTAACCTTGCGTATTCAGGGTTTTGATAGGGAATTAACAGCAATAGGGGTACACAGTTCACAAGCGCCCGCGACTTTAGCTATAGCTACAGCCCCGGTTTCTCCATCACCACCCCCCACGAGCCCCATCTTAAAGGAGCACTTAGAAATCGCTTCTTACATGGCTCATGCTGGTACCTGCTTTACCAGTGCTACAATTCAAGACATCCGATATATCAAGTTTTCCTCGGGGGCTCCAAACTGTTCACGCCCCCCTGACTCTCTATCAGGCCTCTTCCTCCAGTATGCGAATCCGCTACAGGATACATATATTGGGCAGTGGTTTAAGGAGGTAGACTCCTTGGATATTGAAGACGGGAATTATATTATCCATATCAGGGTATGGTATACCCAAGCCCTAGCTAATAGAGACCTCCCAAGAAGTACCTCGCATGAGAACGTTGGGCAGGTCAGGGGAATCGAGATCTCGACTTTTAGGGGCTTGACAAAACGGGTTCTTTGCAGTGAGATAGACTCTACACTTGATCTTGAATATTATACGAACCCCTTGGAGCAACTCGTAGGTTCTAGCCTTACTTATCATATCTAATATGGTAGAAACGCTAAAACAGGCGCTGGGGTAGGATGGCATGATATGGAGCTTCACGCATGATTGGGACAACCTACAAGTTTCACGACGACCAAGTAAAGGCAGTCCCCACATTACTAGCCTCATCTTTGATGATGCATCATATTTGAACGCGCGAGCGAAACATGATTTCCGACGGTTTCTGTGGACGGATTTTGACCGCTGGGGCGATGAAGTATCATTATCATCCATTGATGTGTTTTTCAACGAGACCCATTTAACAGGTCTAAGATTCCTTTACGGACCTAATACGGAGAGGCATATCGGCTTGTGTGAGGGTGAGAGGACACGCCTTGACTTACAAGCAGGCGCAGGCGAGGTTATCGTGGGGATGGACGTGCACCTCAGTTCAAGCCCTGTTTTTCTCACGGTATGCGTTTCCACAACGACATGAACCCCAACTTCAGCCCAACCTGCTTTGCATTTTCAACGACCTTTCCAGTCTACTAATTAGTTGTGTAGCTCCGCACAAACCTTGGTAGGAGCGTGAGCATGTCCCATTCTCTCACCGAGTTGACGGGAATAGAGGGAACAAACCCGGCGACGCATATCCTGCCATCTTCTCCGAACGTCGTGGAGACACAGGTTATAATGGACCAACGCCAAGGCGCCGGAGGCAGCTCCAGTACACAATCGCCACCAGGTAACGGGGCCTGCTGTGGTATCTGGGCACGGTGTCTCACAGGTGTCCCATATGCGCTGTATTATCTTGGGCATATGGGGCTAATATTCGCGCGAGACGACCCCAAAACAACATGTCCATGATGGAGTGAGATCTTGGGAGAGAATTCTTTGGTGCTCTAGGCGTTCTATCTGCCTAGCCCAACCAACGCCAGTAGCTCGTGCCGACGTTGATGTCCGCACTCAGCCTTTAAATGCTTTCCATTCCGGCCTCGGGGCCGTGTTTATAAATGACCGGCAGTCCCAAGAGTTTCTGTGGTCTTGGTCTTTTTTTTCTACTTCTAAAGAAGGGGGGGGGGTGTTCACTTCAGTCTGAAGTTTAATAATAGGTCGATGGAATTCCACTTCACATTTTTTTTTTTTACTTTTAAGAAAATAAAAAGAAGAAATAATTCCCTTGTTTTATTTCTCTCTCTGTGTATGTGTTTAACATTCTCCATCATTCCTTTCAGCTCAACTCGCACTCAGGCGCATGCGATTGCCAGCAAATGCAGAACGAAGCCGGCAATCACTTGACTCTCCCGCGAAGCGAGGGTATGTGAGTGTGTGAGAGAGAGAAAAGAGAGAGAGAGAGAGAGAGAGAGAGAGAGAGAGAGAGGAATGGGAATCGAAGCTAGTTTTCGGGTTACACCCTCGCGAACAAGTTTTAGACGAGAAGTGTAAGTGGTGTAAGTGCCGAAGTACAACAATGGAGTTTTCAGTCTTACCAATTCTTCTGCCTGAGGCAGCGTGCGGGGGGTGTGTCGTCGGTCGTCGGTCGTCGTCGGCTTGGGATTGGGGGCTAAAAACATCATCTCCACATTCCCCAATGTCAATGGATCAATGGGTGGGGGATCGATTGCCAGGCTCAACTCGGCATGGGGAAAATGGTGGCTTGTAATGTGGCAACGGGACAGACATGTCCTGTCCATGTCAGATCCTGCCTAACCGAAGCTGCACGCACGTTGTAACAGTGAACATCAATAATTTTACAAATAGTCCGCAATACCCTGGATTTATTATGAGGTAGCTCAGCGCTACGTACGAAGGTACAGGGTGGTAAATTTGCGATGCAGCGTAGCACAGAGTGCATCAGCAAGGTCGAACAATTGGACCCATTTGACGTCCATTGCCTCAATTGGGAATTCCTTCGCAGTGGAGTGGGGGAGCAATTGATCCGCGGGGATGTTCTCTCAGTCTCCTTCAAGCAACCACACCAAACGAGTGCACCCATCTCCAATTGTCCCTGCGCTACTACACTCCACTGCTTCGTTCTCCACCAATACCCTGGTACAGAAGAATCTCCCAATGATGTTAAGAGTACCAATCCAGTGTGTCTTTTAACCTCGGCGCCCCACTGGTGGTGGGTGCCTCGAGTGGGGTAAAGAACCGCCTGAACAGCCCTGGAACCACAGTGTTGCCCAGTATCAGACTGCAGCACACAGATCAATTGACCCAATTAACCTCCGAATCTCGGTATCTGGCGGCTGTGTGGCAGGTCTGCCCCGGCATCAGTCGGCAAAGGAATTGGCCTAGTCTCTTCCCAGCTTCCCCGGAAATGGGGAGATGCTCAACGACATAGAATGGCGGAGATGCTATTTATCTCTGCAAGTTCCTCCCTCTCTTTCCCTTTTCGCAGTTTTTTTTTTGTACGGTGTGATGCAGTGGTGCCCAATTCTGTGATTCGTCTCTTCTTGCCCACGAGACCAGCTAGTTCCCTGTCCCTGTCCCTGTCCCTCCCCCCAGAGAGCAAGTCCTGAGCTCCCACTCCTTGCCCAGCCACCCCCGTTTGCCTTTTGTATTAATACCCCGGAGAGAGAGAGACACCATGCGCCGCTTCTCCGTCCGAAACCTCCAACGCGGCGTCCGCTGCCAATCCACCCTTCTTCCCGGAAGATCGCCACTCTGCGCCGCCTCCGCCATGAGCCCCTCTTCCTCCTCCGCCGCCCAGGCGTCCCTCGCCGTCCGCCGACTCCACGCCACGGCGAAGCACCTCCAGATCCCCGCCCACCTCGACTCCACACCGACCAGCTACATCAAGACCCACGACAAGATCGAGAAGCCCGAGGACACTCCTTACTTCATTGACAATGAGTTCAAGGCCTCCGCCACCACCGAGTTCATCGACCTCCACGACCCCGCCACCAACAACCTCATCACCCGCGTCCCCCAGATGACCGATGCCGAGCTCAAGGCCGCCGTCGCCAGCGCCGAGAAGGCTTTCCCGGCCTGGAAGGCCACTAGCGTCCTCGCCCGCCAGCAGATCATGTTCAAGTTCGTCGCCTTGATCCGCGAGAACTGGGACAGGATCGCCGCCAGCATCACCCTCGAGCAGGGCAAGACTTTCCCTGATGCCAAGGGTGATGTTCTCAGGGGTCTCCAGGTTGCTGAGGCAGCGTGCTCGGCCCCCGAGCTCCTGAAGGGCGAGGTTCTTGAGGTTGCCAAGGACATGGAGACGAGGACGTATCGTGAGCCATTGGGTGTCGTTGCCGCCATCTGCCCCTTCAGTACGTGATTATCTCCCTTTGGTCCATATGCATTTCAAGTATTATATTGGTTATTCAGTGTGCTAATTACATTTCTTTTTTACTTCTAGACTTCCCCGCTATGATTCCTCTATGGTGTATCCCTATTGCCACAGTCACCGGCAACACCCTCATCCTCAAGCCCTCCGAGCGTGATCCCGGCGCCGCCATGATCCTCGCCGAGCTCGTCGCCAAGGCCGGCTTCCCCCCCGGTGTCGTTAACATCATCCACGGCGCCCACCGCGCCGTCAACTTCATCCTCGACGAGCCCGCCATCAAGGCCGTCAGCTTCGTCGGCGGCAACAAGGCCGGCGAGTACATCTTCTCGCGGGGCTCCGCCAACGGCAAGCGCGTGCAGGCCAACCTCGGCGCCAAGAACCACGCCGCCGTGCTCCCCGACGCCAACAAGAACCACTTCATCAACAGCGTAGTGGGCGCCGCCTTCGGCGCCGCCGGCCAGCGCTGCATGGCCCTCAGCACCCTCGTCTGCGTCGGCGAGACCAAGGAGTGGATCGCCGAGATCGCCGAGAGCGCCAAGGCTCTCAGCGTCAACGGCGGCTTCGAGGAGGGCGCCGATCTCGGCCCCGTCATCTCCCCCGAGAACAAGGCCCGCATCGAGGACCTCATCGCCTCCGCCGAGAGGGAGGGCGCCACCATCCTCCTCGACGGCCGCGGCTTCAAGCCCGCCAAGTACCCCAACGGCAACTGGGTCGGCCCCACCATCATCACCAACGTCACCACCGACATGCGCTGCTACAAGGAGGAGATCTTCGGCCCCGTCCTCGTCTGCCTCAACGTCGACTCCCTCGACGACGCCGTCGAGCTCATCAACAAGAACGAGTACGGTAACGGCACCGCCGTCTTCACCAGCTCCGGCCCCACCGCCGAGACCTTCCGCCGCTCCATCGAGGCCGGTCAGGTCGGCATCAACGTCCCCATCCCCGTCCCTCTCCCCATGTTCTCCTTCACCGGCAACAAGAAGAGCGTTGCCGGCGGCGGTGCCAGCACCTTTTACGGAAGGCCCGGCGTCAGCTTCTTCACCCAGCTCAAGACGGTCACCGCCCTCTGGAGGTCCGGCGACGCCATCTCCAAGAAGGCCGATGTGGCTATGCCCACTCAGTCGTGAGCTAGCTTGCTTGCTGGCTTCAAGTTGTAGAGTAATTGATGGGGTTTGGGCATTGTAGGAGCGGAAAAGCTGGGCTGGAAACAAGGGCTTAGATTGATTTCTCAAGACTGTGCTACTCTCTTAAATGGGAGAGGGCTTGTTTATGGAATGTGTACTGCTTTCCATGGCAATCAATTGGGTTTTATCAGAGACTAGATATTATAATGAGGACTCTTTCTTCCCCAAGGCTCTCCCCCCTCCCCCTTCTCGAACTACTCGACGTGTCGCAGCGAGTAAGATCCTGCTTCATAAAATCAAATTCTGGCTGTAAATTATTATCAATTGACATAAGTAATATTGTGCAGTAGCTACGACAACTATCAACCCTTGTATACTCGCGTATCCCTTCCTTCATCCATTGATGAAAACTCCATTTTCTTTTTCCATACCTCCACAAGTGTCGCTCACAGTTCCCCAGATTTCCACCTCGTTGAAGGGGGTAAAATAGAATTAACAAATAGCAGGAAAAACGGGGGGAACAAAGAAAAGAAAAAGAGGAGAGCAAACAAGAAATAAAAGAAAAATTCCAAAGCCAGGCAGGCATATCATTTCAAAACTCCCCACGCTCCCGTAGATGCCTTGCTCCAAAATGAAACGGAGATGTGTAAGGGAAATTTGGGACAGTGGACAGGTTGGGAAGTAAAACAAGTCAAGCTGAACAGTACAAAGGGAAAAGAAAAAAAATCGAGGAGAAGCTCCCGTGTAGGATGTGTGTAATAATAGGGTCTCATCTCTGAGCCCATGTCTCAGTACACCCTATAAGATTCTGTTAATGTGGGGGTTGTTCGAGATGAGCTGTGGGTTGGGAATGCATGCTGATGAGGGGGATATATGAGAGGGCGGACAGAGGATTGTTTGTATGGTACAGCGTAGTTCGGCAGTCGCCGAATTCCAGGGTTCGAGGGAAGGGGCATCTTGAAATTCAATTAAGGCTCACTGAATTTCCCTTGGGCAGAGTCGGGGCAATGTTGACAGAGGAGCATCGGCCCCACCACTGAGCCCCGTAACTCGGAGCTCCTTTCTTAAAACCCCTACGCCGGGAGCTGCAAGAAACCTTCGTAGTACGAGTCTAACCACCTCGCAGCCTCCTCACCAGAATCGTCCATGCTTGTATCCCACCGCCCAACGGAGCCAACATAACCGTCGGGTCGCACGTTGACAATGGCCACCTCGCCAGGCCCGAGACTGCCAAGCCACTTGTTCGTGCACAGCTTTCCTTGAGTATCCTGTTCTGGAATGTCGTCCATGTAGAAAGTCCATCGGCTATCTTGCAACAGGGCCGGGAGGTCAGAAATTTCTACGTCGGTCTTAGGCATCGTAGCTGGTCACTGTTAATTTTCATTCCTCTTTGGGGAAGGAGAGATCCGTTCCGGAGGAAAAGGAGGGGGGGGGGTTGGGTTAAACTTACTGATCAAAGCAAAAGTGAACAAATGGCTAACAACGGTGTAACGTTCAGGACGATGATAAATGTCCTCGGGAGCCGGGAGACGGGGCTGGGTTGCGTAAGATACGCTTGCTGCGGCCGATAGCCTGCTAATAAACGAGTTCCTGGAGGCAATGGCCTGACAGAAGGTCTCGAGGAATGGGCCCGACTGCTGGACATCCCACATCAGGAGGTAAATCCTGAACTGGCCAAGCATGGGAATATCCAGCTGAATATCGACGGGATTCGAGTCGATGTACCGGGTGACCTTGGCGGGTGGTAGGAGGCACCCTGGTTTCGCCTCACCCATGGCCCACAGCTGGTCAATCGGGCGGTTGATGCAGTTCTCGCCGTACTCGGCACCGATACCCGACATGAAACGGACATTGGTCTTGAAGCTCTCGGCAATCGCCACGGCATCACCACCAGCGATCTGATACGCATGTTCATAGTCGAAATTAACCAAATCCAGGGCAATCTTCCTTCGCTCCTGCTCGTAGCTTTCCATGAGGACGGGCTTCGCGAGGCCACGGACAGCAAAGTTGAGCTTCCAGGCAAGGTTCCAGGAATCGTGCATCGACGTGTTCATACCCTGGGCCGACTTCGGGGAATGAGTATGACTCGCGTCGCCCGCGAGGAAGGCACGCAAATGGTTGTCATTGAAACGGCTCGCCACACGCTGACCGATCTGGTATCGTCCAAACCACTCGAGATATTTCCAATCGATTTCGTAAGGAGCCATGATCTTCTTGGCACGTTGCATGATGAATTCTTGGCCAAGTTCTCGACGATCAGACTTGGGACCCAACTTCAACTCGATGTACAGCCTCGTCATATTTCGCTCTCGGGGAACTATAAGAATAGAGCCGTACTCTTTCGAGTTTACTAGCGTCTTGGACCAGATATCGGGGAAATCCGTCACGAGCTCTCCGTCGAGCACGCCCCAGATTGCAGCCTGCGACATGCCCACCGGCCGGGCATCGGGTATGCTTTTTCGTACTTTTGAATGCGCACCATCGCCTAATGACGTGTAAAACTTAGTCAACTGCTATGCTTCACAGGCGCTCGTTTCGTAATTATCAAGGGAAAATTTTTTCTATCAGGTGTAGGATATAAAGCTGATGGGTGATGAAAAGAGCAAAGAGAACCGAAACAGCAAGGGCAGCATCAAAATGGACAAGCTTACATCCGATCAAGTACTGGGTATGGATAGATCTCCGATCCTGGGTGACATTCGTTCGGCAATTAACCTGCAGCGGTCGGCTCTTGTCCTCGGGGACGTTGTATGATTCGAAGGCTGTGTTTCGTCGAACCTCAACTCCGCGCTTCCTCATATCCTCAATGAATAGGCTTTCAACCATTCCTTGATGAACAAGGAGGATATAAGGATCTAAAACATCAATGATGGGAGGGTAATGAACCTCTCGCCCCAGTCGATGAAGGGGCTCGTCCTCGGTGCTGCGCCAAAAGGAAATATCGTACACGCGGACGCCTCGTAGTAATAATAGATCAGCAAGGCGCATCTGTCTGAAGGTCTCGATCGTCTTGGGTTGTAAACCATCGGCCCTGTGAAGAGTGGTTGAAAGGAAGGGTTAGCAAAAACAGGAGAAAGTCAAAGAAATGAAGGTTCGAAGTCGATGAAGCGCGCAATCCCCAAAGAGCAGCACACCAACCCCATCGAGACACGGCTTACCTTCCAACGGGGGTTTGATCAGCCCTATCGTCGATGATGGTGACCTTGATACCAAATCGGCTGAGGTTGGCAGCAAGCATCAAGCCAGCGGGCCCGGCGCCAACAACACACACTTGGCACTCTGAGGGGGGCAGGGGGAGGCTGCGGAATCTCGCGAGAGCATCCATGGTTATTTCCAGGGAGCCATCTTGTTGGCGGCCATCGCCGTTCTGTTGTTCCGCCATGTCGGTGTCGGAATGGAGGGCTCCGGGGGCCATGATAACAACAAGGAAAGTGGGAGAATGCGGTGCCTTTGTCCGATCAGTAGAAATAGCGGCCCGCGCAGCAGGATTCGCCAATTATAGGAGTTATAGAGCGATTGACAGCAAGCAGGGGCGGAGTGATTATCTGGAAGGGTTGGAGGGGCGTTGCGAAGCGCAAGGCGGGGAGTGATGGCGCAAAGCTGAAATTGATTGCTGGGGATTTTTGGCGGGCGTCGTGAAGGTATTGTCGACAGGGTTCAATGCGTCGGATAGGCACGAGGTTCGGTGGATCCTATGCTTTCCCGCGATTTTCGCGATGGGAAGCGATACAAGGAAGACAAATAGAAAGAAAGTAGACCATAGAAGGGGGTTTATGTTGACAAGAATAATATGAAGGGGCTCCGACCGCCCCGACGACGCAAGTTGCAGCTGATTTTTCCCCTTCGAACGGCGCACGATCAGCAGACGAACGAAGCTAAACAGTGACGGTGAATTTGCACTTGGCAGCAGGTGGCGGGTGGTTGTGCCAGAAAAAAACCGTCGAGCGGCGACTCCCTGGTGTTTTCCGTCTTTTCCCCAGACAACCTTGGACAGCGGCGGTGGGGACCGAAAAAGAGACCTTTGCTCTTTTTCCCCTCTCACACACTCTCACACACAGAACGGCGAGGAGCGGAGGCTTCGGGTCCCTCTTTGCTTTTGGTCCTGGACAGCGGAATAAAAATATTACGAAAATTGGGTTTGCATTGATGAGATGTCCTTTAAGAGCTTGATGGAACAACTGCAAATACAAGTAAAGTAGAGAGCGGGGAGAAAAGGCAAGGACAAAGAGAGAAAAGGAAGGGATGGTCAACCGGAGTCGAACGTCGTCGAACACGGGCGACTTCAACTTTCTTACAATGCTCCTAGCCTCCTGCCTCCTACCGACAAAAATCCCCGGAGTGTCATCAAGAGATGGCACGACAACTGTGGACAATGGTCTGATTCTTGCCGATGCTTTCCCCTGCCAGGCCAGTAAGTGGCAGTAACTCCCTCGGCGACGTGTCACCCTATTGGTCCGGGCCAAGCTAATGGTCTGGAAGGCGCATCAGAGCCGGCCGTGTCCTGCCCACAGCGAAGTACGTACCGGATTAATACACTGCATTGTACTTCGTACCTTCCATCCAAATCCAAATTCAGACCGTGCTGCAGTGTACCACGACCAGCCAACACTACCTAAGATGTCGCTTTCAGCATGCGAAATAGTGTAGTGAACACTGCTGAGGTACACCGAACGATACTACACGACGTACTCTACACTTGACTCCCGCGCTATTATGCACCCTACAGTATGAAGTAAACTATCGACGACATCAAGTACTCCACACTCCGTACTCCGGACTGTGAGTCGCGACTGCCAGGATCTGTGACTGCGACAAACCGGACCAGTGCAGAGGAACTCCGTACTTCGCACGAAGGACACCTGGCGGCAGAGGCCATCGTTGGAATGAAGTAGTGAAGCAGGAGTTGCTTACGAAGGCGCGTCGTTTCATTGGGACATCAATTCTGATGCCACACAGCCTGGACTATCCAAAAGTCTCTCACGATCCGGTGACCGCCTCAAACCCATCCAAACGGGCGGGATCAAAAGCATCTATCAATTCACTAACCAAGCCTGGCTCCTGTTTGGGTCTTCTTGAACACTTGTGACCCCAGGTCCTTTTTTTACTCACAAGCCACGACCCAACCACATCCTCGGATCCTATAACTACCGCATATGTAATATTGATCCTCCCCAACATCGTACTATATATGTACAATCCGAGGCCCACCATCTCATCTTGCAATTGTGTCTGTTCATTTGATATCATTTGATATTGGGACAACACATCGTCCCAGGAAACTGTACTCCATAATCAATAATACCACCACAGGCACCGGCATTGAGTTGCTAGCTACTATGTACGTATCAATGGCTGGCAATCATATGCATTAAACTCGGTGCATTGGCCAAGATGGCATCAAGAGCCGGATTCCCTCCAGGTGTGGTACCATTCGGCGTACACAGACACCCTACTTCATACAGTTCTTTTGGTGTTGAATCACAAGCCTAGGGAATCTTTCATAAACCCTCTCTCTACATTTGGAATTGGTGTGCGTTAATCAAGGCTGCTGCAGGGCTGGGTGCCTGGCCATGTAATCTACAGACGCAGGAGACATGCATCCCGTGGGCGTCCTCGTCCTTATCGACCCTGTCTCTTACGAGCCGTATGGACTTTCGTGCCACATTCGCTGCCACCTCGCTCGATTGAGATGTCATACGCGACGACGTAATCTACCACTCGCAGCAGCGTCTCCAATTATCTCCAATTGTCCTCCTACCTCGGCGCCGGTTTTGACTAGAGCTTACAAATTCGACGCAAGAGTGTGGAGGTTGATCGTTCACATCCTGCTCTGTCCTCTGCCGTGGTTCTTCTAGAACCCTCAACAATCTACTATTAGTCGATCGTGTGGAGTACCTGAACTCGTTGGATACAAAGTCTTCAGAGTTGCATCTAGCGGCGAACGCTAGGCCCGCACTCGTACGATCAATGCTTTGCCACTAGTGTCTGGGGACCAGCCCCCACCGCACTACACCGCACCCACTCCATGGAGTCCATCTCCTACTAGTACGACTTCGAAGTCTGGAAGTTCTGGTGTCGACATCCATCAATGTCTTATACGAAAGACATAGTGGAGGTCCGCGGAGGTTCCAGGCCTTGAGGAATTCGAAATGTGTTCTAGAGCCCATCCGGACGCTTTAGCCGCAGGACGGAGCATTAGTCGGGACGGACGGCCTGCACCATATTTGGATAGATCCATCTCGCATCACGCACGAAGTATGTATTATACGCGTCTCTGACGAGGCTTGGGATTCAGAAGGATTGTCGGGATTAGAAGGGTTGGTTTAGATTGGGAGGTAGACGTCGGATTTAACTTCTCCTGTTCCAAGACGCTTCCCAAACGCACGGCTCCATCTAATCTACCCGCAGAGCCCCATGACCAAGAAGGCCCATGTCTCGAGAGTATGCCATCGACCCAAACACACAATGTAGTAACGTAGTATCCAGATGTTATTAGAATGGCTATTTTAAACAATATGTATTAAGAAATGGTGGTCTCCGTTTCGAGACGTCAAAATGTATATACATCGGGTTGGAACCTCCTCTGGCTGGATACATGTGAGGGGAGTACATTGATTAACACATTCGACGGACATTAATAGGGTATCATGAGAAAAAGAAAGAAAGAAAGAAAGATGGACAGATGCAAGGTGATACCGAGCTTGGCGCCATTTTGGCCACCTTCCAGGCTCGTGTCGGCATCAATTACCACAAGAAGGCACCAGCAACAGTGACGAGACAGAGCCAGTGGGCCCCGCCCCGCCAGTCCAGCGAGGCAGCACCGCCGATTCCATCCTCCGGCGTCGCCTCGGGCTTCTGTCCGCCGAGGCCGTTTTCGCCGTCGAACTCGTCCGGGAGAATAACCTCGACCGCTGTGGTGTCGCCGGGAGCGAAGAGGACGCCGACGGCCTGCGTGGAGGACATGTCGATATCTTCGGGTGCCATCATGTTGTTGTTGACCTGGTCGCAGGACGGCCGGGCGTCCATCTCGCTGATACGGTTTGTCACGGCGATGGGCAGGTCGAGAATTGTGTAATGTTCTGCGTCATTTAGTCGGAAAGATTGCCGGATAGAAATCTGTTTATGAACTAATATTAGTAAATGGGGGAATATAAGGGTGCTGCGGCTTTTCTTCGCTCCGATCTTCCCGGGTTTCCTCTTCTGCTATGCCTAGTGTAGGGTCCCGCCGGAGTAGGCCGGGGACTACACTATTTGCTGCTCGGGAATATGTGTGTGGGGTGTGGATGCTCATCTCACATTATAAACGCCTCGGTCACTATCCGCGTCCTTGGGCTGACCATCCCCCACGAGACAGTCGGGCCATAACCAATTGATGTGCTTGACAGTGCTGCCAGGTTCCTGGGCCATGATATCGCCGTCCACGGCCTCGGTGAGATTCGACACGGTAAAGTTCCTTCCGGTATTGTAGCTATAGAGGAAGATGGTGATATTGTGTATTAAGCTTGGGCTTACGTCGACATATGGCGGCAGGTTTAGCTTGCCATTGGCGGTAACATCGAGGGAGATGTGAAGGGTTTCTAGAAATTCCCGGTTGTGTTAGTTTCGAGCGAATCCCATCGCACACCCGTCCCCAACATTGAAGTCCCACACTTCCCCAGCTGCGAAATTGGCACTATTCCTAGCAAGTTCACTACATACCTCCACCCAACGGTGTCCCTGGTTGTGGGGCATTCACGACGGCGAAACCTGGTGTAAAGATTTGACCGCCAGAAACGACAAAAGACTGCGCTGAGCAGTGAACTGCTAGGAGAGGCAGAACAGCTGCCAGCTTTCGCAACAGCAGCATTTAGGCAGAACAAAAAATAATGATGATGATATGAGACGGGCTTTAGGCGATTCTAGTTGGTATGGTGTAGGCGGGTCAGCAGCGGCAGTGGGGTCTTTCTTCACACTTTTCTTCTTTTTTGTCCGCAGAACAAAAGAAAGAAGGAAAGCAAGCAAACGAAAGGCTAGGGCAGCTTTTGATGGAGGGTAATTATGCGGGAATGGAAGGGGTATTTAGCCAGAACGAGGGATGCTGGGATTTGCCTTGATCTTCATCAAAGGGGGGCGTTTCAAAGGGGCGTGAGGGAAGTGAAACGGGATCCAGATCCGAGAGACTGGGGTTGGGGATAGGTGAAGTCCCTTTCCATTCTACACTGCGACGAAATACATACGATCAAAACGTAGGCAGTTCATTTTCTCTATGTCTGTGGTAGGCATGGAGTGGGCATTGGATAAGGAGCGCCGCTGCGACGATAATCCGGACAGGGAGTTGATGGGTGATGGTTGGACGGATTCTATAATTCCGTCCTCGAGCACAAGAGACCGTAGTTGTCCAACTTCATCTGCTGGTCATTGAGCCCCGAGCCCGTGAAGGTTATGGTGATATTCCGGTTCCCCTTGGTTAAGGAGGCGTGACCACACATATTCGAACCACTTGTACTTCGTAGATTAATCAGAAGAATCGAAGGATCAAATGTAAAACCCAGGTATACGCTGGTTTTTCTACGTCGACTTGTTTTTGCTTTTATTTTTCTCCTTCCAAAGCCCCAGGTATGATATAGATTTCCCTCTTGATCTAAGGCTCTCAATCAACTCGGTTGAAGATAACCCAGCGCTTTGATAGACTTGGCAAGAGTCAGAGAGTATCGTCTTTGTTATTCAAAGGTAGCCCTCGCAAAGTTGGCATCTCCTTCTTGACTGGTAATCTAACTCTGGTCTGTGACGTCGTTTGCGGCGGCAATCGAAGAGGTGGTCCGAGCTCCGTTTCAGATTCCGCAATGCATCCCAGTTCGGATTCTGGGTCCCATGCGTGGGTGCAACAAGACATCCCAAGTTGGGAGAAGCGGGATTGTAACTTGGATTCATGACTCCCAACTCACAGCGCAGGGCAAGACGAGGAATGGAAACGGACGAACCAGGTTAAGTTGGGCATACCTCGGTATATCGACAGAAATCTGTTGGATCACAGAGCCGAAGGCATGATTATAATGAGGTTAGCGGCATTGACCAGGCTTGCCTTGCTCATTTGACAGATCATTGATGTCTAGAATTTTACAACTCTTCCCAGAGAAACAACGCAAAATGACCAAATTATGAAGCCAATTCACTTCACATAACTCGAATACGAAGCACACAGCAGCTCCTCCCAGTCCACCGACGGGCAGTGACAGCGCGGCCAGGCAGAACCAAAGCATCAATGATTGGTCTGGTCAATTTAGGACCTTCAAGACCCTGGCAATCCAATCCTACAGCGTCCAGGTACATTTAGTTTATGCCACATTCACAAGCACAAAGGTGATATCGAAGGCTCTAACCATTCACCTCAACCGGTCCCGCCATCTCCGTGTCCAATTTCAGAGTGCGCTCCTGCTTTCCGTCCGATTCTGCATCACCATCGCCATCGCTGTCATCGCCTGAAACGCCCTCGTACTCATCGTCATCGGGAAACATGTCCACCACAACCTGCATGGGATCTCGATAGTACATGATGTGGTAGGCGTAACCGTGTTGGTCACCATGGGAGACTAACATAGGCCGGGTGATTAGATCGACCGGATGCCCATCCACTGTCCACGAACGCGCCGTCCATCAACAAAGTCAGTAAAAATGAAATAATAATAATGGCAAATAATAAAGTTGAATATAGGGTTGAATATAGGTACATGTATACCTCACCGTAAAGGTCTACGAAGAAGAAGAGGAAGGAGGGCCACTTACACAGCTTCTCGTCCCACCAATGAGCAACATCACTCAACGCCATGAAGCTTTTTGAGACAACAGGCTTTAGGCTCCCGAAAATGGGATCGGGCGGATGGCGGACTTCTTGGGGGTCCCTAAAGAGGAAGCTATGAAGCGCTTGGGTCTCTGGGTGCCCGAAGACAACAGACCACTCAGTTCTGTCGAGATGCATGCAAAAGTCGGCCTCGATGGCCCACTTGACGATCCGGAAGAGCCTCTCGTTCAATTTGGCCTCGCCGAGGGGCTCGGGGATGTGGAAAAATGGACCAAGCTCCTCCATCATAACATTCATCACCACCCGATAATCGAGACGGGCCTCGTGCTGTGTGGTCTCTCGAATAAGACCAACCGTTAAATTCCTCCAAATATGGTAGCGGAGAGTCCACTCGGCGTCGGATTCGCTTGCTAATGCTGACATCGCTGTTATTTGAGTTTCATCTTCTTGACAAAGAGAAGGTGTAGAGGGAGATAGCGAAGGAAAGATCAATATAGACTCACGCGCGCCAATACGTCTCAGCATAGAGTAGGCTTCCCAGTGCTCGCCAAGCCATGGCCCCTCGACCGTTGAGAAGATGTTGTCGTCCAATATGTGCCAGATCCAGGCCTCGAATATTAGACGCGACCTTTGCGGGCCGCTTTCGAGATATTGCTTGGCCTTGGGCGCCCAGCGGATTAGCTTCTCCTGGACAGCAGGTGTCAAAGTCTCCCAGGAAATCTGCTCTGGGAAACAGAACTCGGACAAGTATTCAATATCATTGATTAGGTGCCTCCAGATGGCCAAGAGTCGACAGCCAGTGCCCAGTGCGTGTGAGTGCACCACAGGGCGGGCTGCAAAGCGGGACATTTTACGACGGTTTTGTGAGAGCTTATCCATTTGGACTAGCTCTGGCTGCTCAGATATGGCACCCTCGAGTAGGGTTTTGGTCTTGCTATGTTCCGTTTCTGCGTTGCTCAGCTGTTCCTCTAGATGCTGAATCCTGGAGGCCATCATTGTATGTTCCGCTCCTGCACGACCTACTTGTTCTTCCAACTGCTGAATCCTAAAAAGCATCTGAGCATGCTGTTCCCTAGAGTTGGTGGTTTGGCTACCACTGGGAGAAGCCCGACCAACACCTGTGGCCATCTCAGAGGTGCTAGCGGAGCTAGGTGTAACTGGCTCAGTAACCATTGTGAAGGTGCAGGCGCAGCAATTGGTATTGGTGACTTGACTTCGAATTTCCTGGCTGCAAGAATTTCACCGGAGAGAGCTAAAGGGCCAGGATTTAAATAGAGAAAGAGCAAGGCAGGCTGCTCATTGGCATCCAAAATCAAGAGGGCCCTGCAAGAAGAAGACTCGGGAACTGCCAGGGAATGGGGAACTGCCAAGGAATGGGGAAATGCCGGGGAATGGGGAAATGGGAGAACGGGGAGCCTGCTCTTTGTTGGGCATTGATCACTGGGGACCACCAGAAGGAGTTTATTGTCTCAACTAGGGCGGTGTAGTATTTGGTGTAAGTGAAGCCGCATGGAACATGAATCTGGGACGTCATAGAAGGGGAAGGGGAGATGGAGAGGGAGAGAGAAAGCGAGGGAACCAGAAGTAGCAATCAAACAGAAAAACATCAAGGAAGTCTGAAGAAACAGCAGCATCAAATGAGGCAACGAGGCAGAAACACCAACGCCGGAGAAGCAGAAACATTGGGCAAACAGAAACAAGAAAACGAAAGGAGGAGGAGACCCATCAAAGAAGATTGCAACGATGGCCGTCCATCCCTCGCGTAACTTTGCAGTGACCTAGATTGTCTCCATCTCATCCTCCTCATCCTCCTCATCCTCCTCATCCACCAGCCGCCGTCGCAGCTTAGGGGTTTGTGTCTTTGCAATGCTCTGGGATCTTCGAGAACTGTCCTGATTTGATCCCCGAGGCAGATTCTAGTGGCAGAGCTGTCACAGTCACTACTTCTCCTACCTCATTCATCGACAAGTAAACTAACTACTTACACACACTTGACCGCTTCTCATTTTAGCTTACTATGGCTTCTGAGGCATTGACCCCGGGGATCCTGCTACGAGCTCACGATTTTACCATTGTCGCCGTTGATTTTGGCGCTACGCAAGTGGCCCAGCCCCAGCTCTCTGAGCTCGCTCTGTCTGGAAATCGTCACTGCTAACACCCAAGGCAGGTTCTCGGGAATCGCATTTGCGAGACCCAAATGCGTGGTGCCAACTGTTTTCGTGGATTGGCCTACTGTGGGAGGTGCAGACTTGAGACAAGAAGTAAAAGTGCCGACAACTATGGATACCACACTTGGCCCAACCATTCACTGGGGCTATGGAGTCCCGGAAGATGTCGATGCGTTTAGACTGTTCAAGCTCCTCCTCCTCCACCCTGATGACCTTGAACCCGGAGTACGCAATTGGGCTGCCTTTCAAAATGCCCAAGAAAGGGGCGGGAAATCGCGAAGGTCAGCTAACGACTTGGCTGGCACTTACCTATGTCAGCTCTGGAAGCACTTCCTAGCCCGTACCCAGCTGAGCTCCGCGGAGCGTGAGCAGATGCGCATCGTCGTGTCGTTGCCAGCAAGTTGGCCGGACACGATCCTGGCTACAATGAAGGATATACTAGTCCAAGCAGGTATAATTGGCTCTAGGCATGGACACAATCTCCAGTTTGTTCGCGAGCCGCAGGCTGCGGCTCTCGCCATGATATATGATGCCGAAGTATCTGGATTTTTGAAGGTATGTTCTGCCACCACAATCTCTTTTGGCCAACAGGTAGTGCCGAACTTGGATTGCCCTAACGTCCACTTAGGCCGGTGATATCGTCATTGTGTGTGATTGTGGCGGGGCTACAATTGTAGGTGGCCTAGGATTGCGCCTAGGATTGCACTTGATGCTCCCTCCCATCTCCCCCCTCTTCCGCTAACTTAGCGCTCACAGGACTGTATTACCCAACAAGTCATATCAATATCACCTCTGCGCATGCGGGACATAGTTCCATGTGAGGGCCGGTTTTCCCGCATTGCCATGATGGAAAGTGGCTTTATAGAGCTATTGAAGGAAAAGATGGCAGGCATTCCCGGAATCCGGGGCGCTGCTGATATCCCAGGGGTAGAGCTCCAACAAATGGCTGAGAAGGTTTGGCAGAAGAAAATCGTCAAGAACTTCACCGGGACTGAGAAGTACAACGTCGAGATTCCTCGAGGTTGGATAACAGGACGAAAACCGAGACAGACTGAACATGTGGTGATCTACGAGTTAGTTGCAAACCCCTTTCCGTATCCCGCGCCTCCTTCAAGGATGCTCTGTGGAGGACGCTAATAAAGGAACAAGACATGATGTTATTCCGTTAATGGACCCTGCGGTCCAGAATGTCTGCGATTTGGTCCTGTCTCAGTACTTCTCTGCGGTCAGCAAGACGAACGGGCAGACTCCGAAAGTGAGGCGAAAGGCGAACCCTACCTTCACTTCATGTTCCGAAACTAACATCTACACACGTAGCACATCTTTCTTTCAGGTGGATTTGGGGGTTGCCGCCATCTCCGCAATTGTATGAAGAGTAAAGTTTTCGGGTCTGTCGAGGTCCAATGGCATGATGACCCCGACCTCGGGTAAGCACACCATGAAGATCACTCTACCTGTGTATTTCTGTTACTGTTGCTGACTGGTAATCAATGGAAAAGGTGGGCGGCAGTGTGTCGAGGTGGTGTCTTACATGCCTTGGCAAGTGAGATTCGCTTTCCGTTGCCAGGCATTGATTGCCCCGGCCACTTATGGTATCCATTTGAGAAGTGGCGATGTTCGATGGATAATTCAAAGTGTTTGTCAACTACCTGGCTCATTATTTCAAGCTATACCTCAGGACCCTGTCCAGATTTTCTAACAGAGAAGGCTGAGCTAGGGTCTTCAGCTTCCTGGAGGTTGCTTTCAGCTGCAACCTACGGATTTCCACACCCTGTCCTACACAACTGTCGATGGTAATCCGCCCCTGCGACAGCCACGCTTACTCATTGTCCGCACCACAGACGAAGGACCTCCGAGTACTCTTGTATGTGAAATCACTCTACAAGCAGCCATCAGCATTAAGAACACTGAACTAGAGGTTTTAACAGTAGAGCCCTTGCCAAGATTTGCTATCCAATTTCATAGTATGCGTCTTAGTGTCAATGGTGCACAAGTGGCATACTATGATGAGGACTAATCCCAGCTTGGCTCACAAGTCCTTAGAGTCCAGGTTGAGGAAGTTTCTCCGGGTTCATTGATTGTTGTTGATATGCTGCTTGGCTGATTGAGTGTTCCTGATTGGCCCTAATTGAATACCAAGTTCCTTTTTCTTTTTGCCAGTATTGGACAGAAGCCTAAGAATGCCCTACGTCGTAAGGTTGTGAAAACAAGAACCAGGAATGGGAAAAGATAGTAGATGTTTGCTAGGTAGGCATTTGCTAGAACAAGATACTTTATGGAAGTAGGAAAACACCAGAGAACACCACAAAGGGATGCATTCCGAACTAGAAACACTCGTGACGGGGAAAAGGGAGACATCGAAGAAGTAGAGATATAAAAGTAGAAACACTGGGGATGCAGAAATGCAGAAATGTGGAAGAAGAAAAAAATTAGAAACGTCAAAGAAGTAAAGACAATAAAGAAGTGAATAATCAACGTAGTGGATATATCAAAGGAATGGCCATATCAATGTAGAGGAAGACATGAAAGAAGTCGAAATATAGAAGACGTAGGAGAGGTAGGAATATCAAAGAAGAGAAGACATCGAAGCATAAACATTAAAGAAGCAGAAACGGAAACGGGGAATAAGAACAAACAAGACCTGTTGAACAGGTAAGATCAACTACTTGTAACCTCCTTTGCAATCTTAGGCTATTACAACCTACCCATAGTTATAAGAGCGCAACATCTTGAACCAGGTAAACCTAAGGTCAGTCCCCCACATCTCCATTCTCTATACCCCATCCATCTAAGATCTAAGCTACAAGCCAAATACTTACGTATAATATTATCCTTTTTTTTTTTTTTTTTTATAAAGTTTACGATGTCTCCGGCAGCAGAAGAACAGGCCGCTTCGCCTCGGGGTCGTTGTTTTACTGTTGTCTCGATAGATCTTGGCACAACGTAAGTATCCCAGCTTGCCGAGCCCGCCTATAAATCGCACCCGCTAATCCTATGGACAGGTACTCTGGGATGGCATATGCCCGTCCCGGAAACTTGATGCCGATTGTTGTCCGGGACTGGCCTTTAGAGAGCTCGGGATCTTTTGGGAGGGAAGCAAGAGTACCAACAGCTCTTAACATCTCAAATTCTACCGTCCATTGGGACACGCCGGCTTTTCTTGACGCACTCGACATGGCTGGCAGGTTTGGGAAGGCAGGCAAAGATCTAGCCTGCATTTACCTTCACCACCTCTGGCAGCACTTCCTAAACTTTGCCCAGCTAGGGGCATATGAGAAGCAACAGATGCGAATTGTAGTGACGCTACCAGCTGGTTGGCCTGATGCAATATGTGTGAAAGTGAAGGATGTCCTTGATCAGGCAGGCATCCTGGGCAGTGTACCTAGCTATGATCTCCAATTTCTACGAGAACCTCAAGCCGTAGCTCTGGCTATGGTATATGATGCCAAAGATGATTCGCTTTTGGCGGTAAGACTTGGAAATGGGATCGACCTTGACGCTATGCTGACTTCCTCTTAGGCTGATGACGTTGTCATTGTGTGTGATTGTGGTGGCGGTACTGTGGTAGGCAACCTAGGACTCAGCTTGCCCCGTTCTATCTTCACCTGTTCCGCTCTAACTTGGTACACACAGGATTGCATTGCATACGAAGTTACCTCAGCAGTACCGCTCTGCTTTCGGGAGATGCTGCCGTGCGAGGCCCAATATTCCGGTGCCCCATTGATGAAGAATGGCTTCGTTGAACTTTTGAAGACGAAGATGGCGGATACCCTGGGTATCCAAGACCCCACAGCCATCCCGACAGCAGAGCTGCAGAAGATAGCTCACGCAAGCTGGGAGATGGAAATTATGAGGAATTTTACTGGACGTGAGGCATCTTTCAAAGTCAGGATCCCTCGAAGCATGTCGACGGACGGAAAAGGAGACCACTCCGTTCAGTTCTACGGGTCAGTTACAGCTACCTCTGTATTTTCTACCAGCAAGGGCCGTATGTCAATTATACTAACGAAACAGCAAGAGAGGATATTATCAAATTAATGGATAGCGCAATTCAGAATATCTACAATCTAATCTTGACACAGTACCGCTCTGTGTTGACAAAGACTGGGGACACACGGAAAGTGAAAGTAAGGCGAATTCTCATTGCACGCTTATGTTTCAAGGCTCCAAAAGCTAATACCTGCATACCTAGTATGTCTTTCTTTCGGGCGGGTTTAGTGGATGCCCTTATCTACGCGCTTATTTGGAAGAAAAGATCCCCGAGAATATCAAAGTGCGTTGCCACGGCGAACCCAGCCTCGGGTAAGCACACCCACCCTCATGTTCGCGCTCTTGCTGTTGCTTCTGACATATAATGGATGGAAAGATGGACTGCCGTGTGTAGAGGAGCCGTTCTACATGGCTTAGCGGTTGAGGAGAGTCAGCCTTTGTCTAGCATCGCTCTTGACAATTACGGCCTTTAGTAGAGAAACGGCGGTATCCGACTCATAGTTCAACGCGTTAGTGCCCTATTTCTCCGGAGTACTGTACTGCGATTTTCTTACGGTGTATTGCGTTAGGGCCATCCTATTACGACCGGATATTGCATTCGACTCCATCCCGAAGACTTCTTTACCATCTCCTCCACGGCCGTGGATGGTGGGCCAGCTCTACGACAGCTGCAGCTGAACATACTCCGCCTCTCCCAAGGCGAGGCGAATAGTAGGGCATGTGAGATCACGTTCTCCCCTAACGTTCTGGACCCGGAGCTGGAGATGATGGTGGACGGCGACTCGCTGAAATTTGGTATCAGGTCTAATGGTATACGTCAAGGTCCCGATAGCGCGAGGGTTCTCTATTACGAGCAACCGAAATGATCAACGATGCATGTTTTGCGGTCCTCAATTTGTTTGAAGTCCCAGGTCTCGGCTGGAAAGAGTGATTGTTATTCGGGAGTTGCCTGGTATGGCGGGCTCTTACGCGGGCAGCAGATCTGTTTCTAAACCTTTCGGGTAATTTAAATAGCTGCCTGGTTGCGGCTATAAAAAGATTCTTTCCATGGTTGTATCGATTGTGGTGACTGTTAATGCCATTTGACTGTGATACCACCTGCTTGTACGAAGCATGTCAGTTTGAAGATGCACCATGAGTGCATGGTTGAGGTTGATAGCTGCATCACGTGATGAAATGCCCGTGCTCGCTCTGAGTTCCAAGCGCAAGCGGCCAAAGTAGCCTCACGCGAACTGAACCTCTTATTAGCGGCCTTCTCGATGCTATCGATTCATTGATCCGTTCATCTCCGATCCGCTCTGCGATATTTACTTTGACTGCACCGAGAATCCACTGCCAAATGATACGTGAGTAACCTGAGTACCACTCATTGGCCCAGGAGCTCGGTTTCTCTCTTGGGGCTGCCGGCGAGGAACACGACCTTTGAAAAGACCTGTCGCGGCTAAGATCTGGATCTGGCTTCCACGCGAGGCAGCGTAAACTTTAGGTAGTCATGCATGCCTGGCACATCTTCTCAAACCCTTACGAAAACTGATTGGGCTTGGATCTGTCTCTCCATTCTACTAGCCTACGTACCTCGTACTCCGTCGGCCTTGATCGTATCTTTCAAAGCTCCCGACTGGACTGCCCATCACTGCCCGATTTGGCCACCGGCACTTGCAACCAGGAAACAGGAAACTCTGGCTCCTGATTATCCGGAGTGGCCAAGGCTAGTTCAACATGAACAGGAGTCGTCAATTGACACATCTGGGCGTCCTCTCTAATCATGCTACGTCACCGTGCAGCCTGCACCGCTCACTCCTCCATGCTTCAGCTTCACGAGCAATCCGTCAAGGGCAACGAGCTGCTCTCCAACCCCAATCTCCGAAGTCCTGGCAAGCTTGTCGACGATGGAAAAGCTCCTTGAACCATAGAAATCTTGGGAAAATCCTGCGTATCTCTGATGAGGTTTCACATGCCGTTGCCTCTAATCAGCCAGTTGTCGCATTGGAGTCCACCATTTACACCCACGGCGCACTCGGCCAGGATCTTGAACTCGAGAGGATTGTCCGGGAAAATGGAGGCATCCCTGCCGTCGTCGGTATCTTGGATGGCGTGCCAACTGTCGGTCTGACTCCCGAGGAGATAGATCGGATGGTCAACGAGGGCAAACCCGTCAAGGCATCGAGGAGGGACATCGCGTATCTAGCTGGAAAGGTAAGTCTCCGTGTTTCATTTTCTCTCTGTTGGCCTTTACTTCATCACAACCCTTCCCTTGCGCCTCCACCTCCTAGAACCTAGAGAAACTGCGTTCCTCCTCATGATCTCCGGCCTCAACCGAGTCTCTGTCTATCCTACCCGCCATTACAAGATGACAAGCCACCCCTAGCCCTAGCCCAACACAACACGTAAATGATTAAGTAGATCGCCGGGATTCTCATTCCATTTTCTCTCTCCTCCCTATATAGGGTCTATTAAGTCGAGGCATTCATGGCGGCACTACCATCGCGGGAACCATGCTTCTCGCGAGAATCGCCGGCATCCGGGTTTTTGGTACTGGTGGGCTTGGAGGCGTCCATCGAGGTGGCCAGGACTCCCTTGACATCTCTGCCGACCTCACAGAACTTGGAAGGACACGAGTGGCTGTGGTGAGCAGCGGCTGCAAGGGGTTTTTGGACATCCCGCGTACCCTGGAATACCTCGAGACGCAGGGAACCTTGGTCGCCACCTTTGCAGACGGTCGCGAGGGCAATTTCGACTTCCCCGCTTTTTGGGCCCGCGAGAGCGGCACGAAAAGCCCTGCCGTGGTCCGGGATGAGAAAGAGGCGGCTGCGATAATTTTAGCCCAGGAAAGGCTTGGGATCGAGTCCGGGCTCCTATTCGCGAATCCGATCGCAGAGGAACATGCCATCCCAAGTGTTGAGATGGCAGCGGCCATTGAGACGGCCGTACGGGAAGCTTCGGAAAAGGGCTATACCGGAAGCACTAATACGCCTTTCGTGTTATCTCGGATACGGGACCTGACGGGCGGAAAGAGTGTCGAAGCCAATGTTGCTCTTGTTCAGGCAAATGTAGCGAGGGCTGCCAAGATCGCATCGGAGCTATCCAAGCTCACGCGAGTAGGGTCGGAGACGTCGACCTTTAAGACACAGTGAGTTTTGGAACAGAAGTTAGTACCTCCGATTAGGCGTGGTCGAAACTAATCTACTCGGACCCTGTAGCCCTCTGCCGGCATCCTCCTCTACGAAGAATGCCCATGGCGAGAGTAAGAAGCTTGGGAAAGCAGATATTCTGGTAGCTGGTGCGGTCGCCATCGACCTGAACTGCGATTATCTTGCTCAGCCAGGTTCCAGCACCGAATCTGGCCAGAAGGATGTAATGCCGAAATTGCATACATCGAATCCTTCACGAATTAATCAGTCTGTTGGTGGCGTAGGCCACAATGTTGCCTTGGCTGCCCACCGAGTGAGCGGTGATTCAAGAGTCAGGCTTTGCAGCATGGTTGGTGATGACGTGTAAGTTTCTTCTTCGACAAGCCCAGTTGCTTTTTTTTTTCCCTCCCCGAGAGGGAGGTTTCCTTCCTGGAGCTCTGCTAACGGAGATATCAAGGGCTGGCATGACGGTTTTATCAGGTCTTCAAGCCTGCGGCCTTGACACCAGCTATGTTCGAAAGCTTTCGGCCGACTACCATTCTTCTAGCCGCACAGCGCAATACGTCGCCGTCAATGACGCCCAGAAGAACCTGGTCATGGCCATGGCCGACATGGGCATCTTTACACATCACTCATTCCCTGAGTATTGGAAGTCAGCCGTGGCCGGCGCTAGGCCTCAATGGCTTGTAGTCGATGGTAACTGGAGCGAGAAGGACATTCGAGCATGGATCCAAGCGGCCAGGGATCACCAGTGCTCGGTGGCGTTCGAGCCAGTCTCCACGGCGAAGGCGACCAGGCTATTCTGCCCGGAGCGAGACTTTTCAAACCTGCGCGTTTATCCCAATGCGGCGATTGACATTGCGACGCCGAATCACTTTGAGCTTCTCTCCATGTTCAACGCCGCGAGGGAGAACGGCTACTTCGACAACCCAGCATGGTTTAGCGTCATCGACGCGTTTGGCATGCGCGGCGCGCGGGAGCGGTTCGTGACCCTGACGTCGGCCGAGATGACCGACGCGGGTATTCCCGTCCAGAGCGTCCAGCTTCTCCCGTACATCCCCACGGTCATTACAAAGATGGGGCCCAAGGGAGTTCTCCTCACTACCATCTTGCACAAGGACGACCCTCGTCTACGGGATCCCGATTCTGAACGGTATATCCTTACAAGGAGCTCCGGTGACCATCCGCACGTTGGCGGTATCTACATGAGACTATTCCCGGCCGCTGAAGAAGTGCAAGATATCGTATCGGTCAACGGCGTCGGGGACACGTTCCTCGGAGTCCTGGTGGCCGGACTGGCCAAGGGGGGCAAGGTCGAGAATCTGATTGACGTGGCGCAGAAGGCGGCCATTCTCACGTTGAAGAGCAGGGAGGCCGTGAGTCCTGATCTTGGATGGCTCGAGGGGAAATTAAGAGATGCTGCGGCTTTGTGACGGAGCATGGCGAGCTGATGCTGTCTCGTTGTAATGTATATACCTTCTGCAATTCTTGGCTCGTTAACAACAATTATGAGCCAATTAAGCGAATACATGAAGAATATCAAATCCTGGTCGTTGTTCTCTGGTCGTTGTTCTCTCGTTGTGTTGTTCCGATAGGACCTGTGACGTCGTTTCTAGTTAGTTATCAGTAGCGGCTTGTCCCTAACCATAATAACCCTAACCTCCAGCCAGCGCGGGGTCAGAGGGAGCAGAACTACCACGCCAAGCCTGTGTTCGCAGCGCGGACTTCAACAGTTCTTCAATTGATCCCATCTCCAACGCGTGGACTCGACGACACGCGACTTGGTCCCCCAAACCTCAACTCAACCAACATCAAAATCTCAAGCCGATTCTCAACACTCCACCGCCGCCAGAACGATGATAATATAGCTCGATAACATATCCCACACACCAAAAACACAATCGAATTTGCTAGCATCTCTCAATCCCAACATGGACATCGACGACATCCTTCGCGAAGTCGACCCCTCCGCAAGCACAGTCGGCTCCTCAACCCGCGACATCCAACTCCTAACCCGCCTCTGGGTCGCCGAGCGCTCGTCCCCGGAGCTCCTAGAGTAAGCCTGCTGCGTCTCCGCCGCCCTTCCTCCCACCCTCTTCCTTTTTTTTCTCTTTTTTTTTTCCCTTTCTAGGAGCCTACGTGACTAAAAAAAGAGGTGGGAAATGCAAGATGGCCAAGGTCGGGGTTCTTCGAACGCATGAATGACCGGATAAAGCTCCAGATCGAAAAAGTCGAAGAGATGACGGGCGACATGGATCCGAAGACGAACTTTACTCTTGTGGTGATACAGACCGAGCTGGAGCGGTACAAGTTTCTCGTGCGAAGTTATTTACGCGCTCGAATCGCCAAGGTAGAAGAAATCCCTCCTCTCTCCCCACGCACGCGAAGAAGAAGGCCAAAAAAAATTAAATAAAATATATATAGATCGACAAACACACCCTCCACTACCTCTCCACCCCTCCCCTCCGCAACCGCCTCTCCCCCACCGAACTCGCCTACGCAACCCGCCACCAAGCCCTCCTGCACAACCACTACCTCACCTCCTTCCTCTCCGCCTTACCCCCGGCCTTGCGGAACCTCAACGACACGGCTGGAAACGTGGGAATGGTCGACGCGCCCGACGCCGAGACGGCCGTCTTCGTGCGCCTGCTGAGGGACGCCGAGGTTAGGGGGCGGGGCACGGACGAGGACTCGGTTGTGAGAGGGAGGGAGGGGGATGTTTTTGTTGTGAGGTGGGAGGGGGTTAGGGGGCTTGTGGAGGATGGGGTTGCGGAGTTGGTTTAGGGCGGTGGCTGGAGGGATGGGAGAAAAAAAGGGGGGGGGACAATTTGGAGTTTGAAGGGCAAGATATCCAGATTCACGGGATGAAGATGGAGATGGAAGTAGGGGGGACAGGGGGGATGCGGTTTATAATGCACGAGTTCTGCCATGCCAAAGCTACGGGGAGGGATACTCGTGGCCTTGATATGTATACAACGTTAATGAATACTCACGAATAGACTTCACCAAGGGACATCGCTCTCGCTAGCGCTGCATCTTGACAAACTGAGAGGACACGGAAACGTCAGATCAGGAGACTATTGCCTACCGCTCTAGCATATTCAAGAAACAAAACCAAAATCACAGAGAGCTTACAGAAAGGGACGACGATATGGAACATCCAATGTATAGAAGGTGTCAATTTGTCTACCAGCGATGGTTTCCATGAATATGCTTATAATAAATCCCAAAAATCCATAAACCATCACCAACTCCTAGCAATGCTCGCTTTATCCCTCTTTATACCTGCTCCACTCCCATCCCAGTCTCCCATACCATGTAAAATTGTTTTTTTGACCCTTCTAAAAAGTTCCAAATATTCATGGGACATCCATGTGATGTCTTAAAATGAGTGACAAGTAGTAGAAACGAAAAACCCCCCAAAAACGTCATAAAAATAGAACAACAAAAGAAACAAGAAAAAATATTTATCGCCCTCGTCGGAAGACCGACGTGGCGAGTGTGACTCCAGCCGCAAAGATCATGAAACCAGGGAGTGAGCTAGTAGCCGGCTGCTGCCTCCGTGCCGCCTTCGGATCATCGCGTTTTTGTCCCGCCTCACCCCGCTCGCTGGCTCTCCGTGGAGGAGGATCCGGCAAGCCGTGGGCCGTGACGGGTCGTGACGACGCTGATGACGACGCCGAGGACATGGCAGAACGGGGCGTGTGGTAGCCGAGAAGCGCATCCTGAAGCGGAACCTTGTAGTCGTGTCGGTTCAGGAAGCCGGTCGTGCCCACTGGCTGGGATCGTGGCTGCTGCGGCTTCGAGAATGGGACGGCTGTGGCCGGTCGGGAGTCGACGACTGCAGCCGAGCCTCCGAGCAACGGGCAGAGGTTGAAGATTGCGGACGCGGGACGTAGGATAAGAGCGGTGCTGTATCCGGATGACTGTGGCCGAGAGGGAGGCTCGACAGGCTGCTGAGCTTCAAGATCGGGCTCGCTTGCCTTGGCCTCCGCTTCCTCGGGTTGTGAAATCGCCCTTTCCGCTTCACTATCTGTTCCCATCTTGTCTTCGGGACTCTCAGCAACAACCGGTTCCTCGGCAATGTTGGCCGTAGTTTCATGCTCAACTTGATTCTCAACCAGCTCTATCTCCTTGCCCTTAGGTTCGGCAGGATGAGCCGGCACAGTATCATAATGGACATGGTACCACGATTCGCCGTCCAGTTGCGACTGTTCGTCCGCCTTCACGTCGACCGAAAGGCCCTCGGAATCAACTAGGCCACGGTCCTTGGTCGTCTCAATAACGGCACCGGAAATAACCGGTTCGTCACCTTTGGTGATTTCAATATCAGCATCCTTGGGCGTGACTTGGTTTTCAGCTACGGAAGCCGTCTGGATATCGACTCCTTCCGCGGCTACCTTCTCGCTCGAGGATACTTCCACTTTAACCTCCTGAGCAACGGTTGCTTCCTCGACCGTATGAGACTTGTCGGTATCGAGTTCTTCGACGATTACCTCGCGGTTTTCAAAAGTCTCGATTTCCGTTTCTCCAAGAACCGCTTCGCCGGTCTTCGATTCCTGGATAGGATTCACGGAGTCGACCTGGTCATCGCCTTGCGAGATTTCGACACTTACTTCCTCGGGTTGAACCTGGCTTTCAACCGCGGTCGCTTTTGTCTCCGCGTCTTCGACGACTGCGATAGAGTCATTCTTCGACACTTCAACAGCATCCGCAGTATCCGCTTGGCCATCGCCCTTTGAGGTTTCAATATCAACTTCTTCAGGCTTACCCCGGTCTTCAGCCATGTCCCGGCCGATCTCTACCTCCTCGACCGTCGCCAGAGTGTCTTCGGATGTTTCGACAATGGCAACAATAGCGTCAGATGAGACCCGGTTCTTTATCGCTTTGAAGTCCTTCTCTTCGAGCTCGACCAGTGTCTCGACTGTGGACGCCGTCTCAGTATCAATATCCTGGGCAATCTTTTTGTCGCCAATGGATACATCAACGACGGCAGCCATAGCCTCGTCCTGGCCTACTGCCGTAGACGTTGGGACATCCGCAATAAGTCTGGTCTCTACATCAGCCACAGGCGCCTCGACTACTTCATCCTTGGCAACTTCCTTCGCCTGCCCTCCGGAGGTTCCCGCGACAGCAGCTTCCACCGCGCCAAGAACCCTAGAGACAATGGGTTGCACCACAGGCACTTCAGTGGGAAATTCAACGGGCACCACGGACGGCAGTGCGGCGATCACATCGCGAGCAAGAAGACTAATCCGCTTGTCCACTGATGTCTGCTCGGCCATGAGTGACAGCTTCACTGATCTCGCTTGTGACTCCGAGGAGTCTTCAAGGATATCTTTGCTAATGCTGCTATCAGTGGTCGGGATTGCCTCGTCGACCGTGGTCTCCGCAGGGGCCTCTGGAACCTCCGAAGTGAGGGCAGATACTTGATCCCAGGCAACATGTACCATCTCACTGTCCTCATCGGAAAGGCTCCTCTCCTCTTCGGCAGCATCCTCCTCTTGCACAGCAGGCACAGTTGATGCGGTCTCTTCTTCCTCCATTTCAGGCTCGAGCGGTTCGCACCAGTATTCTAGCCAGCCTTCCATGATTGGGTAGGGTGAAACTGCTGCCGTTGCCTCCTCTTTGGTTTTCTCCTGCTCGGGTTCGAGCGTCTCGCACCAGTATTCAAGCCAACCCTCCACCATTGGCTCTGGTATTTCCTTGCCACCCTGGCCATCGCCCTCGGTGGGCTCGGCAGGGCGCTCTGCAACCGGGGAATCCGGGGCACCAGTGTAGGCGTCCTCGAAGCTGGGGTTCGAGACGGAATAGGCATCTTCTTCAACCTCGGAGTTCCACTTGATGTCAACGGTCCAGATGGGCGTGGGAGTACCGGGGATTGGGCGTCCAATGACTGGGTGGCCCAACTTGGACAAGGGGACCCGTCCGTATTCGTAATCCTTGGAACAGCCCTCGACTTGCTGCTCGAACTGCGCGAAGTCACGAACGATAGTCTCATTGCCTTCTTCGTCTGCAATTCGAGGGCCGCGGCTAGGTGATTCTGGCATTATATCACTTCGCCTCAGATCCGGGCTGACGAAGATGCTACCCCGCTCAGTCTCATTGTCTCCATAGATGAGGCTTGGAGTTGATGGAGGGGTCATGTCAACCTCATCCGGCTTGACATCACGGTCCTTGATAGTAGATTCATCGTCGAAGGTGAGCTCCCGGTATAGGCTGCTGCTTGGCGTCTTGACTTCGCCTCGCAGACTGGCGGCCTTGGTGGCGGGAGTGGCCTTCTCCATGGCTGGACTAGCATGGTTGCTTGGTGGAGGAGTGCAGACGGATGGGTGCTGCTGGGGCGCCTTCTCGAGGGCCTTCGAAGGTGCTCTCTGCCGGGTGGGGAGAACGACAGGTACGGCATGGCCCCTTTGGGTTACATGCAGATTGAGAATGCCCTGAGACTTGTCGGTAAGGGAGCATGTATCTTTGCACAGCATGGTGATGTCACTCTGGATTTGCTCTCGGAGTTTCGAGATGATGACGTTTCCTTCCTCTTCCGGTGTCATTGTAAACAGCGGGCGCTTCATCTGCGGGTTGTTGCGGGCCACAAGCGTCTTGTCTAATATGAGGTGGCCCCTGTGGAAAACGGAGAGGGTGATTGCTATGCCGTTACCGTGGAGGACACTTGTAATACCGGTCTGGACCCGGTCGAGGATGGCCTCGATAGTCCGTCTTGAGTAGGGAACAGTCGAGTCGAGCGCGACTGTGAGAGGATCAAGGGCGTACCACTTCGCGGCACGGAGATCTAGGATCCGCACCTCGAGTTCATTGGTGTCGCTAATAGCGTCATCAGTCAACTTCATGACGCGACTAAGCGATTCCTCGATGGCTTGGAGGAAGTAAAGGCAATCTTCGCCGGCGGGATGATTGAACAAGACCTGCTTGCTCCGTATCCTATAGTCGAGGTGGTCGTGTTCGGGACCAATGTTGTTCCTGATGCGAAGGTTGATTGATACAGCATCGTCAGCTAGACTGGGCCACCTGAAGCCCTTGACTGCTCTTCTCCGAGTGTCTACTCCGACTTCCAGAACTTTGGAGGCGGCGGAGAGCAGCTCCTCGCCTAAAGATATATTGAGCGGCGAGCATTGGTTGCTGGCAATTCGGATGGTTTTTGAAAATTGTTGAGGTTGACGAGTGGAACACATGCTACTAAAAGATAGCTCGAGCTCGAACCCTGGCACAAACTCGTAGGATTGTGTACTCTCACGGAAGTGACTCCGCGGTACACAGGACAGGGCCTGGGATACAGGGGTCGAGGGGGTAGCTGCTGCACGAGGCTGGGATGTTGACTGCTCCTTGACGGGGCCACTAATCCATTCAAAGTTCTCGTCGTGGCGAAGGAAGAAGAGGCCGATCATGCGATCGGTAGCCACGATGACCTCTCCTGCCTGCTCCATGGTCGGTGGGCGCTTCTGGTATGACCTGAATATCTTTTCCTTGGTAGGGCATGGTGCATTGATAAGCTGGAAAGACACCTCATATCTCAGAGGTCGGTCGGGAGCAGCCTCGAGAGCGCCGGGATCTTTTCGTGTAATGAGCTCATGAGAGCAGTGTTGTAAGCGGCGTAGCAGTGTTGTGCAGAGCTCGGTGGTAGCCACAAAGCTCCGGGACGAATCGTAAGACCGGCTATAGTCGATCTTAATAGGGTCGAAGAAACGAACGGATACCTGGACCGACATGGGGTCGTTCATCAGGCGAAACTGTCTCCGGGTGCCCACATAGGGCTCGGAGGATGTGCGGGCAGACGAGCCCTTGTTCCTGACGTCCCAAGCCATCTCAGAAGTATTCTTCTGGCTGTGGGATATGGTGTTGGTAGAGATTGGATTTCTCCGGTCCTCTCCAGCTCCAGGGAGGGAAGAAAAGCCAGAGCCGGCAACAACTGGAGGAGTGGGAGGCAGAAGAAGGGGAGGGGGCCTCGAAAGGATTTGTGGGCGGGACTTATAAGAAGTACTCGTAGTAAAAATGGTGCAGCGTGTGGTGGTGGGCGAACGAGAAGACGCAATGGGGATGGCGGGGCATGCAGACGATAGCTCCACGTTCCTTCCCACTTTGGGGATCAAGATTGCCAAGGGAAAATTTGCAAGAAATTCACAAAGAAACAACAAAAAGAGAACAGTAAGAATAAAAAAGAAAGCCCGGTCTAATGGAAGGATTTGAGGCCAAAGCTCGAAAACAACAATGACAGCAATTTGACAAAACAAATTGCACAGAAAGGGGGCTTCGAAACGGCCTGTGAATAGAGCCAGACTCGACCTTGGCCAGCGATAAATCTGGAAAGGGAATCCGAGGCAACAAGTGTTTATGCAAGGAATTGGACGGGGTTTCCGAACCGGAATGCGCTATCACAGGGCACCTTTAGGCCTGTTCTCGGAGGACCAGCAGGCGGCGCAGGTGGTTGGCTTCTCAGGAGGAAGTGGGCTCCGGGTCCTTTATGTTGGACAAGGGGAGGGGTGAAGTTCTGAAGGAGAAAAAGCTCAATGGGCTTAGACTCTCATAGAGGCTTGGGATGCTGATTCTAGACCGAAAGCAAGCCGAGCTAGATATGCAGAGGGGGGCGGGGAACGGGTTGTCGATGGGCAGATATTACTACAGAGTGGAATTGATTCTCGAATATATACCAAATTATGACGAGTTGGGAATAGTTAGACCTTTTAGACATCGAGTTATCTTCCGAACGTGAGGGTGTAATTAGTCGACCGTCCGACCTGTTTTCGTTGGCGGCCCATCAGGCCATTTACGCGGTCAACTCGGCGCATACCCCATTCGCCACTAGGCTCGCGACAGGCAGAAACTGGGTTGGAATCACCGTGGTGATGGGACAGCCGACAGGCGCGGGCGTGGCCCGACCTCAAGCTGTCAACAATCAACAACACACCTTTCAGTGTCACGGGCAAAGAGAGGAGGACTGAGGACTGCCAATTGATGGCTGGGGCAAAGGGCTCTCTGGGTGTTCTGGGCGTCCTGGGCGCCGGAGAGTGTGCCACATGGAATTCGTGTCTTGTCCTTGGTGGTGATGACCAAAACCAAGGCTCCCTGCCTGGCGTGGCCCCAGTTGGCAGTCCCAGGTCCAGTAGACAGACCCAGTCCAGCCCCAGAAACTCCCCAGTTCCAGCGACTTACAATGCAATGCCAGAAGTCAGACGCTGAATAGCCGCCTTGCCTCTGCAAAAAGTCCGGCGCGTGAGAGGTCCCAAAGGGTGACAAGGTCCCACCCTAGAACTCGTCGAGCGAGTCAAACCTCTCCACTGGCTAGCGCGGAAGGGGTTTAGCTGGCTGACAGTGGCTGCCCAAGTCTCATCATGGATGGCATGAGGGCCTCTACCGAGATCTTCGTCCTGCTGGGTCCGCCAACCCGAGAATGACACCCTATCAGAGTCGGCCTCGGTCCGCTACCCTGTCTCTTTTTTCCTCGTTTTTTTTTTTCCTCCTTTCCTGGAAGTTTCAGCTGTTCGGGTTGTAAATGTCTTACAGGTAATTACTCCTGCTTCGTCAGTGCGAGCAGACAGCAGACAGCAGACACATAGAAACTCGACGAATAAAGGGCTGTAAGGCAAGCGTTGCCCAATAGCCTCTGGGCAAGGCCTAAGTCACTGCTGCCGCAGGAGCAGGAGCGCATAAACTGACCGACATTGTGTGTTGGAATAATGCGCTGTGCATGCCTAATAGTACGAAGTAATAACGAAACCCTAAGATGATCGTCTCAAGACGAAGATACCTCAAGACTCGTGTACGAAATACTTCGTACACTACTTCGCACATCAGATCAAGCTCCGGTGTCTGTGTCGGAGAAGAAACGACAAGAAACTTACACCAGAGTCCGGAGAGCAGAGACCTCAGACCAGAGCGATGACGAGCAAGTGTTCCGAGTTATCCTTTCTTACTCTCACGAGTTCCGGGTTGAAGGCCGTTTTTAGTAGTGACCGGATTTAGCATAGATGTGCAGCGCCTCACGCCATCACGATCAGTAACCGGAACGGGAGCTTTGGAACTGCATCAATGTATCATGATCACGGCCCGGGAGGAGGGTTTGATGCGGCATTTGTCCTTCTAAATCCATACAAAATCCCCAATTGCGGTCGGATGGTTCTTGCTTTGCCCATCAATACTCCGTACATGAACCTAAACAAGGGCCGGCATGAGGAAACGTTGAACATGAACCCTTCCTTGAAATGTAAGTAATGAGAAACCGGAGCATCGGACCAGAATGGATCCATTGATGCCTGCGATTGCATGTACAATGTACGAAAGTACGAAGAAGTGTGGAGTTCTTTTATCGTCTTTTATCGTCGTCCATCGACCGGGTTTACGTCAGGCACAATTGTTTGTACATTGTACTACAGACTTGGAATAATCCCGTCCCGTTCCAAACCCCCCCCCCCCCCCCCCCCCCCCCGCCGTATCAATTGATTCCGCGATCTCTCCCCTGGCTCCCGGGCCAGGGTCCAGGGCCCCACGGTTTCAGGGCTTTCAGGGCTGGAAAGAATTGAACCTTGGGGCTTAAAAAAATTCTGCCCCAACATTCAACGTCAAGCATAATCGATACTTCAATGTTCATACCTCGTGCTCATCCTTATGCTTCGCCCGTGGCAAATAATCTAGTGTACAATGGACAGAATTTCTCCCGGGTACCTGAGTAGCGATAACGAGAGATTGATCAAGATCAATTGCTGGAAAACCACTCTTACGAAGTCGTAACCTCGACGTAGGTTAGGTTCCTTACCAACAGAGTCCAGCAGAACATGTTGGCCCATCACGTCGGCCCTCTTTCCCCTCCTCTGCGCCCCAATCAATGGGGTTGATGCCCTTCGGTTACGTTTTCTTCGCTGCTTCTTCCACTCCTGGAGTACTGAACGGCCCCAGCCCCTGCAGATCCGCAAGGGTAATTCGCCCGTGACCATCTGCGTTGTGCAATATGCCCGACACCAGCCTCATCCAACCTGTTGGTTGATATTCGTCAGCATCATTGATGGCTGAGCCCAACCCCAAGACCAACAAGACCTTGTCCGCCTATTATACGATCGTTTGGCTGGCCTGTTTAACAGACCTTCTCCACTGTGTTTCGAGGTTAGGCCGCTGACCACGCCAGTCGTCTTCCACTTTCAATCCTATGCATCTTAGCACTACCTCTATGCTGTGTAGATTATCTACAGAACTGTGCTCAGAAATACAAAATATCGATGTACGGATGGCATTGAAGGGACATCGACATTTGATTGTTTGTCCTTGTCCCAAGAGCATCGCCGCCAGGCCCCCAACTTCCGAACTCCAGGCAAGTCGCCGCAGCTTTCTTGGTTTTTACGCCTCTTCCATCTCAAAATCCTCTATTCTTTTTCCATTTCATGCAGTATTTCGTTTGTCCAGTTTGTAGCGGAGAGGAAGTAACTCCGACGCAACTGTCGTAGTCGTGTGTAAACCATCAATACATATAACCATGGTGAACTCAACATGAGCATCTTCGACTTTTTGATACTTTTTAAGCCTGTTATCGTCGAATATTTGAACTTAAGTACCGCGTGCTACAGACAGACTCTTACACCCGTGCGTCCCAATCTTTCTTAATTAGCAACATCCCCGACGTTGCCCTCCATGGCCGGCAAGAAGAAGAAGCAGAAGTCGCAAACCCCACAGCCCAGCCTTAAGTTGTCAGAGAAGCAGCAGCAAAAGCCTGGGTCATCGAAGCAAGAACGGCAAACGAAGAAACTGAACAGAAACGAAACCAGAGCCCAAGAGTCTGGCGGTGTCCTCGTAACCCCCAAGCCCAAGAAACCTTCCGTCACAGATCTCTGGGCAGATTATTTCCAAAAGGGCGAATTGTCCGATTGGCAGCGGCTCTGTGAGGATTTGGGCCTACCATCGGACTTGCCAAGTAAGAAGCAATGCCGAAATGTGAGTCTTGTCCCTGCCCGATTTCATCCCTATCATGCAGTCCATCGACCAATCATCCACCACCACGCCTTGCCCCAGATTCTTCCCAAGAGGCAGAAGGAGAATGACGCGGTCGCTGACACAGTGACATTATGATAGGCTCTCAAGAGAGTAAATGTGAACATACATCAGTTCCTACAAGCCTCTGTCCGGCCCGAGCAGGTCAAATTCTTCCACAGCGTTCGGGACCTTGAGGACTACACTAGAAAGCGGCACCTCTTCTACCGGAAGAAGAACATACCTAAGGGCAGCCCGCTCTGCGCGTTGCTTAAATTCCTGATCTAAGAATAGAACTATAGGTCCTTGAGGGGGGTGTTTCGAAGTATGCATGGGAGGCGAGAGTTCAGTGATGGGGTTGGAGGTTGACGACTGGAGGGATGGAGATGGCCAAGTCAATGGAGCCAGTGTAAATCATTTTGATATCAGTACTTTCTATCGTCAATAACAATATTTTTCCCAGCCAAAAATGAGAGAGAAGAGAAAAAGAAGGGAGAGAAAAGAGAGAAAAAGCTCTATGTCCGCTTTCCATGATTGATTAATGCCTAATCTCCCACAGCCGAACCTTGCCAGCATCGTTACCCACCGCCAACATATCACTCTTCGTCCCAAAAGCAATCGAAGTCACCCGCCCCAGCGGGGTTTCCGTAGTCGGCCAGTTTCGGTAAACCGTGCAGCTGGGGAGGTGCGCCAACCGGAACGCATCCTTTTGTGGCTGGCTGGCAAACGCTACTAGCTGGCCGTCCGGTGAGAATTTAATGTTGGTGATGGGCGTGACGAGCTGCTCGAACCGCCGCTTCGGCTCGGGGAACTCGTTCACGCTAATCGTGCCCTCCTCATCCACTGATAGTTTCAAAAGCTCCGACCGGTCGTACATGTTCACTATGCCGGTGTTGGACCCAATCGCTACCCATCGATCCTCGCCAATCTGCTCTGGCCCTTTGCTTCCTCCAAGTGCCACGACGATACCGCCGATGCAGCCCTCGTCACGCCAGACACCTACGAATCTCTTCGAGATGAGATTCCACTCTCCCACGCGTCCATTTTTACCCAGAATAGTCAGGCCTTGACTGTTCCTCCACCAGGCAAAGTCGGCAATACCGCCGTGGCTGTCTAATCTCGCACCTCCCACCCACTGACTCGTAGTAACGCTTAGAATGTTGACCACGCCGCCTCCTTTCCTCGTAGAGCCCATGATAGCCATGTATTGTCCGCAGGGACTTAGCTTGAAATGTTCCATCGTTTTATGCTCCAACCTATGCCCTTGTACTCGAGTAATTTTCTGCACTTGGCCCGTCTCGAGATCCCAGGTGTGAAACCACTTGCGCCGACCAGAAAACACAATCTTGTCGCCGTATGGGAGGCGGAACTCGGACCGCCGGATGTCGACGTTTTTCGCTTGGACAGAGGTGAGTTTGGGATTGGGCGTAGGGTGCGCTGTTGCATCGAGGTGGTGGAGGAAGAGCATGGATGACGGGCTGGATGTCATAAGAATCGGGAACTTGGGATGGAATGATATGCTCGTAACCGGACCCCGATGTTTGTCGGGGATGTCTCGTGTCCGCTGAATATCAATCACTTCGGGTTTTAGTCGTCTCGACATTGTGTTGCTGAGATGCGAGAGCTGGGCTGCATCTCTGAGGAACTGGTTCAAAGGCTGAGCAGTAATGTCTTCTTCATTCTCGTCTGCACTTGAACCGGTGGAGGAATCGCTAGCATCCGATGATCGCCTCCTACGCTTGGTGCGGTGACCATGCGCTTCCTGCGCCCATTTGGGGAGAGGATTGAGCGTAAGGTATTGCTTTCTTAACCTCTCGGTATAATCCGTTCCGGAAACGACATCCTCCCCTTCCGCTATCCTGAGTTTCCGGAGTCGCGAGGCAGTTGCCAAGGAGACTGCTAGCCGCTCGTCATCGCTATCCACCCACGCAGGCACGTCCGTAGGCTCAGGGCCTGTCTTAGCGCCCGTCGATTTAGCGTCCGACTTTACCAACGCTCCTGATGATCGGCCAGTGTCAATCATGAAGAGATCGGAATCCTGAATGTCTTCCGCCTCGAGCGAACCCTCCCGGTTTCCTTCTGCCAATTGCAGCTCTTTCCCATTCTCCAAATCTTCCAAATCCGCGAGAAAATCTCTGTCGAATAGTCGCCTCCGGAATGTTTCCGTATTCCCTAGAACAAGTCGTTCTAGCTCTTCTTCTTCGGCGTCTTTTTCGGCGAGGCGGGCGGGCGGTCGCACCTCTTCTTCTTCCGACGAGGACTCGTCGGATCCCTCGAAATCTACATCTTCGGATTCGGATTCGGAGGAGAAGAACCTCTGGGGATCATCCCCGACCTCCTTTTGTTTAGACATCTTGAGTTATGGTGTATGTAGTCGACAAAGCCAAAGGGCTTGAGGTGGATATACAAGTCAAAACTTCAGGCTGGGAAGTTTTTGCTGGGATATGGAATGGGGAAAAAAAAAAAAAAAAATTCCTTATCGTTATCGAACAGTCCCTCCATTGACGTCTGGGGCCTGCTGATGACAGGTGCTTTTTCCGACTCCGACAAGGAGCTATTTTTAGTGGGTTGTCACTGGAATTAATTGATCGCCTCTGGCAACGGACTGAGCATCAATAATTGCTGCGATGTGATTTCGACCAGACGTTGACCGCGACGACGTCCTTCAAGCCTCAGACATCCCTCAGCCCTTGCCCGTCCTACACATTACCGCGTTCGCTTCCTTGGGCTCATTTCAATCTTCAACGGCTTTCAAGATGGCTAGCGACGACGATACTAAGTCGAATAAAAGGAGCCATTCTGAAATGGCGGATGATGCATCTGGTAGGCTTCCTTTTTTTTTTTTTTTTTTGCGACTTTCATGTGTTGCAACTTGGCTAACTCCTGGGAAGACAGCTCCTCAGACGATGACATGGGACCCCAGCTCCCAACCGAAGCTGCGCCAAAGAAGAAGCGCCGCTATTTGCCTTACGAGAAGCTCTACGTTGCTGCACTGCCGAAATCCGCCCGCTACTCCAAGTCCCTGATGCACAAGGAACAAGTTTCCTTCGTGAACATGACACCCTTATCCGAGTTCCTCATCACATCTTCGACTGACGGCACGGTGAAGTTTTGGAAAAAGGTCGCAAAGGGCATCGAGTTTGTTAAGGAGTTCAGGGCTCACCAAGGCGAGATACTCTCCGTGTCCGTGAGCGCCGATGGTCGCAGCTTTGCTAGCTGTGGGACAGACGACACGGTCAAGATCTTTGATGTCATAACCTTTGACCTCTTAACAATGATTCCCCTGGGATTCCGCCCCCGGAGTATTTGTTGGGTCCATAAGAAAGGCGCATCATTGCCGCTGCTTGCCGTGTCCGAAGACACGAAGCCGCTCATTCACATCTACGACGGTCGGGGCGTAAAGAATGAGCCGGTTCATACTATAAAGGGCCTTCACCGTAAGCCAGTGTCGGTTATGACCTTCAATGAGTCTTTTGATTGTGTGGTATCAGCCGATGAAGGTGGCATGGTAGAATACTGGCAACCTAGCGGGGACTACGAGAAGCCAAGCAGTGTGTTCGCCCTCAAGAGCTCGACGAACCTCTTTGATTTCAAAAAGGCCAAGTCTGCCCCTGTGTCTCTGACGATCAGCCCTGACGGGAAACAGCTCGCTGCGTTCTCGCTCCCGGACCGGAAAATCCGACTTTTCGATTTCGCGTCGGCGAAGCTGTACAGGACATATGATGAATCTCTGCAGATTATCGAAGATATGCATCAAACTGGATCAGAATTTCACAAATTGGATAACGTCGAGTTCGGCAGGAGGTTTGCGCTGGAGAGGGAGATTGAGTCGCCTGCTCTCCGGAATAAACCAAACGTAATATTCGACGAGTCGGGCCACTTCATTCTCTACGGTTCCATCCACGGCATCAAAGTTGTGAATACGTACACCAACCAAGTTGTCAAGACATTCGGCAAGGACGAGAATTTCCGCCCTTTGAACTTGACGCTCTACCAGGGACAGCCCCAAAAGAAGAAGGTGGCTTCGATCGAGATGGGCGCTTCGAGCAACCCCCTCCTGCAAGAGCAAGAAGCAAGAGACCCGATTCTCACGGCGACAGGCATCGGAAAGGTTCGGTTCTACATGTTTACAAACGAGGAAGAAGTGTCCAAGTCTACCAGGGATGTGCAAAATGAACGGCCGACCGCCATCAGTCAGAAGGCGGCTGCCGCTGCGGCTGCCAAGGCGGCGGTGGCAGGGACCGGGGCCATAATCCACACCACTTACGGCGACATACACATCCGGCTATTCCCCAAAGAGGCTCCGAAGGCGGTGGAGAACTTTATTGGGCATTCCAAGTCTGGTTATTACAACAATACCATTTTCCACCGTGTGATTCGAAAGTTTATGATCCAATGTGGTGATCCACTTGGAGACGGCACGGGAGGCGAGAGCATTTGGGGCCGCGAATTTGAGGATGAGTTTAGTGCTCTCAAGCACGACAAGCCGTATACCGTGAGCATGGCGAATGCCGGGCCGAACACGAACGGAAGTCAATTCTTTATCACCACCGAGAAAACTGTAAGTGACGCAGAATTCCCTACCATCTCGGCCTCCCCGGCCGGGCTCTACTTATTGGTATTATATTTGATGCTGATCAACCCAAATTTACCTTTCTCAGCCATGGTTGGACGGGAAGCATACAATCTTTGGCCGGGCCACCCAGGGATTCGATGTCATTCATAAAATTGAGAATGTGCGGACGTACAAGGAGAAGCCCGAGATAGATATCAAAATTCTCAACATCGACATTGTGTAACCTCTCTGGTCGGACCAATCCCAAATGCAGCTCGAGGCTGCACGGAGTCATGCCGAGGATAGAAAGAGATGAAAAGCCAGAGGAAAAGAAATTTAAAATTTTCAAGTTCATCGTTCTCGTCGCCCAGCCCGGACACTCGGTCTCGGTCACCGACATGGATAAGCCCTAACCGGGATCTAGCGTCGGTGAGTCTAAAACAGGCTCACTCGTTACTTTTCTTTTCCGTTCATTTTCGTCCTCGTGACTTCGTCGAGTCTGCAGACAAAAATGGAAAGAGTCGAGACTCACTTCGTACAAGGAAGATTTGAGAGGGACCCTTTGTCTCCCTGTCACACTATTAGTGAAGTGAATTGAACCCCCACGCAGAAACACAGCTCATCACCACCACTTACCAGTAGCACCCACGGACGGGGACGAATTGCCGCAGGCGAACGGACTCAGTGATCCACCACGGGTCCCACGCAGACGCTTTAACACCCCGCGCTCAGCTTTGGCGTCCAACCAGGGCGAGCCTGGAGAGAGACCATCTTTCCAATATAATAGTGTTGATCTGCATTGGCTCTGCTGCATCTCGACAAGTCAGGCTCGCTGGCCGGGGTTAACCATAGCCAATGGGTGGCGGGTCAGCGGGCAGGACCCTTGTTGGCTGGCGAGCCTATCAAATGTCCTCTGTTCCCTGATTAAACCGGGCCAGGCCATAATATTCCACGAAGTCTGCAGCTTGGTTCCGATCCCGGTTCGCTCCAGCCATCCATCCCACTGCCAGCGCCCAGCGGGGCACCACCGAGACGCACACATTGTCGGTCAAGTGTTACCTTTGCACTTGGCTGTGCTGTGGAGAGTGAGCTCGACTGCCGGGATAGACTTGCGGGATAGACATGCGACACTCCTTGGAATACAGGAGACGGTCAACGAGATTAAATTATTTTCGACTGCGACACCAGCGCACGATAGCACAGGTCAGGCCAGCCCATTCGAGGCCAGCCCAACCCACGCCACGACGGTCGGAAACGACGAAACGAACGACTACTTCGTATGAAGAAGATGATGATGGCGCATGTGTACATCCAATCTCGGGAGGATCAAACGCCCTCTAAAGACCAGGCGCCTCCGGTCGGACTCTGGGAGCCCAACCTGCAAGGCCTGAAATATATATAAATATATCTCCCGAAGTATCTGTCATTTCTGAGATTTTGCCATGTCATTATTTGCATTATTCCCCGCGCATTGCCAGCATCGCGTTTTGGATGAATGATGCATCTCGCGTTGGACGTAGCACAATACAAGTTCGCCATAGCCATCCACATCCATGCCATGCCCATGTCCTGTCCATGCCGACACCCATAATCCATGTCTGCCCATGCTCATCATGTCTTGAGTCTTGTCTTGTCCCTGCCCTGCCCCATCCCAACCCGCCGTTTCCTCTCACATCAGTTGTAACCAACCCAAGCCCACACGCGCACACACGCAGAGACACACACACACACACACAACTCCCACGCATACATTTTACATTTGACACGCACGCACACCTACATGAGGTGCATCTACTACCTCAGTACCTGTGTGCAGCTACATACAAAGCTACATACCAAGCCCAACCCCCGCTAAGCCTGCCGAAAATCTGCGAGTTTGATGAATTGACGCTCCTCCGCTCCTCAGACGCCGCCACATCGTGCATCCTGCGGTCGGTTCTTTTAACCCTGGTCAACATCAGAAAGCCCGCCACCCCGGAACTTGCCCTCCATCGAATTATTAGAAGGGTAAGGGCAGGAAAAGAAGAGAACAAAATTTTTAAAAAAATTAAAGGAAAGAAAGGATCCAAAAACCTGTACATCGGCAAGCAAGGAACTTCCGAATCGGGAAACAAGACACCCCACCGAAGATATCCAAGTCCCGTTACCCCCAACCTAGATCCACCCAAAACGCGATCCCTCGATCGGGCTGCGATCCGGCCAAGGCACAAGGCACCAGGCCCGAGTAGTGTTTGGCGGAACGGCAGAACCAAAGGGGAAAGAAAGGAGGGAAAAAAAACAATGAGCGTTTCTTCACTCCCGAAGACCTGACAGAAAAGAAAGAAGAAGAAAAAAAAGGAAAACAAGCAAAGCCTTCCCCCCCTTCCCCCGGCCCAATTCGTCGCGCGACTTTGACGGCGACACAAGCGAGAAGGCTGTATTAGCATGCCCCCCGCGGCCTCCCCGCATGCCCTGTCCTTCACTCGTTGAAAGGCCGCTTCTCGCGTGTCCTCAGTGAAAAGCACATCTTCCGTAGCCGCCACCACCAACAACAATCCCGGAAAGGTTACTACTAAACCCTTGACGGCCTGGACGACACTGTCCGGGCTAGAGTATGCCGCGCCCCAAGAAGCCCGGAGCGCCTGAACCGAAGCGAAGAAGCAGAACGGGATGCTGGTAAGTTCTGACCCTTGACGTGGGAGAAGGAGAAGGTGAGAGAATAAGAGAGCGACGAGGGGTCCCCAAGAAAAACTGCGGGGGCGGGGTTTCGCATGATGCTCGCTGACGCCAACTCCCCCCGGTCCATCGGTCCATCCTCGCGGAGCACGTAAAAAGTTAACCTCTTCACGTCTAGGCAGTGTAAAGGTCGGAAAGTAAAGTGTGGCGAAGAACGACCCTCTTGCGTCAAGTACGTCCAGTCCCGCTTTAGGCCCCGTTCCCTGTGACAACTCGAGATAAACCTCCCCGTCCTCCTCCTACTGCTCCCAACCGATCTAACAGGCACCTGCCCTACAGTTGTCGGAAAGCCGGCCACACATGCGATTATAGCATTCGACTGAACTGGGACGGTCGCCGCACGAAGCGAACCTCTTATGATGCCACCGGCGACGGCCAGCTATCTTCCCCCACACGGGGTCAGCGCCCGTTTACCATCATCAACCAGACCTTTGCAGCCAATGCCTCGCCCCAGCTCCCGCCGCAGCAGCGGCGCCTTAGCGAGGGGTCCTGGAACGATGACCAGCTGATTCCGAATCGAGCCCCCGATACTGGGAACGACACCGCCCAACAGCAAGTTCCTGTGAGCCCGAGCAACCACGTGTTCCCTGAAAGAGACTCGCTCCTACTCAGCCCGGTCAACAATGCGAGCGCCGGAAATGCGGCGCAAGAGCAAGAGCAGATGCTAAGGGACATGTTAAATCCGAGAACCCAACCTCATAAGGAGCCTCCAAACTTCAATGCCCACCAATTCGTGGTGCCTATTCCTGAACCTGCCGTGGCTGGTCCCAGCCCTCCCCGGGACTTTGATAACCTTCTTTTTCGGCAACCTCAGGAGAGAGCCGGAGGAATCCTTGCCCCTCTCGGGACCCCATCCACTCTTCAATCTGCAGGCAGCATTGTTGCTACTCCTACTCTAGGCGACGAAGGGAATACGCCCATCTTCATGCGCTTCCACCCGCTTGCGAATCTCGGCCCCCTTGCATCTCCACTTACACCCATGACGCCGTCTTCGTACAGCGACGATGATCCTCGTGCCGCTCAGCAGACTCCGTCGAATCCCGCCTCCCCCGACATCCGCCGGCTTACCGTCAACTCCCTTCTCTCTGGGCCCCCGGGGCCAGTTTACAATTCCACCGAAGGCCACCTTATTCGCAACAACGCTGTTCCGGGGTTTGGGCCTGGCTTCGAGTACGACTTCGACCTCTTCGGAGGGGCACGCTTCTATGGTTATGATCTTGGAAAGCGAGACGAAGACCTTCCCAAGAATGACGATCGCAACGCCATCGCCTCGACACCTCCCACGCCTCAAACGCCTCAGGATCACGCGCATGATTTATTGCATAGTGCTGGACACGGTGGTGTTGATGACGCTTTTAAGTTCGAGACGAAGTACAGTGATCGACCGAGCCGGAAGAGCGGCGGGTACTACAAGGAGCCTGTGCCGATTAGGATTCCGCATAGTCTGGAGCCATTACCCCGGAAGTCGGTGTTTACTGTTCCCAGATCATACTTGAAAATAACTGGTTGGGCTGACAACTTGCGATTGCTAGACTGCAAGAGAATCCGATGAATTTGCTGGTGAGTATAACTTCCCTAGTGAACCTCAATAATACGTCTCCATAGTTTTTTCTGTTCTGGCCGCTGACTCGGATTGCAGTACTTTGTAAGGATGTGATATAAATGTTCGTCATGAGAACACACATGAGCTAACTTTTCCCAGCACCATTTCCTCAATCACACTGCTAGAGGTATGTGCCTTTATCACAAGAGAAAGCTATGTTTCAGGCCCGGGCCCTAACCATCGAGCAGTTCTCATGCCGTATGACGACCAACAGTCGAATCCGTTCCGTATCATTCTTCCCCAGATGGCTGTCAAGAATGACCATCTTCTAAGCCTTCTCTTGGCTTATTCTGGTACGTGAAGAGTGGCGGATGTACCAGGCCTTTTCATGTTTTTGCTCGCCTAACCTTTTCCTTTTCTTTCTATTTTTCTCCCTCGATCCAGCCTCCCACCGTGCTAGGCTTCTCCACCAAAAGGAACCAGAGATGCGCATGGCCCTCTGGGTTCAGGACATCTTCCCCGCCCTTCGCGAAGCCCTCAGCGACGATACCCGCATCATATCCAACACCAGCCTCGCCACCGCCATCATGCTCGCCTCTCTCGAGATCATCTCCCCGAAGGCCTTCGGCTACGCTATCCCCTGGCAAGAACATCTCAACCTCGCCCGCGACCTCATGCGGAAGCGCTTCTCCGGTACCGGGGTCCCCAAGATTACGCACTCGAGCTCCCAAGAAGACCAAGTGTGCTCCTTCCTATGGAGCTGGTTCGCCTACCTCGACGTCCTCGGGGGTCTCTCCGGCGGGCCTCGCAAGACCGACTCGTCCCTGATGCTGCCGCTCGAGTATACCGACGACCCAGATGAGATCGACTGTATAATGGGCTTCACGACGCGCTGCGTCCGCCTCCTAGCCGGAACAGCCGACCTCGCCCGCCTCAGCGACGCGCAGCGCATACTCCCTGGCAACACCGTCAACCAGTACTGGTCGCCCACCCCCGAAACCGTGCAGCGCGCCCACGCCTTGGAGGTTGCCCTCCGCGAAAGCGTAGAGCGTGAATCTCGCCCCTGCAAGCACATACCCATCGAGAACGTCGATGGGCGAGACCGCGTCGAGATGACAGCTACCAACGAGGCGTTCCACTGGGCGGGTATCGCGCAGCTTCATAGACGTGCGCTGGGGAAACCCGCTTCGCATCCCGATGTCCAGGAGCCTGTTTTGAAAATCATACAGTGTCTTGGGCGTATTCGGAAAGGGGGGACGGCGGAGATGGGGATATTGTTTCCCATGTTCACGGCGGGGTGCGAGACTTCAGATGAGTATTGTAGGGCTCAGATTCTGGAGAGGTTCAGGAGTGTTGAGAGGAATGGCATGACACAGGTGAGTAGGAATCTTCAGAATTCGAGTTCCAATCGTGGGCATACCCTTTGGCCCTCTTTTTTCCCCCGGCACACCCTTTTCCCCCCTTCTCTGTCCCTCCCCGTCTAACGAGGTCGTGTGTGTAGATCCGCAAGGCGAGAGAATTGATGGTGAAAGTATGGAAAGAGGGCCGGCCCTGGGAAACCATGCTCAAGAATGAATTCATTGGGTGACGAAGTGCTTGGTCTTTTCATAGTCGACTTTTCTTCCTTTCTTCTTTCTCTTGTCTCATTCTCTTTCCTGCCTTTTTTTTCACTTCTTGTTAGTATATTTGCAGCCGCATTGCTTTTCTATCATTGTTTCAACCTATGGGAGGATTCGTTTTCAGGAAGAGGGGAGGCTACAATCTTGGGACCTAAAACGAGAAAAAATATCTGGTTGTTTAAAAGTTGCATAGCGAAGCTCAAAGTCTTCGAATGAATCATACCCTTTGAACTCTCAATCATCTCATCAAGACTTAGGTTGCTTCGTTTCGTTTTCCTCTAGGGACGAGGCTCAAAACCTCTCCTTGAGAGACAAGACATCACCGAAGTCTTTTCCAAAAAAACAATATGAACTGTCATCACAGAATTACCTTCATGATTTTGTGGATATCTGTCTACCGTAGTTAAACTGAACACCTCTTTTCCCCTTTCTATCTTATTCGCTCCCTCATGGCCCCAAGTCTCCTTTTTCTTTTTTCACCTACTGAGTGCTATATCATCAATACGCAAAATCATCTTGACAGTCTCCGCCGCCAGCTCAATAGCGCTCGTGCTAACCAACAACGGCTGAAGCACATTCTCCTTGGCAATATTAGAGTTGACGCCGCCCGACTTGATACTCACGCCCGCGTTCTTCTCGCCCATCTCGTGCCTGTGTCGTAGCTCCGTGACGACCTTGATGCTGTTAAGACCGGCGTTCTCGGCTAGGGTCGTCGGGATAACTTCCAGCGCCTCGGCGAACGCCTTCCAGCAGATCGCCTCGGCGCCGGTGAGCGTCCTGGCCTGCTTGGAGAGCTGCGCCGCGATCTCGATTTCCGGCGCACCGCCTCCGGCAATGAGAGCCTTCTTCTTGACCAGACACCTCACGACACAAAGGGCATCGTGGAGACTGCGCTCGGCCTCGTCGAGGATGAGGGAGTTAGCGCCCCGCACCACCACGGACACTGTCTTGCCCGCCGACTTGGTGCCCGTAACCTTGACCATGCGCGAGCCGGATGATTGGACCTCCTCGACGAGGTCGGCGCTTCCTAGCTTGTCTTCGGTGAAGGAGTCGATATCGGCGATGGGCTTGCAGCCCGTGGACTTGCAGATGAATTCCACCTCATCCCTCTCGATGTCCTTTACCGCAAGAATGTTGAGCTTGGCCAGGAAGTGAAGCGAGAGATCGTTGATAGCGTCTCGAAGAATCGACTTCTGGATGAGCAAAACATTGCACTTCGCCTTCTTAATCTTCTTGACTAGGTTGAGGAGGTATTGTCGTTCCTCCTTGACGATCTTGTCCATTTGCCTATAGTCGTTGACGGCAATTGTGTTTTCCATCTGATAAAGATCCCTGTTAGTGCTTCCGTGACCTAACATAAAGTGTAATTGTGGGAAGAAGAAGAAGAAGAAGGGGGGCTGGAAAGACATACATCAGGCTTGGGAGGACTAAGCTGGAACTGGATGAGACCAATCCTCGCCTTCTCCATCCTCACAGGACCGCCTGCACCCTTCAGTACGGGCTGCTCTAATACTAGGCCATCAACAAGCTCGCTGTCCTCGATGGTTCCGCCGACCTTCTTGACTATTCGAATGTTCTTCAGATCCACGTTATCCGCCGTCTTGAGATCTATCGTCTTGACGACCGAGTTCACCGCCATGGGGCCGAGAAGGTTGGAGTATTGGGAGACGATCTTGGACGAGAGGGAGGTGTTGGCGGCTTGGAGAAGGGCGGAGGTATCGGTGAGTTGGATCGGCTGGGACATTTCGTGAAGGATCTCGACCGAGGCGGCGGCCGCTCTTTGGAAGGCCTCCGAAATAACTGAAGGGTGGATACCCTTGTTGAGTAGCCTGTCCGCAGCACCGAGCAAGCTTCCGCAGATGACGACGACTGATGTCGTACCGTCACCAGCTTCAACATCCTGGGCTGTGGAGAGGTTGACCAGCATCTTGGCCGTAGGGTGCATGACCGACATGCTCTTCAACATCGTATTTCCATCGTTCGTGATTATGGTCTCTCCCTTTCCGCTTCGAATCATCTTGTCCATGCCACGAGGGCCAAGCGAGGTTCGGATGGCATCAGCGACGGCTGTAGGAGGGGAGAGGAGTAAAGTGTAAGTCTTTGGAACTATCCGGACGGGTTATGTACGAGGGAGTAGACAATATAAGTACCTCTAGCTGCGACAATGTTGGAAGATCGTACGGCGACGGGCTTCTCCTTGTCCTTCAAGCAGGCAATTAAAGTTAGTGCAGTTCTCAGACAATAAGGCGGGGAGCTTCCCATACTCTGAAGGTGGCCTCGCCTCCGCCTCCGCTCGCTTGCGCAGTTGCCGACATTGTGGATTGTGTATATGTGACTGGTGGGATCAACCGAAGGGAAGAGAAACTCAAGCGACTGGGAGGAGCAGATGAGCCAGGGGATAGGGTCGTGAAAGAGTATTAATTCTACTACCCCAAGTCGTTTACGACTGTTGCCTCTTGAAGAGCTCAGAAATATTCTTTGGCGGGGCCCCCTGTTCCCCTCCACGTGACTGCGCGAGGTCGCTATCAAACTGGAGGTTTGAGGGGCAAACAATGGATCTGGGAGATTCCATGAAGTACTGAGGTACTGCGTACAATGGAGTGAATTCATCAGTTGTCATTACTAAGATTGACACCCGGTAAAATTGGTCCGTTCGCCACATTCGCACATGGCCACTCCCAGAAAGGTACTAGCGCCATATCAGCCTCGCAGATACTCGCCTCCAAAGCCCAGGTCAAGGCAGCTAGACATTACGAACATCGCCAATGCTCCAACCCATCGACAACCTACTCAACTTCTCATCCTAAACAACACCCCGTCGCGAATATCTCAACCGTCCTCGAAACCAAAACATTCACCACCTCGCGACACATTACCACCGTACTCTCACTGCCGAGTTTCGAGACGTATCCTCCCTCGATTCATTTCCGCCCTTAGAACCCACACCAATCTGATAGCTAGAAGCTCACCAGCTCGCCACCATGGTATCTTCCAACCTCAACCCCCAAGATCCATTGCTACTCTGTTCCATCCCCACGTAAATTTACTAACATTCTCCAAAGCGTACGGCAACAGGTGCAAACTGGGAAAAGTACAAGAAGAACTTTGATGACGAGGAGGCAGAAGAGAAGAAGATCACGCCTCTCACCGATGAGTACGCATCCGCTCCGCCTCCCCCGCCGAAAGAAGACAACGTCTTCTAGCTTCATACGAAAAGTATCTGACATGTGATATCGAATAGGGATATTCAGGTTCTCAAGACATACGGTGCGGCTCCCTATGGAGCTGCCATCAAGAAGCTTGAGCAACAAATAAAGGAGAAGCAAGCTAGTGTAGATGAGAAGATTGGAGTTAAGGTAAGAGATGCAGACCCGCAAAGATGACCGCTCTTGGTTCACTCACCTTCTAACGCCTCGCAGGAATCAGATACCGGTCTCGCGCCGCCCCATCTCTGGGACGTGGCAGCCGATCGCCAGCGAATGTCGGAGGAACAACCGCTTCAGGTAGCGCGGTGTACCAAGATTATCGCCGACGAGAAGGGTGACGAGTCGAAGAGCAAATACGTTATCAACGTTAAGCAAATCGCCAAGTTTGTCGTTCAACTCGGCGAGCGGGTGAGCCCTACCGATATCGAGGAGGGAATGCGCGTGGGTGTCGACCGGAACAAGTACCAGATTATGCTTCCCTTGCCGCCCAAGATCGACTCGAGTGTGACTATGATGACGGTCGAGGAGAAGCCCGATGTTACATACGGAGATGTTGGTGGATGCAAAGAGCAGGTCGAGAAGCTTCGTGAGGTCGTCGAGATGCCTCTACTCTCCCCTGAGCGTTTCGTCAGCCTCGGCATCGACCCACCCAAGGGCGCTCTCCTCTACGGCCCTCCCGGTACCGGAAAGACGCTATGTGCCCGAGCTGTTGCCAACAGGACGGACGCCACCTTCATCCGAGTCATCGGTAGCGAGCTAGTCCAGAAGTATGTCGGTGAGGGAGCCCGTATGGTTCGTGAGCTATTCGAGATGGCCAGGACGAAGAAGGCCTGCATCATCTTCTTCGACGAAATCGACGCCGTCGGCGGTGCCCGATTCGACGATGGTGCTGGAGGCGATAACGAGGTGCAGAGGACCATGTTGGAGCTCATTACCCAACTTGACGGATTCGACGCCCGAGGAAACATCAAGGTCATGTTCGCCACTAACCGCCCCTCGACCCTCGATCCTGCCCTCATGAGGCCCGGTCGTATCGATCGTAAGATTGAATTCTCCCTTCCCGACCTTGAAGGCCGAGCCAACATTCTCCGCATCCACGCCAAGAGTATGTCCGTCGAGCGCGATATCCGCTGGGAGCTCATCTCGCGTCTGTGCCCCAACGCGACCGGCGCCGAGTTGAGGAGTGTGTGCACGGAGGCTGGTATGTTTGCCATCCGTGCCAGGAGAAAGGTGGCTACGGAGAAGGACTTCCTCAGCGCCGTCGAGAAGGTCATCAAGGGTAATCTCAAGTTCAACTCGACGGCGTCGTACATGCAGTACAACTAAGCATCGGGGGGGGTTGTTGTTTTCTTTTTGTCTCTCTTGGAGGTGGAAGTAGATAAGAGGAAGAAAAGTTGAAGTTCCACTCTGGATGAATGGGGCGCATAACTTGTATGAGTACCTTGTAAACTGCTCTCCTGTGTTCGGAGTGAAAGAGGATGGATGAGCAGAGTCGTCTACAACCAGGTTAAACGGAAATGGTGCCGAAATAGAAATTCATGGCCTTTTATCAAATCCAACACTTGTTTCTCTGACAAACTTCTTGTGTCCTACTTCGGAAAAGAGTATCTCTTGTTAACTTTAGCTGTATTTCTTGTGAATTATGGACTTTGCATGAGAGACTGTTCGATTTGGTGGCTGTTGTGTTCCTTCACCATTCTGCTACAGCTCCCTACTGTACATTCCTTTCCCTATGGGAGTTTCAACCCACCCCTCCCCCCCCTTCCGCCTAACTAAATATATAATGCATTGTAAGCAAGAACCAGAAACCAAGCAAGCTTTATCCTCTCATGCAAGAACAACCACTTCCCCGCTTGAGTTGTGAAAGGGGCAGCAAGTGAAGGCCCCCATACCCCTGAAAGCAATCGCTAGATCATTCCCCTTTACTCCCAGGACAATCATTAAACCCAAGAACCCAGCTGGAGCTAAAGGAAGAGAAATGAGGTTGTAGGTATAAAGGGGGATGGGAAGAAGCAACGAGTGCAGTAGTTGTGTGACTGGGTGCCATGTAACAAACGTGAAGGCTCAGCGCTGAAAGAAGGCATAGGTGAGATACGAGACCATGATACCGAACGCCATAGCCCAGATGCTTTTCAGCCCAATACACCCAAACCATGGCTTGCAACTCCATAATCCCATCCATAGCTCCATTCCAGAAGGCAAAAGGAGACCCAGTAGAAAGCCAGTTGTGAAAAATCCCAGTCAAAAGGAAAATGAATTGAAGATAGACAGTGTTCCCCAAAGGAAAGAAAAGAGTTGAGGGAAAGAGGAAAGAAGAAGAAAGGGGAGCGGAGAAAGTAGACTCAAACACCCTCCATCCGTGATAAACATCCCAGGCAGGCAATGTCTCCATCGGAACCCATCTCGACGCAGCATCGACTACACACCACGCTCCTGTGACCGCTGGCCGCCCAGCCGTCGTTTCCGGATCCTTCCCCTCCTTCACTGGTGCCGCATTCTCGTTGTGGAGGCGCGTCGTCCATGTGAAACGATCTCGAAAGTACCTCCTGCTCCGAGAGCACGCCAGAGTCCTCCGACATGCAGGTTTCGTCGCGTCCTGCCGCAGCCCAGCCCCTACACTCCCGTATGCAGACGAAACATGTTCTGCCCCCGCACCCTTGGCAATCGGCGAACGAGTCGAGGTCTGACTTCTTTGTCGGTCTTCTGTGGCAAATGTGGCATGGTGAAAGCGAGACCCTTGACGCGGGTGTCTGTCTCGCCGCAGTGGATGTGCCATTCACGTCTCTACCGGTCACAGCACCTGGTGTAGCTGGCGGCGATCTTGTGCCACGCCGGTTTCTTTCGGGGCAGCCATCGCCCGGTATAACGCGGGCTCTCTTAACGGATGGGAGCGGTATTATTTTGCGGGTGGCAACTTGCCATTTCTCGTGGGGTGGGAGAGCAGTGTAGATCGAGGAGTTCGTGGAGGGATTCTGTACGACGCCGAAGGGCAATTTCGGGTATTCTAGTATGGCGTAGGGTCGTTGCGAAGGTGGCGGAACGGTATTGTTGTTGTCGTAGTCGCCATCATCCCTCCTCCGCTTCTTGCAGCATGGCAACGGCGACCGTTCGTCGGTCACCGATGGCATGGTAAACACTGTGCACGCTTTCCTCCTATTTGAAAATGAGGTCTGTGGTATGGATTTCCGCAAAGCGACAAGGCGGAAGGTATGGACCTGAGGTGATGCGGAGTCAAAGAAGACGAGGCGTCAACCGGTGCGTCGATTATCGAGCGAGTTGTTGCTGGGTGTGCCTGAGTATGTTTTGTTTGGTAGGAATCTTCCGTTCGTTCATAAATATGTGCAAGGTCGAGAACAAAAGTGTCGAGTGGAAGAGTCAAGAATGTCGAGAGCGTCGAGAGCGTCGAGATTAATCGGTAGGATATGGCTCAAGGTCAGAGATTGCAGAACAGGACATGGGACCCGGGAGTTGGAAAAGGGAGGGATATCGTCGTCGAGGGTTGTTTGCCCGAAGAGGAGGTGCGTGGTTTGGCGGGCAGGTTTTAGCAAGTCCGATTGTCCAGTTCAGGTGCCTGGGTCCTGGTGCCACTTCTTGTCAGTGCCAGTCGGAGCGAGAGACTTGAGACTTTACCGCGCTGGGAATGGGCAACTTGGGAGAGGCGACAACGGTGAAGGATCCACTAAGAGTGGCGGGTGCTTCAGAAGGCACCAAGACTTTCTGGGCAGACCTCTCCCGGTCACCCACCCAACCTATGCAACCCGCAACTGTACCCAAGGTCCAAACCAACGCTTTTCAAACTCTGGGAGGCGCCCTTCGCCTAACCGTGTGAGATGGCAACCTGAAGATGTGACATTCAATAATAGAGCGAATAACCCTTCCGTGCCCAAGGATAACGTCCCAACCGTTGCTCACGCTCTCCTTTTATTAGTACTTCGTGGCGTGAGCTGACGTGGATCCAAACCGGCGTCGATCGAAGTCGAAAACTGCCAAGTGGTTTGGTTAACCAACGAAGGATGAAGCAGATTCCGCCGAAATAGAGGGGGCCACTCGATTCAAGTTGTATTTCATATTTATATTTGTAAACGACTGGTCGCCGCGTCTTTCTCCTCGTCCAGGAAGCAGCGCAACGTTGCGGGTTTCTATGGTTATGTAAACGTTTCTCTCACAACCAACCTTTAGGAAGGAGCCCACTTCTACTCCGAGACCTCCTCTACCAGTCTTCCTTGACATTCACCTTTCAGGGCTTTTGGTTCCTATGCTTCAATTCAAATCCCTCGTCCAGAAACGAGTGTTCCTTTCGAGAAGTGCGCAGCTCCCCAGTTCACCATCCGTTAAAGCACCACAAGATGCAGGAGAGGCACTTGTCTTAGTACATCTGATATACTTCGTACAAGTGCAGGACATATCTTTGTACGAAACCCCTCCGAAGTCCAAACCACGTTGGCCCAATGTTACTCTGGCTTAATAAGGTTTACTCAGCTACATCGCACGTAATCAAGCGTAAGAGTCGTCAGAGTCCGAGCTGAAAGAAATCGAGCCGAAGTCGAGTCCAGGATCGACAAAGCATAGCGTCTTGAACATCACTGGGAGACGAACAAACATACCATCCTCTGTCACAACCAGAGAAACTCGGAAAATGGTGAGAAAAAAAAAGGAAAAGATTTGTCTGATTTACACTCTAACATCTCCCAAAAGCCTCCCTCTTAAGCCTGCTACGTACAAAAAAAGAAACCAGGAATTCGAGATGATCCTTTTGTTGCTCCATAAGAGGGGAAGTTTTTTATAGTATCACAAAGTTAACTGTGGTAGGCGCGGGTCTGAATGCTCTAACTAGTACCTGTAAGGACGGGTAGACTTGGTCTCCTTGGGAGGGTCGTAGGCAATCTTTCTCGTCTTGAGCCAGGCCCACTTGTATCGCTTCACCCAGACGCTGATGGAGAAGAGCACGGCCGTCGCGGCGAGAACCTTGATACCCATGCGTTTCCGGTCGTCCATCTCGGGCTCGGCGGCCCAGTTGAGGAACTCGACAACGTCCTTGGCCATCTGGGACGTCGTGGCGGGGGTGCCGTCCTCGTACTCGACGAGGCCGTCGTAGAGGACACGAGCCATGGCAATGCCGGTGCCGGGGAAGTAAGGGTTGAAGTTCATGCCAGGAGCGAGGGTGACGCCCGCGGGGGGCTCATCGGGATAACCGGTCAGGAGAGAGAAGATGTAGTTGCAGCCACCGTGACGGGCCTTGACGATCAAGCTGAGATCGGGGGGGAAAGCACCGTTGTTGGCGAATCGAGCGGCCTCCTCGTTCTTGTACGGGTCGATCATGTAATCCGAGAGCTTACCAGGACGCATAGGGATCTCGCCCTGCTCATCAGGCTCGTCGGGGTACTCGTTCTCTTCAGCAAGGGCCTTGGCCTCGTTGACGGTAAGGACGGTACCGACAAGGGCACGGTAGGGAACACGGCTAAGGGAGTGGCAGGAAGCGCAGACTTCTCGGTAAACCTGGAAACCTCGGCGGAGCCTTCAAATGCACCTTTGTCAGTACTCGCAAGCAGGTAACGCCCCAGTTAAAGAGGAGGTGGTCCATCTTTGGGTTACTACTCACGCTTGGTGGTCGAAAGTCTTGGTCATCTTCTCGTGAACCCAGGGGTACTTGGGAGGATGGAGACTATGAAGAAAAACAAAATATTAGCAACAATGAAAGGTTTTTCATAGACGCGAAAGGTCTATAGACGTAAATCCGAAAGTTTCAGGGTTTCCAAGACCGACGTCGGCAAGACAATGGCCCTCGGATGGAAAACCCAAGAACTCCGGCATTGTGAGACGATTTTGGGGGAGCCAGGAGACGACGAACCCTTCCTCGGCGGGAGTACTGGCGTGAGCCTCAGCTCCATAGAGGTGGTAGTACCAGGCGACAGAGCCCGCGGCCACCGCAGTCGAGGCAATAGCCGCAATGTTTAGTCGAGTAGCATACGCATCGGAAGAGGCACCGGAGTTTGAGGAAGTCGACGCGGCACGCTGGATCGAAAGGAGAAGGGGAAAAAGTTAGCTCGGTTTTCAAAGACGACGAAAATGGCAGAATCGAGAATCAATTGACGCCAATGAAATGTGTTTCGAGGGTAGTCATGATCGAGACCTCGTGGGAGAGGCAATGGCGAGCGTCGTCGGGCAGGTGGAAATCATGCCATGCATACCTTGGAAGCGTTGGCCGCGCCATTTCTGGCACCGGGAAGGATGCGCGAAGAGCGCAAGGCAGTCCTGGCCAACATGACTGGAGAGTAGAGTCAATTCTCAGCCGCCTAAGAAGGGCCCCGGGTGGGAATTAAAGGGCAATTGACTTGATGGGAGGAGCCTCGCTGAGTGGTTATGGGTATCGCAGGGTTGGTTCGACTTCGAGAGGTTTAAAAAAACGCCTGTCCGGAGCTGTGCTTGACGCTGAAGCACCGAATTCACCCGATGCTCATTGGTCCCTCGCCATTGGCCGTAAATCACGTGCGGGACTGAACTTTTCGGCTTGGTCAGGCAACTTTGATTGGCCTGGAGATGGCTCGGATATTACTTTGCTAATCGGCGCTGGAATTTGGGCTGGCATTCTGTTGCCACCAGCTGGCAGGCTCTCTTTTTCGAGCTTGACCGGCTTGACAGTATCATTTCAGTCTCCTTCTTCCCAGTGAAATCAACCGAGGGACAATTGAACTGGAGCAGTGACTAGTGACGTGAGGGAGGAGAATCGAACAGATCAATTGCTTCAATGCTTCATCTTCAAAAGTCATATTTGCTTTTGCTTCATCTCTAAAATAATCTTTTTTTAACTTCTCTAGTGATCTTTTCATTACCCCTCCCTAAGAACCCTACTTTTTCATCTACACAATTACATGCATAACCTCCATGCAACCAATGTATCTCAACTCTAGTTATTATCTGACCCGACCCGGCCCCCGACAACTGCATCCAGGAGCAATAGATACCCTAGATTTTACAAGCAAACCAAGATGCACTATTACTCCCTCTCTTTCACATGGCCATAAATTGGCTTTACTCCTTACCGAGAACCTTCCTGCGGGCCTTGACGGCATTGGCAAGAACATCAAGCACAGACACAGTATCCTCCCAGTTGATGCAAGCATCAGTGATACTGACACCGTACTTGAGACCAGCCTTACCTTCCTGGGGCACCTTCTGGTTGCCTATTGTTGATTCGAGATATGTCAGTTTCTAGGCTTAGATGGCAACGTCTCTCTGTCTACGGGGGGAGGGGCATGGGGAGGGATGGGCGGAACGAACCTTCATTGATGTTGCTCTCAATCATGACACCCATAATGCCAGTCTCACCCTTTTCTATCTGCTCAGCAATCACTGCCGCAACCTTGGGCTGATTCCTGTGGTCCTTGAGAGAGTTGCCATGGCTGCAATCAACCATGAGGCGCTGACGAAGGCCCGCCTTCTCAAGACCGGCCTTCGCATCAGCAATGCTCTTGGCATCGTAGTTGGTACCGCTGGTACCTCCCCTTAGAATGGAGAAGCAATCCTCGTTGCCGACGGTGCCCACGATGGCGACGACACCAGGCTTCGTAACGGAAAGGAAGTGATGCGGGTGCTTCACGGCGCCAATGGCATCAATGGCGACTCGAAGCGAGCCATCCGTGCCGTTCTTGAAACCCACGGGGAAACTGAGACCGCTGGCCAGCTCGCGATGGAGCTGGGATTCCGTAGTACGCGCGCCAATGGCTCCCACCGACAAGACGTCGGCAAGGAACTGGGGGGAAATGGTATCGAGCATCTCGCTGGCAATGGGCATGCCCCTCTCGGTGAGGTCAACGAAGAGCTGGCGCGATAGGCGCAGGCCCTTGTTGATGTTGAAGCTGTTGTCGATGTCCGGGTCGTTGATCAGACCCTTCCAGCCTACCGTCGTCCGGGGCTTCTCGAGGTACGAGCGCATGACGATTAGCAGCTCATCCTTGTGCTTCTCCTTCTCTTTTACTAGCCTGTCGCAGTATTCCAGTGCGGCAGCGGGGTCGTGGATCGAGCAGGGGCCGATGATGACTAGGAGCCTCTCCTTGGGATCGGTGCCATTGACAATGGCGACGGATTCCTCGCGGCCCTGGAGGACTGTCTGCTTGGACTTTTTGGTCTGGGGGATTTCGTGCTGGAGAAGGTTGGGGGGAGTAAGAGGATTGTATCCACGAACTACAGAGACAAACACCGTTAGCAGCAGGAACCTCTTCAAAAGCTGTAGCAGAGTGGGCGGCGCGCATTGGCTCGAGTCCTAAGGGAGTACAACTCACTTCTCCAGTCCTCACTCTCGGCCTGGTTGCCGACATTCTTGTTCTCAATGAAGAAGGTCTGGTTCTGTATTAGCAATGGCTTCCTCCCAAAAATTGCGGATGTTATGCCTTCGTCGTGGGTTGACTCACAGCCATGGTTACCGCCTGTCCGGGATCGCAAAGGGTGGGGTGTGAATATGATTCGAAGAGAAAGAACAGAAGTAAGGAGGGTCGCAATTGAGAAGGCAGGAGGGTATAATATTATGAAATTCACTGCCAATCGTCTTCAGCTATAGGAATCCTACCGAGCGCAAGAAATATGGAGAGGATAGGAATATATAGACACCCAAAATATATTTATATCGCGGAGCTCTTCCCTTTTTTTGCGCCTAAACGAGTGACAAGCACCAGACCGATTACACATGTCACAACTACTACTGGCCACGACCAACCCACCCGATCGCGGGGTTCCCTTCTTGTACCTGCCATGCAAACATATTATGACGAAGTACTTTGTGTCCTGTGAAATTGCCCCTCGCTCTCGATGTGGCAAGGGCTTCTGGAAGAATAGGATACCCACACTTTTGTTTGACCCTTTATATCCAAGCTCCTAACCACGCCTTTTTGACTCCGATTCTCGAGTCAGTCCACATAAATTTTTTTCCCCTTCGCCTTAGTGTGACTCAGTCGAGAGTAGGCGCTGGGACGGACTCTTCGCTACCCCGGCGACTGGACGCGGACAATTTAGTTTACGAGCACACCGCTCTTCATATTGCCAGACTTCACGATATTACCGCGGCTAGACTAAATAGACGGGGCGGGACGAGAGGATCCAAGGTTACCAGAATCCGCATCTGATCCTGCCTCTCAAATTCCCAAGTGAATATACTTACCCGCCACTCACTATACAGAACTTTCTGCGGCTTAACACAATTCATCACGGCAACGCCTGCCTAAGATAGAGAGACTCGGTGATAGTTTTTGCTATTGTCACAAGGCTAATTTGCTACCTAATTGGTAAAAAAGAAGAATATCTGTTTACACCCATTGGGAATAACACGTGGTGATCATGCAGAACAATGTAAGGGAAGAGGGGGATTAGACCCTCGTATAAGATACAGTGAGTTCTTCCAGCTCTCCAGCTCTCCAGCTCCGGAATATGTATGCGGCACGACAGCCCTTCCTTCTGCGTACCGGCATAAAAATCCGCGCGACCACTAGTAGTTCAGTTCATCACCGCCTCCACCAGCAGCATGGTCAAGGTCCTCGTAGCTCTTCAAGCTGCGTCCCTGAACAGCTTCCCTGGGGCCGACCGCCGCACCGCCAGCGGCACCGTCTCCCCAGCGACCTCCACCACCTCGGTGTCTACCTCCGGACTGAGACCCGTCCCATCTACCACCTCCTCGGCGATCATAGGGGCCACTGCGATACGAGCCACCACGCCCCCCATGCATCCCACCTCGCCGGATGGGACCTTGGCCCCCTTGAGCGCCGCGGTCATCTCCCGGAGCATTCCAGCCACCGGCAGGCATGGTATGGCCCACGAACAAGGGGGGAAAGGCACCCGGAGCCATCGGGAAGCTTGGCATAGACGCCATCATGCCATTCATAGTAAAATTCTGCAAGTTGAATCCCCGGGGAGTCCCCGTATTTCCCTGCCCGTTAGCCTGAGGGAAGTGGCCATTGGAGTTGGCGTCTGTGCGGGAAGGCGCAATATGGGATGGATCTAGCACATATGCGTTGATGAGTTCAAACTGGAGACCGTATTAGTGAACTGTGGCGTCATTATCACAGGCGTATGGGGGTAGCTTACCTCTTGCTTGAGATTATCAAACCATTCAGTATGTCTCTTCTCCACATGCTTCTTCCAAAAGTGCTCTTCCTTGAACAGCTTCGTGCACTCAGGTATCTTGCATCGCCACTTGTGCTCGTCCTCTTGCTTAACAAACTTGGCAAGTTCGTCGTCAAGAGCCTGCTCAATAGGACGTCCGCCCAGCTTGCGCAGATCAACTGATTCTGGGTCGAGGATCTGGTTGATCTTATCCTCGAATGTCTTGACCCAGTTGTACGCACGAAGAAGCTGCTGCTCAGCTTTAGCCGACGCTGTGCGGAATTTCTTATCTCCTCCCTCTTGGGGCTCAGCCTCTCCCTCCTCCTGCGCTTCGTTGCGCTTCTTGCCTGGGAATGGCTCCCCGTTGACGGTAGCACGGGCAACTGCCTTGGCAGCAGTGGACAACGTGCTGCGAGGGCGACGAAGATGACCGCCCAGGCACTTTCGGGTAAGTTCGTGGATGGAGTCGCATTCGAAAACGCAGAAGAAGCAAAAGTTGAAGACGCGACGGAGATACTCGATCAATAGGTCGAGCTGCTTCTTCTTCATAAGAAGATCCTCGTCGTCGACGTCATCATCTTCGTCAACTGCGCCCTCCTCTTCCTCATCCTCCTCCATGCCACCCTCCTCCTCACCCTCGTCATCGAGGGCTTCGTCCATGCCCAGCTGTCTCTGCTTCTTGACCTTCTTTGTCCTGGTTACAGGAACGGAAGGCTGGAGACGGCCTAGGTTCTTAAGCTCGTCCACTCTCTCCTCAACCTTAAGCACGGCATTAAAGTCGGAACCGAAGTCCTCTTCAAGCTTGCTAACCACCTTCGTAGCGAGGCCGAGATCCTTTTCGATTCTCTCGGGTGCAGAGAAGAGATCCCAGAGTGCCTTCTTTCTTGGTTCCTTGGGCGGGTTGTGAACACCGACGTGGCAGACAAAGTCACCTCTGACTTCATCTTTCACCGTCTTGCCGTTCACCGCCTCTAGTGCCTTATCGGCAGTAGATACCGGCTTGGGTGACTCCAATGACATCTCGCCATCCTCGTCCTTGGGATCAGGCCGGTCCACTGTAGCTGGTTGCTCCACACCTGGGTGTAGCATGACCCAACCGATTCTGTGATACCGCTTGCTAGGATTAGGATCCGAGAGGGAAAGCCACTTGAAGCCACCTTCTCCTTCACCCAGATGTTCCTTGCAAAATGATTCCAAATTCTGACGGCTAACGTGAGGCGCAATCGTCTTGATCAGCAGTGTTGGTTGATACAGCGACTCGTCACGAATATCTGCTCCATTCGCCGGTATTAGGTCACCAACACCGAGAATTTCGTTGGAGGCCGTAGCCTCTCCCTCCTCCTTCTCAACCACCCCACCAGCGCCGTTGCTCTCACTCTTAGGAAGACCCTCGAGAGAGAAGTCGTCAAACACACCCGCGTCAAGGTCTTGCTCCCACTGGCTGTAAAGACCACGGCGGAATTCGTTCAGCTGTTGCCTGAAGGCATCTCGGACTTCGGGCACATAGCGCTCGCGGAACCACTGCTCCTTCTTATGCTCGTTGACAAAGGTTCTAGCCATCTTCGCCTGGAGTTCCTCCTTGTACGCGTCGTACGCAGCCTGGATCTTAATCTTCTCACGCTCACGTTCCTCCTGGACCTCGCGAGGACCACGGGGTCTCTCGGGCTCACGTCGGCGGCCGGCTCGAGCGCGTTCCTTCTCTTCCTTGATTTTTTCGTTCATTCGCCACCACTCGCCAAAGTAGGAAAACCCAACCTGGTAGGGGAGCTTCGCGGGATCAGGAATAGGGTTGACTGTGAGACCAGGACTCATGTTGTCCTGGCCAGGAACGTATCTATCGATGTTGGCTGGCGGCGAACCGACTCGACGAGATCGGTCATCGCCTCTATCACGAGGCGTTGAATAGTCGTCACGGCCACGGCTCCGAGGTTCGTAGCGGTCGACGGCAGGAGGGGATCGAGATCGTCGGCGGGAATGAGAGCGGTCAACACCTAGAAGCAAATCACTCGTTAGTCTCGCACGCACGCAACGCCACGCGAAGGGTACGAATTAGATAGGAACGGGACATTTTCGACATACCCGGAGATCGCGATCTGTACGCGTCTCGATCATCGCCACCGCGCGTAGTATCACGATTGCCCCAGGTTCGATCACTAGGGGACCGGGCCTGGGCAGCCCGATACGAGTAGGACTCCATGGTTTCGGCGGCCGGCTAACGATCTGAGTGGGATTCCTTCTGACGGTAGTAACTGTAAAGCCAGCGAAGGGGCCGTCCGCCGCTGGACTAGCTAAGTTATATCAGGTAGCTTAGTAGCTTCGGAAAGACGATTTGGCCTAATATTTGGCGACATGATGGTAGTTAGAGACGACTTTCCGACGAAGGGGATAATGAAAGATATGACAAGCATCCGAACTGAGCAAGGAGGACAAAAAAGTGAACAGTCAAACGGAATGAGTAAAAACGGCAAGTCCTAGATTGGACAAAAATGAAGATAGGAGCAAAGGCCAGGAGGGTGTTAGGAAGGCCGGAGGCCCAACGGTCACGATGATGGATGGGAGAGCGGGAGGTTGGGCGGATAGGACAGGACACAGAGAAGCTAATGAGGGAGAGGAAGAAGTGCTCGCGGCAGACACCGCCGAGTCCAAAAAGGGGGCAGTAGAAGAAAAGGGAAGGACGAACTATTTAAAAATAGATGTCTTTGAGAGACAATTGAAGCAGAGCATTCGGTGCTCTGGTGGAAGTGGCGGAATGATCTGTGATGTTTCCAGAGAGAAACTCAAATGGACGGTTTGGCGACTTGCCGCCGAAGTTACAAAGAAGGAGGGAAGCTGTCACCAGCTGGGGACAGATAGCTTGTCACGTGGAGCCGGAGAATTCCTGGGAATCTGCAAGGCTATTGGCTGTCAGTGCCATGAACCACGCACGGACGGCTCCGTGATGACTAATGTCATCAAAGGCAGATCCGATCCAACTCCGTTCTCGAGAAGAAAGGGTTCAAGGGCGGATGAGTACATCAACGCCCACGAGGCGCTCGAGCGTAAATGATGGTGTCTTGTCTTGAATTTCATTATCGATACCTTGTCGGTTTGATTCTAACATCAACCTCCCAACAGCAGGAGTAAGAAAAACGACGAAAACTGGAGCTGTGAGCAGATCCTAAGCCGCCGCGGATGGTCCATCAGAATTAGCGACATTTGGAATGAAGAATTTGTGGATCAGTCCTTGCAGCTGAATGAACTCACATCCGACCAAAGCATCATCCGAATTGAGCGGCCAGCTCTTTTAATGCTGTGGAAGAACACAGGTTGCGGCGGCGGCTGTCATGTCCCTTCCTCTCTTTGACTCGGGGTCCGAAGGTCTCCACATGCACCGGAAACACGGGGCAGCCAACAGGAAATGGCAGTGGAACACACCACCAGACTCTGGGGTCCACCAGTAGCGGCATTCATCACGTATCAAGATGAATTGATATGAAATCATACTTTCATCAGTCAATCTCAGGAGAGTGAGGTGCGAATTGACTCAATGCGCACTGTATCATATCACAACATCTACACTCCACACACACCACCAGCAGAGAAGAATGATGGAGAGAGACAAGAGAGGAAGAGCAGAAAACCAGCACAAGAGGGAGGAGATAATTTTGAGGAGCAAGATCTTGATAGGCTAGAAGAAGAAAATTAAAAGGGAGAAAAAAAATCAGAGGGGCCCGAACAATTCCAGGTATACTTGATATGTATTCTCCAGGACTCCTTTGCTCTAAGACGAAGAAGGGGCAGGGCATTTATCCATCCACAAACACAGACACGGAGTACAAAGTTTGGCTTCATCAAACATGATGTGACGTAGTTGACGGACATTGTCGGCTCTCCAACAAACCCCGTCCGGCCGCAAAGCAACATGCTTTCCATAAAATCTCATGTTCTGACTTCGTTTCCTCCTTTTATCTGGAGCTGGGAGTCTCTTTAAAATCTAGAATCTTTCTTTGGGCTGAAGCAAATCTATCCCAAGACTCATCTGCCAAAGTACATCATCTCGGAGTCCGACTTACACGAAGCCTCGGAAGGTTTGAAACTCTTTATATTCACCAAGGAACCTCGAAAACATCTTCAAGACCCCGAAGCTAGCCTCTCAGTAGGCAGAATCCAAATAAACATCTATTCGCAAACAAGAAACGAAAGGAGTTTTGTATACGCGAGACCACCATGACTTCCTTCATCCCCTGTATCACGATCCCCTACGCGGTGTTCGGGAACCCCGCGGTCAGCATCCTCCTCCCCGTGGCCCTAGGAACAGCTGTCGGATTCGGAACCCGTCGTAAGTCTTCGATCACGACCAAGTTGCCCCTCACCTCAACCGCTTCTAATTTGGCATCTTCCAGCCGCCGAACACGAAAAGACCTTCGAAAGCATCAAGCAACCTCCTTGCAGGCCTCCCCGCGAGGTTTTCCCCCCAGTCTGGATCGCGCTCTATGGGTAAGAATGTGCAAACGCAGGGTGGCCGTTCGACGAGGTTATTGAAAAAAAGCTAACGTTCCCTCCCAAGAATCGCGGGCTACGCTGCCCACCGCGCCGTAACCATCGGCCTTGACCCCCTGGCCTCGACGATCAGCCATCAAAATGCCAAGCACGGTGCCACCCTCTATACTCTCCAGCTTGGTCTCAACCTCGCCTGGATGCCTCTATTCTATGTCGCCAAGAGGCCTATTGAAGCCACCATTAGCGCCGCCGCCCTGTTCGGTATCAACAGCTATCTCACCTACCTCTGGGCAGACATTGACGACATTGCTGGCTGGCTCATGGTCCCCTACGTTGCCTGGTTGGGATACTCTGCTTACCTTAGTGCTGGTGTCGGTTACTTGAATAACTGGACCTTGAAGGGAAAGGCGGCGGGTGAAAAGGACAGCCCTTAAACAAGTTCAACGCGCGCGCGTGTGGATGTATTTATATTGACTTCTCATGTCAAACATAACCACCAGGTAGCTTCTTAGTGATAGAAGCTGGCGTGAGTATGAAGAACGAACGAAATACAAGATGCAAGATGTCAACTTTTGTATTATATCCCCTTCCGCCAACGCCAATGTTTTGCGCATTTAATCTGCAGATCGTCCGTATCTGTATGCATGGATCCGATATGAGAAGGAAGAAGAAGAAAAAAAAGAAAGAGAAAAAAAAAGGGCCTAACGCCAAGCTATGCATCCCCTCTCTATATAGGCCCGTATCTCCATCGGGCAAAAAATAACGCGGAATTTATCGAAGCGGAAGATATGTCTTCAGACCATCAAAGACCATAAAGATGAAGGCGGAGCTGGGCGCAGACCTCATGACCGTGATGCCACATCCTCGATACATGCCACGGATGCCATGCTGCTTCCAAAGTGAGAGTCCTTCGCTAAGGAATGACTGTGACTGAACCGACTGGCCGATCGGCGCGGTTTGCATTCTCGACTTGATCGTATCGGCAGGGAAGAAGAGAAAATTGTACGACATTCCTGCGCATGCGCCCGCAAATGCCTGCTGCCAAAGCGGAAGGGGCTTCGAAAGGATCAACTCCTTTTCCTCGGATGTCGAGGCGAATCGGGCATTTCGCTGGTAAAACATCTTTGAAATAGTGGCCTTGGTACCAAACCAGGCAGCTCCGCCTCCAGCCTCACGGATGAGCGTGCCAAGGCCGCCATGGAAGAAACCTCGCAGGCCGTGGTGACGGTAAATATCCCTAATTACGGGGATAGGACGAAGCGGCGGCGGGGCCTTGCCCTCAAGGGTTGCGGGCACCTGAATCTTGCATTTGACCAGCTCCACTGGGGTCAGAACAAGCGAGGTAAACGCTCCGGCGAAAGCACCGGTGAACCAGAGAGCCGGCAGGGAAAGAGGCTTCTCCTTCGAAACGTAGCCTGAAGCGTAGACAAGATCGCGGCCGAGGCGTTCAAAGAAAAACAAGCTGCTGTTTTCCATCGCAGCTCCGACAAGGGGGGCGGTTATGCCCCTGTAGAGCCCGAGGAAGCCATCTGCCTTGATTGACTGACGGAAGCAGTCGACAGGGCCAGTGTACCGAAGGGGCAGCTTGTGAGGCTGCGACTGAAGGCGAACCTTGACCGTGTCAAAGGGGTACTCGATGTACTTCCCAACTACTCCCGCAAACTAGAGGGAGCTTAGCAAGATTCAATCATGGAATATTCACAAGTTAGAAGAAGTAATACTCACAGATCCATAAAGAATATCTTCAACAGCTTCGAGGGCACCAGCTTGGGGTTGCAAGATTGTCTCCTGCGGGGGAGCTGTCACAGGGCTTGAGGCTCGTTCCATGCTAGGCGGAGAAGATGCCTTGGCAGCTTAAAACGGGTCTTGAAGCGAGACAAACTGTGCAAAGGAAAAGGAACCTTGAAGTGTGTGCTGTCAACAAAGATCGGAGAATGGCTTGAAATGGTTGAGTATGCAGGTTGGTGTTTTGCTTTTCTTTTAGTAGCTTAGAGATAATTCATGTGAATATGACTCTAGTTCATAAAGGTGAGGTTTGGTAGAAATGTTGAAACTGGATGGTGGTCGTGTCCGACCCCAAGCACTGAAGGCCCCGAATCCTTCTTGTCGAGGGGAAGATGAAATCTCTTTTCTCAGCAAGGCCGTACTTGCCGAAGCATTCAATGTTAGCTGTGATGAGCCTTCCGCTTTCCTAAAGGGCGGTCGGGGAAGCTATGTAGATATGATTCGGAAAGGAGTCACATAATGGGACAGGCCCCAGCCAGTCCGGGCCGAAGGGACGGTGAGTAGATGGATGAGACGGGCGCAGGGTGAAAGAGGGAAGGAACGTCACTTGAGCATCTCGAGTGATCTGCGAGACGGATGGAATGAAGGGAGAGAGAGAACTTGGAAGAAGAGGAAGGGGAGACTAGGGTATACCCTCCAATTCTTAGAAAAAACGTTGGGGTCGTGATGGGGAAGAGCGAAATCGCTGTCATCTGAAAGTGCCTGCAGGGCGCGACGCAGGGCGTGAGAGAAAATCTGAGGATGAACGAACATTTTTTTTCGTCAACGGCAGGTGACACCGAGGACGGAGCACTGTATTACTTGGTACTAGCATCAAAGTAGCAAGCAATGCACGCTATTCTCGTAGCGGGCAAGACTACTTCGTAAGATTGTTCCAGGGGATGTTTTGGGCTCGACTTGGGCTGCTCTTGATGGCTTAGTGGGGAATGGTGGGAGATGGTGGGGTCGATTTGGGTCTGGTCCGAAGGTACAGCGGATTGTACCGGGCCCTACCGAGCCCAGAACGCAGCGGGAGGGAGAGAGAAGAAATTTGCTCCCCCATGCTAAGGCGCAAAACAACCCTGATCGAGAGATCAATAGATTATCTCTGATCAATAGGAGCCCGGCGTTGAGAGGGGGCAGCTCCAGCTTTGGGTGCAAATGGAACAGTTCGTACAGAAAGTGCCAGAAATCAATCTTCGAGCTCTCCTCTCCCCCACTATCAATCTCCTTGCTTCGTACTTGTAAACTGATCCTCAACAGACACTACACTACACGACACTACCAACTCACCGCTTGTGTTTCGCGGTCAAGGAAAGGCCTCATTATCTAGTGTACTTCGTAGAGGAATCAATTGAGTGTCGGCGTACCTCGTAGTCACACTTATTTGTCCTCAATACCTCGGTTGTCGTCATCTCCATAGATTGATTTGCTCATTGCTGTAACCCACCCCTGGCAACTAGAGCTCTCAAGAACACTGAATCTAAACCGAAGACTACCTCAGTACAACGGCATGGGATATGCACTGGGCCGGGGTCAGGCGTGGGTGGTTAAAAGGACTTGGGGGTTCCGGACTCTTTCCGGCTCTCCGAAGTAGGGCCTGTGATTGCCTGTCATCCCAATACCGGCTTTCCACTCCTAGATTATCTTACATTGGTAGGGCGGAGAGAAACGCCATCGTTGCATGCAGCTAACTGTATCAATATGAAAAGCAAAATTCGCTCATCATTGTAATTCTGTAAATTGGGACTTTTCTATATTCCGTTACGCTATATTTACCTCCTGCCACGCGCGGAGCGTTGCTGAGACGCCTCATGCCGCGCCAGCTCCTCCGGCACCCTCGAAACTGGACTCTTGGAAATCATCTGCCTCAGCTCATACAGGACGTCGTTGTCCTCCGGTCCAAGGAACGTGATGGCGATACCACTCTTTCCGGCACGACCCGTACGACCGATACGATGGGTGTAGCTCTCAATCGTATTGGCCATGTTGAAATTGATGACCAAGCTGACGTCCGGCACATCGATACCTCTGCCCGCCAAGTCCGTCGCCACGAGCACGTCGGTGCGGCCTTCCCGCGCATCCTTAAGCGCGGCTTCACGCTGCTGTTGCGTCTTTCCACTGTGAAGCGTGGCTGTGCTCCAGCCCATTCTCCGGATAGATTTCGCGACGGCATCGCAGTTGTGCTTGACGTTGACGAACACGATGACGGGCGACTTGAGGCTGGGGTCGGATAGAATGTCCTGGAGCCGGTTGAGACGTTTCGACTCTCCAGAGATGAACTCGACGCGCTGCTCGACGGTGTCGACGGCTTCGTCAGAACTGCCGATCGTCACGACGGCTGGGTGCCGCATGTACTTGGCCGCAATCTTTTCGACGCGGGGCGACATTGTAGCCGTAAACATCATGGTCTGTCTCGTTCCGCCCCTTACGCCCAGGCCCACGTTCCAACCGGGTAAGTTCACGCCATCTTCTCCGTCTGTTTGTTCGGGTGATGGGAGCGCACTCAAGATACGGTTGACCGGCTCCTCGAAACCCATATCAATCATGCGATCGGCTTCGTCCATGACCAAGTACGTGCAGCGGTGGAAGACAACAAACTGGTTCTCGATACAGTCCACTAGACGACCTGGCGTTGCCACGATGATATGTGCACCGGCTTGCAGCGCGAGAGCCTGCTGCTCAAGTGAATGACCACCAACGATGCATACCACACGGAAACCAAGAGGATCGGCGAATATCTTGGCTTCCTTTTCGATCTGCTGCGCCAGCTCTCGAGTCGGTGCTAGAATAAGCGCATAGGGCCCGTCACTCATGTTGTACTCGGTGAGTGGAGGCAACTGAGACATATATACCAGCAAGGGCAGTACAAAGGCAAGCGTCTTTCCGGAACCGGTCTTCGCCACGCCAATAATATCTCGGGATGACAGCGCAATGGGAATCGCGGCTTGCTGAATGGGTGTAGGATCTTGGAAGTTTCGTCGGCGGAGAGTATCGAGAATCGAGGTGGAGAGGCCGGATTCCTGCCAGTTCCGCATGGGGTTGGGCAAGCCCGCACCCTTGATTGTAATGCCCGCCTTGTCTTTGAAGAGCCTCCAGTCTCGATCCGTCATCTCTTCGCGAGATTTTTGCACCCAGTTCTTCGTGCGGCCTAGTAGACGATCGTCCTCGGCCTTCCGCCGCTCTCGTCCTTCGTAAAACTTGCGCATATGCTCTTCTGCCCGTTCTCTGCCGTGCATCTCTTCCAGTATCTTGGCTTGTTTGAGTGCCTTAGCCTCAGCATCGGCACCCCAACCCAGTGGCCATTGTGTATCTGTCGATTTCTGGTGCCGCTTCGGCCCGTTTTCTCGAATAATCTCTTCTCCATCTTCGGGTCGTGACGTATCGTCGAGAGGGTCCCAGTCGAAGTTGAACTCTTTCGCGCCCCTTCTCCGCTTCCGGGGAGCAAATGTCGAGTTCTTGTTGATCTCAGGGCCGAGATACCGCGTCACGAAGTTGAGCTGGTCGATGTCATCAGCCGTGAGCTTCTGGCCTGGTTTCTTGACAGGGCGCCGAAATCGTTCCGCAATATCTTCGCTGACTTTTTCTTCCTCTTCGCGCTTTCGTTTCTGTCGGTCGCGTTCCTCGGCCCTCTTTCGCTCTCTTTCTTGTTTTTCCTTTTCTTCGCGCTCCTTCTTCTCCTTGTCCATCTTCTCCCGTTCGCGCTTGGGGATGAAGCGAAGCTTCGGTAGCCCGTTTGAAACGTTCATGGTTCTCGTCTGGGAAGTAACAAAGTAAGGAGATGAAAATCCTGTGCAAAATGTCGGGGGGAAGGGAATGAGGATGACACCAAGTAGAACCAGTTCAGGTAGGAAACAGTTCACACCGGGATTTTAATCTTAGGCTGCCTTGCGATAGAAGCCGCCTTCACCAACGCCACTAAATTGTCCCTGAGTGGCAAACCTTTCTCTAAAGAACACAACAGCGTTGAGTGCTTTCGCACGCAACTGGTTAACAAGCCCAGTATTCGTACTTTTGCTTTGATTCGATAGTCTTTTTTTTTTTTTTTTTTGGGGGGGGGGGGGGGGCTGCTTGGTTACTGTTGGAACAGGCCCTTTTGGAAAGGTCAAAGTGACAAGGGACATAGCAATTGGTCAAGGGTCAAATACGGATCGAACTTAGCTGAGGCCGGGAAGTCCGTTTCGCCGTCCCATTTCGCCACCATAAAAAGAGGCTTTTACGACATCGGAATCGGATTCTTGGTCGCACCATGGTTTTGTCGCCGTTCGGCCATGGGTATTGACGCTGGACTGTTTGGGCAAGGATTATCGAAATGGGCTTCAATCGGTCGAAATGGTGGATCCCATGTGGAAATAAAAAGGCAACGTTTTTTTGAAGCCATTTTAGCTAGAAGAAGTCAATCGTCCATGGGTCTTTCCCCAATTATTTAACAGTTATGAGCCATGTCTGGGGCGAAGAACTGGCGTCTTTTGCTATGCGCAGACCTGCACCTACAGGTTTCAGCATAGGTAACTTGATGGACGGGATATTAGGCACTGTCTAGGTCCTCTGTGGAATATCATGATATTTGGAACGCCAACAGCGTGCGCGCACCCCAGGCCATTCATCCACCCTGAGGAGTTAGCGGCCAAATGAGGTTCCCCAGGCTAACATGCCACGAACTATCCGTGGTCTGATAACAACGACGGCGCGAGATCAGAAGATCTGGCATTTAATTGTGGCTCGATTCCGTCCTCGTACCTCGGGATGACCACACTCACCACATTGCAGCTGGATGTCAGCATTATTCCTTCAGCATGTCGACAATTCGCAAAGCTCTCATATCCGCTATTGGCAGCGACGTCTCCAACGTCAGCGTTGTCGAGGCGACCATCTCTCTTCCCCTCGGCGATGAAGTTCAAGTGCGCGTCATCTACGCCGGGTTCTCCGGCGCAGATGTCGAAATGAGGCTCGGCCGATATCCCATGCAGCGCAAGCCGCCCTTCACGCCAGGATACTGCATGGTAGGCCGCGTCGAGAAGCTCGGGCCTGCATGCGCCAAGCAGTTCAAAGCAGGCGACGCCGTCGCTGCCCTAACCGTCTACGATGCCCAGGCCGAGCTTATCAACGTGCCGGAGAAATACCTTGTGTCTGTCCCTCCAGAGCTCAGCGCCACCAACGACGGCCTGCAGCAGGTAGCGGCCTTCGGGCTGGACTGGAACACCGCGTACGGCATTGTCGAGCACGCCGCCAAGGTGCAGGCGAGCCAGCGAGTCTTCGTCCACGGTCTGAGCGGAGCGTGCGGGTATGCACTCATGGCTCTGTGTCTGCTCAAGGGCGCAAAGGTCTACGGCACAGCGTCGGAGCGCAATCATGCGCAGCTGGGCGAGCTGGGCGCAACGCCGTTCGTGTACACGGACAAGAACTGGGTGAAAGAGATGCAGAAGCTGGGTGGCGCGCACGCTGTGTTTGATCCACTAGGGTTCGAGAGCTATGACGAGTCGTACTCTATCCTGAGTAAGGAAGGGGGGATTCTAGTCGCCTATGCTCTAAATAAGGCTGCTTTGGAGGGAGGTAAGCAACCGTCGGTGTTGCCAGTTCTCGCCAAGTTCCTAGCTCGGAAGATGAAGGTGTGGAGCGGGAAGCGGGTGAGCTTCTTTTCGATAAGCCGAGATGCCAAGACGTTTAAGCCAGATTTCGAGGCGCTGATGAGGATGGCCATCGAAGGGAAGATACGTGCGCCGATCAAGAAGGTGTATGAGTTGACGGAGGAGAGTATCAGAGAGGCACATGGCAGTTGGGGGAAGTCGCCCGGCATGGGATCGGTTTTGGTTCGTGTGAGTGGTACTACGCCATGAGAAGAGAATTGAAGCCTGTTGCTGTCATAAATTGCTGGCTACTCTAGCTACTTATTCCTTATTAGTTCTCCATCTCTTCTTTTCTCTGATATTTTGCTATTTCTGCTGTGCTGGACTGCCTGGGCTCTTCCTTCACTGTGCTGGATCGTGACAGCTAGTACCTGTAGTTAATGAAGATCCTGCGGTTAGCTAGCGATCTAGCTAGTCTCTGAGCTTGCGATCGCTTAGTTTTTAAAAGTTGTAGGGACTTAGTCTTTTCTAACGCTACAAAAACAAGATCTTGTCGGCAGACTGACGCGCTATGGAGGCTGCTTCCGTAGTATCTTCGCTTAGATAGGTTCCGAGGGATATCTAGTAAGTGAGAATAGCATTTCTCTGTACGAATGGCTTGAGCTGTACGACTCTGATGATGATATAGACCTGGGTGATTTAGAAAGCTCGGAGAATGGTTAGGATTCGAGAGTTGCGGAGTAGTTGGCGATGCTTTCAGAGTAGCCCTGCGCTTGAGAGCTAAGGCACTGGGCCTAACTTTTACATATATACATGTATGGTCATCAAAGGCAGGGCGGTGGATTTTCATAGCTGCTCAGTCCAACTCGACATGGCCGAAGCGACGTGTCTGGTCCTTTGACTTTCTACTGGTAGGTCGAGTCCTACGAGAAGCGAGAAAAATTGCAGAGCGAAGAGAGAATGCCTTGGCTTAGTGACATCCGCTACTCGCAGGACGAGTGCGTCGCAGCCGTACGCGACTTTTACCGCTTCCTCACTTAAATGTATGTCAACAACTCGTGATGGATAAGGCAGGCATCTAGCATGGTCCCGGCTAGAGCACGGGTTCGTCGGGCCGTTCCATAGTCGTCCTTGCTTCATCAGAAGCGATGGCAAAGTGCAAGCCTCGACAATAATCCCTGCTACGTCTCTTTATATAAACAGTTCGTCCGCACCTCTCGGTATCCATATACATCTAGGTCTTGATCCGCTTCCACTTTACCCTCCATATATATTTTAACTCTGCCAGGCAGATATACTGGGCATCGTTATAGTCTATCTTTCATGCGGTAGATTCATCTCAAGCTTGCGACAGCCCTCAAGTCTCACACCAACTTTTTAGGACCCTACCTGCCTGAATCTCGAGCACGGCCAGAGGTTGGTGAGGAGCTTGAGGGAGGCGAATGAGAGGTTTATGAGGGCGGGGAGCGTTGCGAGGGAGGTGTTTGGGGATGAGTTCGTTGATCATTTTGGCGGGACGAGGGAGCATGAGATTCGGTTGTCAGAATTGCTAACAATTACAATATGCTTATGCAGTTGAGATAGGGTCAACGACGGTTTGGGTATCGAGTTCGTTGAGTTATCGTTGAAGCATTTGGCCCAGCACAATTGTACCTTTGTATTGGAGTGGCGTCGCCAATTCATACCTGAGTCGACAAGGTACTTCGTCGAGGTGCTGTATATATTACATAAGCATCACTTTTACCTCGTCCAACTTTTTTTCTCTGTACAAAGCGCATCATCACCAACATTCGACGAGTCCATATTCCTCTCCATGACCAGTGGCTCATAACCAGCCGGCACTGCGATACTTAGGGCTGGATTCGATTTGCGTCGAATAAGTCTGACCCCCGCAAACGGCACCAATTGGCCGTCTTGAGGAGGATACCGACCACCTCACGACAACACACGCGATCATGGCGTCCAAGGAGCTGGTAAACCTAGCCAAGGGGCTGCCCGCGCAGCTGAAGCGCTTCCTCGCCAGGTATCCGCCCACGTCGATCCTCCCGCCGACTACCGAATCCGCCGAAGTCGCGAAGACGTCGTACCAACTCGCGCGCCCCGACCCTTTCAAGTTCTGGAAGCACCCCGTGACGGGCAAATGGCATGACCCCGTCTACTCGCTGAGGCGGCAGGCCGAGCTCGTCAAGATGGCGCGGGAGCACGGTGTTGAGGAGCTTCTTCCCGAGACAGCGAAGGGCACGGAGACGAGGTTGGCCAGGAGGGTGGAGTTCGGTCTTCGCGTCAAGGGTACCGGTGTTGGACAGAGAGTCAAGGGCCATTCTCACGAGCGACAGATACTTACCAAGTACGTTTATGTCCCCTTTATGGGCGGATATTCTCTCTCTCTCTCTCTCTTTTTCTCTCCCTCTCTATTTCCTCACTTCCTTTCTTTGTTCTTGTGTCACTTCTTCGTACGGATGCTAACATTTGCACAGGATGGCAAAGAGGAGAGAAGCCATGCTGGAGATGCCCAAGCTTATACGGGAATGGAAGCGAGTACGGTCACTCCCTACCGAACGTGGGAGATATCTGAGCTTGAAACGCTAACATTTTCAATAGGTCGGCAAGAAGAATTGGAAGAAGTTCCCCAAATAAATGGACTGTTCGGTTGGCTCATCGGTTCTGGGCCTTGTATAATACGCTGTTACCACTAGACATCTTTACCTTTAGACTGTTAAGAATGCATGAGTCGGTTGAATAATTCTCGCTGCGCTTTCTCTATTTAAGCAAGCTCCACTTTCGTGGTCGGGACCTCATTCCGTGACATACAAGGAATCTCCAAATCTCGCTTCCATCAGGATGGCTCGAAGCGGAACGCAAAGCCTGATAACTTCGGAGTACACGACATGTTAGCTCTGATCCCCGTTTAACAGTGGATTCGAATGCCATGGCTGGAGACTCTTGTAATCCCTGATGCCATCCATACATAGAAGAGTTGGGAATACTGGAATATGGGAATACTAGGAAAGAGCGATGGCAGAACTGCGCACTAGCAGCAGCTCTTGGAAGGCAAGAAGCTGCGAGGGTGGCAGTAGAAGGTGTGAGAGGGGGCTGTAGAGCAGCTAATGACTAATCTCCAATTGGGGCGACTCCTGGCACGGCTGCGAGCCAGCAGCAGCCCTCGAAATACACTCTCACATCCTCCAACTTAAGCCCAAGTCGGCTTCGTCTTTACAATGACCTCCCGTCAAACCTCAAAGAAACACACCCAACCAACGCACTACACCATCCTCTCCCTCTCCCGCTCCCTCCTCACAGCATCCGCAAACCCCACCTCCCTCCTCAAACAAGCCTACCACCGCGCCCTCCTCCAAAACCACCCAGACAAACGCAACAGACGCCAACCCACAGCCGTCTACACAATCGACCAAATCTCCACCGCCTACCGCACCCTCTCCGACCCCGCCGCACGCTCATCCTACGATGCCTCCCTCCGCATCACCAATACTATCGACGGAGCCGCCGAAGATGATCCCGACGCGACCTTCCGTACGGGCGTAGAGTCCGTGGATCTAGACGACCTCGCGTATGACGAGGACTCCGTCACGTGGTCTAGGGCTTGTAGGTGCGGTAACGAACGGGGCTTCGCTTTCGGCGAGGCGGACTTGGACGAGGCTGCCGAGGTGGGGGAGCTTGTGGTGGGGTGCAGCGATTGTAGCTTGTGGCTGCGCGTGCACTTTGCTGTTGTGGAGGAGTGATTAGATGAATGACTATTTTGCGATTACTATCTTCTTCTTCTCCTTCTTTTTCTTTCTTTCTTTTATGCCCAGGACCCTATCTTCAGATACATCTTGGAAAAGGGGTCACCACTATGAGCCACGTTACACGACTTGGGATAGGCTGGCGTTGAGCGGCGAGAATTACTTGGTTTACTTTATTTTATATACGACTACTCGCATAGATTGGCGCGGCGCACTGGCATTCATAGTCACTTAGGGGAGCTAACGGAGAGAGTATGTTTGAATAATAACAGTTTAGTCCCTATCGAGGGCATCTGTGGTGTATCTTTTGTTTTTATTTTTGTCCAGACGGGTTAGGATAAAGAGTCATCTAAGAGATAAGCACCCTTTTGAATTTGGCCTCCAAAAATGCTCCCTCCTTAGCCGCTCTTGCCGATTTCCGTAGAGGTAAGGGAAAAAAAAAGGAAAACAAGGAAAACGGGAACGACAACCTCGCCGAAGAAAAACGTGTCTGTGTATTTGCCTAATCGATGCCGAAGCTTACAAAACAAGGGAACTCAAAGTCCACACTCCGTAGACACCAGTCCACCCCTTTTTTCCCGATTAAGACCGCAAGTGAATAAGGTCGCATGATGGTGGGCCGTTTGTTTACTCGGCGGGCTTCTTGTCTTCCTCGGGGGCAGCCTCAGGGGCGGCGGCCGGCTCATTAGAAGGAACTTCATCCTTGACGGGGGCATCAGCAGGGCCAGCGTTGTCGGCCTCGGAGGAAGTCCAGAGCGTCTAGCACACGCGAGTCAGTCACCCGATTTTTACCTCTTCAGGAATGCAGTTAAATGGGGGTAAACTTACGAGGTTGTCGCGAAGAAGCTGCATGATCAAAGTAGAATCCTTGTAGCTCTCCTCGCTCAAGGTGTCAAGCTCTGTGGAGGGGGGGAAATTGTTAGTACGCGGCTCTTATCCAGCAAACAGCTAACGAATTAGCGATCTATACTAACCTGCAATGGCGTCATCAAAGGCCTGCTTGGCAAGGTGGCAGGCCTGATCAGGAGCGTTGAGAATCTCGTAGTAGAAGACCGAGAAGTTGAGGGCAAGACCGAGGCGGATGGGATGGGTGGGGGGAAGTTCGGTCTGGGCAACCTCGGTGGCAGCCTTGTAAGCCTCAAGAGACTTGTCGGCCGCGTTCTTGCGGGTGTCGCCGATGGCGAACTCGGCGAGGTAGCGGTGGTAGTCACCCTTCCTATATACCAGTACGTTAGGAAGGCACATTCGAGATGGTCGGCCGATGGGATGCAGACACAAGGCAAGCCAACAGATAGAAAGAAAATCGGGAATGGACGTACATCTTGTGGTAAAATACCTTGGACTCGCCAGAGGTGGCGGAGGGAATGAGGTGCTTGTCAAGAACGTCGAGGATATCATCGCAGATCTTGGCGAGCTCGGCCTCGATCTTGAGTCGGTACTCCTTAATGAGACTGACCTGCGACGAGTTGCCCTTGGACTCCTCCTTCTGCTCGATGGACGTGACGATTCGCCACGAGGCACGGCGGGCGCCAATGACGTTCTTGTAGGCAACGGAAAGGAGGTTGCGCTCCTCAACGGTAAGGTCGCGGTCCTCGGAGGCGACAATCTTCATGTTCTCGACCATCTCTGTATAGATACGAGCGAGTGTTAGCGGCCTAGGGACTTGATGGCGCGGATGGTATGTCGCGATTGAAAGGCAAGGCGGCTCTGCTTACCCTCGTAGCGCTCAGCCTGCTCGGCGAGCTTGGCAAGATAGACGGCATCTTCGTTACCCATGATGGCTAGAGTGTCGGAATTGGTATTTTGCTATCAAATCAGTCGAGTTAGCAGCGAATTTCAGATGGAGATGGGTCCGCGACTGCGAATCAAGGCTGAAGTAGAAAACGCGGGATTCAAAACAAGGCGCAGAAGGACTAGGTGGGTGGGATGTACTCGTATGGAGTAAGAGGAAACGGGAAAAGGGAAAGGGGATGAATATGGCAGTTAGTTTGCGTACAGCGTGTTCTGGTCTGGGATTGAGCCGGATGCTCGTTGGGAAAAAGATGTGTTTGGGTGTGGGTTCTTGAAGGAAACAGAGTCGGGAGGGGAGGTGCAAAGAGATGGCGTTAAGGCTGATGGGATCCCCGCTTGTGGTGGGGTTTTGGGGGAAATATGTTGTAGATAAAGCAATGGGAACAAAGGAAGGAGCAGCCGAGTTCTGACAGTGCAAAGGGGAATCGCGACATGGACAATGGCTCGCCTGCAAAACCTCCGAAATAGGAAGCGTCGATTTGCGGGTTTCGAAGGGAATGGGAAGATGTGTAGCCTGGCGATGACGACAGAGGGAGGGGAGGGGAGATTGGCGAACTTGGATATGTAGATGTCTAGTGGATATCAACGACGTACCTTGAAAAAGGGGAGTGTGCAGGTAAATGGGAAACAGTCGGCGTGGACTTCGGTGCACGGCGATGCGAGAGAGAGTTCGTGGTTGTTTGGGAATAAATCGACGTGGTGGGAGAAATTGGATGAGAGGGTGATGGAGATGTGTTGTTCAGGGGAGAAGTTGAGGGGAGGTCAGGGAAAACAAGGAGCGCGTGAGGTAGTGAGAGGGTTGGGGATTTTCCTTGTCGAGACGACAATTGGGTGAAGGAGTCGACGTGGACTTGGAAGGAGGTCAATATTCAAATTACAGAGGGGGGAGGCTCTAATTTGATTTGATTGATCCGATTGATGGGTGCTACCAAGTCCAGTGCAGGCTACTTCTGATTGATCAATGATTAGGCAGGCCAGCCGTCAAATCAGTCAACTGCACCGCAGGCTCGTGCTGTTGGCATTGCGCACTGAACATTGCACATTGCACAGCGGAGGTCAGGCCAGGCCAGTGGGCCAGAACTACGGATGGCTGGCCTGGCCCGGCCTGGCAAGGTGGTGCAGCTTTGAGGATGTTGCAAGTGGGGGAGGGGTCGATCAATGGTGCTGCTGGCTACTGCTCCACTACATGTTGCCCCTTAACCGCCCGCTGTTGACCATCCAGCCAGTAAATACATCAAACGCATCATCACTCGAGAGCTGCTCAGACTTCAAAATGTTGGAGTCACCCTCGATACCCTTGAAGGAACGGGATAATTTGAAAGAGGAGGGGAAACACAGTGTGGCCCTTCCAGAATTTCACACTCTATATGCTTACGTGATCGAGGTTTCGGGCTCTCAAGAGTTCAATGCTCAAATTGGATCAGGTTCATACCCATCTCTTGCCTCTGTTGCCTGGCCTGATCTGGTGGTTTTATCGTCGAAGTTCTTTTCGAAATTTTCGGAATCGGCAGCTGCAGATGTAACGTGAGAAAGTCGTTGAAGTACAGAGTCCCTTGGCTCGACTCAGCTGTTGAAGTTGAGTAACTAGATCCAGCTGAACGAATACGTCGGCTGAGCCGTGTAAAAATACATTTTTATTCTCCTAAGTTCTTTAAACACTGAGACCTATACAAGTCCACGCATGATGATTGGGGAGTAGCTCGAAGTATGTCATCTCTTGCTCATATGAAATAGGATGGCTCGAATATCAACTCAGTCTCCAAGCAGATGTGAAATGAGCACAGATGCTCTTCAAATTGCGATTGACGTTTTGATGATTATGTCATTGTTGACTCTCGTGTTCGAAGTCCACAGTTCGCGCAGTCAGGCGATTCTCACACACCCTGGTCCTGCCTGCCTTGAGAAACAAAATGCTGATTCCTGTGATGCAAACAGGTCTGCATCGTCGCCGTAAAGTGGCTGCTCACAAAGCGTTAGATATTGTTGGTCTCGTAGAGATTGTGACAGCCATAATTTCAAGTATTAAATATCGCAATCGATCGCCGCTTCATGGTGACGACCTGCTGTGGGAACATCCCGCATTTTGTTCAAAATGTGCTTCGTAACACACAACCGTCGCATCCTGACCCAAGCTCTTCATCCCAACGAACCGCCACACATTAATACTAGATCACGTCTCCGGATTGTTAGCCGACGAGAATTCCTGTCCCCATTAAAGAGAGTGGGAGAGAGCGAGAGGGAGGGAGGAAGAAAAGTATGCATGGGCCGCGATAGATCGATCTTACAGGCCACATTCCCAGGCAGAATTTCCTCCCCTTCCAATGTTGCAGTTTACATTCATGAGCGTCGGGACCCAAATATCCTTACGCGGCGGTACCCAGCATGCACAATCAAGCCCTTCGGGATGACGATTGGCAAATGTCCTGTCCATCCTCAGTAGTGCGGGACGTACCTCAACCGGTTCTCGGGTTCAGCGGGCAGCCCTCGGGAAAAGTCTCGCACACTGCTGACTCCCTCCGTCCTTATTCGGCAGGCATCTTGACTGGGCTCTCGTGAACCGATAACCTCTCAGCTCTTATAATCTCGATATCGGAATCACTCCTAGGACAGAAACCAGCGGTTGTGCATTTCCTTCCAGAACGTTCCTACCCCAGAGGTATGACTACTTCATAAATTCTCACAGCATCTAGATCCGAGAAGAGCAAACCGAGACGCACTCGAAAATGCCTAGTGATTTTCATCCCCCGTGGAGATGCTCATCACCTAGTTCGAGGGTCTCTTCCCAAGCCCAATGACGAATGTCTCAGGACCAGGCGCGTCGGTGCAAAGATAAGCATTACGGGCGATGGAGAATCGAGTTGGGAAAATGGCTTGGATGTCCCTGAGATTTGAAGTATGAAGATTCCAGATTCCTGTTGGTGATGTTGAGGTTGAATTGTGCTAGAACGGGCCGTCTATCTTTGACGAGTACACCAGCAGGAACTTGACACCCTTAATGTTCGTGCCGAGATACTCGAAACGCTTGGTCAACCCTCCAGGAAACTGCTCGCATATCAGGCGGAACGGTCGTGTGGCCCAGTGGTTAAGGCATGTGCTTTACAGCAGGATCGCACAGGATCGCAGGTTCGATCCCTGCCACGATCAAGATTTTTTTTGGCCGGTTCAGCTGGGGGACCCAGCCATGGCGTTAAACACACGCCGGCACAGGCACATACTCTCCCTTTCCTTCTTATCAGGAGGAACTCTTCGCTTGACATTATCGCCGCCCAGCACCCAGCGATTCTTTTCCAAATGCAGGCTCTTCACGCTTTTCACCCAGCATGCTCCGGCTGCATATCAGCGGGATGTGATGACCAGACGGGAGCTGGAGTCAGATACACTCCGTGCTATCCGCGGCACGGCTCGGGTGGCTGCGTATGAAGGTGAAAACGCATCTGTATGTGTGTGCAACCACAGAGCAGGAGGATGACGGCTTCAATGTTGCTCCGATCAATTGATACGTTTCTCCTTCCGGAGCTCGGGGCCAACTCAGGCCCCCAACGTATTTCAAGGGGCCCACAAAATCTCGGCCAGGCACCGACGAATAGCTACACCCTCTTCCTCTTTCTTTTGTTTCCATTGATTCATCTGAGGCAAGAATCGTGCTCGTAAGTCCAGTCGGAAACAACCTTAGCACCTTGACGATGCCGTATCCCAAGAATGTTGGCATAAAGGCCATGGAAATCTATGTCCCGGCACAGGTAAAGCCATCTAGTTCCAGGTTCACCTCCAAATCCCCAAGCTCCTCCCTCCCCATCTCCCCTGAGAATGGCTATATCAGTTTTGGTCTCTGATCAGAAAAGTGCCTGGATCAATCTCTCTTCGAGAAGCATCAGGGCGTCTCAGCCGGCAAATATACGATTGGACTGGGCCTCCAGTATATGAATTTCTGTACCGATAGAGAAGGTAAGTTCTATTTGATGTAATTGTCAACTATCTTTTTCCGAGGGTGATCACCGAGCTCACTCACCACCCTCTACAGATGTCTGTTCTCTAGCTCTGACGGCCGTGTCTTCGCTGCTCCGCAAGTTCAATATCGATGCCAACTCCATTGGACGTCTGGAGGTGGGCACCGAGTCCCTCTTCGACAAGGCCAAATCTGTCAAATCAGTTCTCACAACGCTGTTCGAGCCATCTGGCAACACGAGTCTAGAAGGTGTTGATACAGTCCACGCCTGCTATGGCGGCACCAATGCTTTGTTCAACGCTGTCAATTGGGTCGAGTCTCGTTCATGGGACGGCCGAGATGCCATCGTCGTTACATCGGACATAGCCCTTTATAAGGAGGCTTCCTCGCGTCCAACTGGTGGCGCCGGTTGCGTTGCTATGCTTGTTGGTCCAGATGCCCTACTTTCCCTCGAACCCAACCTACGGGGTGTCTATATGACCCACACATACGATTTCTACAAACCCGACCTTAAAGTTGAGTTCCCCATCGTCAATGGCCACGAATCCATTGTCTGCTACCTTAGTGCCCTAGACGGGTGCTACAAAGATCTCCTCCGTCGTGCGGACGCCAGTAGGAGCAAGCTCGATGGTGACGGATCCGAGAGCAGCGCGCCGAAGAATGTCCTTGACCTCTTTGACTACATGGCCTTTCATACTCCGAACTGCAAACTGGTCAGCAAGTCGTACGGTCGACTGAAGTACAATGACTGTCTGAGATCGGCCGATGATGCTGACTGGGAGGGGATCCCTGATGATCTCCGCAAGCTAGGATACGAAGAATCCTTGAAAGACAAAGCACTGGAGAGAGCCCTCGTGGCTGTGACTAAGGATTTGTTCAAGCAGCGAGTCGAGCCGTGTATCGCCGCGCCCTCCTTGTGCGGCAACATGTACACCGCCAGTCTCTACATGTCCCTCGTCAGCTTGATCAGCAACATTGATCTTGCTGATGCAGAAGGTAAAACCATCGGCATGTTCAGTGTAAGTGGCTAAAATTCCCGTCCATCGAATAGCCCCCAAGCCAAGGAGATCGTACTGACCCGACCGGACATGCTAGTATGGAAGTGGTGCTGCCAGCACTCTCTTCGGCCTGAGAGTTACTGGTGATATGACGAAGCTGGTCCAAGAAATCGATCTAATGGATCGTCTGAAGCAGCGATACATCTCAACCCCTGAGGAGTATGAAAAGGTGAGAGTTTGGGAAAGACAACCTATTCGCGTGAAAGGTACTAACCAAATCGCACGCAGGCCTGCACTCTCCGGATGAAAGCCTATGGAAGCAAGAGCTACAAGCCCGAGGGCGATATAGCTTCCCTGGCGCCTGGGACATACTACCTGGAGAACATCGATGAAGTTTATCGGAGGGCTTATGCCATAAAGGATGCGTGAACGATAGCGTCCAGAGTCCACTTGGTTCAGAAGGCAAAGGAAAAACGCATATCAAGACTAGATACGAGTAGACTGATGCGATTAATATTCACTCTTTGCTGCCATTTTTCGTGCCTGGCGTCAGTCAAGCTTAGTTGAACTGGCATTATGAAAAACGAAATCGAATGCCGAAACAGCCGCGGGAAACTAGAGAGAGGGAGCCAGTGAATGTGCATTGGGAAACAAAAAGCTCTTTCAAGTTGCAATCTCCCTTCGGGATGCCGATCGCTCTAAAGGAGTGGGTTAAGCTCTCGGAGGCTTCGCCAGTTATACAGGACTAGATATTGCTGTTATATCTAACAGCTCGGCATATGCATACAACCCGCAGCATGCAGTCAGCGTAGTCACGTCTCGGTCTACGTAATTTGAAGCCGTCAACAGCGTCTTTGTCGATCACTCTGTATGCTGTTAATGGTATTATGCCCAGCACCATCGTATACCAGGCCGAGAACAGAGGCGGGTACCGGCCTCGGTTACGAGTGATTAAAGGGCAGAGTAGGCAGCAACCTGAGGAAGGGAACTTTGACGGATGCTTCTGCCAATACTGCAGGTCCTCCTCTGCTTATATCCCGCTCTCTTCCGATACGCCGTTCACATAGATGCATTTGATTTTGTACACCGCCTATCTCTGCTCAGACGCTAGACTCGCTGGTATACAGATACCGCCTTCGCCCAGATAATCGCGACAGCGCTGCAGGGGCTGAATTACTTTCCGTAGCATGTCATGTCTCCATGTATCCGGCGTCGAGCTCGACCGGCCCAACAGGCACCAGCTCACGGCGTCAGAATAATCCAACCCGGCCTCTCCATTAACATGATCCAGCCATTCACTAGCAGCCAGAAAGTCGTAACCGGCTTTTTCCGTTTCCGTCTCCCCGGCAGGCCACTTCTTTCTGTACGGCTGCTGCTCAAGAGTATCTCCAAAGCAGAGTTCCAACAGTATTATGCCCAGCTGCTTCAGCGCATCGGCGTATGTGCGGCTTCGCCCGGAATCGGAATTGAGCGATAATGACTCTTCGTCTGGTTTCGGGGCGAAATTCTTGACTACCTGGGGCCGGTCTAGCAAATAGACGTTCGGGTTGCCCCCATCCCCCAGGAAGAGCACGTCACTTTTCTCCAAGGTCCTGGGAAGCCATGGAGATTCGAGGAGCTGTAGAAACGACGACGCGAGGATGAGAGAGAGGGCGTAACGCTGGGCTCTACTAGGAGGGGGAGAAACCTCTCGTCGGAGGATATTCCCAAGAGTCACGGACGAGTAAGAGCTCGCGGTTTGCCGTGAAACTGAATAAACGTAATATTGGCAGTCTTCCGCCGGGAGGAAGCCACAACATTGACCTTGCGGCTCGACGAAACAAGCGCATAGGTTTGATATGGGTCTCGCTACTACACCGAGAGTGATGGTTTTTTTGACGGTACAAATTTCCGTCAATGTCGAGGTCCTGGGCTATGAGTTAGCCTATTTCTTTCTACCCTCTCTTCCTCGCTAACATTTTCTACTAAGAATAAGAATACATCGAGATTACATACCCCGAAAACTGAACCCTGGCCCTCTGCTTCCCCTTGGTTCGTATGGATGACTGGAGTGGCTTCGCTCGTGTGAGTTTTGGTGCCACCGCCAGAACTGCATTATCCTCATCGACAACTTGAGGGTGAGGTTTTTCGTCCGACCTGGATACTCTTGTTCGGTGTAATTCCCAGCCGCAAGGAGGCTCAAACTTTGTAAAGGTAATATCGAATTCCGTCTCCTTGGCGTCGCGGTGTTGGAGGAGTAACCTGGCGTCGTGATGTTGGCATCGGCACGACCATGTCGACGCTAGAGCCCTGAACAGCTTCTTCGCCGTGATCCAGAAGCTGCAGAGAGACGAATCAACCAACGTCTTCTCGAGTGCGAGATTCCGTTGCTGGACCAGACGAGACTCTTCGTCGCCTGTCACCAACAGCTTCTCCATCTTGCCGAGATAGTCACCTATCTTGTCAAACAATCTCTTTCGCACAGACTCTCCGTTGCTGAACTTGACCTTGTATCGTTGAAAGGCGCGACCGTCTTTCCTTACCGCGGCTCTAATGCGCGTAGAGCTTTTCGAAGGTGGCTAAGAATGCTGGCGTTATTTCTACGTTCTATCTCTACAATCGGCGATGTTATCCACGACTGCTGCTGCTGCTCACCGGTGAATTCATTATCTCTTGGACCGGCTCAGAGTCCAATGCTAGGTGCTTGTTTATTTCGTCCATGACTTGGCCGATTCCGTCAATATAGCCAAGATACAGCTCATGGGCCTCGTTCAATCTTCTCTTGAGCAGGGTGTCAACGTAGGGATCTTTCCAGTCCTCGCTGCCCGGGTTTGCGATCAACACTTTAGTCTTCGAGTCGTCGAATATAAGGGGCAATAGGAGCTGTTTGAGGTGCCGCTTGAAAGCAATCTCGTAGAACCTGAGGTCGTCCTTCCAGTGCTTGTACTCGACTCTGATGTGCAGGAACATGCCAAAACGGATGGCCACTTCGCGGTATTTTTCCAGAGCCACGATGGCGAGCGGGAACGCTCCGAGAACGAGACCTACAACCTCTATGCCTGACATTATTGAGCATTCCTGGCTGTTTTGCTACCTCCTGGCATTGGAGAAAGTTAAACGGGTTGAGAGAAGAGATTCTTGGCTGGTGAAATGGTAGAGATATCCTGCAGACCGAGACCAGGCTGCACGGCATGGGTTGATACCCAATCATCTATCGACCTGCTCCCGCCATGCGCGGGGAAACGATAAAATCGCATGTCAGATCGTCTACTTGATGCATATACCACTAGTTGTGATCTCAAAACCATTTCACTTGCTCGATTTTTTGGTTCGCGTGAGATGGACGGTGACGACAGGCCCATGATCTCGGGGCGGAGTGGGCATGTCAGGGAACAATTTAAGGAGTTACTGCAACTTGTCGTCAGGCTAGAGCAAGATGATGCCTCGTCTCTTTCCATCCGTCGATCTATCGAAGACGCGATGCACCGGTTCGCTCTGTGGGGAGGGAACCTCGGGGCTTTCCGCCAGGCAAATTCGAAACTTTCCCTGGACAGTCGACTTTCCGCAGCAGACGCCACGGATATACGCGAGGAGATCCTACGCCAGTTAGATGACATTGACGAAGGAGTTCAAGATCGTATGTATCCCATCCTCATAAGGATCAATCATATTCAGTGTCGCACGAATCACTCACCAGGTAGCGATATCACCAGTCGAGCACATTCTACAGTCCCCTAAAAACAGCATCCAGAATCCGTCAGAAGAAGAAGACGATGCCGAGATAGATAGGCTCGGATCAGATCTTCATGAAGGAAAGGTTGCTACAAGTGATGAAGAACCTCTCGACGAGGTTGGCGTAATCATGGACATCATCAACCAGAGCATAACATCTCTTCTACGCATCGGAGTTCTTGTCCGAAAGGCCAGCCCTCGCGACAAGTTTAAGGAAGCCCTGCGAGCCACCCGGCTCTCATTTCCAGATATGTACGACATTGAACACGTGCGTGTGAAGTACCCGAAGCTCGACGAAATCCAATATAAGCGGCTCGGCCGGGCCATTGCAAATCGGCGGCAGTTTATCATGTACTGCCGTGATCACAGGGCGCGCCTGGGGCACGACGACACGGAAGACGGTAGAGTGAATCCAGGAACAGAGGTACTTTCGAGCAAGGCATCGACATTCCAGGCTCCCGCCCAATACTCTCTACTTTCCTTTCAAGACGAGGAGGAGGAGGAGGAAGATGATGCAGTCTCCATAATGAGTGCTTCAACCGTCAGCGATGACTCGGTGTCGCGACTGAAATTACCGCTTCTGGCAGATTTATCCCCGAACGATGAGCCCTTTGAATGTCCCATATGCTTTACTCTTCAGTCGTTCAAAAATGAGCGAGCATGGCAGTAAGCACATCCCTTTCGCAGTCTCGTTTGAGGTTCTCCTCCGCAGAAGCACTAACATCATCCCCATACGCCATGCGTTCCGCGACCTAAAGGCTTACGTTTGCACTTATGGCGATAAGAAGTGCGATGACAGCCTATTTGGTGATCGCGAGTCGTGGTTTGAACATGAAATGGTTCATCATAGGGCGCTGTACAGATGTGCTCTATGCGACCGCATCCCCCCAGCATCTTCTCAAGAGCTTCGGTTGCATCTTGTCGAGGAGCACGGCAACTTCTCCGATCAACAGCTGCTAGCCCTCGGGGCAGTCGGGAAGGATACCCGTGACACCTTTATGGCTCACGATTGTCCATTCTGCGATGACTGGGCTGTCGCTCTCTGGTCTAGAAAGAACCCAAAGGGCAAGGCTCTGCTTCAGGACGGAGCTCCGCCGGTTGTGAAGGTCTCAGCGAAGAGATTTAAACGCCATGTGATGCGTCACCATGAACAGCTAGCGATATTCGCCATGCCACGCCAATTTGAAGACGCAGTTGGACTGGATTCGCTGTCGTCCCATAGCTCGGTCGTCGAGTATGCCGAAGAAGCGGAAGACGAGAAAGACCAAAACACGGCCGATTTGGCGGAGTTGCCTAAGCTGTCCGACGAGGCACTCGCTCTCGAAGGACAGGATGTCGACGATTCGGAAATTGGACTCGTGGACAATAGCTCGGAAACCATCCAAATATACACGGGCGGTTCTGACGAGGACAAGACTGCCTGGGATGCGACCATGACAGAGCCGAGCGAGAGTTCCGAAATTCTCAAAATGAAGGCGGAGCTTGAGTTGTACCGAGAAGAGCAACGGAAGAAGAGAGCTGTCGAGAAGCTGCGGGAACTGGAAGAGAATATTCGCAAGGATACCGAGGAAACCCTCGCCAGGAAGCTTGAGACTATGAAGCTAGCACAAGAAAAAATCCAGAAAGAGATTGCGGAGGCAAGAAGAGAGGCGGAGCAGGCGGTTTACGAAGCGATCGAAGAAGAAAGGAAGGGTCACGAGGGACCTGAGAGGGGGATCGGAGAGGAAGAACTCAGGTGTTTCCAGAGAGAAGCCATTAAGTACGAAGAGGCTATAATATGTGCTGAAGAAGCTGCTAGGAAGCGTCTTGAGATGGAATCGAAGCTTGTGGGAGAAGCTAGGGTATCTGCGAAGAAAAAGGAAGAGGAGGCTGTGAAATATGCAGAAGAAGCTGCTAGGGCTGTGGGGGAGGCCAAGGCAGCTGCAGCTAAGCAGGTGGCCAAGGAACAGGCTTATAAGAAGATGCTAGAGGAAGAAACTATGAACCAGTCTACAGGGAGTGCCATGCCGCCTCTCCAACCCGCCAAAGCCGAACTCGAGGCACGCCAAAAGCTGGAAAAGGAAAAGGAAAAGGAAAAGGAAAAGGAAAAGGAGGAAGCAGCTGCGGTAATAGTAGCGGCCGCCAGCGCCGGAGAGGAAGTCGCGATGGAGTCACTCACTTCCCCTTCGGGACCAAGCTCGCACGCAACGCAAACCGGCCACCCTCCACTCTGGACAGACTCGGGCCAGCGCAAGCTTGAACGTCTTTACCGTAATACAACTCTGCCCCTCACGAAGATCCTTGATGCCATTCGGGCTTCATCTCCTACCTCCAGACCTGGGGAAGTGAGACGCCCTGATCCACCGAGACCACTTATGGAACAATCGGTGTTAGAAGAACAGTCGGCGTCATCGATGTCTGGAATTGGTCGTTTATCCCGGAAACCCTCCCTGTACACGCATTGGACATGTGTATGTGCATAGACTATTCGATCAGAAAATGATCTGAATTGCTAATATATCTTACAGTGCAGATGTCATTGCTCGCTACTAAACATAGCAAAAGATGAGGTGTGCCCATCCTGTCATGAATATCGATGCGCATACTGTACTCTTCAGAGTCTTCAGAGGTTGGCCACCTAACTCAACAGAGCATAAAAGGGAGATATAGACATAAGCTCTAGATATATGAAGAGGCTATAAGGCTTGTGGCTAAAGGCTTCTAGGATTTGGAGAAGAGAGGTAGAAAAATGTATATGTAAGGTACAAGCGAGAGGGCATTGTGGCACGGGACTTGCCGTCAGGATGACTCAGCTGCGGAGCCCGGTCTGAGCACGATCGGAGAAAAACGGGTTCTTGCAGCACACAAGTCAGTCTGGAGGGCAAGTTGAAGTTTTGATCATCAATTGACTTTTTGGTTGAACCCGATTCTTAGTGACACTGGTCTTTCCTCGAGCTATACACAGTATATCCTTACACGTCCAGGGTTCAATGGAGCCGGACGTCGAAGGGTACACTGCATCAAATGCAGATTTGGAGTGGGAGGTTGATTGGTGGCTGTCCGTGGTTGCGGCAGGTGGTGCGGGGATCGCGAAGGAAAGACGCCCTGGAGAAGATCGAGGCGGAAGCGAAGTGCCCGGCAGAGAAGGCTCCCATTAAGTTTAAGGACGCCATTGGCAGGAAACTTACCTTCCCGTTCCATCTTTGCAAGACCCGGGCTGTGAGTGGCATCTCCTCTCCTCCGTAACCCCTCCTGTAGGTTTCCTTTGTCATTATATTGCGATATGCTGATAGTCATCGTCTTTCAGGGAATGGAAAAATTAGTTAAGGAAGCATTCCAACATGTCGATGTCATCGGACCTCGTGTTCAACGCGGAATGTCTGAGCTTTTTGGTCCTAATGGCGAGATTATCCTTCCCTATGTCTGGGACAAAGTCATCGAGCCCGGCTGGCAAATTACTAAGGCTATGTGGCCGGTGGATGCCGCCAACGTTGAGAAAGAGATTCTCGGCTCCCAAGAGGCGCCATGTCGAGTGCCCCATAGGTCTCCCCATCCGTCCATAATTGCGCGGACTCTTCTGGTTCCCGTAAAGCGGATCCGAGAGTTGGTCCTTGCCTAGCGAATGGCTCTTAGGGAACCACCTCGCCATGTTTTAATAGAGTGTGGCCGTGAATATGGCTACTACGACTTGATAAGTTGTTTACTTCTGCGTGAGATCCGGGGAGGCTTCAAACCAGGAATCAAACCGGACTGTGGCGAGTAGCATCTCATCTGCCACGGATGATTCTCTCCATCGACAGCCCGGACCTACAGACAATGGTGAGTATACTTGAGGTCTTGGCTAGGGCAAAGAATAAAGGTGACGATGTCCATGAAAACGAAGGGGTGGCCTCCAGGGGAGAGTAAGGTTCCTGAGCCTGGGCGGCATCAACATTGCACTCTGTACTTCATCGAAGTCGACACAAAGAGAAATAAATAAATAAATTAAGATAAAAGAAGAAGAAGAAAGAGGAAGACGGGTGTAGTTGGAAGCAAAGAGCGCTCGAGGGACGTAGGTCATTGGCGTTTAGCTCACGTGGGACACACTTGTTTCGAGACCTCCAAGCGGCTCAGGATCAACTGAATTGAGTTGATCTCTCTCTACTTCTCTGTTGCGTGCTTGTTGAGTATTGAAGACTTGGCAGTGCCGTGTCGTCAACTGGTAGCCTCGGCTTCGAAAAGGCGCGTCTATCTGATAACGCGTCGTGTGGCTGAGTGACCATCGCATTTCATTGATCTCATCAGAATCCCTCAGGATGGGGCGATTCTATTATTCAGAGGGTGTTTTGACTCGCAACTGGACTGATGGTAGATTGTAGGAATAACGCCAGGACCACGGACCAAATCGCCTTATGATATTGTCACGCCCCTCTGTTGGTCACAAGCCCGAGGCCAGGGCTCAAATGGTCGGCCAGGATGGCCATGATGTCCTCCCGGTGTCACTGTAGTCGAGCGAGCCACAGGCGAGAATGCGGAATGCTCGGCATAGGAAAGCACGAAGTGTACCGCCGGCTCCCAAAGTCCATGGCTCTGCATCCTGGAGACCACTTTATAGAACGCAACAAAATATCGAGCAGAATAGAGTTGAACGGTGATGATGTCTGTCTACCGGGATATTGATGCTACGGGGGCGACGGATGGGCGCCCGGCCAGCATTACTTGCAGCGAGGGATTAAGCTTGTTTTATTTCTCCCCGTTCCGCATGGGAGCCACGCCCTCTTCGAATCGGAGTTGGTAGACTAAATAAGATCGAGCTGCCAGATTGGAAGCCCAGAACTCTCGAACTCTCATGATCATGACATCAGGCTTCAAGGGTGTCTTTGGCGTCTTGCTGGTCTGACCTCTGCGATGGGGGGCGAGTTGACGTGGTTGACCAGAGGGATCCTCAGGCCGAGGGAGCAGTGGCTGTTACAGGGATACATTAAAACAAAGCCAAGCAAGGGTGCACCTTGATGTATTCCCCTAACTCCATTCACCCCGGGCCCCATCAGATCATCGACCCAGTTATTACCGAAGATTCCCAGAAGCAGGCAAAATCCTCTTGTCCTAACCTCCAACAAAACGAACCATTCCCATCACACACCTCATTTACCTCCCACGAACGATCACAAAAAAACACCCTACACCCCCCACCTTCAATTTTACCTCTTGCTCCTTTTCTTCACAATGTTCCGAGCAACCATCGCAAAGAAGCCCCGCATCGCCTTCGCGAACCGAGCTGCCTTCAGCACCACCGCCCGAGCCATGACCGAGGGCGCGACCGGAGCTCCTCCCAAGACTGGAGGCCCTGGGTACGTCGAAACAATCAACTTCCCACACCCCCAATCCTCCTATCCCTGTCTGCATCAATTGGGTTCCTGGTGCTTGAGACGAGGTGCTTGAAAAGCCTCCGCGGAACTGGCACAATCACATGGGATTCCCTGAGGATAGCTTTCGATGCCCCATGCGCGGTTTTAGCTGGGGGGAAGCTTGCTGCAAAGCATCAAGAGATGGGGGGCTCGGAGTTGGTGTTTTCTCTTTTCCCTTTACTTAGGCTAACCAATTGGTTTCTTCTGCGAATATAGAGATGCTTTCCAGCGCCGTGAGCGTGCCCAGGAGGACTACGCCATCCGCCAACGCGAGAAGGAGAAGCTTTTGGAGCTCCGCAAGAAGCTCGATGAGCAGCAGATGCATCTCAAGCAGCTCGCCGACCACATGTGAGTCCACCCTGGCCCCTCGGATTTCTCACAAAGAGAGTCTCCTCCCCTGGCCTGCTGGAGTGGTTCGAGACTACATATACGTGCTCCTTTTACGTTTGTTGTTGGAAATAAAGTCGGGCTAACCATACGGATCCTTCTTTGAATAGTGACGAGATCACCAAGGACCAGGGTGGCGAGCAGAACTAGATTGTCAACAAGATAGACGAATGAACTTTCTTTTTTAAAGGGAACGAAGTGTATGTCGACTTATTAGGATTGGAGCCTCGACAGGGTCAATTTCGAAACTACCTGGAGCAACCAAAAAATATCAATCATGTCCACTTGAAGAAAATCGATGCCAAATCATCATCAGCGTCTTTTCTGTGTAATATCCTCTCAAACTACATCGAATCCTTCCTACAAATACACTGGCATATAACATAGCGTCTGAAAAGAAGACGCCGCCTTCATTGATTCTTGAAAAGGGACAAAAAGAAAAATGACATCCCTCCTATTTTATTTCCACTTAAAACCCTCATGGACCGAAGAGGCCATTCCCTTCGGCTTCACTACTGGATATCTTTCCCCCTATTACCAATTACACCGTAGACTGCAACTCCATCTGCAACCGTCGAAGCTCTTTCCTACTTGCGTCCCATGTAGGAACGGTAGAAGCTCTCCGCCGCGTCGTTCTCGGACACTCCCTGCTGGCTGCCGAGCGTGCCGTTCGCTTTTTGCGCAGCCGTAATCTTGGCCTGCAGCGCAGCAGTGTTCGTGTCGATCCACTGCAGTTGCGTAAGGTGTCCGTTAAGGACACGGACAATCTGGCTCACCTGTTACGGCATTGTTAGCCCATAACCTCTTTAGGGAGTTATGTCAAATTTTTTTTTCTCAAACTTACAGGATCTTCGGAACGAGTGGTCTTGCTCAGGGTAGCCGAAACGTCGTTAATCTCCTTGACCATGGTGGCCAAATCCCTGCTCTTCTCATCGAGGTGCTGCGAGAGCTTCTCCGCCAACTTGTAGGTTCGCTCTCGCTCCTGGTCGTGGCCACCAAGTTGGTCCCCACCCTGACCGACCTGTTTGGTGATCATCTCGTTCACATCCGCCTCGTATCGGTTAAGCCATGCTTCCAGCTCGTCTTGCTGGCTCTCTACCGCCATGAGCTGCTTCTCGATTTCGTTGCTGGCGCGCTCCGCCTCGTAGGTGTTAAGGTAGAGCTTCTGAATCTTTTCACCATTCTCGACGAGGAGGCGATCCCACTCGGCCACCTTGTTCGCTTGGTCCTTGAACTCCTTCTGGTACTTCGAGAGATCCGAGGCCCAACGCGTGATGATATCGTCCATGCTCTTGTTCTTCAACCTAGGAAGTTGAGATGGAGGACCAGAGGTAGAAGCACCGAGAGCTGCAGGAGCGGCGGCAGTAGCAGCAGCTCCATCTTTTGCGGCACCATCCGCAGCTGCCGCGGCTGGCTTGGCACCGAAGAGACTGGAGGCAGCAGGAGCAGCCGCAGCAGCCGCAGCAGGGGCGCTTGCCGTAGTAGCCGCTGTGGTGGCGGGTTGGGAGGTAGAGGTTGTTGGTGTAGCGCCAAACAACGACCCGGCCGGTTTGGCCCCACCTAATAGACTGGTGCTTGGAGCAGATGTGGCGGGGGTGGTAGACGGAGCGGCCGTCGTGGTCGTAGGCTTGCTAAAGAGACTGCCAGCGGATGGCGCAGCCGGTGTTGTAGCGGCTGCTCCGGCCTTGCCAAATAGGCCTCCGGCAGCTGGGGCTGCCGAGGTCGCAGGAGTAGTGGTGGTTGCGGCGGCGGGGGTAGTCGTCGCTGGCTTTTGGGGAAATAAACCGCCGCCAAAGGCTGGTGTGGTTGAGCTTGCGGGAGCAGCTGTGGACGCCGGCGTAGTTGTGCCGAACAAGCTAGGAGTTGACGGTGCGGCAGTAGTCGTGGGCTTCTGTCCAAAGAGACTACCTCCGGCTGCGGCAGCAGGCTTAGGCGCAGATGGTTCTGGGGCTTTCCCGAAGATCGACGAGGGAGCGGCTGCGGGTGGCTGTTCGGCGGTGGTAGTCGTAGGAGTCTTCGCAGCAGCGCCGCCAAACAAGGTCGGTGTCGAAGACGGTTGTGAAGGCTGGGCTCCACCTAGCGACAATGTAGGAGCTCCGGCAGGGGTTGTAGAGGATAGAGAACCGAAAAGAGGCTTGGCCGGGGTTGCCTGGGTGAAAAGCGAGCCACCGGCGGGGGCGGAAGTGGTAGGAGTCAATGAGCTAGCCGCAGCGCCTGCCTTGCCACCTCCACCAAATAGACCGCCAGTCGTTCCTGCCGCCGCGGGGGTAGTCGAACCGCCGCCAAAGATATTGGATGAGGTCGAGGCAGCTCCTGCAGGCTTGCCGAAGAGGGGGGTTCCGGATGGAGCACCGCCGGCGCCACCGCCAAAAAGACTGCTTCCGGACTGGCCACCGGTTGCTCCTGTAGTGGATGGGGCGTTTCCAAACAACCCTCCGGCGCCAGAAGACGTCGTAGTCGCGCCTCCGCCGAAAAGACTGCCCCCTGCCGAGGTGCCAGGCTTGCTAGTCGGGGTCGAGCCGAAGAGGCCGCCGGGCTTAGGGGCTTCGGCGGGGTTTCCAAAGAGAGATGTGCCAGTTGATGCAGGAGTAGTGGCGCTAGGGGCAGAAGCAGCGCCCAAGGTCCCAAAAGAGAAGGTCGGCGTCCCAGTGGCAGCTCCAAAAAGGGAGCCAGAGGCGGGTGCTGTGGTAGAGGGGGTATCGCTCTTCGACGTAGGGGTCGAGCTGGAAGCTCCGAATTTGAAATCCATCGTGTCGACGCGCAGAAGAGATGGTCTCAGGGGACTTGTTCGGGGTGGAAGTAAGGTAGCTGGGATATGAGATGCTGTCGAGGGTTTGGTTTTCGGCGGAGTCTGGGCTGATAGCCAGATAGAATGCCAGTCAACAGCAGTTGCAGAGGCAGGATCCCGAGCTTGGCTGGATTGGGCAGACACCGTGGAGCTTGAACGGAAATTTCCAGCGAGCTGGAAACCCGTACGGCTATCTTCGAATGTTGACACTCGCCTTCTCCGATTTGATGATGAAGGTTCTGGGTCAGACGACGTTGTGTTTGGCAATCGACGTAGGCTTCACCGTGCCTGCGCTCTTGTCAATAAACCTTGAATTTTCTTGCTGGCTTCAGCCACGTCCGTTACTAGGACGCGAGAATGCGCGCTTGCCAGCTGGAACCGTGCGTTCAATTGCCTGCGCCACAGATAGCTCGAATGTGGTGCAGGCGCCACGTCCATGACCTGACTACGAGATGTCACGTGGAATCTTCATGAAAATGACGTTGGAGGGAGACCCTGTCGGTTCATAATTATGTAATCCGATGCCCGAAGTACCTGCGAGAATTCAATTCAATTCCTTCGTAACTCTCCGGTCGTCGGTGGTACCATTCTCAAGGACGACCCCACCAAAGCTTCCCTCAATTCCAAGCGGAGCTGACCATTGGCACGACTAAAACGTCTAGTGCTTCACAGAGATTGATCTAGTCGTAGATAATAACGTAATGCTGTACTCCTCATCGGGGCGGGTTGAAGACACAATTATCTAATATTACTGTTTGCTCGCAAAGCAGTGGGGCAGCGCGGCATTCCGCATTACCCAAGACATCAATGATATGAGAGTTTTGGTCGCCCACGGGTAGTGCACTTCACTTCGTACGAAGTAGTTTAGGAAAGGAGACGATAAACCTGCTTCCCTAGGAAGATTCGTGATCAAGTGTCGTAGAAGGCCTCGAACCACGTCCAAAGACAGGTCGATAGAGAGGGATCTCCAACCAGATTGTGAGGGAAATGTATTCGCCTGGGCATGTTGCCATTTCAAATCTGACATAATTACAACTGAGATATTTTTCTGGCTTTCCCTGCCTTCACATCGCTCGGACAACCTGCTGTTTCGTGTCGGAACCCCCACCATCAAAGCTCCCCGCTCCCATCTGGAAAAGTAACCCCACCAGAGCTAAGGATGGGGGAGGATGGGGGCTACCTGCAGGCAGTCTCCCAGACGCAAGGGAACCGGCGTGGGGCCAAGAGGTCAATCGAGTGAGGAGCTTAGTCGAATTTGACTAACACTGAGGACTCAACAAGCGAGTGCTGAATCAAGCCAACGTGGAGCTCACATCTCTAGTGCAGTGTCATGGAAACCCTTTTTTTTGCCTCCCTCCTCTCGAAATCATCATCTTTAGCAGTTTAGCAGTTCCACTGTTTCTCCCGCCCGGGTAATCCAGCCCGGATCTCCTTGGGTAGAAATACACCCCAGCGGGAGAATTACCCGGACTTCCGCAAGCGTAGTGTAAGTGGAAGTCGAAGGAGTGGTGGGAACTGGGTTGAGATTGGGGCGAGGAGGAAAGGAAGAGATGGAAAAATATCGCAAATCGGATGTTCCTTGGTCGGTTGCGTTTTAGTTGGATAGCACCGACAAACTCGCCGCGGACAAATAGACTTGGTTACGAAACATCACGGTTCTAACGAGAGGGGTTTGAATCGACGAAGCAAGGAGCGGCATGGCCAGGCCATGGCTTGGAAGGTGTGTATTGGCTAAGACGGAACTTGTCCATCCAATGGGAGGTTTCGGAGGGGAGGGGTGATACTTTCTGGGGGCTATGCAGCATCTAGCAGTGCGGGAGAGATTCTGCTTGAACGAAGGAGTGAGACCTGGGGAGAAAATTGTAATCGCCAGCAATCAAGTCGGCTCCGGCAGCCACGGGTGCTAGTCAACCGGGCTTGTTTGCGCGGTGATGTCAGAGACAATTAAGCTGCAAACATGGCAGCCAGCAGCAGATGCCAGCAACGGCGTGACTTGGACCTTGAGAGGAGCTTGGGTGTACAAGTCATCCATGAGTAATAGTCTTCGCCGACGGGACGGACAAACACAGGCGAAGCTAGTATGAACCTGGCATGAAGAGCATGATACACATCCGCAAAGATGTGAGGTGTCCCTGTGCCTTTCCAGGACTGAGGTTTGAGGAGCTGTTTTGGGTCTGGAGCCTGCACCGACGACACGGCAGCTACCTGGGGTAACTGGGTCGTTTTGTGCGTCATCTCAAAGTCTCATCGAGCGGGACCAAGACAACATTGAATAGGCTCAACACAATTTGACGCTTCGCCATTTACTGAGGTACACCAAATGGATCCTAAGAGCAATCAGACGACAGAAGAGAAATCGTGCAGGCTTCAAGACTGTTTGTTTCCTGCCGCTGGGTGTCTCTAGGCTGTCGTTGACCGGATTTGTCAATGTGCTGGCAGGGAGCCGTGGTTAAGCTGTGATCTGTGGCTCGGGGTTGGAGAGGTACCGAAAATGGATCGATCAGTGTAGAACTTGTAGTGAAGAGTAGCGCAGAGTATATCGATGTACAAGTCGAGTAGCTGGATATCGCACTGGGCTCTAACGACTGACAGAGCAATTCAGGCCAGCAAACGCATCGCTGACCAAGGTGCAACATCAATTGCCAGACATTCAGAAGGTGCAATCCCGGAAGCTTGAAGCTGAGGCTCGCCTGAGTAAGCCTCCCCCGCAACCGGTCCGGACAAGCAGGTGAAATTGGTGACTCGAGGGGGTAAAAAAAAATATCCGCTTTTAAATCGCCCTGGGTGAATGGCTCCTTCTCGAACTTCTTCCCCAACCTTATCTCTCTTTCCTTTCCTCCCAACAGAGTATTTGAACTGTAACCTGATCGTGGTTGATCTTCTTCGCCTTTTCCAAACCGTTCTCATCCCACGATATTCCTACTTGACCACCTCTCTTCCAACCTCATCATCTTTCATAGCATACATCTTATTGCCCTTCCTTCTAGTCCGCTGGCCGCACTCGCCTTTTCACCCGAGAAATTCAATTCCACGTTCCTAATAAAACCTTAACCATGTCTGGCGCTGTGTAAGTTATCGCACCCTCGTTGAATTGCTTCCTGTTGTGATGGGCGACGACAGCTCGACAATGGGAAAATTTACCCCGCCATCCCCTCCCTTGCTCCACCCCCGCCCAACTTTGACGTCTGCTCCTTGATGTCACAGTGGAAACCTCCCAAAGAAGCTCTTCTCGAATCCCAGCTACTCCCATGTGCTCAATTCGAGTAGAGACTCTGATCGCACTCTTGTCCTTTTCCTTTGGGTGAACTGAAGTTTAGAATCGAGGCTTCGTCCTCTTGCCTAACTCCACATACCTAATTAATTATGCTACCCTCTATCCCAGAGCTCGACTCGCCAACTTGAACTCTCAAGTGAGCAGTCGCGCAAGGCAGTCTCCCCCCGATTCGCGAAACACCGCGTCAACTAGTGGACCTATCAATGCTGACTCTTTGGAAAGCGCTGATCTCGGCCTTATTGGCCTTGCCGTCATGTAAGTGATCTTCCTTTTGGAATTCTATCCCCGGTCGCCGCCGCCCAAAGGCTGGTCGCGACACTTGCTTTTCGCCGGCTTTAAGCTCTAACACCTTATGTATAGGGGTCAGAACTTGATTCTGAACATGGCCGACCATGGCTTCACTATCTGCGCCTTCAACCGAACCATCTCCAAGGTCGACCGCTTCCTCGCGAACGAGGCCAAGGGCAAGCCAATTGTCGGCGCCCACTCCTCCGAGGAGTTCATCTCCAAGCTCAAGAAGCCCCGTCGAGTCATGCTTCTCGTCCAGGCCGGAAAGGCTGTTGACGACTGGATTGAGAGCCTTCTCCCTCTCCTTGAGCGCGGTGACATTATCATTGATGGCGGTAACTCTCACTTCCCCGACTCCAACCGCAGGACAAGATACCTTGCTGCCAAGGGCATCCGCTTCGTCGGCTCTGGTGTCTCCGGTGGTGAGGAGGGTGCTCGATATGGCCCCTCTCTCATGCCCGGTGGCAACGAGGAGGCGTGGCCCTTCATCAAGGACATCTTCCAGTCCATCGCCGCCAAGAGCGACGGTGAGCCCTGCTGCGAGTGGGTCGGTGATGAGGGTGCTGGTCACTACGTCAAGATGGTCCACAATGGTATTGAGTACGGTGACATGCAGCTGATCTGCGAGGTGGGTCTTTCCTCCGAGCCTTGTGTCTCATTCCTTGTTAAGTTCTCGGCCAGGATGTGTAACTGATTTCCGCCTATAGGCCTACGACATCATGAAGCGCGGTCTCGGCATGACCTCCAAGGAGATTGGAGATACCTTCGCCAAGTGGAACAAGGGTGTTCTCGACTCGTTCCTCATTGAGATTACTCGGGATATCATGTACTTCAACGACGAGGATGGTACTTCTCTCGTCGAGAAGATTCTCGACAAGGCCGGCCAGAAGGGCACCGGCAAGTGGACTTCTGTCAACGCTCTTGATCTCGGCATGCCGGTTACTCTCATTGCCGAGGCCGTCCTTGCCCGTTGCTTGTCTGCCATCAAGGACGAGCGTACCGTCGCCTCTACCAAGCTCGAGTACGTTGGCCGCGCAAACACCTTCGAGGGCAACAGGGAGCAGTTCATCGAGGATCTCGAGCAGGCTCTCTACGCCTCCAAGATCATCTCCTACGCTCAGGGCTTCATGCTCATGCAAGAAGCCGCTAAGGAGTACGGATGGAAGCTCAACAAGCCCTCCATCGCTCTCATGTGGCGTGGTGGCTGCATTATCCGCTCTGTCTTCCTCAAGGACATCACTGCCGCCTACCGCAAGAACCCCGATCTCCAGAACCTCCTCTTCGACGATTTCTTCAACAAGGCCATCCACACTGCCCAGCCCGGCTGGCGAGACGTCGTTGCCAAGGCTGCTCTCCTCGGTATCCCCACCCCTGCCTTCTCTACTGCCCTCTCCTGGTTCGACGGCTACAGGACGAAGGATCTCCCCGCCAATCTTCTCCAGGCCCAGCGTGACTACTTCGGTGCGCACACCTTCCGCGTCAAGCCCGAGGCTGCCAACGCCAAGTACCCCGTCGGCCAGGACATTCACGTCAACTGGACCGGCCGTGGTGGCAATGTCTCCGCCTCTACTTACCAGGCGTAAATGGATCGTCCCTAGCATATTGCAGTCAATGGCATAAATTGGAAGGCAAGGAGGCACATCTCGCCTCTCGCCTTCACGCATTGTCTCTAAGCTCTAAATGGGGGAAAGGAAAAAAAGACATTTTTTCAGGCAGCTCGAAGGGGCGGGCGGGAAACGGGTCCAGTTCCATACTGGATCGCCCTCCCCCCCCGCTTTCAGATGCTGGCCTCGACAACGAGATGGGTCGTTGCAGGGAAGAAGTAAACAGAGGAACAACGGACCACATAAATTGCATGATGGGCCCCGGAAAGAAACAGCACATTACTTTTTGTCAATGGATGTGGGATTGGGTAATGTTGGTATCATCACCTGCGTGTGAGTTGCATTTGATAGGTTCTGCCAAATTAAGCTTGCGAGAGATGAGAGAAAAAGAAAACAGTTCCATCTATAGTTTTCGTGCTGGGACCAAAAGTGAACTAGGAGCCTTTTCTTTTCGTCTCTACGCTATCACTTTTAGCTTTTTTCATCAACTCGTGTCCCCGTCCCTAGGATTCCAAGCACCGTTTCCTCCCTAAGAATATCTCGGAGCCATTTTTTTCCCCACTTCGAAGAATAGGTGTCGAGGGAAAAGATCTAACTAATAATGCGTAAGACTACTACTGCTGCTGCTCTTCTACATGTCGTTCACCCCTTGCCCTCTTAGCCCTGTTATCCCTTCTTCGTTGTATGTTGAGAATCGACAGAAAATCATTTTTACCGCGCTTAGGAAGTAGTCGGCTCGAGAGTGACGCCACTAAGAGTAAAAAGTTAGAATAGCTGATCCGAAAATTGAAATCCGGCTTGGAAAGATAAGCGAGAGCGATAAATAAAAATACTTACGCAACAATGGTGGCCCATCCGATCAACCGCCAATGCTTCTCGATACGACGGGAAAGAGCAACCTTCTCGCCAATGTTGGTGCAAGCAGGGGTCGTGAGGATGAGCTTAGCAGCGTCGTTCTTGTGGGCGGAGACCTTGGCACCGGTGGAAGTAGAACCGATGTTGACCATGATGACCTCGTTCTTCGACAGCTTGGCGACCTTGGCCTGCTTTCCGTCGGCGGTTCGGACACCGAGGAGGCGGCGGAGGAGGTAGAAGTTGATTTCGATCTCGCTGTAGATCTCGGGGAGGCGGCCCTTGAGACCGAGGACGTGACCGACGAGACGGTCGGCTCGGCAGAGGGTAGGATCGATACGCGTACCGACACCGATGAGACCTCCGGGGACGGCGTACTTGAGATCGTTGGCTTCGGAGTTGAGGGAGACGATGCGGCTGAAGATGGGCTTGCACTGGAGGGCGCCCTTCTCGTCGCGGGTGACGATGCCGGGGCGGATCTCGATCTCGTCGCCGAGCTTGAGGACACCGTGGAGGATACTGCCACCGGCGACACCGCCCTTGAGCTCGTGGATCTCGGCACCGGGCTTGTTGACGTCGAAGGATCGGATGACGATCATGTAAGGGTCAAGGGTGAAGTCTCGAGGGGGGATGGGGATGGTGTTGACGATGGAGTCGAGAACGGAGTCGATGTTGAACTTGAGCTGGGCAGAAATGGGGATGATGGGCGACTTGCCGGCTACTGTACCCCTAATGAACTTGAGGATTGACTGGTAGTGTTGCTCAGCAGCCTCTTGTCGCATCAGGTCCACCTTGTTCTGCAGAATGATGATCTTGTCCAGCTTCATAATTTCGATGGCAGCCAAGTGCTCGGAAGTTTGGGGCTGGGGGCAGGATTCGTTTCCTGCTATAAGAAGGAGGGCGGCGTCCATGACCGCGGCTCCTGACAACATGGTGCTCATGAGAATATCGTGACCGGGGCAGTCAACGAAGCTAGATTATTTCGGTCAGCTTTTTTTATAAATAAAAAAAAAATTATCGACCCAGCGTCTTTGGGTGCCAACAACTTACGATACATGGCGCAACAGCCTGTAGGTTCCTCCACATCCCTCCCGCTCGCAAGGAGGATCAACCTCCTTGTCACTCTTGTAGCTCCTGTAGCACGTAGGCCTGGGACAAGCCTTGTTGTCGCACTGGTAAATCTTCGCATTGGCATAACCAAGCTTGATGGTAATGTTCCGGATCAGCTCGTTCTTGAAACGAACGGTCTGCACGCCGGAGATGGCCTTGACGACGGTGGACTTTCCGTGGGCGACGTGGCCGATGGTACCAATGTTTATGGTCGCTTGCCTCGCGATAATCTCTGGGGTCAAGGGCGTGAGGGTGTTGACGTCGAGATCCTTGGGATCCGTCTGGGGAGGTAGAGGCGGTCTCTGGATGGTGGGGTCGGTAGACGTCATGGGATTCGACGATTTCTTGAGGGCGGGCTTGAGAGGCTTCTCAGGAGCAGCGCCGGCGCCGACCTCGCCGACCGATTCCGCGTCGGAATCAGACTCGATGTCGGGGTCGTATTTGTCGCCGTTGGCCGACATTGTGGGCTTCACTTGCTGCGGGAATGTGCGAATGGCGGGGCAATTTTTTGGTGATTGTGAGGGCTTCGTGGGTCGGATTTCAGGCTCTGCGGTGTTCGCTGGGTTAATGGATGTCCCTATTTAATTTTGTTTGAGAGGAGATGGGGTCCAATTAAGTGATGCGTCGTCTACGAGGAGAAGAAAACAAACTAACCTCAGGTCACCGAAGAAATAGCGAATTTATTCGGGGAGGGTAGAAATGGTAATAGAATCTGGGGTCGCGAAGTTGGATGAGTCTTTCCCATCAAAGATTCCCTCAGTGCTTAGTGGCGATGAACGTGGGGCACTAAAACCAAAATCTTTCCTCCAGTGGTGCTGTGGACACGTGACTTTCTTCCCTTGACGCGGGATTCAAGAGCGACCAACATCAACCTCCAGGAAACCTAAGGCTTAGAACGCTGCCCATAGAATATAGCCCATGTCTTCTCATTTTTGGCTCCTTCTCACCTTGGCCCTAGAAAGCAGTTAGACCCGATTAGTTTCGAGATGCGGCTTGGCTACTACCGCTATGGCAGCTAGCCGGTGGCTGGAAGATGCTGGACCATGGCTGCTTGCTAACAAGAGGACCACATGGACAATCAACCAGGAGATCCATAAAATTTGGTATTAATCGCGTACTATGTATAGTAGCAAGCAAAGAATATGCCCGAGTCGTGTCTTATTCAACGCCAAAGTAAAGACCCAAAAAAAAGCTCCCATATTGCTGGTCCTCCCCGCCGAACTGGATGCTGTGAAAAGAGGTCATGAAACTCTGTATCCAATATCCAAAATGCCCAACGCCATCTCCTTATTTCCTAACCTTTCTAGCATGCTTGACCAAATTTTCTATCACTCCCTCAAACGCTTCTCTGTCGCCAATCTTTTCATCAGTCCGTTTTTGCCAGTACTCTAGTGCCTCCTTGGCCTTGGCTTCGAGTTGCGTGAGCCTCTCAAGATGGGTCTTGAGCTCCTCGTTTGTCATTCCGTCCAGGGCCTCGTCCGTCGTCGTACACAGCTGTTTTGCTGCCACGAGGTTAAGATCTGGTTCGGGGGGCGGTCCTTTGCGTCGTTGTGAGGTAGAAGGCTTCCCTTGCGAGTCAACGGATGTGGATGATGCATTGTTGCCGCTCTGTTTTAAGCGATTCACAGACCGGGAATCGGTAGACGTTCGCGGGGAGGCTGCCGATCCGGGGCGAAGAGATAGTGATGGGAGTATAAGCTTCTTTTGCTTCGAAGCCGGGAGGATCTCATCCAAGTCGACCGGGACGCCGAGTGACACTAGAAACAATCTCCTGATACGGGATCGAATCCAATCTGGGGGAGATAGGGGGGGAGGTGCAACCAATTGGGACCAAAGTGATGCGCTTCTAGCGGTTAGGAAGACAGGTTGATCTTTCGAAACGGGAGGTAGTTGGGGGGTATCGTAATCTTCTGGAGGAAAGAGGTAATGAATATAAGGATCGAGTGCTTCAGTAACCTCGTCGGGTTCTAATCCTTCAAAGTCCGGAACAGACTAATCGGACATTCAGTGTTAGCAGAACATACGACGGGGGTGGGGTGGCCAAGGTATTGGAAGCCTTACGAAAGGTAATATGACGGTAGGTGATGGGGGGACCGCAGCGGGCGCGACTGGTACTGGCGCGGGCGTTGGTTCTGCCCGTTGAAAGCCGTCTTCAAAATCGTCAAAGTCGGCGTCTTCAGCTCCCTCCTCGAAGTCATCAAAGTCATCCCCGAAGTCATCACCAAAGTCGTCCTCGCCATTATCTTGGCCTTCATCTCCTTTTTGTCCCTCGTCATCATCTGGCGAGCCTGGCTCGCTTATTGATTGTGTAGACCATACATCCTTTTCAGGAGCCGACGGACTTGGAAGGTTTAGATTTGGTAGTGGTATTGAGGTATCTACTGGGAAATGAAACTTCGTTAATGGGAAAAACTCCACGCTAGTCGCATACTATAACATCAAATGGGTTTCTCCATGACCGTACCAGATTCGTTGCCATCGGCATTTGCGGGAGAGTCTTTAGACACTACAGCATTACCCTGCGCGCCTTCTGCTTCCTCATCGGGTCTCAACACAATATCAGGAGTTGCATCCGCTTTCTGTTCCTTTGCCAGCCTCTCTTTAAACAAGGGGGAATGCGGCCCGGTTGCGCCAGTGGATTCGGTCACAATAGTAAGGGGAACCTCTGGAGGCGTAGAGGGCGCGGGAGAAGGCTCCGGTATCTCCTCTGAGATGACGGCGATCTCGTCGGGCTCGGCGTCGCCTTCCCGCTTGCGGTAGGCCTCGGTTCCGGGAGTTTCGCCGTAGGCAGGATCGGTCGTCACCTTTTCAACTCTGGTTCTGGGCACTGGAGAGTTCGGGGAGGGGCTGGTCGGGGCGGATTTCGCATCGGAGAAATGATCTTCTGAATCAGATGATTCTATTGAATTTACGTTAGACAATAGGTATAACTTGATTTTAGGATCTCAGGATTCATATGTACCTAGGTCGTGAGCGCCGGGGTCTGCGTCGTCCGTCTTCCTCGGCGGAGCCAGCTTGTCTGGGGCAGTCATTGTGTACCAGGGGAAACGACGTTGCTAAGGTCTTGAGCTCAGATTGTTGGTCGGCTCGGCTGCCGAATTCGCAAAACGTGATAATCTGTCATTCCCTGAACCAAGAGAAGGGTAATCTTAATACTGATTAGATTAGGTGAGAGATCTTCAAAGAATGGTCGCTAGTTTTGAGGCTGGGAGGTCGTGATTACCTCCTGTGTGAGGCAGCTTTCCAGGGCGTCGTCCCATCATGGACAAAAAGGTGGGGATAAACTTCGGAAAACAACCCCACCTGGCGTTGTACCAATAAGTAGACTAATAGGAGCCCTTCCAATCACGAGCAGCACAAGGACAGGTAGCTCAGTGGTAGAGCGGAAGATTGCAGTTCCACTGCAAGTATCTTTAGGTCGCGTGTTCGATCCACGCCCGGTCCTCTTTTTTGGCCTGCATTCACTCTTGGTTCTGGTTCTTTTTTTTTTTTTTTTTTTTTTTTTTTTTTTTTTTCGTTCCACATGGGATATGGGCATGCTGCTTTGGATGTTGTGAAACTATAAAGTAAAATGGCATGTTTTGTGAATATTTCTAAATATTATCTTCATCCATCTATCTCGTGCCCATTGCCTATTTTCCGAGTCCGAACACAGGGATGAAGAAGAGAAGCAACAATGCTGCAAACATGTTGACCCGCTGTTCCGTGACGAAACAATGGGGAATCGGGCTCAGACTTGCCCATCTATATCAAACATGCAATAAAGACCAGCGAACTAGGCGGGAAACGATTCAGTATCCCAGATATCAAGTCCGCCGCAGCAGTGTGGGAATGACGGAGAAAGATTAAAATTCGTCATCTCCGCTGAGAGCCTTCGACTATGTCCAGCTGCAAGGGTCAAAGAGGCGAACGAAGACATTCCCGTAATAATATGGTGTATTACAATCTGCGGTAAAAATAGCAGTTTGTTTTACACACGCCTGGAGATCAGGAAGTCCAAAGTTTGGTAGGTTCATAGCACGCATGGGCTCGCAATTATACCGGAGCCAAGGAAGAGGACTGTGTTGCTTGGCTGAACTCTCTCGACACGAAAGCATAATATCCTCATACACTGCTTCGTCCATGGTGCGATCACAGGGGGCAAGGCTTGGTCAGGTCAACTGCTAAAAATAGGACACCGTTCCTCTGGGCAAAATTGTTTGCTCGTTGTTAGTTTAGACGAAGTGAGTGGGTGGTCAGATCTCTGGCAGTTGAGCAAGATCGATTCGAGTTTCTGGATGTCCTGCCCACCACTTCGTGGCTGGAAAGGTGCTAACTCGCCCAGATCCGGATATTAAGCTGTCAGATAAGGAATTTATTCCAGAAACGTAACTTGGCTGAAAGTGCTAGATTTGAGATCTTTAAAGAGTTTGCGGCATATCCTGGCCAGTCGGGCAAAGGCAAGCTCGGGATGGAGGGTCAGGATACCCAACCATTGCGAATGTTACCGTGCGCCAGGAGCAGATCAACATATTCAATGTGGACATCACGACCCTGATCCTTCATCAGGATAATTACCTGCATGTGGCAGACACATTGGGATGTGCGAGATTCACGAAGCCAGGAACTCTCGGAATCAAGCAGCTTTCTGACGACATGCTTGATAAGGGCAGAGAGTAAGATCTACGATATTGCCTACGCCTACGCATATAAGCCGACATCTCGGTAAACTGCCTGATCTGCTGTGCCGTTCTGGAAAAAAGAAAAGCGAGAAATTTTCATCAAGAGTGAATGGCCCTTCACGTCGCACAAGGAAGGCGCTTCGTCACTCGTGGACTCTCCCTTCGTGTTCGCTCCCTCAGCCCCCCGGGATTCATTAAGGCCAAATCATCCTTCTCGTGGTGCCACCGCCACTGGCACAATGCCACGTTCGGGAATTTTCTCCAAGGCCCGGTTTCAGGACTATTAGAGAATCCAAGAAGATGGCCTTAGGATGAAGGGGATTTTCCGGTCATTTTTTTTTTTTTTTTTTTTTTTTTTTTCGCTCTTTGTCTTTTTCTCGGTCAAGTGTCCTCCCTGCGGTCGGACGGGCCATTGGCCATGGGACCTCGTCACATTTGAAGTTGTAGGCGGTTCGAAGAGGGAAAACGCCAAGAACAATTGATGGACGGGAAGTTTGTCGGGGGACTCGGGCGGGTGGGGTAGATTGAGACTGTAGTGCGCATCGCAGTGGCAGCGGATGAAGACAAACTCATAAACGAAGTGCATGTACCGACGCCCGCCCTTTGTCCTCTTGTGTATTTTGTATGTCCGTGATCCTGAGGTACTCACGTACATTTCGAAGCCCAACAAGTGCAACAGAGGCACCAAGCCCGGCTGGAGACTCGGGGTGTTGGTCGGAGAGGATGAAGGTTGAATGCATGTGCAGCAAGAGCCAAGGCAGGTGGGGAATGCAACATGAGGACAATCCAAAAGTCGAGAGCGACACCCCCATTTGTTGTTTGCACAGCTCTTGCCGCCCTCACCTGCAGGCGCCGAGCGGGAATCACGTCGTCAAGCATCCTTATTGGCCAACGCAGATCGTCCAGGCTGGTCGACTTTCGTGGTACCCCTGGAGATGGGTGGGGTGGTCAGCCAATGGAAGGCGCAGCTGGTGTAAGTCCGCATCTTCAAGAGGTGCTCAGCAGGTGCTCAGGACTGCGATTGGCGCCGGGGATGCACGTTAATCCAGTGCAGGGATGTGACGAGCCGCCAACCACGTCCAAATGTTCCCGCTTCTGGACCTCCAGCCATCCCGGCATTCCAAAGGTCGGCCTGGATGCTGGCCATCCTCCCTGCTCTGCATCTGCGAAAGTACATCGGCGGTGACGCCCACGTCCTGCTGTGTTCTATCAGATCGAAACATATCGTGCGGTTTCAGACGGAGTTGCGCTCTAGGCTCGGTGCACTCTGGCGCCCATCCTGGGGACGAATTTGCTCTCCATGACATTACAGGAGCTGTGTGCTGCTAGGGGGGCAAAAGATGAGAGAGCAAAGAGAAAGAGAACGGCGGGAGACCACGGTGGGTGACCGGCAGGGTAGCAGTGATCATGTACACGACTCTTCCAATTCACGACAGATATGCAGAAGAGTGGACGCCTTTGCGATGGGGGCGATTCACACGCATTTTTTATTGAAGGCTGGCTTGGACATATGAGGGGAATACATTGAAATCAAGCTGCACGCGGACGAAGGACCAAGTACCACTCTACCACTCTTCATAGCACTTTACATGCGAGGGATCAAAGGCCCGTCAGCAAAACGTGTGTTGGTTGTCTAATATCTGACTCTCACGCACCGCCCACCATCCACTGCCCTCGTACATAACCCCTCTTCTTCTATCTTCATCGCCTTGAGTTTTCTGCCGGACCTCCCTTTCGATCTCTTCTCCGATCCATCCCCTCCCCGAGTTATTCGTGGAATCAGCTTGTCTTGTCCGCGCAATCCATGTCTGGTCTCGTTTGACCATCTCCTGCCGGCGCTTTCCCAGACGGCTATATTGCAAATCTCGACGGGGTCTTCCAGGTTACTTTTGGACCGTCGACCAACCGGAAGCCGGCTCCAGCACGTCCCATCAGGTCCGGCGTCTATTTGCACCCCAATCGTTGGTGACCATCTTCGCCCTCTGCCTATCAGAGTAAGTGACCACCCTTCAACTATTCCCCCCCAAGGGCCCACCACCCTGTCCCCTCTTCCAGAATATCCTATGTATCCTGTATGTGACGACGTGCTTTTCCCTTGGCTCCTCTCCCCCTTCGCTTTCATATTCCCATGGCACCACTTGTGGTCCTCCGGCAAATACTGATATACCAATCCTAGCCCAGAACCGCCGGCCCGCTAATATAGTATTGATCTTCTCCCAGCGGCTACACCCCAACACAAAACTGCTGCACCTCCCCCCCGAACATTTTGATCTCTCTTCTAGACCTTCTTCTACTCCTCGGAAGCTGGTCTCTCCAAAAATTCTTCACTTTCTTTCTTTCTTCACAAGTTCTCCTGTCTTACATGAACTCTTTGAACACAGAGTGGTCTCAATATATCGACGGCACAGCTGAACTACTTATCATTCTTTATTCTTCGACCTCGTTTTGTTCTGTTATACCACCCTCTTCTCCGAACTCCAAAACTTCCCCTAAAAGACACAACCCCAATTCAGACGTGCCATGGCTATCCTAGACGAGAAGCGGCGACCTGCCGCCCTAAATCTTACTCCTGCCCGCTCTGGCTCTTCCAGCTCTTCCTCCTCCGACTCTTCACTAAAGCCTCCACGGACGCCACGATTCGCCGAAGCCACGTCCGTCCACTCTCCCATCGATGGCGATGGTCGCTCTCCCTTCGCCGACCCCGTCGATGCCTCGACAAAGCCTCAAGTAGCAGACGTCGGCTTTGGCTACATCACAACTCAGGAGGTAAACGCGCCGCCGCTGTCTCCTCGCTCTCCTCTTAAGAGCGCCATGAGGGTGCCCGGCACGCCAGGGAGGAGGCTCGACAACCCTCTAAGCCCCACGTTTCGCGAAGAGGATATGCTAGAGAAGAGGGAAGCCAGGACTGACAAGGAACAGCAAAGAGACTTGGTAAGTCACCCACATCACCACGGACGGCAAGGAAACTTGAACTCGGGCAGGCTTGCTAACTTGGGTTTCCCCCACCTGTAGAAAATCAAGGCGAGAGTGCGCATGGCCAAGTTCGCGCTGAGGGGTGTCAACTTCAGCTGCAGTCTGATCATTCTGTCTATGCTCTCCGCTTCCTTCTCCATCTTCAATGCCACCAAGACGCTGCCTTCGCAGAGTGGAATGCCGTCGTGGGCCAAGAACACGAACACCTGGCCCCAGAAGCTTGTGTTGGCCATGGCTTGTGTTTCTCTGATTGCCTGTATCATCGTCTTCCTCGCGTACTGCCGCGGTGGACATAGGCGAGCGGAAAAGGTCTCCACCTACTACACGATGTTTGCTATCGGCTGGTTCATTATCTCCATGATTCTCTGGGCCGTCACTGCTGCGCTCTACCAACACTCTCGGACGAGCAACAACAACAAGGATATGTGGGGATGGTCCTGCGTCGATAACAAGCGCGCCGACGTGTACCAAGACAAGGTTGACTATGCTCTGGTTTGCAGACTTCAGGTAAGGAGCTTTCTCTTCTTTTCCCTTCCCCCAAGACATTGGAGACTAACACCGCCTGGCAGAACTGGACCCTCATTTGCATCATTATCGAAGTTGTCATCGAAGTCATCTGCATCACGCTTTACAGCATCGTCTTCTACCGATACTACACCAAGCGCCGACTCCACAAGTCGATGAACCTCCGCGACAAGGCCCGATCCGACCTGTACCTCGCTCAACTTCGAACTCAGTCGGCTCCCAACACTCCCGGATTTGGCCCCAAGTCCCCGGCATTCAGCCAATACGCTCTTTCTCCCCGCTTCCCCCCCTCGGCCTACCGCAACTTGTCCGATATTGAAGAGTCGCCCTTCACTCCTGGCAACCAATTCGCTGAACCCAAGTCTGCCTTCGCTGAGAAGCAACAGTCCACGTTCAAGTTGCAGGCGCCCCCAACGAAGGCACCGTCCGCCACCCCCAAGCTGCAAGGCGGAGCCTTCAGCTCGAGTCCAATCCAGACCCGAGCCCCCACACCGCCCGAACTCACTCACCAACAGCATGCTCCTGTGGCAGCGGAAGAGCCCGTATACGAGGCCGTCCCCATCCCCGGCGCATACGCCGACGCGGCGGTCAAGAGCCCACCACCTAACCAGACGACATTTGGCCAGGCGAGATGATTCTTGTTTTGGTTTCTAATTTCAGATGGAGCGGGTTCTCAAAATCTTAAAATGTGCGGGGCTGGAATGTTTTATCACGAGTGTGGGTTTTCTTCGGGTCCGGGACTCGCCCGGCAAATTTCCTCTTCTCTTTCCTTTGTCTTTCCTATTTTCATATGGCGGAGCGAGCCCGACTCCCGAATTTCACTGTCTACTATTATACCACATTTATTCTCGGGACCGGCGTTTTAGGGACGGGTTTAGGAAAGACCATTCTTTTATTTTTTTCGACTCTTGACGCCTCGATTGGTTTGTTTGTCAGGGACGAATTTTGGGAGGAAATCGCTTCGAGAGAGTATATATAACAGAAGATAATCACGACCTTTATTTTGTACAATGTACGAATCGAAGAATTTATAAAATACTTTCATCATATTTCTTGAGCCTTGGCCGTGTCGAGTGAGGCGGGAAGCGTGAGTTTGAGCAAAGCAGATCACAGTTCGGGGAGATGTGCAGTTCTGCATGTACATGCAGGTGGATAGATGCCTTTTCGTCGTGATAGGCCATCGGCTACTAAGACCGGCAACATCAACCTAGTCTTGTCGAAATCGCTCAGGTAGGGGCCCTCAGTGGACCCCGAATAGCGTCGGAACGGCACTATCCATGTGGCATGATGAGGGAAGAATCTGAATCAAAGCGGTCACGGCCGGGTCTCCGCCTCAGGTGACTTCTTTTTTTTCACTCTTTCATGCTGCTGGCGGCTCAGGAGAGGAGACTAGTGGGTGGAAGCACATGGAGGCGGGTCTGAGATGTGATATGGACGGGTGAAGCAGGAAGACATCTGAGGTGTCTCAATGCATGTATGTCGAGCCGCTGGGTCTCAAAGGGATTCTCGACTTCGGCCTCTGAGTGTTAGTAGCTTTGGGATTTGTAAATGGTAAAGAGAGAATTTTGAGGGGATTGCGGAAAAATGAGCTGAAAAGTGCTTTGTAAAGCGCGGAGGAGAATCTATTGAATGTTTCGAGAGAAGGACCTGAATTAAGACGCCTGGGGCATTATAGTTTAGTCTTCAACGTCCTGGATAATGGTGTCTCCAAGCCAAACTGGGCCTGGCCTGGGTCAGCAAGAAGGGATAATCTTGATCGAGAGAGGTACAAGTTACAAAGGATTCAGCCTGGCAGGTGGCACTGGGCTGACATTGGTCTCCCTTCATAGCGGGCAGTCTCTAGCAGCCCCCGACAGTGGCAGGCAAGGCGGCTGTCTCCATTCGACTAAGGATCAAAAAATTATTTTTCTCTCTGCTCGGCGACTGATCAATTGATCGCTTTAAAGTACAAGATTAGTACGGAGTGGGAGTTGTCTCGTATGAAAATTTCCTTTCCATTCCCGTCTGACCTCCCGGAATCGATCAATTGATCCGGTCTTGCTCCAGTCTCACTCCTCATCCTCTTAGGCCACAGGCAGTTGATCATCCCGACCACCTTGAGAGCTGGCGAGCTGCATCCAGCAACCCACGACAACAGAGCAGCAGGACAGCAAGAGTGGGCACTGACACCAAGACACCTGCAAACGAAAGCACACGCCAGAACAGCCAAAACCTCATTCATCCACAGAGGCGCATTTTCCCGCGGTATCGAACAGAAATACAAAAATAATGGCCGTTCCCTTACAGCGACTTGCCGCTCGGCAAGCCTACAGCCCGTCGACTCGCGTATTGTTCCGATCTGCTGCAGCTCCGCGTCGCAATCCTGGCCTCGGCCACCGCTTCGTGCCCCGACAAACCTCGTGCGTCTCCTGCCTGCAACGTTCGTCCTTTTCGTTTCCTTCCGCCTCTCGACAATACTCGTCACAGAGCTCGTCAAATCCGACGCCACCTCGACCCAAGAAGGATCCCTATCGTGTCGCTTTCTGGCCTTTCGCTATCCTCATTGGTATTGCAACTGGTGCTTGGGTTTTGCTTGTGAATAATCGCAAAGGTACGCTTTTTTTCGTCCGTGCTTCTGTGTTGGAATTTTTTTTTCTTCCTCCGTCTCTGTCTCCATCTTGTATTTATAGCTTGTTTCATCTCTATATGGTTTGCGAGCTACCAAGTTTGTTGTGGTCCTGCGCTCTTTATACGAGTGTGCTATGTGACATCATCCCAGAGCCTTTCCACTCGCCCAGCCCAAAGCTATTTATTGGTGTTCTGTTCCCCCACAGGGATAGGGGAGACGTGAAGACAAGGGGCGGCCAAGCTCAGGGGGACAGCACATAATAAATTCACCATGCCGAGGCCACTCTCTCTTCACTTGTTATTACATCCCCAACTAACCGCTCAACTCCTTTTTAACAGACATGAACGCCCAACTTAAATCCGCCTCTAAAGGGGCTGACGACGAAACCCCGCGCTTCAACGACTCCGACGTGACCGTCATCTTCGTCCTAGGCGGTCCTGGCGCCGGCAAGGGTACGCAGTGCGCCCGCCTCGTCGAGAAATACGGCTTCATCCACCTCTCGGCTGGTGACCTCCTCCGCGCCGAGCAGAGCCGCCCCGGCAGCGAGTTCGGCGCCCTTATCGACGACTGCATTAAGAACGGCGCCATCGTCCCCATGGAGGTCACCGTCAAGCTCCTCGAGAACGCCATGGAGGACGCCATGCGCCGCGACAACACCACCACCGGCCGCTTCCTCATCGACGGCTTCCCCCGCAAGATGGACCAGGCTCACAAGTTCGAGGATACCGTCTGCCGCGCCCGCGCCGTGCTCTTCTATGATTGCCCTGAGGATGTGATGCAGACGAGGTTGTTGGAGAGGGGCAAGACGAGCGGTAGGGCTGACGATAATGCCGAGAGCATCAAGAAGAGGTTCAAGACTTTTGTCGAGACGAGCATGCCCGTCGTTGATCTCTTCGAGGAGCAGGGTAGGGTTATCAAGATCGATTCTAGCCCTGCGCCTGATGTTGTCTTCAAGAATACTTCTGAGAAGCTTGCTGCTACTTTGGGCAAGGACGTTATTCCTACGTCTGCTTGAGTACTTTGAGGGGCTGAAGACTCCATCCTTTTTGACCCCTCCCTTTATTTTTTTTTTCTTCCTCAGCCAGGCAGACCTCCTTTCTAGACTCTTTTTGTTTCTCATGAGTCCTAGCCTCTTATGCCCCCTTCCCTCCTCCTTCTTTTTTCTTCTTCTTTCTTGTGATTATCTGTTTTATTTTGGCATTTCTTTGCGTATCTACATCAAGTCCTTGCGGCATGTTCCCTTTTGTTTGTCATCATCAAAACCTTTTCCTTTTTTGGACTGTGGCCGCCCCTCCTTGCAGAACCCCCTTCTCTTCTGTGTAGGGAGGATAGAGGATGCATAGTTGAGCATGGGCAGATGTACTTAGAGTTGTAATAGCTGATAGATATCTAGATATTGTACGCCTATAGAGATGTTTGCCCTGTTATGGGCCTGCTTTGTATAGTCGTCAACTAGACACAATCAAGAAAACGAATCAACCTTCGCTCGGTCCTGATTATGGACTCGGCTTCCATCGTAGTAGGAGGCGATATATCGCCAAGAGCACCAGTCGACGAAGAGACCAGGCAACGTCACAAACAGCAATAGGACTGAGTAAACTCGTATAATTTCATTTTTGCTCCCTAGAACCAAGAATGATGCCCTCTTCTTCAGTTCTTTCTCTCAAAAACTTGATGGGAACCCCGTCATTATGCGTGAAAACTAGACTGAAGAACGACTAAAAGAGGGAGAAAACAAACTAGGAAAACTGAAAAAGGGGAAATAAAAAAAAACACCAACAGACCCTTCCCACTCTATCACCAACCCCCATATATCCCTTTGAAACCTTTTATGAGATAAGCCCTTTCTGTCGTCATGGAACATCAACGTTTTTCATTCCTGGCTCATACTCTTTTTGCTTTTTTGTGAGTTTATAATAACACAGTTCCCAATATCTCCACTGAGAGTAGAGAAGATGCGGGAGCAGACATGGACTTTCAGGTGGGTGGAAGATGGGCTTTCAAGAACAAAAATTTGAGAATAGAGACATTCTTTAGTTTCAAGATATCTCTCTTCCTTCTCCTTTCTTTAATCGGCATTCTCGGCCCTCTCCTTCTGTTGCTTGCCCTGGTGGTGCCGGCGACCACCACCCTGGCCTTGCTGTCCACCAACGTTAGCCTGCGCCAACTTCCTCTCCAGCTCCTGGACCTCCCTCTCCTGTTGCGCCTTGACGTCGGCCCGACCCTGGAGGAGAGTCTCGAGGACGGTGGTCAAAGTAGACTTCCAGTTATCGACGCGAGTAGAAAGCTCCTGCCATTGCTTGGTGCCGAAGACGCGATACGTGACCTTGTGAACGAGGAAGGTCTTGCGCTGCTGCGAGAGCTTGCCCTCTACAAGGCCGGCGCGAATGGCGTCGATGGTCCACATCTCGACCTCCTCCTCGGGAATCCTTAGGGCCCTGACGATGTTGCTGTAGGGGATCTCGCGGCTGGGGGTGGCGGCGGCGAGGCTGGCAAAGGTCAAGAGGCGCATCTTCCTGTAGAGCCTGTCGTAGTCTAGCTTCTGCTCCTCGATCCAGCCCTCGTGCTCGTCGTTGAAGTCGTTAAAGTCTTCGAGGTCTTGCTCGGCGAAGACCTCGAGGAGTTGGTAGTATACAGGGTGCGAGTCGCTTAGGGCCTCGATGACGGGGATGCCGCGGAGGTCCTGGTAGAGATACTGGGTATTGGAGAGGAGGGCGGTGCGGATGGCACGGAGGGCGAGGTTTTGCGCCTCCTCCGTGGAGAGCTCCTCCTTATCGTCCGAGTCGAATGACCGAAGAGCCTTGATAATGTATCGGCGGCTTTCCCTGAAATGGGGGGGGGAAGAACAGCATGATTAGCGTGGTTTGATTCGAGTGGTTTGGGATATACAGAACAAGCCTTACTCTGGGAAACCAGCCTCCGACGCAATCTCGGCAATCTCCTCGTACATACTCCTCTGGAAATCCTCATCTGTGCCCCAGGTTTCGTTCCACTGCTCGAGGTGAGGGAGGTAAGGCCGCAGCGTATCGAACATGGCATGCCTCTTCAAGAACTTGAGAATCTCCAAGAACACCCTGGCGCGGATGGGGTTCTCGGAGGGAAGAAGGTTGAAGACGGTGGTGAGGGCGTTGAGGCTCAGGCCGACGCCGTTATGGGGCGACGTGGTGATGGGCTTGGCGAAGGTGTTGCAGAGGGTGGGGAGGTATCGTCGGGGGTCTTGCGATTGGAGGACGAGGTAGATCATGAGGTTCGACGCCGCCGTGTACTCCTTCTCCTGGACTGTGTTGAGGCCGCCGGAGGCCTGGACCAACTTTCCGAGAACCTCCTCCTTTTGGTTCTTCTCGACGAGGGGCTGGATATCGCTGGCGATGTTGAGGTACTCAGCCATTTCGAGGGCGAGTTCCTCAAAAGTGCCATCGAGGAAAACCAGCTGAGGCTGGGCGGCAGCCTGTTGCTGGGCAGTAACGGCCATGATTGCGATTTTGTTTTTATCGAGTTCGGAAAATGGAAGACCAGGAAACAGGGCGCCGAAGGGAGTTGGCTTCTCGACTTAAACTTTTGGGGCCAGGGGTGGGAAATCTGGCTGGGACTGTTCGGCCTTCTAGTTTGATATTTGGCGAGGGCAAAATTATCGATTGCAGTCTGTGGAAAATTGCCAGGCGGGCAAGGAGGGGTGCGAGTTTGGTGGATTTTGGTGGGGTTCGCAAAGTTCGCCCGCCTAACAAATTGGGTGTGATTGAAGGTTAGGGTAATTTTATCACAAAGCCGGTAACAACTGTCAGCACATGTCTCGGCAATGCCGCGGATGAACATTTTGTCAGCCTCGAAGAGGATGTGCTGCAGCTGAATTGTTAATTACCATTACAAATGACACTCCTCCCACGAGGTCTGGCAGTGTTAGTGTGATCCAGTAGCTCTCCTGTCTTGACAACCGGAGCTGCTGCGCAGGTGACCGTGCTTGCTGCTCATCAGGACTTCAATAGAGCCATCGTGCCCTATTTGCTAATTTATTTTTTCAACTTTCAAGAGTATAGATGCATACTAGCCGGGAAAATGCGAGCTGTGAGGACTTGCCGAGCGGCCTGACTCATACTGAGAAAGTGTGCATATCATTATCTCAAACGGAACCAAACAACCAAGAGACGGATTTCCACTCATAGAAAGTCTTGACAGAAACGAAAAGATGAATCCAAGGGCATCATGAGGTCGGACTATGCTCCTCGAGGGAACTTTCAAGAACATGCTAGATTTCTGCTGTATATCTCACGGTTGGGGAGGTAGTGACACGCCGTGTTTCCCACGCGAGTGTTGCCGCACAATTGTAAAACTAAGATGGAGGCTTTCGCAATTCGATGTCACATGGAAAGAGCCACTGGCTTCCTCAGACCCAAAAAAAAATGCTCTTGGCGGCCAGGCTCACTCGTGACAGGCAGACCAGGGTGCCGGCTCCCAGGTGAGATGGCCAGCTGCTGCCTGGAAGGCTAAGTGAGGGCATGGCTAAAGGGATGCTGTCGACTTCGGACACTCCCGAACCATTAGACCAGAGCGGATTGATCTCGATTCGCTGGGACCGGTGGGGTTCTTGCGCGGGAGGCGGATGCCCAGTGCTCTTCGACGTTCCCCGCAGATTGTACACATCGGAATCGGCGAAACGAGACCTGTGATTAGCGGTGATGAATCGGGATTATTTTCTTTGTGTGGCAAATTGAGCATGAAATGGAACGGTACAGCCTATCAATTTCTATCTCAGCCCTAAAGCCAACCCTTTGTTGCTTCGGATGGTGGCATGATGCGTCCAGAGAGGCACCTATTTCCTGGTTGCTTAGAGGCCAGCCAGGGCTTAGACTCCTCCCTTCCAGGGTCTTTCATGCATTGAACGGTTGATGCTGCCGACTCGGCGAGTCTTCGTTGTCGCTGGCTGTGAGCCGCTCGAGGTCGTGGAGTTGTCCGCAGTCGACCCTCCTGGTCTAGCCGTCTGTGCCTCCACTGCCATGATCGAACAAGTCGTGAGCGAAAGGTTAATTCATGGGCGCAGCATCGGCCAAGGGTCATTTCTTCAGAAGCTGGTGGAAAACCTGAAAGCTCTGCTCATCGAAGTGCTCATCAAGGAGAAAAACACAGCTGCAAGAGCCCTACCGTGGAGGCTTGATCACAAGTATGAAACCTACAGCTGGCGAACGCTAATGTATCCTTAGTGCTTATGGATACATTGTTGATATTGATGATTTAAAGCTCAACTCGTGCAAATTGAGAATTGAGCACTGGAAGCACATCAAGTTTTGGCGTCAACAGCCCACTCCAACTGTATTGGAGCCCACTGTTCCATCATCCCTGTGCAGTGTGCAGTCAGCTTGAGAGCTTGGACACAGAGCCTAGTAGCACTTTGAGGTATCGATGGAGAAAAGGTACAACAAGACTAGTATTTTGTCGCCAGCAATGTATGAACCACGGTGCCACAGGGACCCGCTTCTGTGAGCTTCCAATGTCATTATCATACAATTATTTCTACCGAATTCTTGGGAGAATCATGATTCCTTGAGCGGTTGACTATCATCAACTTGACTACCTGAACCATATGATCAATGCTGCTTGTGGAATTCCATGCTTCGGCTCGATTACAAGTGTGGGATTTATAATACTTCGAGCTGGACGCGATTGTGCGTGAGGTTGTACAGTACTTCGTACTTGGAAGCAATATTAATCAGACATTCCCAGACACACAGTGAATGATGAATGACAAGGTCAAGGTACCGCGTCTACCTCGTAGTGCGAAGTACTTGTCCCCCTTCGATACAAGCGTGGTTCGCATTTGCTCTCAAAGACTCTTGGTCCGCCTTCTGCCTTCCCTCCAGGCAGATTGACCCCGGTTCACCATCCACCCTGGCCTGGCCTCGCTCGAGTCCAGAGTGACTCTCGCCTTTTCCACGTCCTGTCCCAAGTCAATACTTGCCGTTTCTCTCAGATAATCAATCCACCATACTGGGCTATGCCATTCGGACTCCAATCCTGAGAGTCATTAGCATTACCCACATTGAGACCTCTTTTTTTACTCTTTCCTCTATTCTTTTGTGCTCTTCCATCGTGTTTTAGGCTGCCTCTCCACACCATCGCTAGATCCTTTTTGATCACACCTCACCCCCCATTGCTTCGCCCGACTCCCATGACCAGCTTTAACCCTGATTTCTCCCGTCACACACACCAAGCTTGAACTTCCACTTTTTGTCGCTTGCCCGAGACAAACTGTTCCCCCCTGACAGATATTCGCCTTTCCGCGGGTCATATACGACCACGCCGTCGTCGTAGGCCTCTGGTGCTATCAAGGGCTATAACGTCCACCAGCCATGGCCCCGAACGCTGAAAAGAGTCAATTGAAGCGCCCCCGAGTGAGTTACATCTTGTTCCCCATTCCCAACATACACTCCGCTGGCGCGCTTCGCGATCCCCTCCTTTTCAATGTGCTGCATCCGCATCTGGATTTTTCTCCCTAACCGTGGTTGGTTCATGAAGGGCTCGCTTCCCGAAAACGATCTCGACCCCAAGAGGACTCGCCGGGCAGACAGACTCGACGACTCATCCGAGGACGAGCAAGGCCTTCCTCAGCCGAAGAGGCAACACAAACAGCCTCAACAGCAACAGCAACAACCAACGCCAGTGACTGTCGCCGAGGATTCAATAGAACTCCGCAAAGAGGAGACCGCCACGCCGCCAGGCGGAAGGCCGAGTCAAGTCTCCCACCGCGACGCGGAAGAACGATATTCGCAAACCAACGCCTACTCCTCTCCTCCCCTTCAGGATACCCAAGCCGTCTCCACCCAGCAGATCGAAGCCCAGCTTGCTCTTTCAGAAGAGGTTGAGGATGAGGTCAAAGAGGGTGTATGGGGATACCTATTCCCCCTCGACACCCGTTATGGCGGTCGTTGCCTTGTAATGAAGAAGACTCGAAATTGCGCCTCGCCATCCGAGCAAAAAGATCACAGGAAAGGCAAATCGCCAATGCCAAAGGACTCAAAGCGCTCTTCTGGGGGGTATCTAATCGGTCGTCACCCTGAATGCGGTATGTATTTCTTTTCTTTTCTTTTCTTTCCTGTTCCTTCTTTCTGCCCCTGTCGACCCCTTTCTTAAGCCTTTGAATACTGCCATTTTCCTTCTACCAGGCGAGACGCTAACAAGTAGAAAAGACATTGTCATCGATGACCCCATCGTATCTAATCGCCACTGCCTCTTCTTTACCGAACACAAAGGCCCCGATACCGTTGTCGTACTCGAAGACCTCTCTAGCAACGGAACTTTCGTAAACGAAGCTATAGTCGGCCGGAATCGTCGGAGAGAGCTCCAAGAGCACGACGAAATTGCCGTCCTGGATAAAGCACGCTTCATTTTCCGATACCCCAAGACTCGCCAAGCAAGCGCATTCTCCCAGCAGTATACATTGCAGGAGAAGCTTGGAAAGGGACACTTTGCCGAAGTCTACCTCTGTACCGAGAAATCTACCGGCCATCGTTACGCCGTCAAAGTATTCACCAAGCGCCCCGGCCAGGAGGATAAGACGACAACGGAAGGTCTCCAACAGGAGATTGCGGTCCTTATGGGTGTCAACCACCCCAATGTTCTCTGCCTCAAGGATACGTTCAACGAGAAGAAGGCGGTTTACTTAGTTCTCGAGCTTGCACCGGAAGGAGAACTATTCAACTTTATCGTCGCGAAGCAAAAACTCACCGAGAATGAGACTCGCAAGTTGTTCATTCAACTTTTCAATGGTGTGAAGTATTTGGTAGGTTTTCGCTTCCTTAAATCCCCCTAGTTACCCGTCCACGGGAAGGCTAACAAAGCCCGAATCACAGCATGACCGCAATATCGTTCACCGTGATATCAAGCCGGAAAACATCCTCATGGTGGACAAGGACCTTCACGTTAAGCTTGCCGACTTCGGCCTGGCTAAAATCATCGGTGAAGAGTCGTTTACGACCACCCTTTGTGGCACCCCGAGCTACGTGGCTCCCGAGATCTTAGCGGAGGCGAAGCATCGAAAATACACAAAGGCGGTAGACATCTGGTCTCTTGGCGTGGTGCTGTACATTTGCTTATGCGGCTTCCCGCCCTTCTCTGATGAATTATATTCCAAGGACTTCCCCTTTACGCTTCGACAACAAATCAGGAGTGGTCGCTTTGATTATCCCTCGCCGTATTGGGATTCTGTTGGTGACCCAGCCCGTGAGTCATACCCCGAAATAATGACCCTGCTCACTCGACGCGGTCACTTGGCGAAAAGCTGCTAACCTTAGTTTCACAGTCGATTTAATTGACAGCATGCTAGTTGTTGATCCAGAACGCAGGTTCACTATTGACCAGTGCTTAAGCCACCCCTGGATCACCCAGAGTATGCCCGGTGTTAATGACAGCACAGGCGGTCTCGTCGGTGGAATTGCCGGGCTAGATGTCAACCGTCGGGGCATCACTCGCGAACGGACCCTTCTCAGCTCAATAAACACCGTTCAGGTAGCAACAAGAATTCCCGGAGGCGAGAAGGGTGTGCCCGTCTCGGTATTTGCCAAGAACCAACATAGGAACCTTGTGAACACCGGAAACAGAGAGGTCGAGCCCGCACACGAACGGGATGCAGGCGAGTTTATGGAGATGGGCGGCCGGGGCGACCAGCCGCTGTATTCCGCCGACGATCATAACAGTATCTACCCAGTAGCCGACATTGCTTCGAAGAAGAACTAAGCTGGAGGCTGAAGCCCGGTAGCGGCGCGACATTCCCGGATGTAGATATGTGGTTCGTCCTTGGTTAGTCGATTTCCTGGGGGTGTGTGTGTGTGTCTTGACTTTGGGAGCTACATGTAATGTTGTTTGTTGCTGGTGCACACGGACTTTGCATTTTACACATATCTGCGGGTTGGCTTTTCCTTATTTTCATTTCTATTTCTCCCATTTTTATTCTTTTGCTTTTCCCCTTTCTCATTCATCTACTACATAGCTTCTCCTTGGGAAACTGACCTAAGGAGTGGGAACGGACTTGGAGCTCTCTGTTTTTGTTGTTCGCATTTTACCCCTTTTTTTTTCTTCTTTTTCTTCTCTCTCTCTTTACGTCGTCTTGTTTGCATTCCTCCTTTGCTTCCCCCTTTTTCCAATTTTCATCCCATGTTTTAATCATTTCTCGTGAGGGCTTATCAGCGACGAGGAGATGGACAGAAGGCGTCTCTGCCGGGAGTTTGGACTTCGGACATAACCTCATTCCCCAGTTTTGGCGCTGGGGAAAAGTAAAGCAGGACATGGTCATTGGGTTCATTAGGGCAAAGGGCAAAAAAAAGAAAGGAGGGCGCAACCGCTGTAGGGAATGCGGACCGGATATCACACCATACGAAGGAGGGAAGGCCTCGGCTCATCGAGGTAAAAAGAGGATTAGGGAGTATCCTAGCTGTTGCTTTTCTCACTCCCTCTCCGTCTCTTTTTTTTTTCTTTTTTTCTTTTTTTTTTTTCTTTTCTTTCACGGCCAGGTTCTTCGAGGAGTTGAGAATATGGGCGAATATATATGCATTAAGCATATTTTGTGAATATAGAGGTTTCTTTTAGCTACATCCCATGGACTAGGTCAGGGCAGAGCATGACCTTTCCATCTCGGCATGAACCCAGATTCAAATACACGATATATCTAGACACTTGGAAGGGCCCCTTTACTCTGGGATGGCATAGATAGGAGAGGCAAGAAAAAGTATTTGAATATTCACTACAAGTAAACCTTGGAGACAGAAAGCGGCTCTCGTTCACTGTGGAAGGGGGAGTAATGTATTGAAATATATATATCCATTGGTTTAATGAAATCTAACGATGGGATTCTCCAAGGATCTCAGCCTGGAAAACTCGAAACTGTTTTGCAAAACTATTCAGGCGCACACAAGACCATAAGGGCAAGGGGTATCCTCCCCGAAAAGGGGGTGAAATGTCTCGAAAAGCAATACTTAAATCTCCCTCTTCTCCAAGTTATTAGGCAAAGAGGGCAAAAGGGCTGTTGCGGACGGGTGTCATTCAAGGTATCCTCTAGGAAAGAACAAAAGTCGGCGTCACCGTGATCTGGGTGACAGGAACAACACTCAAGGCCAGGTCACCAAAAGGCAAGCTCAGGTTTACTTCTCCCTCACACACACACAGGTACAACCACGCGCGCAGAAACACATACACACACAAAAGATGAAACAAGCCATTAACTCCAGGGAAAAGAGGAGGGGAAAAAGAGAAAAGAAACTGAACAAGAACCAAGGCCGCCCGTATCATATCTCCATATCATTACACTTCTCATTTCTCATCATTACAGGCCCCCCTTCCCCTTTGCAAGACGACATAACAACAGATAATGAGGTAGAGTTACTACCAGAGGATCTGCAGCTGATACTGCGGTACTCGTAGGAATAACAGTGTCCGCGACGCGTATTGTGAGACGCGGGGTAGTAGCAGAGACTGAACGTGGCAAGTCTATCCAGCCATGTGGTTCCCTATCTCTCGGGAATGGGCGACTTGGCAAGCCGGCCGCCGGCGCTGACACGCTTCTGGAGGCGGGCCTCCCTGTCGCGTTGGATCTTTTGCTCTGGGCTCAGGTTAACGCTGTTGTAGTGCAGAGCGAGGGTGTCTCCCGACATGCCCGCAGCTCGGCCACGTTTCTGCTCTATGTATTGCATCGCACTACGGCTAAGGGGGAATGCAGGTAGTGCTGCCGGGATTTCTGCTCCGTTCTGGATAAGCAGCTCGGCGATGGGGAACGGCACTGGCTTGGCACCGGGGTCTGCGCCCGCCGGTCCTGGCGTCGGTGACGGAGAGGCAGGGTCAGCGGCAGCCAAGGCGAGGTATATGGCGTGTGTTCCCCTCGACTTGTCCGTCACGTTCGGGCTCGCCTTCAAGGCCAGGGCATATAGGATCTGCTGCACGTCGTTCTTCTTAATGGCAGCCAGTAACGTCTCATCAGGCGTGCCGTAGCGAGATAGTGTGGATGAAATAGGTTCCACAAATGCCCGGTCAACGTACTTGGCAGTGATGAACTTGAGTCGCTGTTCTCTTGTCGCCTGAGGTGTCGGTTTCAGCGCCTGGTCGAGCTTCGCTTCCCAGATCATATTTGCCACGCGATTGCCGACGAGGAGCAGCAGCTCAACGATGTCTGGCGTGAACGAAGTGATATCAAGTGTGAGAGACCGAACTTTGCTTATGTGTGTGCCCAAAGACCGATGGATGCCACTACACTCGATACATAGGATGATGGCGAGATTGATCGAAACCCATTCAACTTTGGATTGAGACCCGCAGTCGGCACACCAATTGTTTCCTTTATCGTTGTCCCGCAGCATCTGAAGCAACCTATCCGGATCATCCTCGAAGTTGGAACTGACACTCCTAGTCGTTGATGGCCTATTCGAGACGGTCGTGCGCCGCGACGGAACGCCGGATGAGTTGTTGTGCGGGTTGTAGGGGCTAATGTGGTGATGCTGGCTCTTCCCGGTCAAGATGGATGTGATATCTCGCTTGAAAGAGTTGCCGGATTCAGACGGCGTAGGAGATTGGCCAGGCTTGTCTCGAATACCGCGACCTTCCACGGCGCTTTGCAGGGCGTTGTTGATGGATAGAATCCACGAATTCATGTCATCCTCAGATGTTGCTTGGTAGACTCGTTTGAAGTTTGGCGTTATGACCTCAAAGCAGAATCGGCGCTCTGCATTGCGTGCCTCCCTAACTGATGCCATTCTCAAGTCAATGGGATCCATGTGAAGATCCAACTTCTGCTTCCAATTGCTATACTCCGAAAGTTTGCCCTGATCAAGTACAATCCAGAACCTGCGCCATGTTAGTCGCGTGATCTGAGAATATCTTCTAGCGGCCTCGCAGCCTGCGGCCTGTGCGCTACCTGACAGCCAGGGCGAGAAAGGGAAAGAGAAGTTCAGGACTGTTGGGTCAGTACTTACTTGTGCCAGCCGGCCTTAAGTTGCGCCCTTGGGTCTACGTGGCTTCCTGGACGGCTCAACGCCCATAACAAGCCCTCTTTTCTCTGAGATGCAGCTCGTCCGACGCTAGTCATTTGACCATAGTCACGCTCTTCAAGATCGCGGATTCCCTTGAACTTGGCGTTTTGAGTCGCCGCCGTGGCTGTGGCCTGGGTCAGGCTACCAGGTGACCTTGAGAGCTCGGCGACGCTCACTGAACCACTGGTTCCAGGAGCCGCAGAGTTACTTCCTCTCCACTGGGACCCAGTACTATCGGCGCGGCCGAGTTCGCTGTCGGAATGAGACTGATAGCCTCCTCCGTTCGACGCCGCGGAGGCCGGAGGGGGGAAATTGACGCTGACCGGCTCAGGTTCTACATAAGCCAGATTGGTCTTTTCGAGTAACCGCCGCTTCTCCTCACGCTCCCGCCTCTGGTATTGATACTCCTTGTCGGCCTCTTGAACCTCATTCGACAATGCCTCGAGTTGCGGAAGTAGTGAGTCAATCTTCTTTGCTGCTGCTAGGAAACCCTGTGTCTGAGCATCGGCATATCTCGTAAGGTGCGAGAGCACCTCCTGCTCCTTTCGACCGCCATGAAGATCCTGCATGAAACTCGAGTAATCAAATCGTTTCAGCTCAAAGTTTCGCCGTTTCGATTGGTACTTGGAGTCACTCTGCGCAAGCTTCTTAGCCTTGACAGAATCGTGGCGTTGGCCTAGGTACCGGGAAACGTAGCTATAATAGTCTTTGCTTTCTTCTTCGAAATCTCGCTTCTTGGAGTCGGCCTGCTTGATGTCGCAAATATAAAGTCTGTTTATCGGCTCTATGATGATCTTTTGCAAGTTTGCAGTGTTTTGCCGCTCATAAATCAGGATTTCTCGGGCAATCTTGTCAAAGTAATGATCGATCACCGGCTGGACAGCGTTGGCATTGGTGCTAGAGGCGTCGCGCAGGGCATCCATGAAAGCCACAAAGGCATCATTCGCTTCAACCTGGGCATTATAAGCTTGCTCAGCGCGCTTGAGAACGCGCTTCAGCTGGATGCGCATGTTTCCCGTCTTTTGCTCCAGAGCCTTGATGGTGGCTCGGAATAAAGGCCCATCGTCTGCCACAGTTACATCATCCACGGGCTTCGGACACGCTACATCCACCTTTACAGGCTCTCGCGCGGGGGGGCCGGCGGCGGATTGCGGCAGGGCAACAGAGGGAAAGCCGCTGACACTTGGTTCTTGGATGGGTGCTAGGGGTGACGTGGGCTCGTCCTGATCGACGGCACTTATGCGCGAGTCGACGGTTTGTGATGACACGGCTCTCACCTTGGGTGGTGATGCCAAGAGTAAGGGCGGTATGGGCGAAGAGGGATTGCTGATGGACAGTGGAGGACCTAGGCGGGCTTCATTTAGCACAAGAACCATCGGGCGAACGGCGAGCAAAAGGACGTACTTGAGACCCAGTAAGAGAAGCTTGCCAAGGTGTTGAAAGAGTTCGCATGCGGATTGTACTCGACAAACTGTAGCTGGGTCAGAAACAACAAAAGGAAGAAAACCGCAGGCGAAAGCGGCAAAAGGATAGTGGATAGCGGCGACATGCGAATACATACGCTACACGAGTTCCTCCAGCCGCCGCTCCAGTCATCGTAAGGCTTGGGGGGTTTCCACTTCCACTTCCACTCAAAGGTGACGGAAGGGCTGCCATCGGTCGCATAGTCGCCGACAAGCGCGACATTGGAATTCTTGTGAAGATTCGGATCGGCGTTGAATTCACGGGTGACTAGGTTCTCGACCTCTTTTGGTGTGGACGCATATACGTAGGTGAGGGCGTTGATTCGTGTGTCGAGAGGAGATGTGCTGGTATCTGATGGGTTCGAAGGAGGGCGTCGGATTATGAACGAAAAGGTAAAGATCAGTTCGTCGTCATTGGTGACTTTGAGCAGAAATTCGGGGATGCCATTCGATGGCTCGGGATCCTGTTTTTGTCAAGCAGATGCAATCAATATCAGGGCCGCCCGTCGATGGTGTAGCATTAGGGAGAGGCAACGATGCGAGGAGCTCGAACCTGGACAAACTCAATAGGGCTATTATCGCCAGCGGATCGAGTGACAGATAAGCGCGAAGCGGGAAAACCATTCGGGACAATATTTATAGTCGAGGGACGTCGGCGACTAGATATGACGAGAGAGGATAGGGTAACTACGAAGCCAGAGCCTGTCAGTAAATGTCATGTTGCTAGCTCCAACACCCGGACATAGAACACAGAACGAAGGTCAAGCGATCGCAGAATGATATAAGCTCAACAAAGCAGCATCACTCCACAAAGGGTAGAACACTTACAGCGATTCTGGTCACTGAGGTAGAGGGCACCACCCCCATCAGGCCTGCTTGAGATGTTGCCCATGGTGAGGCCGTGAGCAGCTTGGTAATGTCAAAGATGAGAGGTGGGTAAGTTGGCTTTGACAAAGTGCAGGCAGCAGAAGTGGGCACGGCTTTGTACAGTAAAGTGCAGGTGCCGCCAGCCAAGGAGACCAAACACGGGGGTAAATAAGCGAGCGGCCTCGAAAGACCAGGAATTGCCCAACTATATCCGGCGTAAGAACAACAAAGGTCCAAGTCGACGAGGGGGTAGTGTTAGTAGTGTCCCAGAAACCCCATAGCCTGGAGCCTGTGAGAGGGGTTCGCTACTGCATTCGGCGTCGGGTGAATCGAAGGAATTATTTTTAGGGGGGTGAGTGCACTGCTCTGGATTGCAGATCAGGTCGTTGACGGGGTAAGAAATGGCGCGGGGCAGAAGGTTGTCGCGAGAGCTGGGGTCAGAGGCGGGGCGGCTATTTGGATCGAGTTGGAACTGTCAGGGCGGTGTATCAATGTGATTGACGATTGATGGCCGGGGCGAGAGAGGGGGAGGAGAATAGAGACGAGACGAGGCGCCAAGGGCCTGAATTCCAGGGGCCCAGGAACATTGGTCGAACTTACTTTGTTACTGCAAGGAGAACTGAGGGGTCTTTGCTTCGATGGTGTTTTACTTGTATGGCTGCAGGGCAGGGCTTCGGGGTGAATTTTGCTAGGGGTTGGATGGCGCTGTTGTATCACAACTAGGACGGGCTTGAGCTTCTGGGCCCATAAGGAATGGGGAATAAGGACATGAGGTGGCAGTATTAGATAGGAGGGGGTGAATTGATGTTCAGGTGTGCCCAGAACTCGAGGAGAGAATCATGGATGTGGAGGAAAAGGTGGATGAGGTGAGGCAGAAGAGTTGCTCAACTTGGAGACCGAAGAACCGTGGGGAAACGTTCGTACTTTCCTTATGCTGGTTCCATCGCAATTTAGCTTCAAGGAGCAGAGGTATTAGAGAGCTCCACCGGAATAGTGCAGGTAGTGCAGGTAGTGTAAAATTAGCCCTTGGTCAATGTTGATGCGTCGAGTCTATTGACATTGATTGCCGAGTTACCTGGAGACTTGGAGACTTCGATTGCAGAGTGGCACCGCTTTTGTGGCTAGTGCATATTACCTTTGCTGTCAGTGTACCTGTGTATTTTCAACGCCCTTATGTACCTTTGTACTGGTGTATGTAGTGTGTGGAGGCCAATCTTGCTGTCCTCGGTGCTGCGTCATCCAAGTGACCTGGGCAGCCAGCCAGCTGAGCACAGAGGACAGACATTGAGGCGAGGCGCCAGCGACCCAAGAAGGCACTTGACAATATCATCGGACTGCAACTTCAAAACACTGTCCATACGAGGTCGTATTTACTATTATTATTTAGTCGCCAAGAGGTGGAGCGACGTTACAGGTCCTACCGAGTTTGATGTGTATAGACAGTGTGTTCTTCGGAAATAAACTGTGGTTTACACATACTGTCCTTTGATTTTCAAGGAAACGTGACAAGATGAGTCTAATGAACACTGTATTGATACATTTGTCTTCTTTCATTTCCACAACACATCTCACAAGTCGACGGGCATTTCTACTGACCGAATCAACTTAGACAAATGTTACACCGAAGGTCTCCAGGTCTAACTAGATTTTATCTAGGACATCACTACGACGTAGAAAAGTAATATCCGAAGCGTTATGAAGCAAACCCCCAATCAAGCAGCCACTGGGAACTCGCTCTATCCATCATAGATAGCATGGTTGCAAGCGAAGGGTTCCAAATCCGAAGAACTACTCCGTAGATTCATTTTCCCTGTGTGCCAGGAGGCCGGATTTGGCAGGCAAGAGGCGATGCTCTGCGGGAATGGGCTATGAACTCTTAAGCCGACGCTATGACAGCAAGAGCATTCCGGCGGAAGTCTACAAGGCGGTTGGCAGGTCACACGAGCAGTGCAGTGCGGGATCGAGCACTTGAGATTTGATCCAAGATGATGTGCTCACGTTACTTCGTACTTCATCTAACGAATGTTGCCAGGCAACGGATATTGACAGTGATGTCTGCGCCAGCTAGGGAGGCGCAAAGCGATGCCGTTAATGGTAAGTGGTTACGACCGCCCGTACTCCGTATTAGTTGATTACAACTTGCAAGTTATGGGGGAACGTCCCGGTGACTAGCAATGCCCGAAGGCAGCACAATAGCTCGTTGACAACTTTAACCTTGTGACGGCCCCAGTCATTCATCCACAATTTCCTTCGTAAGTATTGCCTTGAAAGTGAACCTCGTCGCACACTGACCCATTACCTTGAGGCGAAGTGTCCCACTCCGTCCAACTGGAATCTGGAATCCAGTCCCAATCTGACAAGGTAGTTTACACAGGTATGTGGCATGTGCTCTGTCTCCCTACCTATTTACACTCCAACGCTTAATTAATACGCGAGGACTTGTAAACTAGATTAATCGACACGATCCACTAACCCAGATCTCGGCGAGGGGAGGGGAGAAAAGGGGCTTCTATGAGGGACAAAGTATGCGTAGATAGTAAATAGAGGCTCGACTCGATACATTGCATAGATGGTTATCCATAAGACACGGCGTTCTTCACTCCAACCGCCTTCTGGCCAGTTGACGACGTGCATCTGCACGTAGAAATGTTCGTCAACTCGCCTGCGTGACAGCGGCAACATAAATCTAGGTACTGTGGTATCCGACAGACCATCGTCCTTGGTTGGTCGGGGAAGATAGCCGTGTTTTATCTCCATCTTCGTCCATCCTCATCATTATACGAACTTCTTCGAAGAGGCATGCCGCGTCACGGATCATGGTGGGGCAGTTCAAACGAGGAGCCACCGGAACTGCTTCTGGCTGCCATACCAGTGGCCTGATCTTTTTTTGATTTCTTTCTCTCTTTTTTTCCCCCCCGAATTGAGTTGATCTATTCTCTACGAAAGGGGCGAGGACGACTATTCAAATTTGATAGAATAGTAGCATAGGAAACACTGATTCACAACATGGTTAGGGGATTTGACCCCGATAAAATCAAGGGCCCAAAATGAAAGTCTGTTGCTAATAGTTTTAGCACTATTAGAGGGTCCCTAATATTTGCGCTGATGCACATCAATGACCCTTCAAAGTCCATTGATTGCTGGCTTGGCTTGATCCCCTGATACCCCTGTCTGTGGCTGATGGCTTGAGATGAAGCGGCTGTCGATGACGTTCATGTTGGTTTTAGTTGGTACTCTGCTGTATTGATGCATGGCACCTACCCAATCTAGGACCCCGCTAATCAGCTAATCATAGTCTCAGGTTGGGCAACTGCATTCCAACACAATTCCCTAATTGAAGTCATCATCAACACCAAACCCAACCTCACTTTAGTCTCTAGCATCCCTCGGTATTTCTTATACTCCTATCCTATAACTAAGCGAACAAAGAGCCTTGGAGTTTTGTGACTTTGCTGTATCAAACTCAACAAGCTTCCCTTTTTCTGGCACCACTCTCCTCCTCCTCCTGTGGCTATCCCCTGTGTCTTGCGTGCGCAATCCTGTTGATATTCTGCCTCGTCCAAGCCTCTCATGACGCGACAGCTTCAAGGGTCCTAGCTGGTCCTTGATATCGATACTTCTATTGCTTCCAGAATGAAATTTCCCTATTATTGACATCGAACTCGACTCCTCTTCCCAACATCCCCTCTTCTCGCTGTCGAGTCAACCGCGCCGACCCCCTTAGCAGCACTCAAGCCGCCACTTTGCCGCCGACACCATGTCGACCGCTTCGAATCGATCATACCAGCCGAACCGCCACCTCAGTAGCAGCCGAATGCCAAGAAGGTCTAGGGCCGCCTCTAGGGCTCAACGTGCTGCTGTCGTCGATCGCGATGAGGCCTTCACCTATGCCCTTCGGACGGCATTCCTCCACCACCTCCTACAACCTCGCGCTAGGCGAAAGCAATATGTCAACGTCCCGACAAAGCCCATCCATCGATCGCACTCGAGCATGGGACACCTGCTCCAAGATTTCGTCTCTACTGGAGGTACTACGGGTGGTAGCATGAAGCTGCCTCATAGCTTCCGCGGTGCCCTCTTCGATCGGATGCAGGGAGTCCTCAGGGGCACCGAGCGAATGCCCGGCTATAACGATGCCGCCGTAAAGAGGTGTTTTGCAGAGGCGTACACGGCGTTTACCGAAAAGAGCTTCCAAAAGACCATTGATAAGGAGAGAAAGATAGAACCCCTGGTCCTCATATTCTTCTCCTCTGCGACTAAAGCCGCCCAGAAAGCTGCCGCTCCCGGCGATGAATCCTGGAGGCTACTACCAGATCGCCATGTGGCTCTATTTGTGCGCCTTGTCATCAAGATTCTCAAAGACCACGGCCAGGACCGGGACAGGCCAGATCTGCTCAACAAGCTTGCGAGCCTTGAGAACAAGATGCTGACCAACGATCAAAATTTGATCGACTCTGGCCAGGACAATCTCGGCAAAACTATTGAAGTTGTAATTCCCTTCAGCTACGAGGTAAAGGATATGCCAATGGTACAGACAGTCTGCAGGATTTTCGGCTACCCAGACTCTCACGCCCAAGCCGAAATCGATGCTCACAAGTCCGTTTGGACCGAGGAGGCGGCGCTTCGTGATTTGAAGGCTTATCAGCATCGCCTAAACTCTAATATGGCTGGTGCGCTTAACAGCGGCGATTTTGAGGTTGAAGAGGCCTTTGAGGATTGGAAAAGGTCTGAAGCTCCTCACCTCTCACGAATGATGCTCGATATCCTCACCGCTCGTCCCGAGTTGGCCAAAACATCGACAAGTACAGCGGACAAACCGCTTCCCACCCCTTCTCCTGCCTATGATGATGACCAGGCATATGCGGACCTGGCGCGACTCATTTCGAGCACCGATGATACACCAATCCTAGGTTATGACAGTGCCCTCGGGATGGGCTCGGTAGGCCCTGACGATTCTAGCAGTATCCGAAGCGTCGATGAGCCTAGTTATACATTCATCCCCTACGACCCTAGAGCTTTCTACAAGGCTGTTCTACAGCAGGCTATCGTCAACGATCAGTCGCTCTCCGATCCATCGGCCCCGTACGCTCCCTTGTCAAAAAGCTCTCAGGATCTCCTCCTGGAACTCGCTGTGCACTGGCGCATCCCTCAATCGTCGCGATTGGTAGCACTCGCCGAAGTGTCAGTAAAGCGATTCACCGACGGTGAGATAACTTTGGAAGACCTAGACACCGTTTTCGATATTGTCAAGTCTGAGGGCCCGGAGATGAAGAAACCTCCCCACATCACGAACTATACCGCCCCGCTGACGGCATTCAATCCCATGCACCTGACGGCCTACGATCGCTCGGTCTTGATACGTACACTCCAGGCTCTTCATGAAGCTCTCCTCCGCGATCTCTACAATGCCCTTGTCCAGTGCTACGACCCGAAGCCGCCCTCGATTGCCGTCGTTATGCATGTCCTCCTTAACCATGTTGTGGATGATCCCAATTTCTCAAGGACATCCGAGGAGGATGAGCAATTCGCTGAGGTTCTCTATGGTGGCCTTCGTCGAAAGGCCGCTGATGTCTACAGAGCTTTCCTCGATAAGGAACTACCAGCGAACCGGGACCAGTGGGACTTTGGCCATGTCGTACGGCTCGGCCAAGCCGTCGTGAAGCTCTCGGAGAAGATTAGGAAACGCTATAGGAGAACCCCCGAGATAATGGGAGCCAACCCCCTGAGGGCTTTAGTCGAAACCATTTTTCCAAGCTTCCAGGCTGATTGCAAGGCGATTATCGAGCAAATCATGTCCTGTGCAAAGGAACATGACAAGGAGATCCCAATCGATGAAGGTTTCCTTCTTTACAAGGAACTCATTGAAATTCGCAAAATCCAAACGGACACTTTGCCCACACAATCCTTTGCGTTTGATATCGAGGACCTGCTAGTTAGCTTTGTCTGGAGGTGGATCGATGTCGTAGGTGACAAGGTCGACGAGAATGTCGAGACTGCCTTTCGACAGGACAAGTTCCAAGTCAGGACCGACTCGCCTGATCAGACGGCCCCTGATTCTCAGCGTCACAGCCTGTCCATTATCGACGTCTTTACACTTTTCAACCAGACAGCGAATCAGGTTTTCCAGCTCGAGTGGAGCAATGAAGTCCACTACGCCAGATTCATGACCGCCCTTGCGCGGGTGTTTGCGAACGGTATCGGCCGATATTGCGAGCTGGTGTGGGAGCAATTTGCGAAGGAGATGGACCGGCCGAGCGCCCAGGAGATCGCGGCGGCTTCCATGACGGCGCAAGAAAAGTTCCTCCAGTACGCTAAAGATGCTTGGAACAATAAGGAGAGGATCGAGCCGTTCCAGTTCTACCCTGAGGTATGTCCTTCATGATGTCTTCCTTTGGCATGGGGAGATATTTCTCGTCGTATAATGCACTAACATCGAGCCCCTTTCCTTAAAGTCTTTTGTAAAATTGAACAATATCGAGTTTGCCATGCAGGAGTTAGATAAGCTCGAAAAGGCTATGAATGTAGACGCCTGTGCAGCGCTTTTGGAAAAGGTGGACGGGCCTAAGAGGCATCTTCGAAAGCCCACCAACTACGTCTTCACTGTCAAGATCATCGAAGCGGAGGACCTCAAAGCCTGCGACGCAAACGGCTACAGCGACCCGTATGTGGTGCTCGGTGACGAGTATCAGAAGCGCCTTGCCAAAACAAGGATTATCTACAGGAATCTGAATCCGCGATGGGATGAGTCCGTCGATATCACCGTTCAGGGCCCCCTCAATCTGATCGCCACGATTTGGGACTATGATACGTTCGGGGACCACGACTTTGTCGGAAGGACATCGCTTAAGCTGGATCCACTCCACTTTAGTGATTACCTGCCCCGAGAGTTCTGGCTGGACCTTGACACTCAAGGCCGTCTTCTAGTGCGCGTCAGCATGGAGGGCGAGAGAGATGACATCCAGTTCTCCTTCGGAAAGGCCTTCCGGCATTTGAAGCGGACAGAGCGAGACATGGTCCGCAAGATTACCGGAAAGGTGACGCTCAACATACCACACCCTCCTCGCCTTATTCTCAATGTCTCTAGTATCGCTAACAAGCATGAGTGCAAATACAGCTTACATCCTATATTGATGCGACACTCTCACGAGAGACTCTTCGTAACTTAGCAAAGACTGGAGGTATCGGTGCATCGGTCACAAGCCTCTGGAAGAAGCGCGTGTCCGAGGTCCCAACCTTGAGGCGTGAAGACATAGAAGGCGCACTGGAGATGCTTCTCGAGTACTTTAACGATAACTTCGCTATCATGAAGCTGACCCTAACCGACGCGACCATGATTGCCGTCATGACCCGGCTGTGGAAGGAAGTTCTCATGGCCATCGAGGGTCTTCTTGTTCCCCCCCTTTCGGATAAGCCATCGACTCAGAAGCCGCTCAATCAACGTGAGCTCGATATTGTGTACCAGTGGTTACAGATTCTCCTTGAGTTCTTTAATGCCAGGGACGCGCAGAGCGGCGAGCAGTTGGGAGTTCCGATTGACGTTTTGAAATCGCCTAAGTGGCATGAGCTGGCATCGCTCAACTTCTTCTATAACGAGGATACTAATAATTTGATTCGGGAGTCTGAGAGGATGGCAGCCGCGACGGCGCAGCGGGCCCAAGCAATGATGCGGCAACAAGCACACTCTAGCCACCGCCTCTCGGCGCCGGCATCGCTCGGTGCTTCGTTTGGCGGAGCTGGAGCATTTGCTAGCATGGGCACGATTCGACGCGGCAAGAGCATCATGATGAGCCGCAACCTAGGCACGATGAGGAAAGCGAAGGAGGAGCGACGCAAGGAGGCACAGGCGGACCCTAACGATGATATGATCCTCCGTATTCTCCGCATGCGTCCCGAAGCGGCGGGTTATCTGAAGGACCGCCACCGGCAAAAGGAGCGGCAGGCTGCTGCTTCGGCTGCTGCGCTCATTGTTAAGAACAGTGTTGGGCAGGGCTGGAATGCTGGCGGCGGCGGTGGTCCCTCGACCTTCGGAAGGAATAACCTTCCCCTCCGTTAAAAGGCTACTGAGCTTCATGGACCAAAACCGCACTTCGTCTTACACTTTCATGTTTAGGAAGGCAGAAGGTCATTCCGTGTGCGGTCCGTATCATTTGCCCCCTTTTTTTTCTGTTTTGTTTCTGCGGAAGGCTTTGAACTGGGACGGACTTACAACAGTTCTAGGACGAAAAGGGGGGATGCAGCCAGGATGATATATAACCACAAAAAAGGCACATGTTGCCTCGGATTTGTACGAGTCTAGCATCCTACTCGAACCCTTTAAGGAATCTCTTGGGGTCTGGAATGAGGGAGTTTGGCGGGAGGTTTTTGCAAGGTAGTTTTCATACGACTAATGACTACGGATACCCATTCAATGGAGCATGCACAACAACATTGATATCTCGTCCCGTCTGTGTGAACTATGAAGGCTTGGAGCTTGCAAGAAGTTCCCTAGGGCCCCGTGACATTCGGTGTATGTTGTTCCCCGCCAGACTAGACAAGCTTGGCTGCAGGGGCTCTTTTGATAGCTCAGAACGTTATGGACACGTCAATGCCGGGCAATGTTCTCGAAGGCCGTGGTGAAAGTTTCTTGAAGGCAACAATTTGCTGATCGGATGAACTAAGTAAAGGGTGATGGCGCCCGTCCCCAAGATACGGTGGATGTTGCTACCCTAGCACAGTTCTGTTTTTCTTCGATGGGGGCGAAAAGCTTAAAGTCTCTCCCTGCCCTCTACCAAACCACGTTCGCGAAGCAGCTTCGTTTATGAACTAGATGACGCAGAGGCTCGTAAATTCGGAGCTACCAGGAGCCTATACCAGGAGATCACCATCCGGAGTAGCCCTCGTGGAGATCCCCCCTGGTTTTTCTATGCAAAATGTGTGCACTACCGGCATGTGAAGGGACTAACTGACTGTTGCCTGAAATAGTACGCTTATTTACATCAAGAAACGTCGAGGTACAGGTGATGTGGTGTATTTCCCGATAAACTTGCCTTTCCATGGTTCCCCAAAACTCTTTTCTTCTTTGATTTTCCCGCTTCTTAGTGTAAAGTTTCCTATTTGGAATCCGTCTGCGCGTACGGAGTAGTTGAGACATCTCCGGGCTGGCATCGATCACTATTGCTTCACCATCACATTTTAGACTTCATACATGAGTTTAATATGGAATCCGTTATTGCGGGTTCCGCCTCTTGATTGGCCTGCTTGATCCTTTCGTGGGGGGACGACATCTTGGTCGGCGTAAAAGCTGAACCCCAGCACCATGGATTCCCCCGTCTCGATCTCTTTGTGCCGGGTTTGCCGCCCGCCTGTTGAAGGAGAAACTTCTTGTGGCTCTCTGCTGAGTATTCCTTTCATTCCGCGGTGTTATCTCATCTGCCTGGAGTACCTCGTATCGTTCAACAACCTCGAGATGAATCGCGATTGACAAACCTAGAAGGGAGTTACATGTAGAAGACGCTGATCGGGTTATTTTAATATTCTCCTCTGCTGAAAGGTGTGAAAGGTGTGAAAAGGTATGTCGAGGGGTGTACTAGAGATCAAACGAAGTCATTTCGTGAAAATTAAGGGTCCAATAACTGTTACGAACGACACCAGACGAGCCTTGCCGGGTTCAATTTGATGAATAGGTCGCGTATCAATTTGGTACCCATGTCGATCGATCGATGGGAAGATGCCATTATATGGGCATCGAACTATTACGAACAATGAAGTAGTATCAGAGATCCCCTTGGAGCACCAGAGCAGCCGCCACTAGGGTCAACCACGAACAGCTCTTTCGGGCCTATCCATCCATACCACTGTGATCCTTGCTGTCAGCTCGACCGGGACTTTGGTCCCCGTTCCAGCACTTCGGAACCACAGAAACTTGCCTGTGTTACAGCCGATGTTCCGGGTCCACTTCCGTCTGGCAGTACGAAGTAGTGTACGAAGTAGTAGTATGTGAGTTTCCATAGTTCCTTAAAAATTGGGTTCAGATGGCGCGCTATAGCCAAGACTTACTCCTCCGTACACATGAACGAAGTAATTTGTCCTGGCGGTTCCCCTCTCGAGGATTTCGACTGAATCTCCAATCGAGGACGGTCTGGCGGGGGAAAGGGGGGAAGGCAACTTCAGATGCATGATTGATCCGCGAACGCCACGGTCCGTCTTCCCAATCTTCTCCTGCTACTCAAGAGGAGGAGGGCGGCTCCTTGGTGCCCGTGTTAGATGCGTCTTGTTCGTTCTGTCGGAAGGCTCTGATTGTTACCAAGGAACGCGGGAAAGAGGGAGGGGCGAAAAAAAAGTAAGTGTGCTCAATTATCTTTTTAGAAAAGATACACGACGATTGGATGTATCATGTCGGCGAGAGCTTGGTAATGGCTTAGTCGCATCTGTAAATGCCCAACTGCAAACAGGTTTGAGTGCTGATATCAAGACGGTTCGGTTGCGAGCGCTGTTGGATGCGAGGATTAGGAGCCCTGGCCGGGTTGGGGATTTGGCCAAACTGCATCTCCTTCCACTTTGAAGATTAATAGATATATATATATATATATTTTTTTCGCGGTGCTCTCTTCTCGTGCAGAAAACGCTCTGGTCGCCTTCCTCGAGAGAAGAGCATCGGTTGTGATCTCGAGTCAAGGCTCTGTAGCAATCGTACGAAGCAGTTGTTAATCCCCTGTCCTGGTTTTTTTTTAGTATAATGTTAATCAATTAATACTAAGTTTGCTAGTCCCAAGGGGCTATTCTCCGATTGGGGCACCCAACAACCAGGGGCAGTCGGGACTTCAGCGCGAACAAGATATCAACACACAGTTTATGAAGTACTTTGGCAAAGTGTACCTCGTAACAGTTCAAGTCTCGATGCCCATGGATCTCTGGGAGCATCTCGACAGCCTGGCTTCCGCACTTTGCAGACATTGATGCTCTCAAGCGAGACAAAGCAATTGATCTAAACTCGAAGTACAAGTAGGAGGTAGACGGAGGTACGTTCGTATTCAAGCATTTCGTGCAATTATAAGACCTCAATTCTGCTCCACACCAACACTCCACACCATCGCTGCATCAAATCCAGGATTGAATTGACATTTGACAATGTTCATTGTCACACGTCCACAGCCAAGCCTTGGTCTCACACCAGTGACGTCAATGGCATTGGGGGTTGCACCACTGGGATTGGATGATCCACTTAGATAGCGCTACGGGAAAGGAAGGGGGTAATCTACATCATCTTTTGGGGCAATGATTGCCGACTGTATCGAACTTGATCGTCAATACTGTGTGCTCTGAGCTCTCTGAAACAAGGGCGGGTCCATCTGCAGTGTGCTGCACTCATCTCATCCCCCCAATGGCAAGGCTCAACGGTGTAAACTAGTTTACAATTGGGCTTGTAAGACTACCACTGCCCAGCGTTGAGAGATTCGAAAAATGATTGCCGCTCTCGCTCCTCTGCATGTGGCGATATTGAGAGAGTGCGGCTACTCAGAACAAAGTCGCCAGAATCACACGATAAAATGTTGAACCTCAGTGGCATGGTTGTGGCGGCGTCGGTAAATCGATAACCGAGAAATCAGCATCGAAGAAAGTACTGATCCCGAAGCAGGTTAGCAGCGAGTTGTGGGAGGGGGAAGACGTAGAGCAAAACAGCAATCAGAGATTGACCAGCCATACCTCACCATTCGTCCAAGGTCTTACATGTATGTATTGAGTATGTGTCCGCACTTGAAGCTCTGCAGCCTGTACGACTTCGAGTCCTGATGCTGCGAGTGGGAAATGGCACAGGATATGCGACCCAGTCAGAGGTGTCCAGCACATCACCAATTCGGGGAATAATTCAATTAAACGACATAGTTTACAAGCCTGGAGCCTCTCTCTACTCTATTTCTTAAACTGCCAAGCTCATGTACCTCATGGACCTTAGAGGAGACCAGCAATGATCGATTGATGTGTTGTGTGACGACAAGTCCACTTCGGCTAGACATGGTATACTGAAGGAGCGAAGACTCTCTCACCGCTCAGTTTAGCAATAGTTTAGTTACATCACATCGCTAAGCCGTCTCCCAAGTCCATCTAGGCTACGAATCATCGCAGGCAGGAGGGGGCATAGCTTTTTAAAATCGCAAACGCAGTTTGATGCTCTGATACGAGAAAGCGAGAAAGAGTGATCCACGTCCTGTTCATTGGGGGAAAATAATTGACATCTTGCTCTTCTTCCTCGTCTTGTTTTCTCGGAACTCGGAAGTTCGAACGTTCGAACGGTACCTCTATTTCCTAAAAAACGTACTGTCCCCCACCGCCTTCCTATTTCCACGTCCCTCAAGAAGTAGCGCGACGCCGATCATGGACGAAAACCTGGGGATGAACACGGGACTTGAAGCGTGAAGTGTACCTGAACCTCGAGTGCGTGCGCTAGACCGGCTGCATCTGTTACCTGTCACTGTGCGAGATTCCTCGATGTACTACTACCCATGAGTCCCGCCCTGCTGCCTCCAATCGCCGAAGCCCGCCAAGGGCGATGGCATCCGTGCTGGGCTTGGCTTCAGAACCTTTGGGACCTTGGGACCAAGATCAAAACGCATGCATTCGAAGCATGAAGTAATCTAAACTACGCATACACAGTAGTTCTCGTCGCGACGAGGAGCGCCCAGCCCTGCTACCACTGGCGATACTTCTTTGTAAGGCGATTTCCGGCGGTTCCTGCCCTGGCCACTAGCCCAAAGCCACGGGGTCGTTATTATTCGGCATTCGGAGGGCCAAGAGATTCCTGACAAGCGACGTTGCTACGCCACTTCGCAGTCTCGTATGCACTCTTTATTCTGGTGAGGGGGGGAGGATGTATCCGAGAGGGTCGTCTCAAACGCTAGCTGGCTTCGATAATTTGTATGCGATGCAGCAGCTCCCCCGCCCCGTTTTCATCAGGGACTCTGCGATCTCACTCTTGCTCTACAACAGACCCGACCTGCTTTCGTAGTCAAGGGCTACCATACTATGCCACCTTATATATGTTGGACAATCGATCTCATGCCGGGAGCCATCGGGCGAAGGGCAGAGCGGACTTTGGGAGGTAGTCTGCGTACAGTTGATGAAGCGTGAAGAAAGAACTTGCTCTACACAGGCAGAGTCGGCTGCGAATTCTCCCGAGGCGGAAGCGCGTCGGTTTTTCTTCGATTTATCTCTTCAGCGAGATTTAGGGACATACCGACGACCCATTTATATGGTCCACTTATACCTCAGTACGAAGTAAGTGCATTAATATCTCTAGGCTCTAGCCGTTCGAAGAAGAGCTGGGCTCTGGTTAAACGCCTCGATGGGATTTCCAGGTTAGGATGAAGGCTCCGCCTGGCCTTTAAAGTATTACGAAGTACACTACTACCTGTAGTATGAGGGTACTTCTACACGAAACCGACGAATGTGATGCTACCCTGTTCACTGGATCAGTTTGAGGAGATAGGCTGGGCGGGCTTGTAAACTTATCGCCGACACGTTGGCCTGAGGTCCCTCAAGTTCTCCCCTCCTAACCAGCGACCCCAGGGTGTATGGTGCTGGAGCAGGAGCAGAATGAGCTTCTGCCATTGATTGACCCCGTCCCGCAACTCTTGGGTGACTTACGAAGTAATATTCGCCCATTCCTACCTTTGTACGAAGTACAAGAATATGAAGTACTTCGTACTTATTAGCATGGACACTACCAGTACTAGACAGCCCATGCGCGAAGTACGAAGTATACTTTCGTGTGAGGTCTTGGCTGAACTACCTAAAATACCTAACTCCACTAGAGTCGAGGAATCGGATGCCAGGCGGATTAGCAGCTGTGGGCAGAGAAAGCCAAGGCGTCTGGTTAGTTGGTACTTTTTTTCCTCTTTTTTTTTTTTTTTTTATTCTTTTTTTATTTTTTTGGGTTGGTATTATGTTCGATGTTATTTCTTGTTTTTTCTCCCTCCACCTTTGCCTCTTCTTGGGCTTCCTGCCTGATCATTGGTCCCCTTTCCCTTGTCCCTTTCCCTGCCCCAAGCCCTTGGGCTCCTGGCTGCGCTCCCCTCCTTTCCTCACTTAACGAACCCTGATTGACCCTCTTTATACAAAGGTACAAAGCGCTACTTGAACTTTGTCCCATGTTCGGTACTTGTAGTCTTGTCGTTGTCTACCGACTGCCTCCCACTCACTGTTGTGACACGCCTGCCAATATCTCCATTCAAACCTTCGACCTTGACAATTCGTAGGCGGTCTTTGGAGGAAGAAGCCTTCGCCTTTTTTCACTTCGCTTTTTGTAACCCCTGTTTGGCATACAATTGTATCTGCTGCCTTGGCCTCGAACCCCCTTGGGAGCAAATCCAAGAAGCAGTGCAGCCAATTCCCCCGCCCCTCATCCCTAAAGTGCTGCCGCTGCTAGCATGCCGCCTAGCCTGACTCTTTACTTGTGCTGAAACGGGTGCAAGATTGGATTGATCAATTCTGTCTCTCCATCCCCCCAGCGAAACCCAGACAACAAAACACGACTACACGCCTCCTTCCTCGAACACAACGAGCCGCCTTCGAGTTCCGACACCCCCTTTCCTCGTTAGTTCTCGTCGTATATCGCTATTTTCTTGGTGCTTCGATTGAATCCTCCAACGCCGTCTTCATCGGCGCCATGGTCGACGACGGCGCGTTAGCCGCCGCAGCGGCCTTCGTCGAATCGCTGGCTATTGACAATAGCCATCTCGACCCTCTTCCATCCGATTATCAATATGACTTCAAGCTCCCCGGCCGCGAGACACCCGGGAAGCGTGCCCTCGAGCAAGAGCTAGCGAAAGTAGCAATTAGAATCCAACTGCTAGAAGATCGGGCTCGCGCCGCATCTGCGTTCCCCGACACCCCAAATGAGACTTCAGACTCCGTCTTTGGCGATGACTCGGGTTCCTCGCTATCGACAAGCAGTCGGCCTCCCAGGCCCGTCGACTGCAAACAAGGTAGCTCGGACGATTCCTGCATTATGGCTGGCCAGCTGACCGAAGATGCCCTCGAAGGCTTGCAAGGTTTGCAAGAACATGTCAAGGACCAGTCGAAGCTGATCCTTCACCAACGTCAAGAACTTGACGGCATCGGTGCCAAGTTGTCGGAGCAAAAACAAATGACCGAAAAGGCCATCGCCGCTATTGAAAGGGAGCGTGTCGCGGCTCTCGAACGGGAGCTATGGAAACACCAAAAGGCCAATGAGGCCTTCCAAAAGGCACTCCGAGAGATTGGCGAAATCGTTACTGCTGTGGCCCGCGGAGACCTTTCGAAGAAGGTTCGCATGAACTCGGTAGAGATGGACCCCGAAATCACCACCTTTAAGCGAACTATCAATACCATGATGGACCAACTGCAAGTCTTCGCTAGCGAAGTATCGAGAGTTGCGCGAGAGGTCGGAACCGAGGGTTTACTTGGCGGACAAGCCCGCATCGATGGTGTCGACGGCACCTGGAAGGAACTTACAGATAATGGTACAGAACATGCCCCTTTTCTGAGTCGACGTCTCTTCATTTTGTGCTGGTGTTGCGGGATGATCATACTGACGAGGGTTTGTAGTGAATGTCATGGCCCAGAATCTCACTGACCAAGGTATGTTTACTTCTTTTAAAGCCCCTAGGCCGCTAATCCACTCCTCCCTCGATGCAAGTTGAAGCTAACAATACCCCGTCGTTTAGTGCGAGAGATTGCATCCGTTACCACTGCCGTTGCCCACGGTGACCTGACGAAGAAGATCGAGCGACCCGCAAAGGGAGAAATTCTCCAACTCCAGCAAACGATTAATACCATGGTGGATCAACTGAGGACCTTTGCTGCCGAAGTCACGCGCGTCGCCCGTGATGTCGGAACAGAAGGTATGCTGGGAGGTCAGGCCGATGTTGAAGGTGTGAAGGGCATGTGGAACGACTTGACCGTCAATGTCAACGCCATGGCCAACAACTTGACGACACAAGTCCGAGATATTATCAACGTCACTACCGCCGTCGCTAAGGGTGATCTGACGCAAAAGGTGCAAGCCGATTGCCGAGGTGAAATCTTTGAACTCAAGTCCACTATCAACTCCATGGTAGACCAACTGCAACAATTCGCACGAGAAGTAACAAAGATCGCCTGGGAGGTCGGTACCGAAGGTCGACTCGGTGGTCAAGCCACAGTCCACGACGTCGAAGGTACCTGGAGGGATCTGACGGAGAACGTCAATGGCATGGCCATGAACCTGACCACCCAAGTGCGAGAAATCGCAAACGTCACATCTGCCGTCGCTAAGGGGGACCTTTCAAAGAAGATTTCCGTTCCCGTGAAGGGAGAGATTCTGGACCTGAAGAACACTATCAACACCATGGTTGACCGCCTTGGCACCTTTGCCTTCGAGGTCAGCAAAGTGGCGAGAGAAGTAGGCACGGATGGTACTCTTGGTGGTCAGGCTCAGGTCGAGAATGTCGAGGGTAAATGGAAGGACCTAACCGAAAACGTCAACACTATGGCTTCCAATTTGACGGTTCAGGTGAGAAACTAATGTTTGAAGTCGGATTACCATCATGGCACTAGTTTTTAACTTGTATGGTTCTGTTCTAGGTCCGAAGCATTTCCGAAGTCACGCAGGCTATTGCCAATGGCGACATGAGCCGAAAGATTAAGGTTGAAGCCCAGGGTGAAATCCAAGTCTTGAAGCAGACCATCAATGACATGGTGGATCGGCTTTCCAACTTCTGTAACGAAGTCCAAAGAGTCGCGAAGGATGTCGGTGTTGACGGCAAGATGGGTGCTCAGGCTAATATCCTCGGTCTGGAGGGTCGATGGAAGGAGATCACCACGGACGTGAATACCATGGCTAGCAATCTGGTAAGAGCCGACATGCCCTACTTACTAAAGATACAATACGGACTTGACTGCCCGTGTGTGAAATAGGGCCCATTGCTGACACGCAGGTTTCTTTTAGACAACGCAAGTGCGAGCCTTCTCCGACATTACAAACCTTGCTACCGACGGCGACTTTACAAAGCTTGTCGATGTCGAAGCCTCTGGAGAGATGGACGAGCTCAAGAGGAAGATCAATCTGATGGTGTCAAAACTCCGAGAAAGTATCCAACGTAACACCCAGGCGAGGGAGGCAGCTGAATTGGCCAACAAGACGAAATCCGAATTCCTGGCGAACATGTCCCACGAGATCCGAACACCAATGAATGGTATCATTGGAATGACACAGTTGACCCTTGACACCGACTTAACACAGTACCAGCGCGAGATGCTTAATATTGTCCACAATCTTGCCAACAGCTTACTAACGATTATCGACGATATTCTGGATCTGTCCAAGATCGAGGCGAGGAGGATGGTCCTCGAGGAGATTCCGTTTACCTTGCGTGGCACCGTCTTTAACGCACTTAAGACTTTAGCCGTCAAGGCGAACGAGAAGTTCTTAGATTTGACGTACAAGGTAGACAGCTCGGTACCGGACCACCTCATTGGCGATTCTTTCCGTCTCCGCCAAGTTATCCTCAACCTCGTCGGGAATGCCATCAAGTTCACCGAGGAAGGTGAGGTTAGCCTTACCATCCGGAAGTATAAATCAGAGACGCGCAAGGGCGAGTATATGATCGAATTTGTCGTCACCGACACGGGCATCGGTATTGCTCCGGATAAGCTCGATCTGATCTTCGATACATTCCAACAGGCCGACGGTTCAATGACCCGGAAGTTTGGTGGAACTGGTTTGGGCTTGTCCATTTCGAAGCGTCTCGTCAACCTCATGGGCGGCGACTTATGGGTGGACAGCAAGTTCGGTACTGGAAGCGAGTTCCACTTTACCTGTAGAGTCCGAGTTGCTCCTGAAGATTCGGTCTCCAGGATGGACTTTAGCCAATATCGTGGACACCAGGTTCTCTTCGTCGACAAGGCGCAGACGAACTTCGGACCTAGAATCAAGGATATGTTGGAGGACATAGAACTGGTACCCGTCGTTGTGAAGTCGGAAGAGAGCCAGTCTATTTCGTCGATGAAGGGTCAGGCAAAAATGCCGTACGATGTGATACTTGTCGACTCGATAGACACTGCCCGGAACCTACGGGCCGTCGACGACTTCAAGTACCTACCGATTGTCCTCCTTGCTCCCGTTGTCCACGTCAGTCTAAAGTCATGCTTGGACCTCGGAATCACGTCCTACATGACGACCCCGTGCACAACGACCGATCTAGGCAATGCTATGATTCCAGCGTTGGAGAACCGCGCGACACCCTCGATCGCCGACACAACCAAGTCATTTGAAATTCTACTGGCGGAAGATAACACGGTCAATCAGCGTCTCGCGGTTAAGATCCTCGAGAACTACCATCATGTTGTTACTGTGGTAGGTAACGGTCTTGAAGCAGTCGAGGCTGTAAAGAACAGGAAATTCGATGTTATTCTCATGGACGTGCAGATGCCCATTATGGTATGGATACCTACCCTTTCCGAACCCATTCCCATACCCGCACTCAACACTCCCCCCAAAACAAAACAAAAAGATAAACGTAGACTAATCTCTTCAAACACAGGGAGGATTTGAGGCTACGGAGAAGATTCGAGATTATGAGAGAATACGAGGCGGCTATCGCACTCCGATCATCGCGCTCACGGCTCACGCTATGATGGGTGACCGTGAAAAGTGCATTCAAGCACAGATGGATGAGTACCTATCAAAGCCGCTCCAGCCCACCCACTTGATCCAAACCATCTTCAAGTGCGCAACACTAGGCTGTGAACTCCTTGAGAAGAACCGGGAACGTGAACTCAACCGGCAGGCGGAGACGGTAGAAGCAGCCAAGCACGGACTCCCCCACAGGCCCTCGCTTGAGTCAAGAGCCTTCGCATCGACGGAGTCTGCCAAGAAGGGAGCTAGTGCCGCCGCGGCTTCGGCCACTTCAGATGATGCCTTAGCAAGGGTAAGTCAGGCCGCCGCTTCTCAAACATCGCGATTTTCGAACAGGGGTTGCTGATACTGTTGCCATTTAGCACTACATGCGGTCTCAGGGCAGATAGTCCCGAGCATCCTTCTATTAGCGCCATCATTCTCGATGAGACGCTGATGGCAGCCAAGCGCTTCCTATCTCTTGCTCTCGACCTCGCCATTTTCCGGCTCTTTTCTCCGACGAGTGATCTCGAACGACCAATACCCCCACTCTTCCTCTCGTTGCCTATATGGTCTTACACCGCTGAGGCCTGGCAACGTCATATCACTCGGTCATATTTAGTGTTCACTGGATGATGAAGCATCTGATGCGGATATACGGATGATTTTTCAGGTTTAAAGCGTTGTGGGCGTCTCTATATACCTAACTAACCCTTGTTTTATCACGGTTTTTCATAACTTGTCGCTTTTGGAAATCTCATTTGCACGCATATCCCTGTATTTTTTTTTTTTTCGCCCCAGGGAAGGGGCGCATTTATACTGCTTTCTTTTTTTCTTCTTGTTTTGGAAATATGGGATGAAGCCTGTACTCCTTTCATCAAGCCGAGGCGCAGATCCCGACCTCGTGAAAGGCGAGGCAAGGCTTTGGATTGACGCAAGCAGATGAGCAAAAAGGACCCATCCTGGGCATTTCATGTTTGGATGTTGTCTTCCTCTTTTATTGGTTTACCTTTTTCGCGTTTCATTATCCTCTATGCATGCTTGTTTCTAATGTCTTTTTTTCTTCTCTTGGACCAGGCTACGGGGACGGTGGATATGGTGTTTTGGTTGTTGATTTGAACTTTTGAGACGTACCATGTTCAGGGTATTATTTTTCTTTGCTAAAGAGCGAAGATTGGCAAATGAAAACAGTTAATTCATCTTATACTTTTTCACATTTCTTACTTCTTGGATCTTGATATATGAAATATCTCTGTTGGTTTATCGGGTTTTTTGTTGGGGTTCATGGAGATTGATCTGTTTCTTCGCTGATTTGGCCCTTTGCTTCGCTGCCAGTTAAACCTTTCTTCCATCACCAAAGCAATGTGGAAATGAGGAACTTCGTCAAGAGCACCGAGGAAGGAAATTGGGGAACATTTGGCTATCGACCAAGACACCGGGACAGATGTCGACAGGGCTTTAAGAGACCGAGGCTCCCTGACGCGCTTCTTTGCCAATTATTCGTATTGTCGGTTACCGCCTTAGGGGTTACTGCGCATGCGGAGCTGGGTCGAATTTCCAATCGCAAGAACACAAGAATATGTATGTATCACAGCCCTCGGTACCATTCTTCTTGTCTTTCCTATAAACCCAAGTGCCAAGTGCGTTTCTCTTGCCGAGACTCGACACAGAGAGAAATTCACGAAAGAAGTCTAGACTAGCACGAAAGAAGCAAAGATGGAATAACAAGAGAGGTATAAGGTATCAAAGCCGAATCCCCCACCGCCCCAGCACATGTCACTGTTTCTCCTCCTCCTTCGCTGATGAGCTGCCAGGAGGAGCACGCCTGTCGACAACACCCTGGTCGGAATTCACGTCCCTCTCCTCTGCATCAGGGACCTCGGCGGCGGCGAGGATGGCATCTAGTTTGGACTCTAGGGCGGTTAAGCTTGCCTCGAGCAGGGACGCTGTTTGCTCGCCTCTGTAGAAACCCCCCGTCGCCAGCGTGTTAGTGTATCTTGTGCGTTTTAATTTGGGGAGGGGGGAGGGGGGAGGGAGCTCCAGCTAGGATTTTCGCGAAGCAGGAAGTAAGGGATGGGCTTAAACATGGGCCTTACGACGGACGGGACGGACGAAGGGTATGTGAAGAAAGTGGAGTGGTGCTGTGACGGGTGGTGATGGTTGTTGGAGAGGATGTGTTTCCTTGGCAGAGCTTTGAGAGGAGAGACGGATGATGTCAGGTTGAAAAAGCTTGGGAATAGTCACTTTGGACAACACGAAAAGGGAAAGAGGAAGAAAGGGAAGAAAAAAAGAATCAATACCTGGCGATATCCTCGAATGCCTAGAGGTTATCGGAAGCTTAGCATCAGCAAAAAGTATATTAAATGGCAACTGTAGGCTCTGGCAGGGGCCAAGAAGAGGTGATCAATGGGCTCAGTGGTAATGGGAGAGGCTCCCAGTCTCCGCCAGGACTAGCCAGGGCCTAGTTGATGCCATCATCGAAGCAAGTGGAAGAAGGAAGAGCATAGGGGTGGGAATGGATCGACAGGAGAAAGGGGGGGGGGACAGAAAGACATTCGATATGCAACAAATGCAACAACAATGACTTACCCGTTTCAGCTCACCGGTTACATAGGCCATAGGGTCTGCGCTCGGCGGTATCTCTGGGTTGGTCGACGAGGCTGGGGGTAGGTCGTTGGACTCGTTGGACGCCATCATTGGCGGTAGGAAAAAGAGGATAGAAAAAAAATTGGTGTTGCCTGCAAAGGACCAATCTCTGCACAGCGCAGTAGTCCAAAACGAGAAAGTCTTGGTAATAAGAGAACTGGGGGAAATGTGGCAATCAGTCTGGTAAAGAGTCGAATCGGGAATCAAGAACTAGGTACGGCAAGGTGCGGGTGCGTTCTAGGAAGTAATGATAGACAGCGGTACTGAGGTAGAGGGGAAATAGCACAGGCAGCCGCCAGGTGGAGCAGCGTCATATGGGGCTGAGGGGAAACTGCAGCTTGCTGGCGGGGAGCTTGGGGGCTGCTGATACGAAGTAGCTTGCGGTGGTTTTGAGGGCAAAAATTCTACGAGGCTAAAAGGGTCTAGTACTGAAGGACAGAAGGACAGAGTACTGATACTCTAACCAAGAGGCCACATCAAGCTTCGAGGTTAGATGGATGGATGGATAGATGGATTGGGGGAACCAAGAGGTCAGGAACAATTGAACTTGTCGAAGTCCGAATGGATCAATACGTAATGGGTTGGATCGATCCTTGATTGATGATGGTTCTTTTCCTGTTTCCATCCCCCCTTCAAGAGGAGGCCAGCAAAGTCGCCAAATGATGGAAGCATGTGCGTTGACGATTTCAAGGCATCAATGCAACGCACCTTGACTGGCTTGGGTGACTCAGCCATGAAATGCCAACCTTAACCTTAGTCATCCTTAATAGGTATAACAGAACACACAACAGGACATACAACAGGACCCAACAAAACGCACAATTACAACTCGAAATGTTCTCCGTCATTGTTCACAGAGAACATTGACCGGATGCTGAGGGCGGCTTGGATTTGCCTCTGTAGGTACATTGATACCAGGTCCGGAATCACTTGATATCTCTGCTTCCACCTGAATTGTCTCGCCTATTGCGATTCCTCGATCACACCGAGACATCGACGACCATCACAACAACTTGGCATCTACACACACTTCGTAGTGTAAGCGTACGAGTGGCGGAATGGAGGTGGACATATGTACTCTATATGCATGGACGTTATGGTTATGGATGGTTGTAAACTAGGCATGCATGCAACCCCACGCCCACTCTCCAAGTTCCTAAGTATATCGCCAATTCCGTCAATTTGATATATGTACGAAGTACCTGCGAAGAGCATCTGCCGCAACTTACTTGTACCTTCGTAGTCAACGGCTGGTGATACGCGTTATCAATATCAAATGGCAGTTCGGTGATCTGATGATACCGCTTCATTGTTGGATTGTTGGGGACGAGAAAAGTGTGACGGCAATATACACCCTTTAACCCTTCGGTGGACATGCGAAGCTTGGAAAGTGCAACCTCCCGACCCACTTGATCAAGAGACACGAAACGTCGATGCGAGTACGACAAAATAACTGCTTGTATGCGTAAGTTATACGAAGTACAAAGCATTTGATAACACACTATCAGTACGGCAAGTCTGGTAATTATTACTCCGTGCCTTTGGGCTGTACCTTTGGCTATGGACGAATGATGAATGGCATCAGCTTCAAAATCATGATTGATGAATCGAACGAAGCCGTGATGAGCCTGGGGACTTGGGAGTACTTCGTAATCTTCGGCATGGGCGTGAGGGTGTACTTCGTGCTGGTAATTCCATGTCTGCCCAGGTGCAGTACCGGTGTGCTAATACCCTCAAGCTCAAGGGTTCTAACCCAGCAGCCCAAGATCAAGAATGGACAGGGCACTTACCGATACGGCGGGTGATCGCTCGGGAGACTCCATGCTAGGCTGCCTCTGGTCTAGTGTAGTACAGAGCATATCTCCCTTTGTACCTGTGTAGATTAATCGAGTTTACGCAACATCAATTGATCCAGGAGATCTGAGATCCTATGTGATCCCTCACAAGGTGGCTTTTAGTATGCGTACTGGGCATTTTGACTCCATGCTAAGGCGCCATGGTCGCCTACGTTGCCATTATCGAGCTGGAATGGGAATGCAGATTGATTTACCTTTGTAAATCTATTGGTTGCCTCAAGGACGGAATTTGCGACAAATGCACCGTTATGATGGCCTTTCAATATGACGTCCAAGCTTCCAAGTCCCACTAGATCCAACTGATCCAACCAACTACACAACTACACGCGTACTGTACCATCGACGACAGCGTTGACGATGTAGCGTTATAGGTATCGGTCAAATTCCTTTTCAGGTATGATACATATGATACATAAGAGCATTGGCCTTATTAAGCATTCCCCATTCACTAGTTTGCCACTGTGACGACCTGGAGCATGAGAGCATAATATGTGCCGAATGCGTGCTCGACCTCTCTCCCAGACTTCAAACGCTGATGGACTAATCCCCCGGAAACGTCGTGGCTCATGAAATAGACCTGAAAACTCCTATCAAGGTATCCATAGGACACACTTGATCAATGATCCATGCGGACTTTCATGCACATCTACAGAGACATCGACATGCACCTACATATGTCAATGACCAATGCAGAAGTGATGAAAATGTCCAGAAGCAGGATTCTCCCCAATTCGGTCAAGCTCAGTTTGCGTCGACATCAACTCGCCCTTCATAGGCCGCGGATCCCTTTCTCATAGTCACGAGAAGGGAGGGTGGGGGGTTGGGAGAGCCCCTTTCCTGGAGAGAATGTGAGGATCAATAACTGAGAACTGCACCCGTTACGTGCGCTTATGTTTTCCGAATCCTAAGACCCTTTCTCCGGTACAAGGAAACATCTAGATGCTTGGAAAGAATTACAATAACTCGAAGCGCGTTAAATATAGATTGCCCCGAAACAAGTTGGCTGGGGGGTTTGGGGGGATAATGTAGCCATGAAAGGGAGTTGAACGATTGTTGCTTCGAGTCAAGGCCAACGTCAGCTTCAACATCGAGATCAGGATCAAGTTCAAGAGGATAAACACAAGGTAGCAGGATGAGTATGGACGTAGACCATCATTGATCGAATCAAATCAATGTCTAGAGCTGCATTGACGTGTTCTCGGCTGTTTATGGCGTAGATATCATCTAAACTAGCGTACTGCTATATTACATTAGCTTCTAATGATGCCTCCTAGCTCACTCTCTGGCTCACCTTCTGGCTCACTTGCTGGTTCCCTTGCTGGTTATCTTGTTGGCCTTCTTTCCTCAAGTCTCAAGCTCACTTTTGCCCACGAAGGAGTTATAGAGTTATACGAAGTACGACTACACAACCGGCCTTGTTAGGGCGTGAAGCTTGTTAAATCTTCCCAACTCGTAACGAGGTGCTTGTTAGGAGTGTCAGGAGTAAGGGATAAGCGCAAGGAAAGACGGAGCTGATATACATATACATCGAAGTGGAAGAACGATGAGAAGGAGAGAAGCAAGCCATGCACTAAGAAGAAGGGTGGGAAGAGAGTGAGCCTTAGATTCGTTGATGGAAAGGTCAAGGGAAAGAGTGAGCAGCAATGAGCAATGAAGCTACCGTAGCAGTCGAGAGTCGGGGGAGCTGTCTCTGATTGAATTTGATTGGCGTTCGCACGAACTAAATGCTCCCCCGTCCCCTCCCCTTTGTTCATCGTCATCCTCATCTGGTCAATATCCATCTCGACCTAGCTGCGTCCATCTCGCCCGTAACGCCGCAAGGTCGCTTTCCGTGCTCCGGGATCAAGAGCCGTCCCGTTCACCAACGTGTCTAACTTCCGCTCCCTCGTCCTCCACTCCTCCTCCTCCGGCCCACTACCTTCGTACTCCTCCACTCGACTCCTCCACCCCTCCACACCAACTGAAGCTAGTCTAAGGGATGATGGAACTGGTCTACGTTGAAGATGGGCTATCTCTACAAAGGTGTCCTGCGTCAGGGATTAGAAACGTCAAGGGGAATTTACGGCGACCCGTACCTTCGTACTTATTTCCGCTCCCCAGACTTGTTGAACCCCCTCCCTTGTCTTCCCTCTTCGTCCCTTGTCTCTTTCCCCTGTTATTTTCCTCTCTTCTGGAAACCTTGCCTCCTCGTGCATCTTTCCATCTTTGCATCTGTGCATCGCTTCGTCACTCGCTCATCCCCCTACTTTCGATCGCTTCCTTTCCCCGTCTCCCAATCAAAGGTTCTTTCCACACACGCCTTCGACCTGCCATCTATGAGTCGCATGTTGGTCCAGCCATCGCATTGTGATTAAGGGAACTCTCCCAGGCGCTGTTACTAGGCCTACAAGCATCCTAATCCATACTTGGCGCCCGTTGCTTTCAGTCACTAGCCATCTCCGGCCCTTTCCAAGCAGGGTCCTTCCACCTATCATCATCGCGCCCTTCTACTTACATCAAGTTACTCTTCAGGCCCTTCCCCCGATATACCGTGTCGGTTTCCTCCTCTAAATTCCCAACGCACCTGCCTACTCCCGGAGAGAAGCCAAACCTGAAGAATGGTCGTGTGATGAGCACACGACTTGTTCATGGCTTAATTTTCTCCGATCACCCAAATGTCGCCGCTCCTCGAACAATATTTTGCCGCTTTGGCTAACACGTTCAGCGAATCGACGAAGGCAGATTAACCAGGATCGTGGATGATATAAACTCGCCGTCCGACTGTGACCCGCTGCCATCGCCTCTCTACGACCAAAACCTATCGAGAGCAAGCTAAAACAGTAACCATTGTGTGCACGATGCAAGAGCTGGCCGAGATCCTTTCCGGCCTGGGAATGTCCCAGTATCTGGGATCCTTCATGGAAGAAGGATTTGACTCTTGGGATACAATCCTTGACATTACCGAGTCAGACCTGTACGTACCGACAATACGAACTACGACTGTTCCACCTAGAGAGATCCGGCGGGTGTAAAAGTCTGTCCCTTGGAAATCGGATAGCTAACTGTATGGTCTCGATATGGTATACAGCGATGCACTTGGGGTCAAGCTTGGCCACCGTCGGGTAAGTACCAATGATCAGGCAGTTGTACTTCGTGTACTTCGTAGTCAGAAAACTGGTACAGACTGAGAGAGGTGTTGGCGACGGAATCGCCGTTGACCTCCATTTCTGAGACTGTTTATAGAAACTCCAACGACGAATCGCCGAAACTCGAAGGATTTCGCCCCATGTGGTACTACAGTCATGGACGAACAAGGAGATCAACTCGGATTCGTCAAGACCAACGCCAAACGGGCCAGAGCCAGTTCTAGATCGTGAAGGAGTTGTGGCAAAGAGGAAATATCGCAGACATCCCAAAGTGAGCTATCCTGAGTTCCCTTTTTCACCTTGATGACATCGTAGTTGTAAACCTCCAGCCACTCACCTACTCTATAGCCTGATAGAAATGCGCCAGAGAAACCACCTTCAGCTTATGTGGTATTTTCTAACAGTAAGTTCCTTAGACAACGCAAATTTGAGAAGACAACCCTATATCTTCCTTTTCGGGGGGTTTGTCGGTTTGTCCTGCTGCGTCGAGGCTGGCTTGGCTAACACAATGTGTTTACCCCTTAGTTATTCGAGAAGGCCTCAAGGGGCAAAACCTGTCTTTCACCGAGATCGCTAAACTGGTGGGAGAGAGCTGGAAAAGCCTCCCCCACGAAGAGAAAGAGACTCTGGAAACGCAGGCACAAAGGGCCAAGGAGAAGTACAGCTACGAACTTGCAAAGTACAAGAAGACTCCCGAGTACCAGAAGTACTCTCGATACTTACAGGAGTTCAAAAAGAAGCACCAGAAAAGCGGCAAAGGTCAAGGCGAGGATACGCGGAGAAAGGTGGAGGCAAATTCACCGTTGGAGCAGTCGATGTTGGTCGCAGGAAATGATGCTTGGAGACGACAGGGCCAAGGTCCTGGTCAAAGCCATTGTGGAGGCATCTTGATAGACGACGCCACCCACCGAAGTGGAAGGAGTAGCATCAGCGTTGGGAGTAACGAAACAGGCGGCGGCAGCGCCTACACGACGCGGGGCACGTCTCCAAGCAGCTCAAGGCCATGCCGAAGCGGATCTTTCGATACCTCAGTGGAATGTTTGAGTTCTACCGGAAGTTGGGTCATTACCCCGGGTAACGACGCCGTGGTAAATAACGTTCCTCTTTCTCCCCATGCGACAACGGGCACCGGCTCTCCGGGGAAAGAAGTGCCTGCTCCTCGGCATATCGAGACAGCCAACCCGCAAGCTCTTCCCCCCCTATCCGATATAATTGATAGCCGGATGACGAGCCCAAGACTTGATAGGGTCGACTTGGGTCCGCAACTGGGCGGCCGATATAACCGGAACGGGACCTGGGGATTGGCAGCGACGATGCCTACAACTGGGCCATCTGCTATGCGACGTGGAACTTGGCCAAACACTAGAGGGAGTCTAGAATTATACGGTACTGGCGCTGGCCCTAAAAGGGACACCAGATTCCCGATCAGGCCATTACCATCCAACAATCTCGCTCCACCAATGTATCAATAGGCCCTTTGCGTCTCGAAGAACTGCGATTAAGCCCTGGACTGGTCGAATTCAGAATCAACCTCATCGTTGTATCTTCTTCTTGTTGGCTGGCACGAGTGGCCTAAGGGGAGGGACGAGATGTGGACTTAACGACGACGGACACACAGCCGACCACAAGATCCTCCGTATCACATACTCTTTTTTACCCTCGCCTTTTGCAGACGAAAAACGAAGTTACGAGGTTGCTTCCCTAAAACGGAAAAAAAGTTAATAAAAAAAAAAGAATGAGAATGAGAATGGCGGTATTTTAACACGAGGCTTCTTAGAAGGACATGCATTTTGAACAAAAGAGGTTGTAAACATGTCATTGTAATCCAAAGGGCCGGAAATCCCTAATTTGATCTGTGAATGTTGGGTTTTGAATCTTGGAGAGAACTCGGCTGAACTTGAGACGGTACTGGGCTCCTAGTTTGCTTTTCTTCCATCGGGGCAGAGTTTGATATAATCTATAATACATCTCAACGAACACTGATATGACTACCATCTGAAAGCCTTTATCCATTGGATATTGATCCGACAGCACGACGAGAAACTCTTCGTGTACAAAGAGATATGACACAAAGAAGCAATGCAATTAAAAATCGTCTCAAATCAAACTGATTTATACAGAGTCCAGCCTGCCCAAACCCGAAACTCCCAGTCATCCCAAACTCACAGCCTCGTCAGATCATGTCGCTGTTTCCTGTTTTTGCAATTAACCAGCCTCCTTTCTCATAATTAGTCACCGCCCGCCGTAATCTCAGCCGTCCAGTCCTTCTTGATGTCGAGCTCCGTCAACTCAGGAGTCTTGCTGATGACAAGTCCCTTTTCGTTGGCTAAGTGCAGCAGGCAGATGAAGCAGTAGCTCGTCGAGATGTCGTTCATGGCCTGCTTGGGATACACTGATTGGAGGTTGTTGACCACGTCGGTGAACTTGAGCGTCGCGTCGGCTGAGGCCTTTACGTCTAAGGGGAGAGGATCGTTGGATGAGGGCGGCGGTGTGGGGAGCCGGGAGGAGTCGGGATCATAGGTCTTGTTAAGTTCGTGTTAGCTTTCGTCTTGTCCTCATAACGGCAACTGAAAAAAGGAAGAAAGAAAATGCAAGGAATTTGAGGGGAAAAAACGTACATTCTCGAGGCTTTCAAAGCCCATACCCTTCCAAATCTCCTCCTTCAACCTCCTGACATCGACCTTCTTGGCCACGCGCGCATACTGCACATACTCTGGCCTTACCCTCCTCGTCTGCGTCACCAGCGTAGTGCCAAACGGCCCGGCAGTCGGTCCCATGAGTGTCTCCCCGTTAAACGCCGCGGTGAGACCCACGCCCTCCGTCATACCAGGCGCCAGGTCAGCACCGGGCGAGAAGTGCTCGCGGGCGTCAGCGAACTCGAGGTCGTCATCGTCATCATCCAAGCCACCGGCGAAGGGCAGGTCGTCCTGGAAGAAGTTGGCGTCGTAGTCGCCCTGGGGTAGCGCCGTGTCCTCGGTGTTGTGGAGGGGTTCCTTGCGCTGCGCCCAGAAGGCCTCATCCATGTCGCCCTCGGGAACGTCGTCGCGGTCTTGCTGGGCCGCTGCCGCGCCGAAACCGTTACCGAGCCCGAATCCAGTGCCGGCACGGCCGAGGACGCGACGACGACCCATGCGAGCCTTGGGCTTGAGGAAGAGGCTGAGGAGCTGCTTGGAGCTGAAGTGCTTGTCGTCGGGGAGGAGGTTCCTCGTCTTGGATTTCCAGTCCTTTTTGGGCATGCAGATGGCCGAGTTGCTCGAGGCGGGGGTGTAGATGACCTCGGCGAGGACGGGGTCGAGGGGTGAGAAGAAGTCGATTTCGAAGGGCTCCTTCTCCTTGCGCGTACGCTTGGCGTCGGCGGGCTTGTTAACGTCCTTGATCTTGCGGATACGCCAATGCTCGGCGCTCGTCCAGTTCTTCTGCAGGGCCTGGTCAAAGTAGCTGAGGATATCCTCATGCATCTGATCGGGGTTCTTGGAGTGGTTCATGGTGACCATGTACTCGCCGGAATCTTGGTCGAGCATCTCGAGGCCCTCGCCCCCGGCAGCACCGTTCCCAGCGTCATATACGCGCATTTGCGGCTCTAGGGCGGCTTCGCGCGCCCAGGCCTCTCCACCCTCACCAAAGGCTATGTCGGCCCCTAGATCGAAGGCCCCGAGACCGAGATCATCGTCATCGAATCCCGGTGGATGGTCGTCATCGATGAGCATACCGGACTTGTCGCCAAAGGTTCCCAGGCCCTTATCCTGGTCCTGGCGCCAGTCCTCGGGTGCCTTGAGGAAGGGGATGTCGAGTGACCCCGAGGGGTCGCCGAGGTCGAAATTCTTGAGAGATGGGCAGACATCTAGGTCATCTAGACGACCAAGGTCGGGGATAAACCTTGCAGCGAGGCTGGCAAGATCAATTTCGACAGAGGGCTCCTCTTCCTGGGGCTGGACAGTACCCTCACGAGTAGGGGGTTCGATTCCTTCCTCGGGAATCTCACCGTCCTCCTCCTCAGCGTCGGCATCGCCCTTCTTCCCCTTGTCTGCGGCCCTGTCATCTGCATCGTCACTGCTATCGAAGACAATACGACCTTCGGAGTCGATCATGAGGTGGTTGAGCAGTAAGCCCTTGGCGCCACCTTCGTCGAAATCGGCCGAGGCCTTCTTGAAGAGAGGATCCACCGCAAACTCTAGTTCGAACTTCTTGAGTTGTAAGGAGGCGAATGAGGGCGCCAAGGTCACCTCGGAACGTTGGCTCTGCATTGGCGAGTTAGCAAGCGTTTTTGATGTTGGCAGCCCACTCCTCTGGATGGTTCACTATATACCTTCTTCTTTGTCTTTTTCCTCACAGTGCCGTCTTCGTCGACCTCTTCCTCACTATCTTCAGCCTCTTCGTCTCCGTCCTGGCTCTTCTTTTTGCTGTTGCTATCTGCTAATCCACTGAGCAGTTTCCCGGTCTCTGTAGCAACACTGTCTACGCGACTCGTGTAAATTTTGACACACCCATCAAGGGTACAGCTGGCTTTTTGAAAGTTAACGCCGTCTCCTTCCTTTAGGAGGGACATGTCGTGGAAGTAATCGATAAGGGCGAAATTCCACGAGTTCGCCGCATTAATCTTGTTATCAGTCGCCATCTTCATCCATTCTTCGAAGTTGGCCAGGATTGGCACCCTCTTCATCGGCGTGACCGCGCTCCCACTTATCACGACATCATCGTCGTCGTCATCCCTGAAGGGGTGCGAACGACCACGGGGCGTCCGCGGATTCGAGCTGGGCGACGACGTTCCCATGCTTCGTAGGCTTCCCTTGCGCACCGGAGTTGCAGCAAGCTTCAGCTGGTTGATCTGGGCTTCTTGGAGCGCTTGTCGTGAGAGTAATCGCCGCGCCTTCTCCTCTGCATCATCGTTGAGGGGGATCCTGCCAGTGTTTCAGAGTCAGCATTCCAATCCCTGGTCCGTTGCCAGGTCGAGCGAGGGGAAAAACGCGGTGAGAACCTACTTGATGGGGGACTGTGTCTTGAATGGGGACGCGATCATGGACCCAGAAGCCACTCTGGAGCCCGTATTTCGAGGGCCCTGTGCTACTCGCGGCATTTTGGAGGAGATGCGATATTTTGTGGCGGATCGTGAGAAAGATGGTGCGGTGTTGGGTCGCTGCTGTTGGCCCCGTCGCGTCCTCCAGCTTTACGTATTTGGGGGGATTCACCGTGTGTGTGGATGCTCTTGCTCCTTCAATTTGTTGCTGTTGCTGGTGCGCAACGCCCAATGTAAACAAATAAAGTGAGCTGCATTATCATCACGTGGAGATAAGCGACTAATGTGAGGGGGACGCTGTTCGAAGTACTGACCGAGGTACCGAGCTAGGATGCTTCCAGTTAGGTCGGGGGAATTGTGGCTTGACCAATCAGAAGTCGGTACCTCGTCGATAGTGAAGGATGGGATTAAATGCACAGCCCCAGTCAAAGTGACAAGTATTTCCGCTTTCTGTTCCATTGCATTCCCGGTACCGGGGTCAACTAATCTTGGCGCAGAGGGTCTTTTGTCTTTCTGGATTCTAGTGTCCACTCAATCATGTCCACGACATGTGTCAAAGTGAGCACCACTAACTGCCTGATCCGGACCGCTGTCGTCGTCACTGACTTGATTCGGCCAGTACAATACTTCATAATCCAATCCCCTGATCTACTGCGTAGGCGTCAATTCGCCCCTTGATATCCACTCTTCCCACAAACAATCGATTTATATTCTTGATTTCCCCCTCCCAGATGGAATTGGGATTCGGAGAGGGAATGAGCACTTCACCGACCCTGCCCTTTTCCAACAGTGGCAATGGCGTCACCGAAACCCAGATGATCTCACCTTGTGAATAATGTCTCTTATCACCACATCTCACGGCCGTTCTCGCCCGTGGCGCCGGCTCTTTCGCCGGTCGTTCTACTCGGCATTCGCGATCGCCGCCTTTTTAATCGTTGCCTCGTACCTTCAGAACCTCGTTTCAGATGATCCTAGCAGGAGTCCTCAGCTGGGCCCGAGGTATGCTGAGCCTGTACAATGCCGAGACGTCCACCGCACCCCCGATGTGTGTTCCTTCGTCAAAACGAATTGCGATGATGAGCAACCGGGTCTAGTTCCTTACCTGACGGTGTATCACTGCGCCTTTGGATATGCGAGGGTCGTGGGGTTTCCCCTCCTCGTTATCTGGTTAGGTCTGCTCTTCTCCACCATTGGTATCGCCGCAAGCGACTTCTTTACGCCGAACCTCCAGACAATCGCCAGCGTGCTGAACATGCCCGAGAACCTCGCCGGAGTTACCTTCCTTGCTGTGGGGAATGGCTCTCCGGACTTGTTTAGCACTGTCATGTCCATGCGATCCAACAGTGCAGCGCTGGCTGTTGGTGAACTCATTGGCGCGGCATGCTTCATCACTGCTATTGTGGCGGGGTCTATTGCGATGATTCGCGAGTTCAAGGTCGACAAGCGCAGCTTTGTTAGAGACCTCCTCTTCTTTATTGTTGCTGTCTGCCTTACGCTTGTGTTTCTGTTGGATGGCTACCTTCACTTTTTCGAGTGTATTATCATGATCGCCTATTATGCCTTCTACGTCATTTTCGTGGGTGTCTCACATTGGTACACGATGAGACGATCCAGGCGTGCCGCATTAGCGGAGAGTAGAGCCCATGCCATCGAAGAGGCTCTCCAAGCGAGCGGCCAGGAGAGATATGAAGACCAACCCGGTGCTGCGGCTCAGCTCGCTCGCGTGCAGGCTTTAGCACGTCCCTCGCGCCCGGAATCGACAATTTCGATGCCCAGAATCGAAATTGAAGGCGACCAGCTGAACGAAGTGGAAGAAGAGGACGATGGAAGAATGCGTAGGGAACAAATGGCGGTTGAGATCGCCAACAACATGCGAGTCAGACAACCAACAGCTAGTCGACGGCCGACGGCGGCATTCATACGGCCGAGTTTGGTGGGTGCATTGGAATTCAACTCGGCTTTGGAGCATTTCAAGAAAGAAGGCCTTTCTCCCCCGGGACGTATCGGGCACTTCCGTCGGCACTCTGTGCAGAACATACCCAGAGCCGCGAGGTTTCGATCCGAAGCTCCTCCTGAGCCTACCATTTCGTTCGATACCACATCGCCACCCCTGCGGGAGCGCGCACACTCTCATACTGGAAATGTTAGAGACGTTTCTGACAATGCTCCTTATAGCGGAGGGCCTGCCTTGCCACCGCATGTGCGTGAAGCTAGGCAAGAACAATTGTCCGGTTCGCCTTCGCCGTCTCTGTCCCCTTCGAGGGCAGCGAGCTCTACAAGGTCCTTCCAACTAGATGGCAATCTAGCAGTACCCCCAATTCATCCATTTGGTCCTAGGCAGCCCTACTTAGACACGCAGACGGGGGGCTCAGCACGTCAATCGCTGGCGCCCGAACCATTGCGTCTACATATTCCCAGTCGCCGAAGCACCACGAGCGAACCCTCGGACACCCTAAGCCCATTTCCCGGCTATGTGGAATCTCCGATGCCAATGTCTCCAACGTCAGAGGCTGCACCGCCGTCATTATTTGAGCCTCCGCTTCCCATCATCCCCACCGATAATGGAGTCTTGGTTGAAGTCGATGGCGGTGTTGGCCTTCTCCAACCCTATCGATGGTGGCCGTACTCTATTCTCCCCCCTCCCGAGAGCATGATGGCGACGCTATTTCCTACACTACAGAACTGGCGAGAAAAGACCTTTGCAGACGCTTTTGTCAGCACACTCGCTGTCCCGAGTGTGTTTTTCCTCTCAATCACGCTACCCGTTGTTGACGCAAGAGACCCAGAGATTGACGAGACGTCCCAGTGTTCTGAGTGTGAAGAGGAAAATGAACCGAGCCGGCAATCTGCGAATGACCAGTGGGAGATGTTTCGTAGATACAGACGAAACACGGTTACTTCAAACCGGACGTTGAACTACGACTCGGCAACTCCAAGCTCGCCGCTGATCGTTGACGAAGGCGTGGCGCTAGATATGGATAGGCCCACGGTTCCGAAACCGGTGGAAACTCCAAGCCTCCCACTTGATGAGTCGGGGCAGGTGGATGCTGAAGATGCGGGTTGGAACAAATGGCTGGTCATGATTCAAACTCTAGCTGGCCCGCCATTTTCCGTATTTATCATATCCTCTGTGCTCATGGAGCAGCCGGCGGAGGAGGTGGTGTCTGACGTGAAATGGTCCCTGGTAGCGTCAGGCGCATTGTTTCTCATCGTCTGGTTGACCACGAGATCGGATCGGAGGCCCAAGTATTATACCCTCTTGTGCTTCCCCGGATTCCTCGTGAGTGTCTCATGGATTGCCGTCATTGCCGGAGAGGTCGTCGGGGTCCTGAAGGCGATTGGCGTGATCCTAGACATATCAGACGCGATCCTGGGACTCACGGTGTTTGCTGCCGGCAATAGTGTGGGCGATTGGGTTTCTGATTACACCATCGCCCGATTGGGCTCTCCGGTCATGGCGTTGTAAGTCATCTAACTTACTCCCCTTGGCCCCTCTGAGACGGCGCGTCTCACTACCGCGTGCCTACATAAGCTTGACGACTAACTTTAGTGGTTTCTTCATAGCTCGGGCTGCGTCGGAGGGCCAATGCTCAACATCCTGCTCGGCGTCAGCACGGGGGGTCTCATTGGGATGGTATCCAAAGCGCGGCGCAAGCACGAGAAGCACCCCGACCGGCCAATTGTGTACAAGCCGTACAAGATCCACATCAGCGGCAGCCTCGTGGTGTCGGCGGTGACTTTGCTAATTACACTCGTGGCTCTGCTAATGTTTGTATCGCTGAACGATTGGGTCTTTAGCCGGCGGCTGGGTATAGGATTGATTGCGCTCTGGTGCGTCAGTACCGGGGTCAATCTCGTGATTGAGATGATGGGCGTTTGGAGTGAGGTGTCGAGATGAGAGGAGTTGGTGTCGGAGGGGAAGCCCGGTGCCGAACGTGGTACGTATACTACTCTCCATCACACATCGTTATACTACATATTACAAGTACACTACAAGTATATTACTTTGTACAGATCTGGGGACGGAGTTCTTATTTGCATCCTTCGCATTTTTTTTTTTCTTTTTTCCTTTTTCTAATTGCATCTTTGATACCCATGGTGCGGGGAAGGAGGGCCCGTGGGTGAGAGAGAATATGGATTTCCTTGCTTTTATTTTGTACACTTGTTGGGAACCTGTTTTTCCTCAATGTATATTTGGAAGGGATTTCGATCGGCATATACTACTCGTATGGGGATATCTTTAGCTATGGCAATGGCATTTGTTGTTTGCGTTTCTCATCACAAGAAGGTTTATCATGATCAATCTTGGCTAGATGCCGTTACACAGCTTACGTGTCGTAGCGATCGAGACTATTCCCAAGACGCACTCGCGTACAGGTCTAAATCGACACACCGGACACGCCGTTGCCGAGGACGGGACTAGCTCCGCAGCTCGAGCTCGAGACTAGAGGTGACGTTTTCGTTTTCCTCAATAGCAACGGCGGTTAGGAGAGGAGGCCTAGACTCCATCCAGGTACGTCCTGGCATACCCCACCGACGACTGCAAGTATCTCGCCATGGCAAAAAAAAAAGCTTGTCCTGCTGAGGGTGGGTCTGGGAGGGGATGCCTGAACGGGTCTTAACTCAGGGATGCCTGCGTAGCTGAAGTCATCATGAGCAAGCATGTGAGAGAAAAAGGCACATCCAAAAAAAAAAGCAAGCTGCTACCCTCCCAGAAGCGAAAGCTCGCCGATCAATTCCTCAATTTGCGGCACGAGTGTGTTCGGTTGAAGGCGATGGGCGGGGGTCACAAGGTGAGGGGAAAGCAGTAGGAGGGGAGGGAACCTGGACGATTTCGACAGTTTCGGAGGATCTAACGCGATGTGATTATCGAAGACGCCGGCGTGATGAGGGAATGCACGGCGTTTCCATCGTTGTTAGTGTGTGTCTATTGGAGCTGAAAGTGATGTGGGTTGAATCCACGCTAGAGATGGAGCTGCTTTTTCCTTTGCGAGAAGGGAGGGGAAATCGCTAGGCAGTTGGGAACCGGTGGGGTGGATTTGTGCTCAGATGGGCGTGCGTGGTGTGGTTGGTGGTGAGGCATTGCGGGATTATTATTGGGGAGCTATGGGCTGCGCCTCTGTGGACGAGCTGAAGCTAACGTAGCTCGAGAGAGCTACCAGGCCAAGGTACGTACATTGATGAGGGGCCAAAGTGGTGAGGATCGGAGATGACGGATATGGACGATGATGAAATGATGAGAAACAGATGGGAGGGACCATTCGAGAGGTGTGTATAAAAGGAGCGAGGAACGCTGCCAAGATGGAGAAGAAGAAGACCGTTGGATCAAGATCAAACTCACAATCACAAAATCCTAGTCCCAGTATCTCGCTCTCTATTCTCCTACACACTTACACGTCTTCATTTTAAGTCTCAGCTTTTTTTAATAAACATTCTTCATCATGAGCAACTATCTCAGGGACGCCACCAACGAGCTCTCCAATGCCTACGGCAGCGAGAACCGTACCCAGGGCCAGGGCTACGGCTCCTCCGGTCTGAACACCAGCTCCGATGACCGCAATGACAGCTCGTACGGTGACAACTCGTATGGCAGCAGCACAAGGCGCAACAACGACAACGACAACGACAATGATAGCTACGGCAACAACAACTCGCGCCGCGAGGAGGGCCGCGAAAGCAGCCGCCTCGGCAGCGGCAATGACTACAGCAGCCGTACCGACCGCGACGATGACAGCAGCAACCGCTTCGGCAGCAGCGGTAACAGCGGCTTCGGCTCCAGCAACGACAATGACCGTGAGCAGAACCGCTTCGGCTCCTCCACTACTGGCAGCAGCGGCTACAACAAGAGGGACGACGATGACAACAAGACCTCGTCCTACGGCCAGTACGGGAGGTCCGACAACGACTCTGGCTCCAACCGTCGGGACAACGACAACAGCTACGGCAGCAACGAGAGCCGTGAGGAGGGCCGTGACAACAACCGCTTCGGCGGCAACGATTCCTTCAACAAGAGCGAGCGTGAGGACCGTAACAGGCGAGACAATGATAACGACAACGACAACTCGACCTTTGGCAGCAGCCGCCGGGACAACGACAACGACACCAGCTTCGGCAGCCGCCGTGACAACGACAACGACAACAGCAACAGCAGCAGCAACAACAGCAGTGAGAGGAAGACCGGCAGCTGGCAGGACGTAGGCCGCGATGCCAAGGAGGCTTACTCCAGCTTCCAGAACAAGAACAAGGAGGGCGGATCTAGCGGTGTCGACTACAAGGAGCTCGGAAGCGTTGCTCAGGGAGCTTACAAGGCGTACCAGGGTGACGAGAAGAAGAACTTGACGGATATTGGCAAGAACCTTGCTTCTGGCTTCCTCGGCAGGAAGGACTAGATTAGCATTGCTTGTGTTTCCTGGCTGTAGCGTATTCTATGTTGGGTTAATGGGATCTGGGACTAGTATTGAATGTTAACTGAATTGATTAATTAAGTCGCTTTTGGTTTCTGAGTATGTGGAAATTGGTTTAAAAAATGAAAAGGGGAGAGAAACAATTTAGACGGACGTACTGCGTACTCAGTGGTGTTTTTTCAATTGATCCGATGATGAGGATTAAATAAGATGATAGAGATCTCGGCCTGTGTCTCAGGGGCCTTCAAGGTTCTTCCACCTGCGTGACCAGTCGGGAGATGAGAACCGCCTGAGGTACGGAGAGAGGTACACTCCTTCACCTCGTATAAGTCGATACAAACTCGTTTTGCTAATAATAGTCGGCGCATCTCATAATTAACATTGAATTACCCACTAAAGTCCCCACGCCGTGTCAGATCCATGCCGTACTCAGGTACCCCGCGACCAGGGGTCCCTCGAGACCCTGGTGTGGAACTGGTGTGGAAGGTGCCCCTCCAACTAGACATTTCAGCCTCTCACCGTGTTTGTTGTCCGGCTGCCACTCTGCCACCTCCTTAGCTTTGTGCAACCCCTCAAACTTGACCGCCTCTTTCCCCAATTGAGACTGTTCAAAAAGGGGGGGCCACGATAATTATTCTTTGATTATCTACCTCTGTACTCACAGAGATTCTCTCCTCCTTCACCTTCTCAACATCTTTTTCTCCCCGACACCTTGACCGTCGCCCAGTTCACCTCACCCACCTTTCGTTACGAAACCGCAAAGATGGCCTCCTTCATCCCTGTTGACCAGCGTCCCCTCAAGGACACCATCTGCCTCTTCGATGTCGACGGCACCTTGACCCCGGCCCGTCTGGTATGTTCATTGTTCCCTTCCTCCCCCTTTCCCGCGAAGAGCCCCTCCATGCCTGAGTGCTGGTGTTTGGTGTTGGGCGGAGAAGCTGCTCTTGACCCCACCATCGCCAAGATCGACGTCTGCCCCGCCATCGACGTCGTTTCTCGGCGCCCAAGAGAGCATCAAGCACTCAACATGCAAAGAAGAAAGATTGCCGCAACGACAATTGATTCTTATACCCCACTTATCAACGCCTAACTACCTATACTCACCCTACAAAAAAAAAAAAATGGAAACCTCTGAACTTGGCTAACCTCCGCCTCAATCCAGCCCGTCACCCCCGAAATGCTCGACCTCCTCTCCCGCCTCCGCGAAAAGTGCTCCATCGGCTTCGTCGGCGGCTCCAACCTCGCCAAGCAGCAAGAGCAGCTTGGCTCCGCCTCCGTCGACGTCACCACCATCTTCGACTGGTGCTTTGCCGAGAACGGCCTCACCGCGATCCGCCTCGGCGAGACCCTCCCCTCCAACAGCTTCATCAAGCAGGTCGGCGAGGAGCCCTACAAGGAGTTTGTCAACTTCTGCCTGCGCTACATTGCTGACCTCGACGTCCCCGTCAAGCGTGGTACCTTTGTCGAGTTCAGGAACGGCATGATTAACGTGTCACCTGTGGGAAGGAACGCGAGCGTTCAGGAGAGGAATGAGTATGAGGCTTTTGATAAGGCGAATAATATTAGGCCTAAGTTTATTGAGGCTCTCAAGGAGAAGTTTGGCCACCTCGGCCTCAAGTAAGTGGATTCCCCCCCTTCTTTCTTCCAAGGGGCTAGTATGTGTTTTCAGCTGCCTAACAATGCGTCTTCTTCCCTCCAGCTACGCCATTGGCGGTCAGATCTCCTTCGACGTCTTCCCCGAGGGCTGGGACAAGACCTACTGCCTGCGACATCTCGAAAACGAGGCCAACGCCCCCGGCGGCGTGACCTACAAGACCATCCACTTCTTCGGCGACAAGACCTTCAAGGGCGGCAACGACTACGAGATCTACGAGGATTCCCGCACCGTTGGCCACTCCGTCACCGGCCCCGAGGACACGGCGAAGATCCTCAAGGAGCTGTTTGACCTGTGAAGAAAGAAAGAATTGTCATGAGGGAGAGGCGTCGAAACCGGTCTATAGAGAAATAGATGAAGTAATGAATCAATGATAGAGCGCTGGCAATGATATTATATTTTCGGGGTCCGTTTTATAATAATTCGGGCCGAGAGCCATAATGTGCAAGGGAATTCGTTGTTGTTTCGGGGGTTGGTCTTCTGTGAACGACTTGGAGATATATAAAGTCATGTTCAAGATGGGAGAAGATGCATCGAATTCCTTCATAGAAGGGGAAGCAGGAAAAACAAAAGTACAAAGCAAATAGACAGCTTGGTTTAGTGATCTTGTTTCTAAAAAGTTTGTGTGGTGTCACGGTTGGTTTGCATGTCGGAAGCCCGCAGGTCGTATGCTCTAGTTTCGTGGCGTAGATTGAGGATGGAGCTTGATCCAAAAGAGAAAACTATGTCAGATATCCCAAACTACCGTATCGCTAGCTATATGTAGATAGACATAGATTTGACAGCTAAAAGAAAGAAAAAAGAGAAAGAGACGACGTTACAAGAAGAACAAAAATCACATATAAGAAGCCCAAACTGTATCTAAACTTCATATCTCTCTCGCCTAAGTCAGTCACAATCGCCCCCACCATCATTACAGCCCCGGCACAATAACAGGTCCATACTTCGTCGTCGCCTGGAACGCCCCATCACCCTGCACGACGAAATCAACAGCAAGACTCAACTTGGACAGCCCTTGCTGCTCGGGAGACAAAAGATGCGGCTGTCCGGGAATCTGTCCAGGGAGGACAGCCCCGGCCGCCGCCGCAGCCACGGTATCGGGGTCGTACGCCATGACGGCGACGTAGTTCCTCCTGCCCATGAGCTTCTTGAGCTCGCGAGGGGCGCCGCTGGCGTCGGTGTGGAAAATCTCCATCATGTCCTCCTTGGTGTCGGAGACTTCGTGCGTGGACTTGTGGCCGTTTTGTGGCACGTAGAGGAGCTTGTTGTTGTGGAGCAGCTTGAGGATGTAGTTGTGCTGAGGCGCCGCGACGATGGGCGATGTGATGAGCTGGTACATGGTCTTGGGGTCCGAAGGGTGCGATGGGTCGTGGACGAGACCGGCGCCGCAGCAGTTGACGCCGCCGGAGAGGAAGGTCATGCGCACGCCCTTGTCTTGCGCGATAGTCTGCAGTGTGCGGATAAAGTAAGTGCGTTCGAGATCCTTGCTCGAGTGCGTCCACAGATCCTTGAGGACCTCGGCGACATCGAGGTCACCGAATTGATTCAGGACATTGCCCATGAGTCCCGACTTTCCGACGGCCTTCTTGACGTGAGAGAAGCCCTGCTGCACGACTTCCTTGCCGCCGACGACGCCCGCGACAGAGCTCGTTACCTTGCCGAGGATGTTGTAGCTCGTGTTCACGGCCTTCTTGCCCGTCGCCATCGCTCCGGCGAGACTCTCGACCGCCTCGAGGCGTGGGTAGATGAGGGGTACCGAGATCATCCAGATGCAGTGCTGCACGCTCGGTGGCAACGACGCTACTCTGGGGAAAATGCCCTGGTACGTCGGGCCCGCCATGACGTGCGCCTGATCTCTCTCAGACCTGCAGTCTGGGCCGACGACGGCGACAGCAGGTCCCAGGTACTTGACGAAGTGCCAGCCTTGTCCCGTGACTGTGAAAAGATCCATGTCGTTGCTCATGTTTCGGAGAATCTCGACGGTCGTGTGATGCTGGAAGAGAAGGTACATTTCGATAGCTAGGCGGCCAATGTTCTTGAACATGGGAGAGCTCTGCATATAGTCGGGGTAGCTACCATAGCCGTCGAAGCTGCAGAGCGCGTTCGGTTAGCATCATACTTCCCGATACAACAATGGTTCGAGTGGAGCATTTATCACTTACATGTCGTGGTCATCGATCTGAAGGATGTGAGGAATCTGAGCGAAAGCCTCCCGCAAGAAAGGCTGATCGAAATGGCTCGTGTAGTAGTGGAAGTAGGCATGCGATACATCTTCCTCATGCCTCGCCGTCCACTGCGCATTCTTTCGATTCTCCTTGCCGCGCATCGCCAACCACTGCCTCAACAACGGCACTTCCTTCCACAGCCGATCACCGTAGATCTGCGCGCCCAGACCAAGCTGAACGTGGAAACCGCCGCAGTCGACGTTCTTCTGCAATACGTCTTTCCACATGAAGCTGACGCCGCCGAGCTTCGATCGCTCGTTCTGAGAGGTAGTGGCTGCGAAGTCGTTGCCCGAATGCGCGATGAATCGCCAACCGAGCTCGCTTCGTCCGGCGACGACGAACTCATATCTCGTGCAGCCGAGGTGCGACGTGACAGCGTAGGTCCAGCGCTCGGTGCCTTGCTCGCCCATCGGAAGATCGATCTCGTATTTGTAAAAGTTCCATCGCTGGTGAGTGTGGATGACATGGGGGATAAGCTGCCTGGGGTTGGGAGAGAGATCGACGCTGAGATGGATGTGGATCGTGGGAGGTTCTGGAGTATCGGTTACAATCATGATGCTGCCGTACCAAACGCCTTTCTCGATATTCATGTTGCCGTAGCGCAGGTATGGGCCAAAATAGACTCCATTTGTCGGCTGGATCTTATACATGTCCACGCCAGCGGATGGTGGCGGGCCCGTGAAACCGGCCGTGGGCGCAGTAGAGTTCGCAACGCTCATGATGCTCTCGGCGTATCCTCCAGGGGTATGCGGCGGGAACATGGGAGAAGCCATTCCTTGCTTGCCCCCGAACAGAGGAGATGCCATACCCTGCTTTCCACCATATAGGGGTGATGCCAGAGGGTTTCCGTACGTAGAGGCGGCGGGCGACAAGGGAGCAACGTCGTGGTGGATGGGGTTGGGTCCCTTAGGGAACTCCCATTGTGTCGCCTGGGTCGCGAGATGGATGTAGTAATACTGGCCAGAGTTCTGGTCGAGATGGGCAATCCATCCCTCGGGAAGCGGTGGAGGTGAAGCAGGGCCCGCAGCGCCGCCTGGAACCGCCGCTCCAGCGGCGAAGGTTTGCGACGAGCTGGGGATGGCAGCGGCTGCTTGAGGTTGAGGAGGGATGCTCTCTGGCCGAGGATCGTTGGCAAAGGCAGGATGTCCAGAGTTCAGAGCGGCGGCAGCAGCGGCGCTAGGCTGTGATACGCCGAGACCGGCTCCCGTAGCAACAACGGCAGCAGCAGCGGGGGCCTGCTTAGGAGGGGCAGAGGCGGCATTATTGGGCGCAGCGGGGGCAGCCGCAGCTGCCGGCCGTTGCTTCTCGTTGGGGTAAGCGGAGCCGGCGTTCGGATTAACACTCGAGTAGGCAGGGGGTGGGGTCTTGGTGCCTAGGCGTTGGAAATCTTGCTCTAACACGCTCACTTGGAGGTTGCCGTTGCCCTCGGCGTTTGGAGGCTTGGGAGCTGGCGAAGCCACGTTCTGCGCAGGTGCGGTCGACACCGGAGCAGACCCTTGGTATACCGTAGGCGGTCCATGTGGCTGCTGATCGGGAGACTCAGTCGGTGTCCACGGACGCTGAGGCGGCCGGTGGTTTCCGTATTGAGCAAGCCTCTGCGCCGCCGCGGCGCTCTGGGCCTGAAGACTTGTTAGAGTAGCGGTGCCGGATATGCCACTAGCAGCATAGCGCGCCTCGATACCGCCGCCAGGCACTTCACCAGGCTCGACGATCGGGGTCTCGGGAGGAGGCGGCGATCCTCGACTTGCTCGGGTGGTGGAGGTACTAGCAGTCGATGCAAAGCGATTGACCATATTTTCATTCGGGATGCGCAGTGACTCGGGTGGTCGCGCTGCCGCCGCCGCGGAGCTGGACGAACCACCACCCGGAGGTGGGTAGTATTGCTTCTTGTTGAAGGGAGGGTAGTTGGCCGTGGAGCCGGGCCTCTGAGTAAGGTTATTTATCGGCTTCGCAAACAGACCAGACTGATCGTCGTCGATTGGACTTGTCGGCAGGGGTTTCGGCGTGGCACCGCGTCGCTCCGCAAGGCCGGGACCTTTATTCTCTAGGGGACTGGTAATGCGAGGGGAGGTGTCATTATAGGCCGAGCTCGAGGGCACGGGATAGGGCTTGACAGTGGGCCTCGGCCTGTTGCGACTACTATCGTCATCGTCGTCTTCGGGGTAAGGCAGAGGAAGCAAGTTTGCAGAGCTCAGCGCGCCAGGCGGCAGGAAAGCTGGTTTGGGTTTGGAGGAGGAAGAAGACGAAGAAGGCGTAGCGGAAGACGAGCCAGGCGGGGGATACTTGAAACGGTCGGCGGGTTTCGGGCTCTGCGGTTTGAATATTCTCAGAGGTTCAACTGTCGGACTATCGCAATCCTCAGTTGGCGCGGGCTTACTGAGGAAGAGCTCCTCGTCTGAGATTCCCCTGCTCCGTTCCATTGGGCAGGCCTTTGGGAAAGGTGGATCTTATGCTCTTTTTTCCTGATGTCTTCGACGATTCTGTTCAGGTTCAATGACACCTGTACAGATCTATCGTCAGATAGAAAACAATCGAGCAATTAGGTACACGGCAGCTTAAGGTGGGTTATTTTTGGGTGTCGCCAGATCAAAGGTGCAGAAGCGGGTGTGTCTTCCTTGCTAAGCCAGATGCACGATGGCACCAAAATGAGGGGGGCGGGGTGGTGGTCGCAGAATGGGTCCCCAAGGGAAACGTCCAAGTCGCAAGGAATAAAGGATGGCGCAGACAGCAAAACGGGCACAAACAACAAGGTCGTGAGTATAAACAGAGAGAAGATGGAGAGATTCGATCCCGTCAAGGCATGTATTTCTATTCAGCGAAGAGTCGGGGCTTTTGGACAAGAAACACGTAACACGGGGAAGCAGGAGAAGAATGAGGGAAAGAAAGCTCGCGTGGAACTCTTAGAGAAAAAAAGAGAGAGACTTGAGGCGCACTTCTTTCACCTGCAGCTGCACATCAAGAAACGAGCTCGTCCAGTACCGTTCGCTGGCCCAGGTCCAGGATAACATCACAGCACAGCAGGGTGGAACCGGGCGGGTGACGAGGGGGGAGGGGACAGGGGGTGAGATGGGGCAGACAGCGACGAGGGCGACATGGAGAGAGCACAGAGCTTCCCTCATTGAAGCCAGGGTGAGATTGGGGGCCGATTTGATGCTCCTAGTGGCGGCATACTAGGCAGGCCAGACCAGTCCATTGTTACTGGACAACCAACGGTGGCATCAGTTTGATTGAGCTCGTCCCGCTCAATACAGGTCGACTAGGAGGCCTGCAACTTCTGCAGGGAGGGGAGCTTGGTGATTGGTCTCTGAAGCTGGGCGCTTAGAGATTCGATGGACCAGCAAATGGGCGTGGTGGAACGAGACTTCGAAGCGCCCACAGGTCGAGGACTCGTCATTGAGCCGTGAAGGCCAAGACCTGCCATACTGGATCCCGTCTAGTAATATCTCCTCGGGTGCATGCGAAGTATTTGGCAGAAATGATTGATGAAAGATGATGGATAATCAGGCACTGAAGAAGATGTTGTTGGGGGCGAAAACGGGCGCTGCTGGCTTGGGATTTATGAGCCTCGAGCTGACGAAGACATTGATCTTATTGATTGCTGCTGCCTCTTCTGTAAAAATGATTAATGTACGAAGTAACGTACGTATGTATTTCGTAGGGGTACGTTACAGTTGTCTCTTCGTGATCGATCGACAGTTCGACAGTTCGACAGTTGAGCACAGCTGCAAGGGTTTTGTACTTAGTCGCAGACGTTGGACACGATTGTGCTGCCAGAAGACGGCACTGACTCTCGACCCCAAAGGGACTCAGGTCGGCTCACCAAGTCCATCGTAAGTGGGTTCGAATAATTCAACAGAACGACTTGGAGGGAAAGTTGCGGGCTTTCAAGCAAGGAAAACCTGTCTTCCGAAAGCAAAACGCCTCAGGGGCCCCAGGACGACAAACGGGCAGCAGCGGACAGAGATCTCCAGAATTCACCAATGAATGCTCACGTAATTCACCCAGGTCCGACTGGAACATTGAAATGACCGTTCGGCTGCTGAACTGAACGGACGCTCTTCCCACGCTTCACACCCGAACCCGAGTCTCTTAACTGCTCCCCATTTCACGGGTTATAAAAGCCTCGGTGATCTCCCCCGCCACTGTCCGCCTCGCCGAACCTGCGCGAGCCTTCTTCCTCATTCGAAGCTACCAAGTGCATTCGTCATCCAATGTTTAGCTATGTCCGACCTCGAATAGGCACCCATCCTCCCCTCCAACTGTTTGCGTTGCAGAACCTATTAGATGTAGGTCGAGGACGCGTGGCATCGGCGTATATCGTACCGTCCACCGAGACCTTGATACCCGTTAACCCCGTTAGCCTCAGCGAATGTTGCCCCTCTTTTCACTTTCCAGCAGTCGTTTCGCCTCTGTTGCCTGCCTAGTTACTGGTACGTAGGTAGAGATGGCGACGCTAGATTCGGTGGCAATTTGTTTGATATCTCCGAGTGACGACGACCGATGTTCACCTATCCAGATCAGATATAAAAGCGCCAGTCCGCGCGACAGTATCGGTCAATCTGCTCCCCATCATCTCTTCATCAACCATTCTCCCTTAAACACATATCACGACATTCAGCCTGTCTGAATTACATTTTTGTATATAACTCTCATCTACTCCATAGAGGAAAAGAAAAAAGAGAAATACAAAGTCTTATTTCTTACCACACACCCACACTATCTCTCATTGCAATCATGGCATGGCAAGGTCAAGTCCCCGGAGCCTTCCCCAACGGTGGTGATCGCTCTTCCTACCCATTCCCGCCCCCTCCTCCATTCGGAGACTTCTTCCGCTTCATGGAATCTGGAGGTGTAGGCGAAGGAGTCGACCATGTAGGTTCTGCTCCTCACGCCGGCCCCCAATTCCCTCCCGGCTTCCCCTTCAACGCCTATTCCCCTTGGGGTGGTCGTGGCGGTCGGGGCTGTCGTCGCCGCGGCGGTCCCTGGAGAGGAGGTCACCCCGGCCGTCGTCCTGGCTCTCGCCCAGGAGACGATGACTCCTCTTCTACGCATGACCCCCAGGATACCCCTGGAGCAGATACTCCCGAGGAGGATGACGATACAATGAAGGACGACCCCCCGGAAGTCCCTCCCGAAGATGACGAAGGCGAATGCCCTCCTCCCTACGGCGGCCCCCGCGGCCCCCATCACCACCCCCACCATGGCCCGCACCGAGGAGGCCACGGCCACCATCGCGGCGGCCACCACGGTCCCTTCCGCGGTCCTCATCATGGACCCTTCCCCGGCCACCATCGTGGGCCTTTCCCTGGTCCTCCTCATGGACCTCCTCCCCACGGCGGTCCGCACCACGGAGGTCCTCCCCCTTTCGCCTTCGACCCCTCCACGGTCCTTCGCAACCTAGCCCACCACCCCTTCGCGCAGAACATCCGCCAATGGCTCGACGCCTATGGTCCTCCTCCCCAAGACTCCGACCACTTCACGCCCCCCCTCGACATCTTCGAGAACGAGCGCGAATACGTCCTCCACCTCGCCCTCCCCGGCGCCAAGAAGGAAGACATCGGCGTAAACTGGAACGCCGACAAGAGCCACATCGACATCGCCGGCGTCGTCCATCGCCCTGGTGACGAAGAGTTCCAGCGCGGCCTACTCTCTTCGGAGAGGAGGGTCGGCTTGTTCGAGAGGACGGTCAAGCTACCCCCCGAGGGCACCGAAGCCTCGGGATCCGAGGTTGATATCGATGGCTTAGGCATCACTGCTAAGATGGAGGATGGTGTCTTGGTTGTCATTGTTCCCAAGATGGAGAAGGAGTGGACTGAAGTTAGGAAGGTTGATATCGAATAGATTCCCGGGGGAACATCGATTTAATTTGGTCAAGTTATACACGGGTGGACTATATGAGTAGCTCGGTCTGAGTCTAGTCTGCGAATTCGTTTGGCGTTCCGGTTTACTCCTTTTCATAAAACATAAAATCAATGAAAAAAAAATAGCTATTTGAATTAAACGTCTTAGTTTTTCCCATCTCCTGTGCCTTAACGATGTGATATGAATGTATAAATCCTCGTCCGTCTCGGACGAATCCTCGTGTAGTAAACACCCAATAAGTTCGAAGCCCATGTAAGTCAGAATCATCCTCGCCTCAATCCCCAATGCGTCCTTCGTTTCCCATTCATCGCGGCGACTTTCCGTACCAATAATACAGCGCGTGATATGTATCAATACTTGACACAAGCATTTCCAGGTCCACTACTCTCCTCAGTCCTTGCTTCTAAAGAGCGTGTACCATATCGTCCTCTGTGCCACCACTGGCGCGGCACCCGCTCCCCGGACTCACAGCACCAGTCATGACATGCTCGTGTTGTGCAACACTACCACCGCCATTTCTATGCTCGCCTTCTTCGCCAATGACGGGGTTCTTTCCCTTGTAGCTGCTAGTGGGACTTCCGCTTTCGGGCGTACTGTAGGGATCAACCTCCGGTCGCCAATCCCGTAGGTCGTCCTCGGCATCGTTGAGGATCTGGCGTGCCTGTGAGCCGTGCTCATATGCGGGTCGTTGGTCACCGGGAACCATAGGGGTGTCGTCAAGGAGGGCCAAGAGGCGACGGCCATGCTTAGCAAGGATTATCTGCTTTTCGGCACGTTCGATCGTTGCGAGGAACTCGGCGTTGAAGGCCTCCTTGAGCTTCTGCCGGGTCTAGGAAATAGAAGCATTAGTAAACGAGAGTCGGGGGGCTCCAAGAATGAAGAGAAGAAAGCAGAATCATAATAAAAAGACGCAGAAAAAAAAAACACTCACCACATTGCTTAGCTGCGCCTCGGCAACGAGGTTCTCTGCCTCCGCCCTAACCAACTCCTGCTCCAAAACTACCAGCCTCGTACTCTCCGGCTCCTTAAACTTCAACTTCTGAATCTCATCCGCAATCTTCGACTTGCTATCCCTCGACGGCTGCACGCTCTTTTCCGTATTCCGAATCACCTTCAAAGCGCTCCTCGCCTCATCCAGTCCGTGGGCGTACGCCTCCTCCTGCTCGCCAAGCTCGCTCAAGATGACGCCAACCTTGTCTGAGATGTCTGATATGGCTTCATCGTAGCTCTGCTCCCCCCACTCGCTCAGCTGTGTGGCGACAGAGACGCGCTCGCGGCCGGCGGTGTCGTGGGCGGCGATGAGGTTGTTCTGGGACTTGATGAGGCGGAAGAGGCGGCGGGCGAGCTCGGGTTGGACGGAGCCGCGGAGGGAGCTGAAGGAGAAGCCCTTGCGGGTGGAGCTGGAAGGGGCGCTGCCCTTGTTGGAGCGGATGGAGAGTGCTCTGTTCCTGGGGGAGGACTGTTAGTTTTATCACACTTATACGTGTAGTTATGCAGTGGGTGCAATGTGGAATATGGGATGGTGTCTTATAGAGGGCGGGAACGAGAACCTCCCTTCGCATGGTTACGATCCTAGAACCTGAATCATAGTAAACGATGTGCAAACGACTTACATGTTGTAAGATGTCGCGACAAAAGCGTTCGCGATTGAAGCTTAGAGGAATCTACACAATTGAATCTGGCCAGCAGGTGCAACTGCCGTGGAAAAAGATTGGAAGGAAGGAGCTCTGACAGGAGAGGAAAGCACAGGTGATTATATTCTGAACATTGATAGAAACAATATACATAACGCAGTGGAGCCTACAACTTGTCTCGGACTAAAAATTGGGCTCGGATTTTAGCCCGTTCAAGATCAACATGGGCCATTCATCTCATCATGATGTCGAACATACTGGAGATGGTGCGTGGCGGTTCCGGCCAGTCGGGCGCACAGGTCTTCTCGGCGTCGATCTACAACCAGAACTCGGACTCTTGATTCCTCGGTGCACCCAACCAAACCTTCCATGAGCAATTAAATGTTCAAGCTAGATGCCCTCGGCAAAAGACCCCATCGATCTGTAGTGTTGGATGGTTGAACATCTCCACAGTGCTTCGATAATCTAGGGTCACCGATGATGTCATGGTCCTGATGCTAACCGCACATGGATCTTGCGTGGTGCTTGGTGACATAGCGATGATGTCCCGGCCAGAGCTTGACAATGGGAATAAACGTGTCTCAAACAGGCAAAGCAATACCCATTCCAGAGCAGGAGTAGAATATTAGGCCCTTCCATGTGGTATTAGGTGAACCTTGCTGAGATCTAATCTCGCAACATCTAAAGCAAATGAGCCGTTCCACGAATCCAACTCCCGGATATCCTATCCAACTTAAAAGAAATCTCTATGGTTGAAAGCCGTTCAGACGCCCCCTTCTATTAAAAGAACTTTAAAAGAGGAGGGAAAAATGGGTTGAAGGACGGGCGAGAAAACAGCCAGGGTATCCGGCGGCCGAAAGTCGCTCCCACCACCTTACGCTCTCACGTACTGCTTCTTCGACTTGCGGTACTCGACAACTACCGGCAGGCTTGCGCGAGGTCCGTCGCAACAGGGGGATCTCGACCGTGAGTGGTGATTATGGCAGGACGAGCAGTTGCTCGAATCGCGACAGTGATGGTGGTCGTAATGATGATCGTGGTGGTGATGGTGATGCCGCCGCCTAGGCTTCCGGGCGGGAAGTATCTCGTGCCGGTAGTAGTAGTCGGTGTTTGGATCGTCGAAGCACATTTTTATATGCTGTCTAGTGGGAATATTGTAGAGATGATGATCTTGATGCGTCGCACCAGGCAGTTGTAGTGTGATTGATTTGGTGGAACCGTAGAGTGCAAGGTGGACAACCAGATGAGTGAGGTGCAATGGGAGCCTGGCAGTGGCGCGTCGTACTTCGAAGCAACCAGTGACACTTGAGGACCTATCTTTACGTCGTTCTATGTTCGAGTTGATCGTAAAGGAGACGAAGCACAGTCGGAGTCGGAAATATCAATTCACCAGATATCGATGCGAGATGGCAGAATAGAGGCAAAGAACTCAACTGTATAAACTAGATTACTCCGTAGATTACGAGAAACCCCCAAGCGTTCCCATCTCGATGGAATCCACTCGTTGCCCTCATTCCAGAAGTCCTGCGGGGGATGGAGCTTGAGACTTAACCAATCTTGATCAGACCATCCGTCCGCCTGACCTCTTCTAGACGAATGCATCGAATTCCGACGACGCCCTCCCACCATGCGAACTTCGTCAAGGTCGAGACCGAGGCATGACTTGATGACAAAGGCCAGATTTTCTGAATTCGCCATTCGGAGAATTGTCCCATTGTTAGTGTATTGAGTACCAAACTGCGACCTGTGATGCGGCGAGCAAACAAGCAAGAGTGCAGATGTCGTTGGCCAGCATTCCGGGATCCTGCACGCACTGCAGGCTTGGACGCATCACACGTAGAATATATTCTTAATAATGGCCATTTCTTGGCCGAGAAAAGGAGGTTTTTTCTTTTCTTTTTTTTTCCTTTTTTTTTTTTTTTCTTAAAAAAAAAAGAAGGGGTAAAACGATAAATTATAGGAAAAGAAGGCCCTTTTCTTTCAGATCTGTCGACATGGTTTGGGCAAACCACAATATTGTAACATTGTAATAGCAGTTCCTACCCCGCTCTCTGGAGACCAGCGCCCCGATGTGGTGGTCAACCTGATGGCTGTCAAATAGACAAGCTGCAGGTCAAGTGGAGAGGGGAACTGCTTATGATCTACACATCAATTCACTCAAGGAACATGCTCCTCTATCTGTGATGAAATGCTTAATTTCTATTTCAACGTTCTTGCTTTTGGTCGCTCGTCTTGAGCAACATACCGCAAGACTGGATGACTGCGATCGTGATCGTGGTCCCAATCTTGATTCATACCTTCTAGAGGACAAACAGGAACAAAACTACTCCCTCGCCCCAGGGAGACTCTGTCCTTTCCATTTCGAGAGTGATTTTCCTTAACAAACCATCCCAATGGAGGGAGGGCACGACATCAACCCTTGTCCCAAGTCCATGATCGATCGGGAGTGACAGAAATCCTTGCGCTTCTGCAAACATGAATGCAGGTAATCACATTCCCTCCACCCTCCAAAACCACGCTCGGCGCCAGCTGGTTTTAGACTACGGAGTTTTTACGTGTGATGAGACTGGGATCCACGCGGCCGGCCCGCTCAAATCACATCGGGATGCAGACACAATACGGCTGGGAAAGGCGCTTTTTTAGGTCTCAACTCCAAGTATGGTGACGACATCATTTTGACGGCTACGAAGTTCTATTTCTGTCTTTCGGTCAAGGCGTTAATAGGAAAAGCCAAGGACTGCAGAAGGAAATGGGACGCCCGGTCTGAGGCCAAATCAAATTTCTAGAAATCAGCGCCGACCCTTCACCCGACCGCCCTCCATTACGAAATCCTACTCTGGACGGCGCTTCGAAAGACCCAAGGTAGAGGAGAGGCTGCTACCTATTTGCCGAAGGAGATTATCGTGTTACAGATTCAGCCCACGGGATCTGGTCTACTGATGAGAACCCTGGGAAATGTCACTCCCAGCATCGTGGACGATGAAGAAGTTGTACAACTCTCCGCTGCTTCGCATTGATGTTACTTCGGACTTCGTAAAAGAGACGACAGATTTGAGAGAAAGATGAAAAGAATCCGCCAAGCCCAGGGTGCGCCTTGATTGGTTGACCCCCATGAGTGACGGGCGCTTAAAGAGTCTGTTCGACTCGCCAGGTTTGTTAGCCTGTTTCTTAATATATCTTTTCGCCCTCTTGGCTTTTTCCCACCCCCGGTACTGCACCCGGCTCACGGACAGTCGGACACTGCGAAGGATCCTCATACTAGGACGCAACTGGCTCTCCCCAACTCTCCCCAACCGCCTCTCAAGAACTGATCAAATCAGATCGGAGATCCACCTTAAAGCACGAACCGACCAACCCCCTTTCAGAGACGGACCCGTCCCGGCGCCATTGCCGTGCCACCAGCACTCTATCCCTGCGAGAGTCTACCTGTGGAGTCTAGACCCAAAGTAGATTGTCTGCCACAGCCAGCGCCATCCCCTTACTTCCACTTCATCGATTTTTCTGCATGTCTAAAGTCTCTCCCTTCGGTGCTGTCCCAATATATCTCTAAGGCACAGATCCCATGTATTCCCCCGGCAATCTACACGCATTAGACACTATTAACCCGACAGAGTACTTCGTAGACACCTGGATCTGTATGTACAAGGTCTTCGCTCCCCTCCCGAGCGATGGCTGGCTCCCATTTGTACTTGGTCCTCCTACTAGACGCCAAGAGCCTCGTCAGACGCGACCGCTTGGCTCACGATACCACTCTCTCCCGTCCTTCTCCAAGTTCCCGCGGCTCCATTGGTCGCACTAGCCTGCGCACTGCTGACGGATCTATTCACGTACTTTCGGACATTGATGCACCATAATCAATCATCCTGGCTGGTGTGGCTCCCGTCTTTAATCTGGTTCCCCCCTCTCCATCGGATGCAAGAACTTTCCTTCGTAGTTCCGTAAAATCTCACATCATCTTTCCTTTTTAATTCTTATTCCCTTTTTTCTTGAGTATTCATTCGTCGTTGTTGGTTGACTCGCTCTTGTTGCTTCTTATTCAACTACGTCGTAAGCCTGTATCCGCCTCATTCGACCTGGTGTCTGCTTTGGGGAGGATTCATTTAGACGGCCTCGCCTGGTTTCTGCCTCGACGACTATTATACGACAGACAATCAATCACAAGTGCCGCCATCTAGTGATTGCTTGTGTCCTGGACACTGGACATCTTCTTTCATCCTCTCCCCTCACCCTGAACGATCGCGACCCTCCTCATAATTATTGAAGATGTTCCGCACCGCCCTCTTACAACTAGTCCTCGCCGCCTCGTTAGTATCCGGCCACATTCTCATCACATACCCCGGCACAAGAGGCAACAACTTTATAACAAACGATACCTTTCCCTTTGGAATGCAATGGACTCATCCATGTAAGAGGGCCAGTTCTTGCCTCTCTCTATCAGCACTAACAACAACCTCCACTAGGTGGCGGTCTCGGACTCTCAAGGAATAGGACCTACTGGCCCACGACCGGCGGCACAGTCGCTTTCCAACCCGGCTGGTTCTCTGGTCATGCTACGGCCCTTCTCTACATCAACATCGGTATCGACACCGACGGCCCCGATGGTGGTCCACTGAACTACACCACTCCGCTCGTGAAGCCGTGGCAGCTCCTCGGTCCTTCCAACGGACCTTATCCTGGCACTCTTTGCATCGAGGACATCGCCGTGCCTGAGGCCTTGGGTGTTAAGCCCGGCGACAACGCGACTATCCAGATCGTAGAACTTGCGAATCACGGAGCATCACTCTTTGCTGTAAGTAGTCTTCCCTTTATCTGTTTTCTAGAGCATTTCCGGGAAAAAGTGTTGTGCTGCCTATGCAGAATAGGCATAGAGGAAACAAAGAATCTAATGACAAGAAAACGAAACAGTGCTCCGATATCATCTTCGTCGAACCCGGCGACTCCCGCCTCCCACCCCTCAACGACTCCGTCTGCTTCAACACCACAGAACTCGGCTTCGGAGATCTGTACACCGTCACGACCAAGAAGCCCGTCTTCCTCAACGGCACCAAGTCTTCGTCCGCTCTCCGGCAAGTCGACTCCAGTTCCGCCCTGAGATTATTAGCTGGATTGGTGCCTGCTGTTGTTGGTGGTCTGTCGTTGTTCCTGTAGGGGAATGAAGGTCCAGTAATACAGAATGGACTTGCTCGACATCTTCATCCATCTAGACAATTAACTCCTTAAGGTGGCACCCCTTTCAGTCACAACTTCTCTCTCTCTTTTTCTTCTTTTTCGATGGCTTGGTTTGAATCACAAACTTCCAAGAGTTACTGGGACGGGTATTCATGGGAGTTTTTTATGGGGGGAATGGTACATTTGGCGTCATGGTTTCATTAGCTTTCCTGTACATACATACACTTGCGAGGGGCGCATCTCTGTTCATATTGATCTACCCACAGCGGAAGGAGACTGCCGTCGTCTTCTTCGTTTTTTTTTTTTTAAAAAAAAACAACAATTCATGCCAAATGCGCGATTTTATTTTCCGCCGTCTGAATCCGTTTCTACGCAGTTTAGAAAAAAATGTAGGAAAGAACACGTACAGGGAAAAACAAAAAGGGACGCGAGAGGAAAATTACCCTGCCATCATTGCCATAAAAACCGACGAACAATCAACGAGTAAAGAAAACCACGAACCCCCTTTATTTCTTCGCGCCCCTCGAGATACCAAAGTCCAAGCCACCAATGATCCAGCCGGCAACGAAAACGCCAAGCATGGAGACGAAGACCACGAAAGGCTTCCGTAGAATGGCAGATAGGGGTAGTTCGTAGGAGATAATGACTTCTCGGTTACGGAACTCATCGACAATGTTCTTGGCACTGATGACGACAGCGGTGCGGCCGACGGTATCCAGGTAGGTCTTCCTAATACCAATCGAGGCCTCGGTGACGGCGGCCTGAGGGATGTTGGTGTAGTACTTAACGTTCCTGCAGCGTCCGCGTTGTTAGATATCATTAAATGTGGAGTGGGGGGGAAAGCTGTTGTCAGGGCCGATACATACTGAGCACCCTCGGGAAGGAGAACCTGGAGGCGAACCTCGCCGTACTCGACACCTTCCGGCTGCTTAGGACCCTCGAGGAAGGGAATGTTAAGGACGAACTCTCCAGACTTGGTCTTCCTCAGGGAGCTGCTGGCGTCAGTGTTCCAGCCAATGGTGAAGGGGTACTTCCAACCGCCAAAGATGGGGTAACGAGGTTTGGCCTCAAGGAGCGCCTCCCGCTTGTTGCTTCGGAACCTCGACGTAGATACGTTGCCAATAACATCGGTATAGTAGGGGTCGATGCTGCCAATCTTGAGGGGGAACTTGAGCTCCTTAAGGGCATGGGTGGCGGGACTGTGGTATTGCGACTTCTGCCACTTGACACGGCTAAACTGACTAGACAAGTTGGCGCCACGGTGGTACAAATCGTATCGCTCCTCGAAGGCAACATTGCCGCCCCAGTGGCTGACCTCGACGTCTCGCTCGAGCTTGGCAACGTGTATGACGGGTTTGGTGAACTCGAATCGGACGCGGGCGGGAGCCTTGGCGAAGGCAGCCTGTTCGCCGTACGGGCCATATACCAGCTTAGAGCCTTGGTTCTGGGGACCCTCGCCGATCGTTGTGTAGTCGGGGATATCGGTCGAGGGGAACTTGACCTCCGTCTTTTGTTTCACAGTCGTGTAGGCGGACTGACAAAAGGCAGAGAAGTCGTACGTCAGGTATTGCTTCTCGTCCTGCTTGATCGCGGCAGGGAGGGGGGAATAGGCTTTCAGGTAGTAGAAGGAGATGCCAATCGTTTGGTGGGTTCCAGACTTGAGCGCCTTGGGGAATCGAATCCGGTAGTACTGGGTATCGCTTCACATTGGTTCGATCAGTTTCGGTTTCAAGGTAGTACTTATATAGATGACAGCCGATGAAGAACCTCATTCATACCTTGCGTTATCATATTCGACAGGTCGCACCTCGAAGGGGCCGGCGTTGGGGTCTTTCCTATCATTGACCTCAATTCCGCCCACTCGAGCAAACTGGTCTGCCGTGAAGGGTAGGAAGTATTCGTCGATCAGACCGGGCGAGACATTCTCAATCAAGACATTAATGTTCTCTTTGACGTAGTTCTTCTCTAGGGAGATGATATGGACGAGGTTCTGGTTCTTGAAAGCCTTGGGAGGCTCGAAGGAGGCGGGGAGGACGACTTTCGCATTCGACGGGACCTTGGAGCTCGAGGCTGCTGAGGCCAGCAAGCTCACTAGGACGACGCCAATTGACAACAGCTTCATGGTGATGGTGGGGGAACGAGACAGTACCTGGCAGCTCGTGTGCCCTTGAGGGGAGAGGGGAATAACAACTTGTCTTGACACCCAAGGTTATGGTGGAGCTGGAGTTGGCAGAAAGCGTTCCTAGCCCATGCTCTGTGATGTATAAATCGAGGAAGTCGTCGCAGCTTCGTAATACTGTTTGAAGCTTTGAAAAGCATACGTTGCTCCAATGGATCCCCGTCAATTTCCCGATTGGGTTTGGTGTCCAGGGGTGTACACTAATATGGACAGTGTCAGGATTGTCACTTGTGAAGATTCAGTTAACAGTTGTAAACAGCTGTTGAAAACACCAGCAGCTCAAGCCACACTTGGACTTGAACCAAGAGGAGGAGGCTGTGAGATGGATGCCCAGGAAATTATACTCGAGGTTTATATGGCTTCTTTTTTTCTTGGTGCTATTAGCTTTTGCCCTCGGTGTAGGGCAATACTCTATTTCTCTCCAAGGAATCATATCCCCTCCGCCAAAATGATTTTGATGAGTTCGTCAGAAACAGAAAATTGCAGTATTGATTTAGGGAGTCTAGGGAGTAGTGCCATCCAAGTTTAGGGCCTTTCTCTAGCTTGGTTTTCCAATCAAATAGTCTCAGGCCTCGTCGGATACCCGTCACGGGCTGATTCACTCGTGTGAAGATCCTGAGCGTGGAGTTTTAGTACAACTGAATTTTGAATGTGGGGGGGATTACAAAGTACTCACTCATCAATGATCATTCGTACATTCGTACAAGTTAGTAGCTTAACGAAGGACTAAGTAGTGTGTGGTACTTCACGTATATACTACACCTTCCCCTTTCCAAATTCTAATTTTATCCCGACTAGTCCACTCAAACCCTATTCAATTGACTCTCGCTATCTCCTTGATAACTTCCGCAAAGTCAATAACTCTCCTTGTTATCTCTCGCGGCGTCGTCGTGGAGATCGATCGGTCTTTGCTCACCCCGCCCTTGATTGGAGCTCGCTACGTCGGAATCGCGGGGTGTTGAACCGTAAGTCCAATCTCCTTCACTGGGACGACCTTTCGACCTTCCGGAATCGCGGGAGAGAACCCCTGGGCGGGCTTTCTCTGCCTCTGCGCATCTGGAGTAGTATAAATTTCACGAGGCTACACCGAGTTGGGCGGAGTTGGGTGTATATTTTTTTCACTCCGCTAATTCTGATAACAGAGTATTCGCTGCTACCCCACCAAAAATGGAGAGCCTCCCACAACCCCTCCGTGAGGCCGTCAAGGTCCTGGAGGAGCAATTCACCGTGAGCACGGAGAAGCTCAAGGCCATCACTGATCACTTCGTGTCGGAGTTGGAGAAAGGTATGGTCTTATAGGACCCTATAAGAAACGTGAGGATGCGCATGGTGAAGCTAATCTCACGGTAGGGCTGAGCATTGAGGGAGGAAGTATTGTAAGCATTTTATATTTACATATTCTATTTCCAGCTTACAAGGCAGCTTGACATAGGCATAAAGTACTGACAGATGTTTACCAGCCTATGAACCCGACTTGGGTCATGTCTCTCCCGACCGGTCGTGAGACTGGAAGTTATCTGGCGCTTGATGTTGGAGGCACAAACCTCCGTGTCTGCGAAGTAACTCTCGTAGATAAGCAGTGCGAGTTCGAAATCACCCAGGCCAAGTACCGCATCCCCGAGGAACTGAAAGTCGGCAACTCTCACGACTTCTGGGAGTACCTCGCCGACTGCGTGCAGCAGTTTGTCAAGGAGCATCACCCGGGACCGCTTAAGAAGAAGCTACCACTTGGCTTCACTTTCTCGTACCCTGCCACCCAGGAATTTATCAACCACGGTATCTTGCAGCGCTGGACAAAGGGATTCGATGTCTCGGGGGTTGAAGGAGAGAATGTTGTTCCCCTGTTTGAGGCGGCTCTGGAGAGAAGGGTAGGACTACCCGGAGGATGATGGGGAGGCCCATTTATCATGGCGTGCTAACCAAAATCTGGCGATTAGGCGGTTCCAGTTGTTATCGTTGCCTTGATTAACGATACAACAGGCACACTTGTCGCGTCAGCATACACGGACCTCAAGGTTAAGGTCGGCTGTATCTTCGGAACAGGCTGCAACGCGGCCTATATCGAGAACTGCGGCTCCATCCCTAAGCTGGCTCACCGCAACTTGCCCGCGGATTTGCCCATGGCCGTCAACTGCGAGTGGGGTGCTTTTGACAACGAAAACCTTGTTCTCCCGCGTACCCCATACGACGTCACCATCGATGACATGTCGCCTCGCAAGGGTCAACAAGCGTTCGAAAAGATGGTCGCCGGTCTCTATCTCGGAGAACTTTGGCGACTCATCATGCTCGAACTACACCAGAAGTCTCTCATCTTCAAGGGCCATAATGTCTCGAGTCTGGAAAAGCCCTTCTCTCTCGACTCGTCACTTCTCTCCGCTATCGAAGAGTAAGTTGCCACCTCAGAAAGACTTGGGAGAAACTTCGCGTTACTAAGACAAAAAAATCCATTTAGGGATACAACTGAAAACCTCCAGGATACCAAGAACATCATCCAGGAGAAATTGGGTGTGGTCGGCACTGACGACGAGCTCAAGGTGGCCAAGATCGTGTCTGAGTTGATCGGCATCCGTGCCGCACGCCTCACCGCCTGTGGCATTGCTGCCATTGGCAAGAAGAAGGGCTGGAAGGAATTCCATGTGGGAGCTGATGGATCCGTGTTCCACAAGTACCCTCATTTCAAGGAGAGACAAGCGCATGCCATGGGCGAGATTCTGGGCTGGCCCGAGAAGCGAGATGAGAATCCTATCGAAGTCGTCCCTGCCGAGGATGGAAGCGGCGTCGGCGCCGCCCTCATTGCCGCTTTGACATACGACCGTGTGAGAGCCGGAAACACCGCCGGTGTTTATAGGCCGGAGATTTTCGCGGAAACTAGCGCTACGGAAAATTAGACCTTTGTAGAGAGAGATAGACAAGGCTAGGAGTGCATGGCGACATCTGCATCGTACAAATAGGCAAGCTGATATTGGCGGACAGATAGCGGGTATTTTTCGATATCCTTTTCGTCTCTACCAAATCTATTTTTTTTTTTTTTTTCCTTTGAATCTTTCCCTTCGTTAACCCATGAAAGTGCAAGTGGGCAATCGATACTCTGTAGCCGTATCGTTAGTAGATGAGCCTTAAGAACCACAAAATCTCTGGGAGGCAAAACTTACTATCGAGAGTCCAATACCTTCTCCGAACGCCCTCCCACTCACCCTTCCCTGCTTCCTCAAGCCCCTCCATGTCTACGTCAATTACCTCCCAGTCGAGGTCTAGTCCCGCTTCGGAAAGATGCATTTCGACTACTCTAGAGTATACGTCATAGCATATCCTCCTATCCGCGCCAAGACCGTTAAAGAAGCCGAAGCGACCTTCAAAGTCCAGCAGACCAGGAACGAATTCGGTGAAGAATAGCCTCAGCTGCGAGTAGTCCTCACCAAAGGTATCAAAGTATATGGCGTCGTACATCTCGCCCTTCTCCAGCAGCGTCGGCAAGACATCCTGCCAGCGACCCCTGTGGACCTTGAAAGCTCCTTCTTCGGGACCGCTCTGCTCCCACTGGCTGCCGAATTTGGCGTCCGGCTTGGAGAGGTGGTCGAGGACGGCGGGGTGGGCTTCGATGATGTGATGCTTCGCTGGCTTCGTATCTGCGAACATGGAGTCAATGATACCCATTCCGAGACCGATGTTGAGAATGCGCTTTCCCGGCTCGAGACCCGGGAGAAGGGTGTCGACGCTTCGGCGCATGATGTCGGTCTCCCAGGCCATCATGACACCGTTGCCTTCGTCGTCTACTAGTTTCCCATCCGAGTAGGTGAGGGTCGAGCGCAGATATTCCTCGCTCTTGATCTCCTTTTCACCGGATTCAGGCGGCTGGAAGCGCTTCTCGGGTTCTTGCTCAATTTCCAGGACAGGTTCCTCTGCGGCCTCTTGAGCTTCGGTCGGCTTCGCTCCGCCACCGGCGACTATCTCGGCCTCCGCTCCGGCAGCTGCATCTTCACCGTTCGCCTCTTCGTCCTCGTCCTCTTCGGCGCCGGACGATAGCCTCTCGTACCCATCCAGCAAGCCAAAGAGCATCTCCGCACGCACCCCTGCCTCAAGGCAGAGGTTATATAACTCTTGCCGGCCGAGGCGCCAAGCTACGCAACCGGGAGTCTCATTATTATTATCGACATCGTTCCAGATAGCGCCGGAAAAGAATAATTCGCGAACCGCCTCAATGGCCTCTTCGACGGCGCCGTCAATCTCCGCGTCCTCTCCCTCGGTGGTGCCGGTGGCAGGGGTGGTGGTATTTGGGTCGGCGGGCCCGCAAGATCGGATCGCGGCATGGAGGGGTGTCTCCCCCGTGGTTGGGTCCTGGATGCTCGCGTGACCAGGGACATTGAGGAGGGGTTTCAGCCCGCTGAGGTCTCGGGCCCAGGCATGGTAGAGGATTTGCTGGGTCGTGGAGGGGCAATCCGAGGAGATGCGCGCCTGGAGCGAGTCGTCGATGGGAGTCGGCGAGGCCATGGTTCGGCTACGGAGTCCAGCACCAGGTCTCTCGTCCTGGAGCGGAAAGAAAAAACCTTGCGGTGTTGCGGTTGTCGGGCTATTGAAATTTGGTGTCTCGTTTCCGTCCTGATCGAGCTGGAGCTAGTTTTACGAGAGAGGAATATTACACTATGCACACTATTTTTGCGCCCTAGCAACCATTCTGCCCCTCAAAAATTTCCTCCCCTCCAATGTCTGGGCTGACGTCGCTGCACGCCCACTGATGAATGCAGGTCCCCTCAGAGGTACAATTGGAGGTACGAAGGAGTGAGACACACACGTGCCATTTTCTCGTGTTTTATTGGCCAATTCAGCTTTCCGGAGCCCCACTACGGAGTAGTACCGAGTTGCTTTATTGTACTAATTATTCCACAGCAGCCTAACTCGGCCAGGATTAGTGGCATGAGTTGGTGGTTAGCGTACGAAGTATCAAAAGATGAGGGAGGAGGAAAGGTATTGCTACTTTCTGCTTCACACAAGTTGCATTGCTCATCTCGTACTGGTGTCTCCGCGTGGGTGCTACAGAGGTACACAGGTAGCCATGCACGAAGCACCGAGTACGCAAGACTAAACTAGAGCTAACTCTATCCCGCTGAGAATGCAAGGAAGGCACGAACTTCTTGCTGATGCTCCATCATTATTATCGACCTTGTTATCACCTCACTCTCTCGTTAGTCTGAACGTCACTCTCACAAACCAGAGCTCCAGTTTTGCTCTGGTCTTTCCAACGCATTGCCATCCTTTTACTTCTGACTTGACCTCGAATCCACCAAGGAGCAGTTGGAGAGCTCCGTCTTTTCGCCTTCATTTACCATTATTCATTGTTCGTTGTTCATCATTCATCATTGTTCCATCATCTCGCTTAACCCCAGACCTCCCTCCCCTGCTACCCGTCTCTGTGCTGTCTCATAAAAAAGTAGCGCGGCCTTTGGCGACCATCACATCCTCTTATCTCGCCCCCCGCCCACATCCCTCGACCGGGTTTCTGTCTTCTGAGCGATTAATTCCAGTGTTTCCCGCCTAAACAGAGCGAGACGGGGGAACAAACCCTTCTCAGGTATGCAACTTCTCCATTTTTGGCCAGAGACCAGTCCCTCGACACCTTCAATGCCTTTCAAAGGCTTCATGATTTTTTTCATTGTCCTGGAGCTCTCCATGGGTATCTGTAACTGGATCCATATGTGAGAAAACTACCAATCACGTTTTGTTTCCGCTCCCACGGGCCAGCCCTGTGTTTTTGTGCTAAGACGTGCCTTGAGGCGTCATCCTCTCTCGCTTTATTGTCTCGCCTTTTTTTTTTTTTTTTCTTCTTTGCTCTCCCTCTCGCTCTCTCTCTTTCTTTCCATTCCTTCATTGCCGTGTCGCAAATGTCATTCGTGATCATTGAAGACCTAAATAGTGGACAGGTCACCTGGAAACCTAACCGCCCCGGCGCATATCGAGCCGGCCCTGGCCAGATCGTCATGAAATTCGGCGAGCAGCTCCGCGAGAGCGTCATCCCGGAATACCAGTGGAGCTATCTCGATTACGATGGCCTAAAACAGCTTCTCAAAACTCCCTCCGGGCCAATTACCACCCTTACCGACGCCAAGGGCAAGCAGTATAGCGGCCGGCAATGGGTCGACGAGGACGAAACCAAGTTCGTCCGCAAGCTCGATGCCGAGCTTGATAAGGTCTTCACTAAGAAGAAGGTCAAGTCTCTCGAGATTACCCGCCGTATCCAGGTCAGCGAGCGCCATGTCCTGGACGTGGTTAGCCGCCTCAATGATCGGGGACCGAACACGCCCGGCCCTGGCGAGGAGGAATTCGTCGCTCTTGAGCAGGTCCTAAGCGACGTTATTACCGATGTACATGACCTCGCCAAGTTTGTCCAGGTCAACTACACCGGATTCTACAAAATTATCAAGAAACATGATGTAGGTTCTTCACCTTGCCCTCGAGTCAATCTGCTACAAAAACGCGAAGGATAGCGTAAAACTAACATTGGGGATGTCGCGCATCAGAAATTGACAGGATGGCACATTCGACCTGCCTTCGATTCGCGCCTCAAGGCGAAGCCTTTCTACAAGGGAGATTACGATGCATCAATTGTCAAGCTCTCGAAGCTTTATGACCTGGTCCGGACCCGAGGAAATCCCGTCAAGGGAGACAGCGCCGCAGGAGGCTCGCAGGCCAACTTCGTCCGTAGCACGACGAAGTACTGGGTCCACCCGGACAACGTCATGGCTGTCAAGCTGATTATCCTGAAGCACCTACCTGTGCTCGTCTTCAACCCCAACAAAGAATTCGAGGCAAAGGACTCGGCTATCACCTCTATCTACTACGATAACCCCGATACTTGGGAGCTATACGAGGGGCGCCTCAAGAAAACCGAAGGCGCTGAAGCTATTCGTCTGCGATGGTATGGCGGGATGGACAGTGATACAATCTTCGTTGAGCGAAAAACGCATCGAGAGGATTGGACTGGTGAGAAGTCGGTCAAGGCTCGCTTCGCTATGAAAGAAAAGAATGTCAATGCCTACATGCGGGGAGATCTGCTGCCTGTGGCCCTGTTCCAAAAGGCAAGAAAGGATCGCAAGAGACCTGCAAAGTCCATTGACGAGGATGAGGCCCTCGCGTCCGAGGTCCAGTGGTCGGTCCTGAAGCACAAGTACCGACCTGTCTGCCGATCCTTCTACAACCGAACTGCCTTCCAGCTTCCAGCGGATGCGCGGGTGCGTATCTCGCTTGATACCGAACTCACCATGGTCCGTGAGGACAATCTCGATGGTGTCCAACGCTCCGGAGACAATTGGCGACGAATGGATATTGGCATCGATTACCCCTTTTCCCAGCTCCCTGCTTCCGACGTTGTCTGGTTCCCATACGCCGTCCTGGAGGTCAAGCTCCAGACTCAGCACGGTCAAGAGCCTCCGGCCTGGGTGCGCCAGCTCATCTCCAGCCACCTTGTGGAAGCCGTTCCTAAGTTTTCCAAGTTCATCCACGGCTGCGCATGCCTTTTCCCAGATAGGATCAATCTTCTGCCCTACTGGATGCCTCAGATGGATGTCGATATTCGCAAACCCGAGACCCACGACTTCGGCATTAGCCGACCCGGAATGACGGGGACCACCGATGAAGATGACGAAGATGAGGACGATGAGGATACCTTGTCTGACACGGAGGACGAGAGGGACCTCCGACACCCGGTACTCCCTCGCAACGGCGGAACCAATGGCGAGTCTAGTAGGCATGCTACTGGCGGTAGGGGTGAGACCCGACCGCTTCTAACTGATTCCGAAAACCAAACCGCGGAGAACGTAGATGTCGACGAGGCATACCCGATATACGACTCTGACGACGAGTATGACGAGAACTATGCGCTTGAGGAGGCTCGGCGCGTAGGAGGTTGGACGTACTACTCTACTCTCATCGCAAATCAGGCACACAAGGTCAAGGATGCTTTCGCGCACGCGACCTTGAATGCGTTTGAACGTCTCGCACACGCTCGTTCTAGCCAAATCGAGCGTAGCGAGCGCTTGCGCATGTTTTTCGGAAACGAACCTATCCAGACGAAGAAATTCAAGGCACCCCCAGGAAAGAAGATCTATGTTCCTATTCGTGTGGAGCCCAAAGTCTACTTTGCCGCCGAACGGACATTCCTTGGCTGGGTATGTAATCGATAGCCACCCTTTCTTTCGTTTTGCTCTTTTCCCTTAAGGCGACGGATTTACTAACCGAAAAACTTGTGTGTAGCTTGAATACTCCATTTACATCAGCACTATCGCCGCGACTCTTCTCAACTTTGGATCGAAGGAGAACCCTCTGACGTTCATTGTGCCGGCGCTCTATACCGTCGTTGCTGTCATGTGCCTCTTGTACTCTGTGTTTGTTTATCTGTACAGGAGTCGAGCGATCCGCGAGCGGAGAGTTGCAAAGTATCACGATGAATGGGGCCCGACCATTCTTTGCTTGGCTCTACTCGGAGCTATCCTTGTCAACTTTGTGTTTGAGCTTCGGGCTCGGCATTTGGTGTATTAAACGGTTCCCCGTCAGAAGGTTTTCTTTTTCTTTTTCTTGGAATTTGTTTTTCTTTTCTTTTTTTTCCTTTTGTTTTTCCGTGTTAGTGAAGGATGGCAGTGCAATGCGGTGCGTGAGCCACAGATGCATGCCTTGTTCCTTTAGCTCTGGTGTCTAAGTGGATTGGGGATGGGGACCAGAATGTTACTTGCATATGGATTGTATTTGAGGCTTTCTGTACAAATAGTGTTTAGAGTCCGTTCGCATTATTCGGGGAGCATGAAGCATCAAGGGAGCAAACGGGCTCTGTACTTTCATCTTATTTATAGCAACTGCTGTATTCAAAAATCGCTTCGTTTTCATCTTCTAAGTCAAATATCGAAATTGTAGATGTCGTCGACCCTAACTTATCGATGATCCGTCTCGCAGGTGCTCTGATCGGTGGTCTGATCAGCGAAAGGAGGAAGAGGACCCTCTATTGAAAGTTAAGTTATAATTAGGACATGTATTCACCGAAATCATGCAGGTGGCGGATGATAGGATGTTTTTTAAACGTAGTGGAAGTCTATTAGGACAACCAGACAGACTCGAGGGACGCTCGATGCCCTTTGTAGAATCGAGAGATGAAGCTTGATCGGCATCTTCATGCATTGCTTTTATAAATCAGCTTTCTTTTTCCTAGATTTCCCCTCTTTAAAATGGCTCAGCCACACATCTATGAAAGGGTTGGATCTCTGTTATTCAACATCTCACTGTTTGTCCATTCCACGTTATTTCGCGGCCTGCGTCTCTCATCCTCCTCGCTTCGGTTTCGGCCCTTTCTCACGATGGCGGTTCTTCATCCCGAGTCGACACTCGGGCAGTGCATCCCTCCGTTTACCAAGTATGGCATCACCACTTATTTGCCAACGTGGGAGGCGGCGTTGAGGCTCCGGGATGGGGATCCGGCCATCGCGTCTAAGCTTCAGAATATCTATCCTAGACTCATGCCCTTTGGGGATACCCGCGTGGTAGGTTCCTTATATTGTGATTTCTTTTTATTTTCCTGATTGAGATAAATAATAAAGAAAATCACAATCTTCCGTATGAGTTGGAGCTAGTTAATGACCTTCTGAACAGCTCATCGACACGCTGGGCAACAAACTGGGTATTCCCGACGGCTCAGCAGGCTACGCCTTCACCTCCCCCCAAATGCTCGCTCTCACAAGAAAATACGGCCTCTCAGAGAAGCGCGACGAGTACCGCCTCCTCCCAGAGGATCTCATCTTCAAATGCGTCGAGATCGACGGCATCCGCCTCTTCCTAGTGTACTTCCCCCGCGTGAAAGTCAAGGGAGTCTCCGATGCCTGGCAGGAGCCCGGGATTGGTCTCCCCATGCGTCTCGCGGAGAGCCTCCTCCCGCACGTTGACTCCGCCTCGGAGATTGAATGTAACTGGGAGAATCCGCCTGCGCCAAGTTATGTTCCCGAGGGTCCCTCACATGAGCGTCTTAGAGAGAGGATCTGCGGGCTTCTTCACCGCGCGGCGATCGATCCGGAGAAGATCAAGGTTACGTCGAGGGATGTATACCTGTACCCGACGGGGATGGCAGCGATCTACTATCTCGACCGGCTAGCGGCTAGATACCGCCCCGGAAGCGTCGTTGTCCTAGGGTCCGTCTTCCACAATACCTTCCACCTCCTCAGAAATCGGGCCGGCCCCTCCGAGTTCAAGCACTTCCCGCACGTTGACACCTCGGGCCTCGACTCCTTCGAAACCTGGCTCCGAGAAGAGACGGACGCCGGCCGGGATGTAAGCTACGCAATTGTCGAATTCCCCAGCAACCCCATCCTCGTCAGCGCCGACCTCCACCGCTTACATGCGCTGTCGCGCAAATACAACTTTATCCTCGCCGTGGACGACACCATCGGCAGCTTCGCGAATGTCGACGTCCTGCCCACTTGCGACGTCCTCGTTACGTCCATCACCAAGACTTTCAGCGGCTACGCTGACGTGATGGGTGGTTCGACGGTTCTCAACCCTCTCTCGCCTCACTACAGCGGTGATGGTGGTCTCCGAGCCCTCTATGACGCCGAATTCCACAACGAAGTCTTCACGGGCGACGTGGACACATTACTCGCCAACAGCGAAGACTACCTCTCCCGCTCCGCCAAACTCGGCCAAAACGCCACCCTCCTCGCCGCACACCTCCAAACGGCATCCCTCTCACCCTCCTCCCCAATCCTAAGGGTCCACCACCCTTCCGTCGTCCCTAGCGGAGGAAACTACACGAGTCTCTACCGCCGCCCGACCCCCGAATACCCCTCCCCAACATACCCCTGCCTCCTCTCCGTAGACTTCGCCTCCCTCGAGGCCACCAGGGCCTTTTACGACGCATTGGCGTTCTATCCGGGGCCGCATCTTGGCGCCCACAAGTCGCTTTCGCTGTGCTATGGCGCTTTGCTCTTCGGTAAGGATGAGGAGGAGAAGAGGTATCAGGCTGGGTTTGGCGTTTTTCAGGAGGCTGTGAGGATATCGGTTGGATTGGAGGAGTGGGAGGATTTGAGGGACACCGTGGATGTTGCTATTAAGGCTGCTGCTGAGGTGGGAGGCAGGACGGGAGTGTAGTATTGAAGAGTATCGGAGGATCATGGGAGTTCATTCAGCACGGCGAGGGAGTTATTCCATATAGATATACGTATTACAGTTTATTTTTATAGTAAATAAAACAAAATCCATGAAGGCTGCCATGTGCGCCAGACTATCAGATTATTCCCAGCCCAATCCCGAACTTCACCATCTACACCCCTACACCCCAACCGCATGCATCAATATCATGTCCCTTTTTCCCATTATCATCCCAGTCTCATCAAATCCCTCTAAAAAGTAAAAGCAACCACTTCATCAATCATCCATCTCCTCAAGCAACACCCGTAACCCTCCTCACCGACCTCCTCGCCCCATCACCCGTCACGACAATCAACCCCTCCATATCCAACACCCTCATCGACTCAGCAAAGTCGGCATTCTCAACTGGAACGCTCGAGCCCTCCGCCACCCTCCTCGCCACATCGTTCCACTTGACTGTCTGTCCACCCGCCGTCATCTCGTCCAGCACCTTCAACACCGCCGCCTTCAGCTCCTCCTTCATGCGCCTGTCCGCCGCGCTAGTGCCCTCCGTCAGCAGGCTCATGTCGATGCGGCCCTGGGCGTCAGTGGCCGCCGTCTTGAGCGCCGAGCGGATGAGGCGGTAGGCTTCGCGCACGTCGGCGCGCGTCACGGTCGTGGAGAGTCGCATCTTGGCGTGCGCTTCTGAGAGGCGGATCATGCTCTCGAGTTGACGCGTCGTCGCCGTGATGCGCTTCTCAGAGGCGCGGACGTCCTGGCCGAGCTTGCGCATCTCCACGTAGCAGTCGGATAACTCTCGAGCGGCTTCGGGCTCGATGGTGGGGTGGATGTTGGCCTTTGCGTAGGAGATGTAGGAAGTGAGGAACTCGATAGGCTAGTAATAGTAGGTAAAATGTTAGATAATTGCGATCGGGTATTTAAGAGAGATAGATGGATACGATGATTAGCTTACCAGAATTTCATTGTTGGATGGAGCATGTTGAGGGGTATCCTCCAGATACATGGACAACAGATGCTTAGCAAGGCGCCTGTCATTCTTCTCATCCACGCGGTCAAGAATGAGGTAGACAAGGTCAAATCGAGACAGCAACGTGGGTGGCAGATCAATGTTTTGCGGTACAGGGAGATTGGGGTTGTATCGACTGCCAATGGGGTTGGCTGATGCGAGGATGCTAGTCCTAGCATTAAGGGTAGTGATAATGCCAGCCTTGGCAACCGAAACGGTCTGCTGTTCCATCACTTCGTGGAGCACGGATCGCGTGGCATCGGACATTTTGTCGAACTCGTCGATGCAGCAGACACCTCCGTCGGACAGGACGAGGGCACCAGACTCTAGGACCAGCTGTCGGGTCTCGGGGTCACGAGTGACATACGCCGTCAAACCCACGGCCGAAGAACCCTTTCCACTCGTGTAGACACCACGGGGGGCAATCTTGTGGACGTACGAGAGAAGCTGCGACTTCGACGTAGACGGGTCACCGCACAGGAGAACGTTGATGTCACCTCGGTAGCGGGGGCTCCCGCCCTTGGCGAACGACTTGTTGGTGCCGCCAAAGAGCTGCAGAAGGATACCCTTCTTGACGTCGTCCATCTCGTAAATCGAGGGGGCCAAAGACCGCGACAGCAGCTCGTAGATGTCCTCCCGAGCCGCTGTCTGCTTGATCTTTTCTTCCTCTTCCGGGGTAACCTTGCGGGTCTCGGGGATGAGATTCTCTTCGTTGCTGGTAGCCTGTTCTTCGGCCTCATGGCCCTCGACGGCCAGCGTGGACGGGTCGACACCAAGTCGGTTCTTGTCAACCTTTTGGATGTGAAGGACATCTACATAGGTCTTGAAGACGCTCTTGACAGTTCTCTGGCGAGGGTTAACTCGCACAGGGCTAGCCCTGAAAACACCAGTGATCTGGACACGGTCACCTGCTTTGCAGAAGTCGACCAACTCGTTGTATACACAGACTGAAACGGAGTGAGGGGTCTGGCCAGGAGGAACCATATCCGGTGTCTCCTGAAGCTTGATGACCTGCTTATCACTAAACTCGCACCTGTTGTGGACGATCTGCATCGAATTCTTGGAGGCACAGATCTGGCGAGGACACTCCGTCGGCTCCCTGATCCTGCCACGCTCAAGCTCGACATTGGTTGTATGACCGCAGATATTGCATTTGAAAAAAGCATCCCTCATATCTGGGATAACTGGAGTCGTTCGGATAACCAAACCCTTGATGGAGATGAGATGGTCCATATCGGAGGGGTTGAGCTCTCGCAAATTGGTCGTCTTCTCAAGACCGAAAGGCCGAACAACGTAAGTCGTCTTTTCAATCTGCTCCTCAACGGACGGATGGAGCCCCCTGGAAGAGGGAGTCGGCTCAGGATGGTCAGAGCTGGGGAACACTGGTTCAGAGCTCTGGCTGGGGTTCAACTGGCCGGCGCTGCTTTGCGAACGATCCTTGAGCGCACCTTTCGTTGCGAGCTCAAGAACCGTATCTTTCACAGCCTGATCCATGACAGGAACGATTTCCTGGGGATAGAGAATGAGCTGGTGATACAGTTTTCGTGTGGGTGGGTAGAGCTTCAGGTCGCCAACGTCGAGATACAGTCTCGTAGTGCCGAGCAAGAGCATAGTCTCCAGAGCTTCGAGGTAGGGTTTCGAACTAGCATCGGCGGAAGCCCTAATCTCATCATCGGACAGACCATCACGGTACATTTGGTACTTCTTGGTGAAGTTGCGTAGGAAGTCATTGAAGGACATGAACGAGTCCTCGATCGAGACGGTGGTACCCCAGACAACGCCGTGGCCAGCCCCGCCGAGGACATCCGCCTCGGAAGTTGTAGGATCCCTATTGCCGAAAGTGCTCGTCTCCGAGGGGCCCTCCTGAATGACTCGGCCGACATCATCGAGAATGACTCTCCTGGGCGGTTGAGGTGTCCGGGCAATATTAAGGTCTGAATGGATATCTCCGCGGAAAGCGCGCCCGCTCGAAGGGCCGGCTCTAACAAAAAGCCCGCTGCTCTCACTACGAAGGTCAGAGTGTTGGCGCGTCGACGAGCGACCAGGGCTGGAGCTAGGGTCATATCGAATGGGAGAGGACTCTGTAAGAACGGAAACGATCATTAGCTACGAAACGAACATTGAGCAGGAGTTGAGAAAACAGGTTGAACGTACGGCCCGCAAGTGCACCACTGGCACGAGGGGTGCGATCACCCATAGATTGAGTATCGCTCATTTGCCTCAGGGGCGAGCTTGGCGCCTCAGAGATACCGTTGCCAGTCGTCTGGGTATCATGTTGGAGAGGAGACGAAACATCGTTGTCCTGGCTTCGGCTGCCGCCGCGCCTAGCAGGCGACGACGACTGATAGAACAAAGGACTCGAGGCTAGTTGACTTTGGCGAGTAGCCCGGGGTGTCGCGCCAGCCTGCGAGCCCTGGGAAGCTCCTGGGACGGGACTGCTGCTCCTGGGCGCCTCCGAGTTTCTCGCTGACCGCCTCGGCGTTTGGCGCCTTTTCGAAGGTGAAGACATGTCTGATGCTCTGCGATTTCGATATACGGCCTCTTTCACTTCTTAGAATTTTGCTGAGAGATTGGTGGGACTTTGTGAAAGGGCAGAATGGGAAGTTGGGGATTGAGGGGTATGACGATGCAGAGAATTGGGGGGGAAATAGTTCATCCACTTGTCACTTGTCGAAAAATCAATTAAACCAGACGCGTTCAGGGGACGCGTTCCACTTTACGCGCTCTTCTGGTCCGTGCATACACTCTTCCAGGTCGAGACCAGGGCGCAGTTTTTCCCGGGGTTTAACCAGAATCCAGAGGCCAAGCCGTCAACAGGTGGTGGCTTGTGTCCGTCTCCAACATAGGGCCCCCACCAAGCCAAAAGGAGAGGGAAGCGCACCGTGGCATCCATCCCATTGATATTGGCGGAAAGGAGCTTCAGACACCAGCGCCAGTTGTATTCAAGAAGAGATACATCCCCCCTCGAAGCTTGAAACAACCTCCGCTGCTTTGCGCCTCTCTCCGAACCAGGTCGGTTACGGAATCTTGCAACCATGTCTCCTTCAATGTCCCTCTTCTCGGTTCAGGCCATCCTGATCCTAAGCAGTGAGGATGGATCGAGGATATTCGCCAAATACTACAACCAACCCCACCATGCTCCCACGGGCCAAACCCAAGGTATATGACACCAAGAGGGCATTCAGATTCAATGTCTCGGTGCGGGCCAAGGTCGAAGGTTACATGCTAACGGTTTCTCTCCTGAATAGGCCCGACGGCTAGCAACCCTTACCCCGACCTGAAGGCCCAGAAGGCCTTCGAGAAGGGCTTAGCGGATAAGACGCTCAAGCAGACTGGCGATATCATCCTATACGACAATAGGATTGTTCTTTACAAGATGGAGTCCGACGTCATGATGTACGTTGTGGGAAGCGTGGAGGAGAACGAGATTATGCTGTACAATGTCATCCTCGCCCTGAGGGACTCTCTACACCTCCTCTTCAAGTACGTCCTGGTGTCTTGCTCTTAGTAAAACGAGAGAAAAAGAATGAGAGAAAAGAATAGCTGTGCTAACCTGACACGAAAGGCAATCTGTCGACAAGCGAACCATCATCGAGAACTACGACCTCGTCGCCCTCGCTATCGACGAGATAGTCGACGACGGCATCATCCTTGAGACCGACCCCACTATCATCATCCAGCGCGTCAGCAAGGCTCCTAGCCAAGACGTGAACCTGAGCCGAATCGACCTCAGCGAACAGGGCGTCAATAACCTGGCGCAATTAGGAAAGTCCAAGTTGGCGGACTGGTTAAGGCAAGGCCTCTAGTCCGGCGCATTGGGGTAAAAAAGAAAGAGAAATTATGGGTTGACGAATATTGGGGCGAAACTCGCGGGGACTATCAATGGTTATGAACTGCGTTTCCTTGTTTGCTTGATTTTCTTCCTTTTTTAAATTTTGTCTTGTCTTGAGTATTATACAGTGATGCAAAGCATTATTCTATTTCTTCTTTTGATTCGTGACGCAAACTATGCTCGTATATCCGTAGCTGCCTTGCGGAGCCTGTTCATTACGGCACCGGCGATGTCGATGTCGTCTTCGATGCCGTCAACGAAGATGATGTCTGCACCTCTCCTGTCTAGCTCCCTCAGCGCAGAAAAAAGCCCTTGCGCAATACGTCTAATGTCCTTTCCAAGGTTGATATCCAGGATCCTTCCAACGGTCCGTCCCTCATCGTCTATCAAATTGCCCTCTTCCACCACGTATGACTGCTCCTCGACACCGTTCGTTTCGCTCGCCACTTGAGAAGTCCCAGTCGATGGCATGAGATGCTCATGCTTGAAACCCCCACCTGCTCCCCAACGTCGAGTCCGGATGATACCCACCCTTCTGCCGCTGGTACCTTGAGCCGAATTCCCATTAACTTCAACCGACGTAGCAACACCATTGGCGACCGGCACGTTTTCCCTATCCGCTTCCACCACCCCCTTCGAGCCGTTCGAGAACGAAGACTCGTAGAGAACCACCTTGGCCTTCGGGCTGTAGTGCTTATACTTCATACCAGGCGCTCTCGGCGTAGCCTTTCCCTCCTCGCTATGATCCTTATACGCCTTCGCAGCGCCCTCCCAGCCAGGACACTCCCTCAACTCCTGCAAGCTGACGCCGCCCGGCCGCAGAATAACAGGCGGGTCGCACAGCCCATCGACCACTGTGCTCTCGACGCCCACTTGGCAGGACCCGCCGTCAAGAATCAACTCGATCCTGCCATCTAGGTCCTCCAGAACGTGCTGCGCCGTCGTGGGAGAGGGCTTGGTCGACGCGTTCGCCGACGGAGCGGCTAGTGGCGCGTCCGCCAACTTTATGAGTGATCGCGCTAACGCCGACGAAGGCATCCGCGCGCCAAAGTTAGGCAGGCCCGCTGTGACTTCCGGCGCCAGTTTCGACGGCGTAGGAGAGGGCAGTAGGATAGTAAGGGGTCCTGGCCAGAATCTCTCTATCAGCGGTTTGTAGATGTCCGGAATCGGATCCTCGCCACCGCGGCCTTGTCCTTCTTCTTTCCCCGCAACAAGCAGGCCCCTAAGCATGTCCAGATCGCAGACGTGCACGATGAGAGGGTTATCCGAAGGCCTTCCCTTGGCGGCGTATATACCCTTCACCGCGGCGCTCCTTTGCGCATCGGCCCCTAAGCCGTAGACAGTCTCCGTCGGGAAGGCAACCGGTGTGTCCTTCTCACGGAGGTACTGCGCCGCCTCGGTGAGAGAAGCGAGATCGCTTCCGGAGGTCCCATCGACAGTCCAGCTGTCAAGATGCGTCGGGCCTGGTGGATCCCGAAAGGCGCCGAGCTGGGTCGTCCCGACCTTGACTATCCTGGTCTTCATTGTGGGTAGTGAAAATGCTGTCGATCCGGCCAGGATGGAGTATACACGGGCAGCGCCCAATGTAAAGATTTTGGGGAAGGCAAGTAGTTTCGCCAATGTGAGATGCGATGCAGTTAAGCTTGCTCTTCGCTCTTTCAAGACGGCGTAGTAACACGAGTTGCGAGTTGATAGCCCGACTTCTGATGGCGAGCGGGATGTTAAGGACGCAATCACTAAAATAGCATCTGAATTTGCCTTTCTAGAGAAACGGGAGAATAAAATCTGTTATCGGGAATAAATTGGGGTATACGAGGAGTGTCGTTGAGCGTTCGAGGAAGTCGCAAAAAGAAATATTTTTATGAAGTACTTTATTAGAGAGTTCGAAGTTGTGAATTATTAAGTGAGAGAGAGTGGCACTTCTTGAGTCATAATTTTTTTTCTCATGTTTTTTTTTTTTGAACCAAACAATCGATCAACCTAAGATCGCCATCACCTCACTACCAATACTGCCTAACTTTGGCGGACCAGGGAGACCAGAGATTAAATACCCAGCTTGAAGCTCTACAATTGTGAAGAATTATCATGTGTTCTGTAAAGAAAAATAGATGTTGACTTTTTGCTACGACTAGCCTAGCAGAGCCGACATCGCGAGTCGTTGACATACTTGCGTCCTTGAGCCCTCGAAGTGCAGAGGGTAAAACTAGAATGATGCCTTGCTTGGGGAGTCCCTGACCTTGCGAGCGCATGTCTACCCTGCTAGAAAATTCTCCAAGGTTAGGATCTCATCCATAGCGTTTTGTTTTTGCCTTCACAAGCCTGTAAAGCGAGGCCTCAGCATGATTGTCATGGGCAAAGTGCTAGAGTGTGGAAACAGACTTGGGGCGTGAACATGAACACAGCACAAACATAGGCACATCGTTTTAAAAGATTGGTATGAATTCAGAGACCCCTAATACACGAGGCAAATACGGAAAAAAGAAAAAAAAAAAAGTAGAAAACGAAAGCATCTCGAGAACCCCTTTCCGATTACTTTTGAGACGCAAACGAGGCACCTTGAAAATCAAGTGATGCCGACAAATAGTGCAGTGGGACAAGAAGAAACGAGAAAAACACACGTCCCTCAACATGCAACTAGGATTTTAGATGACCTCCATTTTTGCTGATGAAACCCTCCAAACAAAAATGAAGATTCCGCGAGCCGCCTCATCTATCAACATATGCCCTGCAAAGGAGGTCAGAAAGATGCACCAATATCCGCCTGACCCGTTTCTTTTCCCTTGCTTCCGAAGAACTGTCGTATGAACCCATTCCTCCGAGCGCAAACAAACACACAGAAGAAAATTTTGCACCGCCTATTTTACCAGACGGACAAAGGAGATGTCAAAGGGAGGGGAAAGGCTTAGATGAGATCGGCAACGTTCATGGGCATCTCCTCAATCTGGGTGCTGTAGAACTGCTCGATCTCACGCATCATGCGGACATCGTCAGCGGTGACGAAGTTGATGGCAACACCCTTTCGGCCGAAACGACCACCACGACCAATACGGTGAATGTAGTTCTCACGGTTGGCGGGGAGATCGTAGTTGATGACGAGAGAGACCTGCTGGACATCGATACCACGGGCAAGAAGATCGGTGGCAATGAGAACACGAGAAGATCCAGAACGGAACTCCTTCATGATAAGGTCTCGCTGGGCCTGGTCCATATCACCGTGCATGGCCGAGACGGTGAAGTCACGGGCAGTAAGCTTGTCGGTGAGCCAATCAACCTTGCGACGGGTGTTGCAGAAGATAACGGCCTGGGTAATGGTGACAGTCTCGTACAAGTCGGAAAGGGTGTCGAGCTTCCACTCTTCCTTCTCAACGGCAATGTAGAACTGCTTAATACCCTCAAGGGTAAGCTCGTCCTTCTTGACGAGAATGCGGACGGGGTCACGCATGAACTTGGTGGTGACCTCGAGGACGTCCTGGGGCATGGTGGCCGAAAGGAGGACGACCTGGGTCGACTGAGGAAGGAGCTGGAAGATATCGTAGATCTGCTCCGTGAAACCACGCTAGAGAGAGGAAAAAAGACAATGTTAGCAATTGAACCAATGCCGGGGAGAAAATAAAAATGAGAAGCCCATGCGGAATACATACAGAAAGCATCTCGTCGGCCTCGTCAAGAACGAACATCTTCATGGCATCGGTCTTCAAGAATCGACGCTGAATCATGTCGTGGACACGACCAGGGGTACCGACGACGACCTGGGGGCCATCCTGGAGGGCCTTCATGTCCTCACGGACGCTGGTACCACCGATACAGGCGTGGCACTCGATGTTCATGAAGTCACCAATGGCGACGACGACTTTCTGAATCTGCTGAGCCAACTCACGGGTGGGGGCAAGAATGAGGGCCTGGCATTGCTTGAGGTTGGTGTCGATCTTCTGGAGGACCGAGATGGAGAAAGTGGCAGTCTTTCCGGTACCGGACTGGGCCTGGGCGATGACATCGTGGCCTATTGAGTTCGAATGCAAGGTTAGATTACACACACACAAATACAAAATGTGGAGGCTAAGATGAGATGCAGGGGGTGGGGGAGGGGGAGGGGTTGCTGCCCGAGGCGCTGATGATGAGATGATAGATGGGCCAGGGAGGAAAATGAGCAGGGGTTATACCATACCCTTGATGACGGGCATAATAGCACGCTGCTGAATGGCCGAAGGACGCTCGAAACCGTAGGCGTAGACACCTGTTTGAAGTCATGGTTAGTTGTCAATTATCTCGGAAGTGGATAGCCACCTGCAGAAAAATCTGGTGGGGTGTGCAGCATACCTCGGAGAAGCTCGGGCTTCAGGCCCATATCATCAAACGAGTCAACGGTCTCATCGTAGTTGGACTCGATCTGGCCTGGAGAGAAGTTTGAGTTAGTCTTCGTCGCAACAAGGAGATTTCAACGAAAGCCAGAAAGTGATGGTCGATGGCCGCCTTTTGGGCAGAGAGGCTGGGCGCATACGGCAGCAACAGGATCATAACAGATCCACGGATGGAGAGGAGGGGGAGGGGGAGGGGTTTGTCGCCGCCGCCAGCGCCGCCAGCAAACCAGCAGCCGGGCAAAACAATGCGAAGAATCGAGATGGAACATACCTTCAGGCACATCTTCGAGTCCCTGGGTAGCCATGATTGCGGTTCGAAGTTCGAGAGAATCTAGATCACAAGCGCCGCTTGAGACCTAGAAAAAAAATGTTTGGAAAGGTAGTGGAAGGTGGGGCTCTTGGGCCGTTCGAAAGGAATATCGCTGCGCTCAAAAAGATGAGAGCGGTGATAAATGGATAAAAGCAGTCGAGAAAATAACTAGATACTGGTCCTCTTGGCCTTGGCAAGAGGATGATTCCAGGATCTAGGGAGTGTTGACAATAGAGTGTTTCGTGTTTGGTGTTTTCAGAATTCTGATGTGATGAAGTTGGAAGAAATCCAAGTAGGAGATTTTTTTTTCGGGCTTTGTAGGTAGGAGGGACGGGCTGATTGAGAAAAAATATAGTCGCACCAAAACTACTGGAGCAGCCACCCAGAAGGCAACGCCGAGTGCGAAAAATTTTGGTGAAGAGAGGCGACCCCTCGATGTGGCCAGCCAATCAGAGCTGTTAGGGTACAGGTTGACCTGGACCAGCTGTACCTGCCTCTGGAGCAAGGAAAGGTGGGGTGGCATATGGAAATTACTGTGTCAGCAATGTACCTGGGTAGTTCCACCTTTCCGGTGCTTATCAGCTGCTAACCCCGTGCTGTAACCCTGTAACCCTGGCACCCTGTGCTCCGACTATGGACCTTGAGTGCTGTACTGGTCCTGACTCTGTGAATCATTGAACCCTGTAACATAGACCAAACCAGCGCTAGTCTCTCCTAGTTTACTATGTAATCTAGTGCGGTCTTTCTGTTCAAGATTCTTTGTCCTTGTCATTTTGATACTCTAGATCTACTTGATTGTTACAGTATGAGAATATCGATCTTGTAAGTTTATTTCTTGAATTCTTGTATTACTCACAGTCCCCCTCCTGCCTGGAGGTGTACCAAAGTAACTCCAGTTCGCCCAGAGCTCCAAGCTCCCATTGGAACATTGGAAGCAACACCCCACCATCCCAAACCGTCGCCACAGCCCACATTTGCAGCTGCAGAATCCCCAAGGTGGGACGGGAAACTTCGAATTAATTTTTCTTTTTGGGATAGCCACAGAGATATCGTCTCATGACCTCGAAGGAGTCAGGCTCTGCCACTCTCCAGAAGGTTTTGAACAGGCAGCAATCCGGCTAGTCTCATCTCACAGGACTCTCTATTGCTCATTCCCGTCCCATTCTGACCAAGTCGCCCCCCACCACTCATCAAGGCACAAGCTCTGCCTGGTCTCTGCTTATTAGCCGCCTCTCCAGAAAGTAGGTGATTCTCGGCCATGGTAGCCGCTTCTTAGAGCAACAGAAAGTCAAGCCAGGCCACCCAAAGAATCTCACCTTAATTTGAGCCTCAACGACCAAGCCCATCTGTTTGTCAGCGTGTACAAGTTACTCGGGATGCGTTTCTCCGAGCCTGTGGTGAAGGCTTCGGGGGCATCATGGGGCTTTGATACGTCCTCAGTTGCGACTGCTTCTATTCCACCACATCCTCTCGGAATCAAGCCCCTCGGAAACCAGTACTTCGCGAGCGAGCCAAATGCGAGGGCATCGCTGGGCACTTTCAAGCTCTTTCCCGATGAGATGCTGATGCTGTTCCTCGAATATTTGGACGCTTCTTCACTTCGCCTGGTGGGTTCCACAAGCAAATTCCTCTACGCAGCATCCAGATACGATGACTTGTGGAAAACACTCTACTTAGAGTAAGCGAGACGCCCCCAAAATCCTTCTCTGCTGCATGTGCTGCTGCCTGCGTTATTGCCCCTCGGGGCTGTCGGCATGTTTCCGACACCCGCATCTATTCTTGGAATTGTTGCCAAAGTCCTGATGACAAGGAAACCCCATTGGGATCTCGGACGTGCTGCATCTCAAAGGAGGCATACATCTTCTCACCTGTGCTAGTGAGATCTCATCTCAGTAGAACTTGGGCGATGGTGCTTAAGCTGTAACCTTGGTTATGAAGTGCTAATCAGTATGAGTGTAGATCAAAATTCGCTGAGGGCTCCGAAGTCAAATGGAGAGGATCATGGAGATTGACACTTTTTCAGCTTCCCGAGGACCGGATTTCTCGTGTTGATTGTTCCAATGTCTTTTCCGATGTCCTCCATAGACCTTTTGTCTGCAGTAATATCAACCTGTCAGCCTTTGCGACAGGTATACCGGCACACAACGAGATAGCTCGATTAGAGAACCTGGACTACACCGAGTTCGCTGCCAATTGGGCTGAAAAACCATTCATACTCACCAAGTGCATCCAGGATTGGCCGGCTTCAAAAGAATGGAGCCTAGACTTCTTCCTGAACAGGCACAAGGATGTAGTATTTCGCGCCGAGTCTGTAGACTGGACCTTTGACACTTACGCCAAGTACATGGAATCGACCACAGACGAGAGCCCCTTATACCTTTTCGATCGCAGATTCGCGGAGCAGATGGGGATCTCGGTGGGCCGGGAGCCTGGGGCGGCGTACTGGAAACCGGAATGCTTTGGACCTGATTTATTTGAACTCCTCGGCGAGGAGCGACCAGCACACCGCTGGCTCATCATCGGGCCACAACGCAGCGGGTCGACTTTCCACAAAGATCCGAACGCCACAAGCGCCTGGAATGCTGTCATCCAGGGAGCGAAGTACTGGATCATGTTTCCTCCCGACGCGGAAGTCCCCGGCGTATACGTCTCTAGCGACAAGAGCGAGGTTACTAGTCCTCTGAGCATAGCCGAATGGCTCCTAGAATTCCATACGGAAGGCCGAAGAGTACCAGGCTGCATCGAAGGTGTGTGTGCCCAGGGTGAGATTTTGCATGTACCAAGCGGATGGTGGCATTTAGTTGTCAACCTCGAGCCGGGTATTGCTCTTACGCAAAATTTTATCCCCGAATCTCCTAGTCTCTATCATCTATCGGAAGCTATCGAGTTTCTGAGGGATAAGCCGGCCCAGGTAACCGGGTTCAAGCGAGACATTGCGGACCCTTACCAACTTTTCTCGGACCGGCTCAGGAGCGAGAACCCTGAACTTCTCGAGAAGGCCCTCGCGGTTCTAGAAGCAAGGAAGGCGGGGAGGAAGCGTAAGTGGGATGCGGCCGTGGCCGGGGACGGTCAGGATGGCGAAGGCGGCTTTAGCTTCGGTTTTGGGGAAGATGATGACGAGGGCGAGGATGAGGATGAGGTCTTATGAGTGAGTTTGGCCGATGAATGGTACTCGTATATATGGCAGAACCCTGAGCAACCTTTCATGCTATGGGGGAAGACGTGGTATATAATCCAAAGAGAGAAATCTCCTCTCCTGTTCCATATCATATTGAGAGGAAAGACACATTTGAAGGCATCATCTCTCATCCGCTTTTGTAAGGGAAGTTAAAGCGGTCTCCCAATTTTCATCCACTATCATCCAGCTTGACACCTCCACTAGCATCATCACCTGGTTGAGGCAGGTTGAACAGCAGGACTCATCTGATGTACAGATGGCACTCAACGCCACACACCGAAGTGATTTAGAGCCTCAATTCAAACCATCAGCAATGTCTTGCTCTTTCTCCCCCTAAAAATATCCCAACACCAAACAACATCATGTAGAGGCATCAAGAATCAAAGTGCCATGTTCGGCTGTCAAGCAGGTGCCATCTTCGGTGTACTTGAAAAGCATGACTCTAGAGGCTAGTAGAAAGATATTCAAATTAGCATAGAAGTTGAGATATTTTATTGCACTACATAGAATATCCTACACTCTCTGGTGATATCGGCTCCCTTTAGAGCAGGATCTATCAACTTGTTCAAATCTCTTTTACAGTTACACGTACCTAAGTTATCCACTTCTTTATCACCGCACCAGCAAAGCTTCCCAGAGCCTTTCTCTCGCCCCAAGCCCACCTTCCAACCGCAATCGAAGCCACTGGTGCGAGTCCCAAAGTCACCAAACCAACAAGCCACAGGTCCCAGTTCTTCGCCTTGAAGGTTGACATGCGCATATCCGCCGTTTGCAAATGCATCGGCCGCAGCTCTTTATCGCCATCATACCGCGCCTCGGTATCATAGATAAGTTCCTCAATGAGATCGGCCCCCAGCTCCTTGCGGCGCGAGGCGGTCCGCGCAATCCGCTGCATCCGCACGCAGTTGCGCTTATATGCACCGTCCCTGTCCTCGGAGAGCAGCCCGATCTTGCGAGAAAGCTCCTCGGCGGTAAACCGAAACTTGTCGAGCGGTTCAGAAGTTCCGCTCGCGACCAGTCGCGGCACGTTGGATATCTGGTCAAAGAAGAAACCCATGACCAGCATCGGTTTTCCGTGGTAGAGGCCTTCGTTCGCGCTTGAGCCGCCCCCGTGTGTTAGATAGATGACCGTGTGTGGGTGATCCAGGATGGCGCGTTGCGGCGCGAAATTGGTGAACAAGAACGATGAGTGCTCGCTCTTTAGGAGGGAGGCAAACGTGATGCTTTTGCCGCTTTCGTCGGCGGCGAATTCCTCGCTCATGTTGATATCGCGGCGGCCGGATGTGGGGATAGACCATATAACTCCGTCGATATACCCATGATCTAGGGCGGTGAGCAATCCCTTTACAATTTTGGCTGCAGCCACATTAGAAATGATGATATGTGTGCCAAGAGCTAGGTATAGCGTCTTTTTGTGTGTTGCTAGGAAAGCCTCATAAGGGTCGGCCAGCGGCGGATAGATATCCGAGAGGATGGGGCCGACAACTGAAACAAGCGGCGGCAGGTCCTTGGGTACCTCCAGACCAAAGAAGGAGTTGATCAAGACGAGGTGGTTTGGCTTGCTCGGGGTCGGTATTTTATAGTTAACACCAGCGGCTCGCCGCATCTTCTTGGTCCAGTTGATCCAACGCAGGACGGACGGCAACGCGTGGACCATGACGAGCTCGTTTCGGATTCGAGACCACATCGACGCGTGCTCTGAAGTGAGAGTGCCATCGAGCTGGAATCCCGGTTGGCCGGGAATATACGAGCAAGGACAAATCAGGGCGGGCATCTGGGGGTACACCATGGCGATTGGGATATTGTATTGATACAAAATGTCCTTTGCCGCATCGACGAAGAAGTCTGCCAGAAGCAAGTCTGGTCTTGTCGCTGGGTCGTCGATGATGCGCTTGAGATTGTGGTACGTTTGGGTCCAGTACGAGTCGAACATATATTTCGACTCCATCACGGGGCCAACTCCGTTAGACACGTTCCACTCTCGCATGCGCAGGTAGTGCGCTTCGAGATCCTCATGCGACGGGCCCGGGCCCATCAAGTGAAGCTTTCCAATGTAATCGTAATCGTTTGTCCAACCCTCCTGGCCGTCGAGCGTCGCAAAATCCACCGTGTGTCCTCTTTGTGAGAGGATCCTTCCCAATTCCAACACCGGGGCTGGAGATCATAGACATAATAGTCAGAGGCGTCCTATCGAAAACCTATCCTGCCGAACAGCATTGGGAGGCCTTACCGGCGTGTGTGAAGCCGCCCACGGTCACCACCATGAGAATCTTACGAGGCGGGTTGTGAGGGGAAATCATGGTTGTGATCTATGGCTGAAAACCAACCTGCCGAGAATGGAAGTTCTGGCGAGAGGAATACTCTAAGAGTCGATTGCGGATTCTCATAGGATTATTTCTGTCAAGTCAATAAGTTGTCCTACCAGTATTGACAGCATCGGCTGATCGTTCCAGTTATTAAGGTGCGGAATGCCTTAGCCGCAGGAAAGAGGCTCGATGGATGTAAGTGAGAACGGCAATTACTTCTTGAACCATCCGAAGCATCAACAACAAAACCTCACAAAGGAAATATCCCAGGGAGACCTGACGTGTATGCCGGCACGATGGTGAAGACGGGCAATAGGAATCAGCCGATCTCGAAATTCCCCGATGTGGGGGCCTTCGATCCTTCGATCCTTCGAATAAATCGGCCGAGCTCCGTGAACTAAATTTAACACGCCTTGTTTGACCATGCGCATGTCGATCGATCCTTCAACGCACGTCAAGCAGGCAGAACCCTCGTACAACGTCGACCTGCCAACCTAAAGGGTATCACGGCTCAATTTTTTGATTTCGATATCTCTGCTGTTGACTCCCAGCAGGATTGAAATGAGGAAGCTGCTGATACAAAAAGCCAGCTCACAGGCAGCTGTCCTGACTCGTATGGCGATGAGGCCTTCTCTACTTCTTAGAAAGCAGAGCATCTTGCCTAAGAAGCAGATTCTATAAACTACATCCAAAATATAAACTATTACTACAATAGGAACGCAGACGTCACGTCTTCTTAGCGTAACGGCACAATCAGGAAAGTTAACATCAACGGGGCAGATCATTGCCGTCATTGAAATGGGCGTTGGGTCCTTCAGGAGGAATAGACGCACTACTAGAATTCTTCTGGCATGCCATTTCAACCGCAAGGGGTGCTTGGTCAAAGATCCCCGAGAACCGATTTGCGCTGGATTCATTGTGCCATCCGTGCCATCCGACCTTAGACCGCAATGACCGTGTAAGTGGTATCAAGCAGCGAGCAATCTGCCGAGCCTCTTCGGCCTCTCGAGGACGATTATCTCTACAGCTCTGCCACCCTACTAATGGCCCTCCACCGCTTCGTCTACTCGACAACGACCTCACAAACCATCTGCGTGTAACCTGACTAGTCACTATTGTAGATGCACGGAATGATCGGAAGTTCTCCGAGCCGTATTTCGGAAACTACCTCACACCGGTCGACGCGCCGTATTTACCCGCAGCCCAAGACCTAAGCCGGGATTGTGCTTCGCCGTTCGGAACGGAATCACCTCATTGTCGCAACAGGCTTGCTGAGTGGAATGGGTGGCTCTGGAAGTCGAGGAGGAGCTTGAAGCGTACTTTTGGTGCTAATTTCACTTGCCTCGGAAGCAAAGAACTGTTTCCATCTCTTCGCGCAACAAAGCTGGATTTTGTACTGCAATGGATTGTGATCTATGCCAGCTAATACGATATGGGTGAGAAAACCAAGGCTACGGACTCCATGATGCTTCTTCGAGCTGCTCGACATCGTTCCGGCAACGCCGTTGCTGGGACTAAGAAAGAAGATCAAGATGGATACGATGTGGGCTCTCCAAGACAGCTATCTCGGAGTGATTTAACAACCTAAGTCTAGGGGCAGAGGTTGAAGAACGTACACTACGAAGTACACACTGTAGATCCATCTCCAATCGCTCCATCGTAAATCTGCAACGATGAGGCACCAAAACTATTACAGGGTCGGGCTGCATAATGACGAAAGGCTGGATAGGAAGGATCTGGATGGGATGAGGGATGCATAACGTGGAATGGTTTTTATGGAACCGGCCGGAAACAACCCTGTCCAGGCGTAGAGCAGCGGACGTCCAGCTTGGCCGCAGCACCGTGGCGAGCTGTAATGATGATTATTGGGCGATAGTCTTTACAGGATTAATGTTAGTATTCGCATAGTGCACACTATACCTACGTACTGGACGGTCTCGATCCTCGACCCGGTTGCACAACACATCACATAACCATCGAGCTGAATAGTGCGTGTTTGCGCTAGTTTCCACCTCAATCCGGAAGTTGTCCCAAGATTCGCGCATTCTAGTAGAGGGCCGGCTCCGGGGGGGGAGGGTGCATCAGCCCGCGATTCGAGTTCCCGCTAGCAAACATCATGGTCTTACCGGCCCTTACCGGCCCTTGGCGCCACTCCCATCGGACCCCTTCAGTGTTGTTTCTATTCCAGTTATTCCCTAGTATTCATTTTCCAAAGCGATCTCGAGAGGGTGAAAGCGCCGATCTTTCGCCCCGAATGTAGTGTTTCCTTCTCCCCCTAGAAACTGCCTAGCCCCTCCCCGGGCTGCCCCTCTCTCTCCCGGGCCCCTGGAACCACAGCTTCTGGACGGTTACCACATAGCATCCAGCTTCGTATATTCAAAATGGGAGATCTCTTAATACCTTAATACTGGACTGATGTGTCTCTTGCATTTGTTGGCTCACGTTTAATCTGTGACTTCAGAAAGCTGAAGATGGCGCGAGTCCATTCAAGCGAGCCAAATCGCCAAGCGTCAAAGGAGACACTTAAGAGGCTCCAAACTCCATGTCTGCGTGCTCGGGTAAAGCAATGTTGACGAACTTCTTATCTTTTCTTGCAAATTAATTATGAGGGGCGCAGATTGACACTCGCTCTCTTCTTCTCTGTCCTTGAGATCCCCCATCGTATCCACCACCCTCGGGACCGTCGCTGCCCATTTTCATGCCCGTTTGCGGTTTTCGTGGATAGTGACTGCGTACTTGGTAACCTTCAATGGTGAGAGACACCATTTGGTGACTCCACCAGCCGCCCTGATATTGAACTCATGTGTAGGGTTCCTGCTGCTCCGCGCTGGGTTGAGCGATATTTTTTTGGCGATTCACCATCTCCAACGGCTGTCTGGCCATGTTCGCCTTATTTTCTGGACTCTGCGGCGCCGCGCAATCCATGGTGAAACTGTATTGTATCCGTACCCATAGCTGAAAGGCCCAGGATCCGTACACGGCGGGGATTAACAATGCTAGGATGGTTTTCCGCGCTCTCCAGGGCGATGGTGCCTCCGGCATCTTCTCCTTGACCGTGGTGATTGAGCCCGACATCACCCCCGGTCGCTGGTTAGGTTTGTACTCCAGTGTGATTAGCTCCGTCTTTGCCTTCACCAGTATTCTAGGACCAGAGTTGGGCAGTGCTCTTGCCGAGTATTCCAGTTGGAGATGGGTGTTTTTGCTCAAGTAAGTTTCAGTCGCAGAGCTTGAGACGATCTTCCGAAATCTCTCAATCTCGTCAGTATACCGGGAGCAACAGTCTGTGCATTCTTGGTTGCATTTTCTATGCCTAGGAAACGCACATGCGGCGGCCTCAAACTCCGTGTCGGCAAATGGAAGCATATCGATATCCTTGGGGTAGTTCTCCTTCTCGCGTCCACCGTCCTCTTCATCTACGCTTTGCAGAGCGCTCCGTCCTCTGGATCTGGGCAGGGCTGGTCAAGCCCCACCATCATCGGCGGTTTGGTTGCGTCAGGCGTCTTGCTCACGAGGTATTCTTGCCGAGATATTCGCCCATATCCCCTTTCTTCCCGTTATCATTACTCCTTCGCACGCTACATCGCTTTGCTCATGGTGTAAGTCCTTTCTTCCCAACTTTTTGCACTTACTCGTTAGATCCTTCTTCTTCGTGGGTAGCTCGTTCCACTTCACAATCATCCAGCTTCCGCAGTGCCTCCTTCAAGTAAACACCAAGAGTCCTACAACAGTAGGCATCCTTGTGCTTGCCATCTTTCTCCCGTCAGCCGCTTTCTCCGCCCTCTTCGGCGGCCTTTACCGCAAGTTCCCCACTGCCCCTTTACAGTTATTCCTTGGAGGATGCTTCCAAGTCCGGGGGGTTGGACTTTTACCGTCCCTTCCGACAGGTCTACCCATAGCCAGCAAGCAGTACGGCTTCGAGGTGATTACCGGCGTGGGATTTGGGCTCATGCTCCCCTCTGTCCTGATCTTAGCAAGAGATTGGACTTCGAAGGAATTATACGATATTAAGAAGCCCTTGCTCTCATTTCCATAGCTGATCTAGACAGAGACGTGTAGGTGCAGCAACAGTCGTGGGGCTGGTGAATACCTTCGGTACACTGGGGGCCTGCGTGTCGACTGCCATTGGCGATTTCATCATGAACCAATAATTGGATGATAGGCTCGAGTTCCCGACAGAGGAGCAATGGGGATATCCTACATGTACTTGGCTTCTAGGGCAGCGGTGGACCTTACGGATAAGAGTGATGAAGCTTTGATGGTCCGGACAACTCACGCGGAAGTGTATAGCCGGCGATTCTTCGTCATGGCTATGCCAACCATAGTGTCTGCCGCCGGGGCGGACATGATCTGGGCCATGCAGTATGTGAAGAAGCAGGTGCCTTGGCCTAGGATCAGGATCAGATTGCATCGGTGCGTTTGATCAGGCAGAAGAAGATGAACAGGTGGTATGGGAAAGCGTGAGACTATTTTCGCTCTCCGAAGCCAGCCGGCGAAGTTAGATGATTGTAGGGGAGGACGTTCTCTCCTGGTCAACCTAAGAATGATGGTCACTGTAGTGAGAATGCTGAGGCATTCGGTTGCGAGGAGGTTCTCGTCCGTTAGTTCGCGATTTCGTACCGCCTAGTAACCCATTTTGTCGCGATGCCATCGCACTTGGAACTTTTCTAGAAATCACCTCTAGTGTTTTGTCTGTCAACTCGCCCTGCCTCTGAACCGAGCGTGCTGTATCAGATCAGATCGATCAATATTTGATGTGGACCTCGAGAGCTCCACAAGCTCAGACCCGTCAGGTCAAGTGTCAGATGAAGCATTGAGGGTGTATATAATACAAATTTGATCGAGCTGTGTTACAGAGTTCACACTGTTCTTTAACAAAACTAGTGCAGAATTCCCCAACAATTGGGCTAGCTATTTTGGGACGGGAACGAGATTTTTCCACGGAGCAGAGGTATCAAAAACATACCCCTAGCCTCAAGCCACCATATTTTAGCGGACTGCCCCCCTCGGCGTGGTCGAATCCACTAGAAATAGTTGACGAGGGTGCTGCTATTGTAGATGCCCCCAGCAGTTCAGAGCATCCTCCTGTGCTGTGCAGTGCTGTACGGCGCTGGCACCACTACTTCACTATACCACAAGCGCCACCGCCTCTCGACCTTGACGCGCTTGCATCATCAGTTGCACCCTAGAAACTCATCACCACCTCCCGTTTAATGCGACCCCTTTATCGTCTCTTGGTTATGCTAGTTTCCCAGTTTTGTTTTCAGCATTTGATTCTTTTGTTCTTTCCCATTTCTCTTAGGTATAAGCAGCTCCCCCATATAATTTGCGAACTTCGTCTAACGCCATGAAAAGTCGACCAGTCACTCTCCCGGAGTCCTTGCACGACCTCCACGTCTCTCGTTGACAATTGATGCGTGTCGTCGTTCAGCCGCCTTTCCGCTTACTTCCCTCCGCAACACTCCTTAGTCCGATTCGGAGATACCGCGATTTCTCTTCGATTCTTTAATTATATTGACCGAGACTGTCTCGCCTGGTTACTTGTCGATTATTCGAACCCCCCCGTGACTGGCCAGGCGACGACCCCACCCCCTCAGCATCCCCCTAAGCTCTTGCGCTTCTGTGTTTCTGCGTCTTCGACCCCCCAGGCTGTCTCTCCGAGCAGTCTCGGCGACGCCCCCCTTCTTGGAAACCCTTAGTACTGCTTCGCTTCGAGAAACCGGACCTTCGATTCATTTGAGCGCGTATATATATTCCGATAATCCAACTCCTTTCCTCCCCCTCATCCGAGTCCGAACAACATCCCAACCATGGTCTCAGACGAACACTACGAGGTTTGCCTCCCGATCCTGCAGGATCCGAACCTCGAAGACGAAGATAAAACCGACAAAATCGAGGAACTGCTTAGAAAGGAGACGGCCCTGACCGGAACGTCTCTCGATAATGCAATATTGGACGTTTTATGGAGATACAGGGAAGGCGGTGTCAGTTCGGCTTCGCCGCCGCCTATTCGGCAGACAATCCTCCGCCGACCTTCCCCAGCTTCCTGGAGAGGTTCCTCCACTCCGCTGTCAGGTTCGCCGCGCCTAGGTGTTAGTCCCCTAGCTCCTCCCGGATATGTGCCCTCCACACTAAACAGAACCAAATCCTCTACCGCGTCCCCGTTCTCGTCTCCTCGACCCTCGCCCCGCCTGAGCTTTGCGACGCCCGCCATACCCCATAGCCCGAACCTCAACGCTTACGAGTTCGCGAACGACCCGACTCCCGCACCCGAGATCTTTGGGGACTATCCGACTGAGAATGTGGAGTGGCTGGTGAATGATGATGGCGGTGCGAGTCTCAGTTCCTCCTTTACAATGCCGAGCGGCCTCAATGCGGCCGCTCCCGAGTTTTCTTCCGTGTCGGCCCAGCAAACGGACATGACTCCGTATGATATGCTTCGTACCATTCTCGGCCCCTCGAGGACTGACGACGAGATTGAAGCCGCACTGGCGTCCCATGGTTATGACCTGAGCGCTACCGTTGCCTCCATCATGGACAGCCAAGGTCGTGCTTTGGGCGGCCTGGCAGCGTCTGCCGAAGAACCGAGGAAGGTTCTTGTAGGTCGCTCGTCTGTTGTGGATGCACGACCGACTACCCCCGTAAATCATGGCCAGAAGCCGGGCATTATTTGTAAATTCTATCTCTCCAGCGGTCAGTGCCTGCGGTCCGACTGCCGCTTCAGTCACGATCTCAGCAGCCACCTTTGCAAGTACGTGAAGTCAATAAAAGCAAAATCCCGGGCCCCTCTCTTGAATTCCAGGTTGCGGGAGACTAACGGGAGCACTACTCTAGGTATTGGATGATGGGTAACTGCCTCGCTGGTGATACATGCGTCTTTTCGCATGACCCTGCCCAGCTAGTCACCAAGCTGTCGATGGATGGCAGTTCAACGCCGCCTCAAAAGGCGGCGAGTCTACATACCCAAGACTACAGCTCCTTCCCGACCCTGCATGGCAGTCCCGATTCCTTTTCTGCATATGCCGCCGCCGGTAACCACCACCCCTTCGGTCTGACGCCGCCTTCCGGTCTAAGACCATTCCATGGCATGGACAATCGTCCACGATCCCGACCCGGCAGCCGGCATCAGACAAAAGAGCAGGCACCCGCCCTGGACGACACCGAAGCGTTCCCTTCGCTCGGCTCCGGAAAGCCGGGGAAGAAGCATCACGGCAAGCGAGGCGGGCACGGCCACAAGGAGGTCTTCACGCCCAGCTCCCTCGCCGATATCGTCAAGATGGCGCCTTCGCCTAGTCCGTCTCCCAGGGCCGATAAGAGAACGGGAAGAAATGGCAGCACGGGTAGCAAGAATGGCGAAAACAGTGCCGCAGCCCAAGCTATTCCTAGTCCCAAACATATCCCTTGGCTGGAAACCGGCGAGCGGGCTAACAAGGCCTATCTAAAGGCTCGTCAGGAGGCCATCAAGCATGGTGGCCTTCGCAATAAGTTCTTGCAAAGGTATGTTCGACACACGTTACTCTCAAACTAGTGGACATTTCACCTTGTGCAATCATCTGAAGTATAGTTATTCATCTAACGTTGTTTTTCAAAACAGTGCTGCCCAGGCCTGGAACCGTAACGATGCCCGCGCAGCCAAAGCGCTCAGCCTCCGAGGCCAGAGCGAAAATGACCTGATGAGAAAGGCCCACCGAGAAGCGGCGCGCGAGCTCTACGAAGAACGCAACAAGACCAACCAACCCGGCGGCGCGGAGATCTACGTCGACCTGCACGGGCTTCACCCCGACGAGGCGGTCGAGTACCTCGAAAAGGTGCTGATGGAGAACAGCAGCGAGAGCCGGCCCGTCTACGCCATCACGGGCACGGGACACCACAGCAAGAACGGCAAGGACAAGGTGGGCAAGGCGGTGCGCAATTTCCTCAACGAGTGGCGCTACGCTTTTAAGGAGTTCTCGGTCCCCGGTGACAAGAATAATATGGGCGGTATCCTGGGTGTCGATGCCCGGTCGTGGGATCGGTCTCTGGGTAAGGAGGAAGGCTCGGCGGTGGCGGGCGCCGAGCATAGCAAGGCGACGTCGGATCTCTTGAGTCAGGGGGTTGAAATTGGGGATGGGAAGGTCAAGCTTCTGGTTAGGGATCCTCCGAAAGGCCCTGGTGGGAACCGTCGTAGCTGAGTTGGAAATATACTAGATTTGCCCTAGGTGAGAGGAAGAGAATTAGAGAGATATCCAGATGGGTGTAGTTAGCTAGATGAATGCAAACCCACTCTTAAACTGTTCACTTGAACTAACTACCATTAATTGATTGATTGAGCCGTGTACGACAATAGCTGAATTCTATAGAGCAAGTCTGTTGGAGTATCAACAGGAGTTGAGCATGTAAATACCATTGTGATAGGATCTCTCTATCAAATCCAACGAGGCTCTTGCACTAGCCTGCTGTAGAATGGGGATCGATCTATTCAAAGTCTCTAATTCAGGAATGCGTGTGTTTGCAAAAGCACTCCAATGTAGCATCAATTTCCTCGTATGTCATCATATTCACATCCTTTGTTAACTACATCCACGTTAAATCCAACCTCTTCCGATCCCTCCCTTGAAACTACTCTAAACATACGTGTTGGTTCTTAACGATTCCGAAAACCGCCGCCTCGACAATCATCAGAGCAACAACCAACAGGTCATCTCGAGCCATTCTTCAACCTATCTCGCGAAGTAAACCGCCCGTCGTCGCCGATGGCCCGAAGATGAAGTAAGATCAGCCGAGGGGGTTGATGTAAACATAGTTTAGTTTGTGTTAAACTATCAAATGCGCTGGCCTTGCGATATCTCCGTCGCGTCGCCACCGTTTACGCCCCTTGTCGTGTTGATATCAGCTGACACTGTCATGGAATTGGCGGCCTTCCAAATCTTCCGGATTCCGATTGTAAGTCTAATTCCTCAAAGTCACGATGGCTTTGGTCCGATTAAAACCGAAGTTCACCGGTGCAAGAGGCTCGGGTGACAGCCGTGGATCGTCGGGTTTGATGTTTGTATCGGCGGTTTTTTTATATCAATATCGCCAGAAGCTCTGCCCTGGGGTCAGAAACCCACTGGAACTGATGTGATGAAGTCTCGGGTGCGGTAGGCGTGGTGTGACAACATTGAATGATCAGTGGTGGCTCCACACAAGTGAGCGCTCCGTGAGCCAGGGCGTGACAGATCCCTACTAGGGTACCGAATAGAACCAGGCGAGATGCCGGAACACGAACTCACCCCGTAGGAGAGCGTCTCATGTTAAAAACATACAAGCTGAATGGGGGACTCCGACAGGATCCTGGAGCTGAGGCCGCACCACCTCGTTCTACCGACAGAACCTTGTGGGCCGTTAGAGAGATTGCTCTTTCCCCGTAGGCCCGACCGGCAAGGATGGACTGGAGTCGGGGCCGAGAACTCGTAGAAGAAGATTCGTGTGTTCGAGTGGGTAATCACGCTAATGCACATACAATATAAACTAAGAATGATGAAGAAGTCAAGAAAAAGAAACGAGCTATCGTGAGAGAGCAGCGGGGTTTTGCTCCACTATTGTCAAGTATCGAACAAAGAGAGAAGGGGAGGGTTCGGCCCGCCATCTCCTACTACGGAGTACAGACTAAGGAGAGTGACAAGGGCGACGGCTAGACTCGGGGAGGGTTGGTCTAATGGTAAAGGAAGCGAATAGAGTATCAAGAGCGCCGAGCAAGAGGAGATGGTCTAAGTAAGAACCAAGACTAGAACATCGCGCCGCTAACCCGCCAGTCGGGACTGAACCTTCCTTTGACGCCAAAGTCTGTGATTGACGGCGCAAAGAAGCTGCCTTACATGGTTACACCTCAGCCACTTCTTCTTCAGTCTACTTGTACTTCGTAGTCTACTAGCGGAGCAGAAGCCTGGTGCTGCGAGGCCACTGGCCACGGACGCTGTGATTCGGGGCGGTACGGTGGGCTGCCCTGAGCCAACGCCCTACTATCTTTTGGTGTGCGTAGGGGAAGTCGTTACCCATATGAAGTAATAAACGTTGTGACATTTTTCTCTTCAATCCTGCCCGCTGCTTGGTTCTTACGTCTATGCCTCGACGGGCATCTTCGCACTAGATCAATAGGCATCGACGTAACGTTGAATGTCAGCATGGTTTTCACAGAGTGAAACAATAAATCGGACCAAGACACCTGCAGTTTTGGGGGGAAGATGGATATAGACGGAGGTGCTGCCTCTTGAGGGACCATGATGGAGGTTTAGTCTTCCCTCTTCCCTTCCTCTTGTACGAACTTCCTCATCATGTAGTACGGATTACAACTCGAGTACAACTCGAGTACAATCCGGGAACTTCGTGACAATGGATCAAGTACATCGAATGCTCTGTAATGCAACTGTATCCAATTGTACGCATTTGATCGTTGAAGGTGGATGGGATAGGGTGGGTGAATAAGAGGTCAATGGCGAATCATCGTTCGTTCCAAGCCGATTCCGACGGTGTAAGTGCGGCTTGGGACTTTTTCCTCTCTCCACTCACTGTTGTCACTCACTTAAAGGTTATTGTTGTGTTGGTCGTCGCTGGCACATCGATCAGATGCCAGACGACTAGCTGTTTAGCTGTTCCGAGGTTGGCAGGGCCCGACTGGGTCTTATCGTCTCCATCGTCGGAGAAGAGCATATATCTCCTTTCCGTGATGCTGATCACTAATCTATCAGTTAAGGGTTAAAGATCGACAGTCACCTTTTCCGATGGAGCTAAAGCAAGGCACCCGGAGACACACTAGACGCGAGACTTGAGGCAAATTGATCGAATGGGATATCGAATCGTATTATTGATCCTTTACGTGAGTATGTTGCCTTGTCTCCTGCATGTCCCTTGTACCCCGCCCAGAAAAAAATAGACAACATTCCCATGCATGGTCCGAAATCCTATTTCGCATATATCGTTCATGAAACCCGACTCCTTGGAAAATGCAAGAAAAAAAGGAAAAAAAAAAACAGAAGAAAATCTCCGACGGCAAATAATCAAGTGGAGAAGAAACATCGCAGCCCCCCATCATAGCATCAAGCTTTCTTCATTATCTCGGCTCTCCTTCCCGGTCCCACCCCCGTGCACCAGTTCGGACACCATCTCCTCTTCTTCGTCGGCTTCCTCCATGTCTTCGTCTTCGTAGAGATCCTCATCGTCCTCGTCGTATCCCACCTCGTAGTCCTCTCCGCCGCCCTCTTCTGGCTCGTATGCGTCTACCGGTTCTGGCGGGTCGCCCAACACCTCTATTTCGCTTCGGTCGCTGCATCGAGGACACTCGTTGATGCTGCCGGTCTCGCTCTCGCTCTCGCTCTCATCAAAGGACAAGACTCCCATGAGGGGTACTTCTATATTTCGATACTGACTCTTGATCAGGTTGTCCGCCATCTCGAAGAGCTTCGTATCTCTATCAGGGGGGATTTCGGCGTCGATAGAAAACGATGCCTCATCCTTATCCATGACGCGGTCCATGGGAATGGTATCGGGTGGTGGGGGGTCCTCGGGGACCTGTGCAACCCACCGCCGCACCCGTTCGCCCTTGGGCACTGGCCTTGGTTGCGTGCGTCTTTCTCGCAAGCCCCGTCGAAACTTGTCCTTCTGCTTCCTCCGCCGCCTTCGGATGCGGTCCCGCACATACCATGCCACTACTAGCATCGCTGCTTGCATCGTCTCGTGGCACTTTTGTCGGTACGTGTTGGCCCACGCTTGGCATCTCTGCTGTTGGTAGTTGGTGATGGCTTGGCATCGTTGCTGATAGAATGCTGCTATCCGCGTTGCCATTACCATCTCCTTGGGATCCATTGGGAACTCCATTAAGGAGGGGGATTGTGTTGTTTGAGCGTGTGTTTGGGTTTGTGGTATTTGTGAAGACTGGGTAGGAGCACGAGACGTGGGAGGCGGCGGGGGTTGCATCCGTGACTGTGCCTGGTGCTTCTGTGTCTGTGTCTGTCCAGATTGTGCTTGTTGCTGCTGCTGCAACTTGGACGTCTTTTGATCGGCCGAGAAGTCGGCGGGCGTGGGTAGGGGAATCTCTAATCCTCCCATCTTAGGGTTGGGAGGCTGCAAGGGAGCGGGTTTCTGTGAAAATGACTGATTCTCCGGGGGAGGCGTAACCGGAGTAAATGGATTTATGGCCGTCGTCATCATCGCGAATACGGGACTAACGGTTTATTGCGTGGGTATCTGGCAGTGATGAACCAGTTTCGCTGGAAATTGGGACCAAATCAAGGAACCCTCCTCCCTAGCTGTCCATCACGAATTCGAACTAACACGATAGGAAAACTTCGACGACGAGAGGGACGTGGCTGTCGGTTCGACGAGGAAGAGATCGGTACAGCGTAGAAAGTTAAAGGAGGTTGACTGGGGATCGAAAGATGCGTGGGTAGAGAGAGGAATGTCGGTGTGGAGGTACGTATGCAGGGTATGGTTGTGTTGTGTGTATATATATATATATGGCCTGGATACACGGCTGCTCCGGGTATCACGGTTCCTGGGTAGTCACACCAATTCTGTTTTTCTGGTGAGATCGGCTTCTCGGCGTTACTGTTATATAACGGACGAAGGCCGACTAGGATCGAAGACGTGCGAGTTTGTATGTTGTATGTTGTGTGTGTGTGTGCGCGTGTTAACGATGAACAGATTTCCTTGTTCTATACTGCAAGAGAAGCAACTCCGAGTAAGAGGGCTAGTCAAGGTGAGAGAGGGGGGTCCAGTGGACGTGGGAGGGCATGCTGCCCGGGTCATATATATCGATGGTAAACTCGCTCAACCACCAGTCCACCACCCACAAGGGGGCCCATCTTTACCGCCTGGTCTACGCTCTTGTATCGGAGGAAGTCACGGGGGTGGGTAGAAGAGAGGACTGGAGACTTGGACCGCTCCACCCTCCAGACTCCGGGTTATCATCGCAAAGGATCAAAGGAACCACGAGGTACCCTCTACAATACAGGCTATCTCCCGCTGACCACTGCCCATAACCCACAAAATCAGCAACCCACTGGGGCGGTATCTCCGCTAACCGCCTGGGATGGACATATTAGGTCTCCTTCCCTCCCCCTTCGCTTTTCCTCCATTTGTTTTTTTCCGCCTAGGGTGTGTTTATTTTAGATGTCGCACAATCCTCTTACGAGCCAGCTACCCAGGTCTCGTAAGAAACAGGCAGGTAGGATGAGGTAGAGGAGATTGAGGAGGGGGTGTCTGAAGACTCTGGAGTGGTGTAAGTTACGCGGTGTCGTCTGTTAAAGCACCTTAAGGTTGTAAGGAACAAGAGAAGAATGGGCCAAGGGGGGGCGTGTGCGAGGCGAACCCAGTGAAGCCAGCCAGACAATGCCAGCCAATCTGGAGGAACTGGGTTTGTCTTTGACTGTTTCGGGTTGGTGGTCGGGTGATAAGTTTGGGCTGTGAAGGGAAAATGGGCTGATGGAGCCTGGAGATATCGGCCGATCCCGTGGAAGGTGGCACCGGACAGGGGGCGTGTGGACTGGAAAGTGGATGCAAGGTCAAGCCAAGGGCCCGGCTTGACCCTACGGAGCAGAGCAAGACAGCAGTAGTACAGCAGTACAGCAGTAATACTTGAATGTTCTTTTTGCACTTCCGTGGAATGGAAGATGAATCTGGAATGCCAATATGCCAGTGGACCAGATCGCCGGCTCGGCTCTGAAAGTGGCTCCAGTTTAATGTGGTCTTCGGCTCACCTACGATAGTGTAGAATTTCATCAAAATCTCGAATTATTTAGAATTGGACGAGCTGATTCTCTCTCATTAATATTATTATTCTCATTTTTTTTTTTTCTTATTTTATTAGTTTTGCTGCAGCTATTGTCATTTATTTTATCTTCAGCAAACTGCGCAAACTGCTTGATTGGACTTCATCTGGATTAAGATTTTGCTCGATGGAGCTTGACGCAATTTACAGGATGCATATATCGGACGGCATCTGTATCAAGCGCAGCCTCTTCATCTGCCCACATAACAACCTGGATCTCAACGCTCCATTTCCCCCTTTTCTTTCTTTCTTTTTCTTCTCACTTCGAGGCCCTCTCCTTCATATGCAAGAAGGCACCGACGCTTCTTGTAATTTTTTTTTTCTCTCTTTCAAGCATGGCAGTCGACGCGTGGCAGCGCCACAGACTGTGTTGAAAGACAGCTAACATAAAATCACGCTGCCAATTCCTAATAAAACAGAAACAGCAGGACCATAAGGTGGTTTCAATGTTCTTTCCTTTTTCCAATGCGCGCATAGCATTGGATGAGGGCGGAGAGGGGAAGAAGAAGTGACTTTCCTTCGAGCTCCGTAGACGGCACCAGTACCTTACGAGCGACGGAGACACAGCTGGACGCGGTCATCCAAGTGCCCATTATAATCGAGCCACAATTGATTACCTGCCATGCCATTGTGCATGAGTGCTGGGAGCCTAATCCGGATGTGCCAGTGCCTGCACCGAATAGGGTTATGACTTGCGGAAACTGGAAGGACCAGACTCTGGATTCTGGACTCTGGTACTGGGTTCATGCCAGCCACGCTTTGTCAAGTTCTACTGGTATGTTTCTAGACGCACAAGCATGGCGCGCCTGTCGTTTGCCCACATTTTGCCCTGGGCATGGGCCATTCTCGATAGGACGTACCGAACGTACCATGTACGGAGGAGTACTCCGTGGACCGTGGACCGTGGGCCACTGGACCGCCCGTCCCTGCTTGTCAGCCTTGGAAAAGCAACCGCCTGCCTGGCTTCCAGGCCATGCACGGGTCGTGCTCTCTTGGGTGCTTCTGCCCGCCCCATCCCATTTCTGAGATTTCCCACCCCCTCCCATCACCTTCTGCTCCACGTTGCAGGGTTTTCCACTGCGTACGAAGCACGCCAGCTTAATTACTTCGTTGAATGTAGTAATGTACTCCGCCGTTCCACAATTCCCATTCCACAAATTCCAATTTCCTTTTTGTTGATGTAACCGTAACCTTCGTGGTCACTCTCTCTCTCACACACACACACACACACACACACACATCTCAGTGGATGTGTCTGTGTTTTGGAATCCCGAACAGAAGAGAAGACTGGGACTCGATTCCTGGAAACGGGGTCGGGCGAACATGGGGGCCTGGGAGGAGATCACAGTCAATATCACGGACCAACAGACCAGCAGACGGGGTTTTGAGAAACACCACTATGACATGGATACAGGGCGTTAGTGTCCTTGCTGGATTAGAGTTGCTTCCGGGTAAAACAGGGTCCTCTTGAAGATGTTTTCCCAAATAAACCATTTGATATCTCGAAATCACGAACACATCATGACCCCCGGATGATATGGGTTGTTCGCTCCATATCATCAATGTTTATCACCCGGTATTTCTCGGTGTAGTACCACCGCGTCTTCGTGTCCGGAGCTCTCTCCTCATCCCATAATCATCATCATCTCGAGATTCGGAGCTGAAAATAGGTTCCGCAAAGCCCCTGCTCGAGATTGAAGTGTGGTGCAGGTACGAATGTTAGGCGATTCGCTCGCATCTCCGTCTGACGGGACACGAAATTGCATCTTCAACCCCTGCCTATTATGAAAAGAGAACAAAAAAAAGTTTCCATTTTTTGCCACCGAATGCAGTGTGCTTCCAAATAGAGTTGATTGATCGGAATGAAGCCATGATGATCTATAGTGGTGGCGCGGAGTGGTGAAGCCACTAATTCCGATGATAGTACGACGTTTCAACCGATTCGACGTTCGAAAGTTCTGAATTCGCCGGCCGGCACTGGCCACACAATGCAGAGACGTCTGGCATTACTAATTTGACCAGCGTCTGGCGGTTTCGTGTCGGAGTCTTGCCAGGTGGGCTCCCAGTGGCTCCCAGTGGCTGACGGATGTTAGCGGAACGGCAATTGATAGCGTGTTCGACGGACTGGTCAGCACGATTAAAGTGGGTCGATGGTCAAATTGATACCAGGGTACAAAGTTACAACAATGGGATTTATGTTGAGCCCCGGCTTATGTTAGCGCAGGAGCTGGACCCAAGACCGAATTCATTCAAGGCTGCCCCAGAAACACTTAACCAATGCCGAGCCACTGTGGCGTCAGCCGGTCCTTCCACCAATCAATCGCTCCTAAAATTCCCGTCTTGGGGCTTCAAGCTAAACTCCTTCACTTTCTTCCGCTGCTCAATGCTCAGTGCGCTCGCCTTGTTAGTCTGGGACTCTGGGTCCATCGTCCTTTTCACCTGGCTCCTTCGATTTACTCTGTACACGCCTACGCCTGGACCAGCCGTCCACGACCTGGATCGATCCTCACGCAACAAATCCTGTGAAACATCTCATCCACCCCATCACTCCCACCCCCTAAATCTCGACTTCACCGCCTATCACGCGTTTTTCCTTGGCTTTGTTTCCTGCTAAGAATAGCAGTAAATGCCCCCCACGGCTCGAACGATTCAGGCAGTCTTGCATTGTGTTTGGTGCTCGGCTCCCTCTATCTTCCGGCCCTCCCTTCATTTCTCTGCCCTCCAACTATAATTTTATCGTACTATCCTGGATCGGCACGTCACACACCTGTCAGCCTGGTGCCATCTGCTCTCCCTTCACTGGTCGGAGGCGCGTGGAGGTTGAAGGTGAAGGTATCGAAGGTGAAAGTGAAGAAGGGTCGGCCATGCTTGAGACGCACCCAAATAGGGAAGGACAAACGAGAGCGGAGATCAACTGTCCCAAGGTCGAAGTTGCTGCGAGGTAGTTTACAAACGTACACATACTCTGTCCACGCAACGCACAACAACAAACATCCGTTTAAGTCGACACCAGCAATCTGTCTCTCTCTAGCCTTCCCTCCTTTCGCGGCCCATGCCGCCTCCGTCAGCATCCCACCGTACGGCATCTGCCCTATTCCGTCATGACACGCTCACCTTAATGTCATCAACGCTCAGAGCCGGTCCAACTCTGACTGGCGGGAGACGCCTGTCGTGGCTCCACAATGATTTCCGCCCTCGCCAGCATGGAGCGTTTCCATCTCAATTCTCCGGTCATCTGGCGAGACCTAGACCTCACCCCCATCTGATAGAGTTTGTGCGGGGAAAGAAGACGAGATCCACGCTGAAGCTATCAGATCTACCCCAGGGAGCCATCCCTCCCTTGGAAGTGCAGCCTGGCGGCGCGGAGGATGCCGGTCCCGCCTATCCGACTGTGATCTTGCAGGCTCGGCGGAACATGCAAAAGTTCGACAATTGCGTGCTACTAACCCGTGTTGGTGGCTTCTACGAGCTGTACTTTGAGCATGCTGATGAGTATGGGCCCCTGCTGCATCTCAAGGTCGCCCAGAAGAAGACGAGCGCAGGCCCAGTACCCATGGTAACGTCCATCCCTCTCTCCTCCCTATGCGCCCATCCCCCCTCTTCTAGGTCTTCTTTCCTTCCTATTTCACCCTTCTTTTATTACTTTTTCCGTTCGTATCCTACCCACCCTAATTCCCTTCCCCTACCGATGATAATGCACTCCTATTTTCCCATGAATCTCTACCCTTCACGTTTCTCGTAAAACCTGAGCTGATAAGCTCCGTCTTTCCGTAATCTCGTCCGATGTTTTCTAATGTTTCTCGGCGTTTTTACTTTCCACAGGCGGGGTTCCCCTTTTTCCAATTAGACCGATTCCTTAAGATCCTCGTCCAGGATCTGAACCGATATGTGGCCATTGCAGAGGAGTTTCCTAATAATGCCGCCGATAAGGTAAAGTCCGGGGGCCTGATGCATGACAGGCGAGTTGCCCGCATCATCACGCCAGGTACACTCATCGACGAGAACTTTATAGACCCTTATGCCAACAACTACGTAATGGCAATACACGTAACTCAGCCCCATAATCAACGCGAGCAAGGACAAGGACGAGAACAAGAACAAGAACACGGGCAAGGTCAGCAACAGCAAGAGGAAGACAGCAGAACCCCCGCGGAGATTGAGCCCGAGCCCGAGCCCAGGGGGATCATATCTGACCCAGGTCAGGTAGCATTGACCCCGGATTTGAGAGGAGCTGACCTTCCCCTCTCCGCGCCCAACGGAGAACGCCTCTCTCTCGGTCTAGCGTGGCTCGACTTGTCAACGGGTCATTTCTTCACTCAGTCCACAAATCTGTCGTCACTATCTTCCATTCTCTCGCGAGTCGGTCCGCGTGAGGTGATTCTGGACAAGAATTTGCAGTCCAGCGAAGATCATGACATTTTCACAACCCTTGCGGAGGATAGGTACGTGATAACGTATGCCTCCCAGGGCGACCGTAGACTGGAGCTGGATGAGTGGGCTCCTATGCTAGAGTCTGAGCTCCCTCGAGACGCTCGGGATGCCTTCACAGAAGGTGAGGTGTCGGCCGGCAGCCTACTGCTGCGATACGTAAAAGATCGGCTGCAGGGTATGAGCATGAAGCTCCAGCCGCCGCTGCGCCACGAGAATATGCACATTATGAGCATTGACAAAAACACCCTGAGAGCCCTCGAGATCAAGCAGACGATCCGTGATGGCTTTTTTCGTGGGAGCTTGCTACATGCCATCCGCAGAACGGTGACCAAGAGCGGCGCTAGGCTGCTTAATGAATGGCTGAGTATGCAAACAAAACCCAATTACCTCTTTTCCTCTCGCGGCTGGTCTCGACTCTACTTCTCCGGCAGCTCTTAAGTGCAGATGAAACATTAGTTTTGGCTAACTAGTAGTTTCTTCTTCCCTTTAGGTTCACCGTCCACTTCTCTCGACGTTATTACCGGTCGCCAAGATCTCGTTGCACGATTTATCGAGAATGAGACTCTCCGAGAGAACATCATACTTCTGCTCCGGAGGTGTCATGACTCGCAGCGTCTTGTCCAAAAGTTCGCCCTTGGTCGAGGAGACGCGGACGATCTCGTCGCGCTGGCAAACACGATCCGATCCACCGAACACATTGTGCAGCTTCTCGAGGAACATGTTCAACAGAACGTCGACGATACCGATGGCGCCTCTCCACCGGAGAATGACTGTTTAACTACAATGGCCAGCCGAATTATTCTGGATGGACCCCTCCAACTCGCCAACCGAATCAAGGAGGCCGTTGATGAAGAAGGAATCGTCTATCGGCATGAAATCCAGGAGACGGAGGCTAGCCAAATGCTGGCTCTGGCCCAAGAAGTCGTCAGCTCAGAAGGCACCAATGAGGACACAGCCGTGCTCCCAAAGGCTAGCAAGTCGAAGAAACGCGCAACCAGCCTGAGAGAGTACTACGGCGAGGACAACGAGCCATGGGTCATGAAACCCAACGCTAGCCCCTCGCTCAAGAAACTTCACCGGCAGCTCGACAAGCTCCTTATTGAAAAAGTTCAGCTCGGCGAAACCCTACGCGATCGGCATAACGCCCAGTCGCTTAGCCTCCGTTGGAGCCCTGGCCTAGGCCATATCTGCCACGTGAAAGGGAAAGACTCGCGCAACCTCGCCGACCTCAAGACGTTAAGCTCGAGCCGCTCAACTCGCTCGTTCCACGTCCCGGAGTGGACGGACCTCGGACAGCGCATCGACCAGACGCGCCTCCACATTCGGAACGAAGAACAGCGCGTCTTCCAAGACCTCCGCGAGCGAGTCGTCCTCAACCTTGTCAAGTTGCGCCGCAACGCGGCCGTGCTCGACGAGCTTGATGTGACAACCTCCTTCGCCGGCTTGGCGCTCGAGCAGAATCTAGTGCGACCGCAGCTCAACAACTCGACGGGCCACACCATCATGGGCGGCCGGCATCCCACCGTCGAAGGAGGCCTCCACGAGCAAGGCCGCTCCTTCATGCGCAACGACTGCCTCGTCGGATCCCCTTCCCACGGGCGCGTCTGGCTCATCACGGGCCCTAACATGGCGGGGAAGAGCACTTTCCTCCGCCAGAATGCGCTCATCACTATTCTCGCGCAGATAGGCTGCTACGTCCCGGCGTCCTTCGCTTCTCTCGGCATCGTCGACGCCATCTTTAGCCGCGTGGGATCGGCGGACAATTTATTCCGGGACCAGAGCACCTTCATGGTTGAGATGCTGGAGACGGCACATATCCTCCGCGCGGCGACGCCAAGATCGTTTGTCATCATGGATGAGATCGGGAGAGGAACCACGCCGGAGGACGGCACTGCCGTGGCGTATGCGGCTCTGCATCATCTTGCGACGGTGAATCGGTGCAGGACGCTCTTTGCGACGCATTTCCATGCCGTGGCTGACATGGCGGCGGAGGCGGGCTTGTGTGGTAGTGATGAGCAGAAGGAGGGCAAGAAGAAAAGGAAGAGCAAAGGGACAGGGCAGCCTGATGCTGAAGGGTCGGTCGTGGAGATGTATTGTACTGATGTGGAGGAGGATGGGCTTGGTGGCTTCGTCTACGTGCACAAGTTACGCAAGGGGATTAATCGGCAGAGCCACGCGCTCAAGGTTGCGAGGCTGGCAGGACTGCCGGAGGCTGCTATCGCGACGGCGAAGCAGGTTCTCGAGAAGACTATGGCGTAGGGACCTCTGGGAAAGGGATAGGGGCATAAAAGGAGACATCTAAGCTACTCTACGGGACTACAACATCTTTGGAGGGACCGAGTTTGTTGAAGATGACGGAGGAAAAAAACTAGACGGCCTGTATTATGAACCACTTTTGTAATGTTAGCCATGATACCCTTTCATATAATAAGAAAACTTCGAAGGCATGACAAGATAGAAAATTGCGTCTGTGTAGTCATAGGGTGGTGATGTTTGGAGTCATCAAATAGAGATTCAGGGTTAAAAAGCTCTTGATTGTTTGGATTATAATCATCCGGACGCGGAAACAAGGAAAAATTGAACGAGGCGAGCAGAAAAAGAAAGTGTAGACACTTACGTTTTGCAGAGTGCAATGCTGGTGACGCCTCGGATGGACAATCACAGTTTCACAGCACGTCAAAAGGGGGAGCAAAAGGGGGGGAAGCTCATGGGTTGGGCCGGATTGAACTTCAGTTAATTCCGACTCGGGGTACTACTTTTTGTATCCCATGGATTTTTGATCCACATTTTTGACCAATTAAGGCCAAGTCCAAAATCATTCCCATTTCGTCGTTAAAACTGATGCAACCTCCCAGTTACCGAATTTATTGGATTTAGTCGCTGCGAAGAACATAAAGTTAGCCAAGAACCACTAACCGATGCAAAGTGGACAGTATCAGGTCAGATAAAACTTACAAGAGACCGCCGAAGCCGCCCTCGTCCTCGGACTCCTCCTCCTCAGACTCCTCCTTCTTAGCCTCCTCCTTGGCGGCGCCAGCGTCGGCACCAGCGCCGGCGGCAGGAGCAGCAGCAGCGTAGGCATCGGGGTTGGCGATGCGGTCCTTGAGCTCCTCAATCTCGGGCCAGCCGTACTCGGTGACAACAGCGACGGCAAGAACCTTCTTGTAGCCGTTGATGAGGGAGTGGGCGATGGAGGGGAGGGTAGGGAAGTTAGTGGCGAGGGAGATGGTGGCGATGGTGGTGATGGCCTTCTGGAGGGTCTCGAGGAGCTGCTCGTCGGTGATGTCGAGCACGGAGGGGGGGAAGACGTTGCCCTGGTCGTAGACCTGGACGATGCCGAGACCGTAGGTGAAGGGGGAGATGTTGAGCATGTTGAGGAGGGTGGCCTCGGAGGGGCCGACCTTGGTGTTGGCCTCGACGAGCTTGAGATCGGTGGTGATTTCAATGGTACCACGGGCAATCTTGGTGGGGACACCGAGGGCCTGGAAGAAGGAGGTCTTGCCGGGTTCCATGCCGGTGTTTCCGGCGGGGACCCAGACGTCGACGGGGGCGACGGCACCGGCACGAGCGGGGGCGGCAACTCGGTTGTTGAGGATCTTGTCGCGGACCTCCTTGAGGTCGGCGTTGGTGAAGACGAAGCCGACGTTGCCTCGGACGAAGGGGAGGAGGCGCTCGTAGTCGGGGAGGTCAGCGATGAAGGTACGAAGAGCACGTCGGATCTACAGCGCACATCATCGTTAGCAGCACACAAAAAAAAAAAGAAGACAAAAAAAGTTCAACGAAATAAAAGGGCACGGTTTCGGCGCCCAAGTCCGGGACTGGGGCGGAAGCTTTGGGATCGCGTCACACCCAATCGCCCGGACGAGTCGCATGGAAAATGGGACAATGCTTCCAAACATACCATGGTGTTCTTTCCCATGAGAACGACACCCTCACCACGGAGGGACTGTCGGATCTCGTGCATCTGCTGAGAGCTGACATTGTCGACGGAGACGATGAAGACCGACTTGTACTCCTCCAACAAGCCCCGGAGCTTCTCGAAATAAGCGGCCTTGTTAGTTTTGCCCCCCATATCTTCTTGTGAATGAAGGCAGGATATTTAAGGGCAAAAGGGTATGGGATTAATGGGAAGGGAGAACTGGCGACGTTCTCTTGAAGATGATTTTTTGGAATATGTGAAAGAAGTGAAAGTTCAAAATTCCCAACCTTCGGTTCCAGGCCTGCGAGTTTTTTTCACCCAAAAAAAGCTGTGTGCTGAGAGAGAGCGAATTGCTCTTAGGGCATGTTTGTACCTAGGCCGAATCGGGGATAGCGCGGGGGAATTTCGGGTGAAGGACTCGAGCTGTGAGCGAAGAATCAAAATCTAAGGAGGTGGGGCTGTCGAGGTACATTTTGTAATGTATCTTTTTTTTTTCCTGAGCTCAGAATGATGAAAGTGGGATGAGATGAGAATGAGATTTGATGCTTCCGTGAGAGAAGAGCTTCACTTATTCGACCTCGCGGTGGGCTAAGAATTGGAGGACCTGAATTGGTATGATACATCGCTAGTTGCATATCTACCTCTATTCGTCTGCTCTGTCTGGCCAAAATGAGGATTCCGTACAGCTGCGTCACCACCCACGGCGAGCTTCTCTTCGCATCGCGAGGCGGCCAGATCCAAGTCTTCAACCTCGAGGGAGGCGCCCCCCTGTCAACATGGAACCACCCCGACGCCGAGAAGGAAGCTCTCGCGACCCAAAGCGCGGGGAAGAACAAGGCTGAAGAGAAGCCTCAATTGGGCCCTGTCGAGGAGCCTCCGGCGAAGAGGCAGAGAGTAGAGCAAGGCGCCGATGTCAATGAGGGTGATGCGCCCGCGCAAGAAACGGCAGAGGGCGAAGCGGATGCAGGCCAGAAAGGGGAGTCAAAGAAGAAGGACAAGAAGAAGGACAAGAACGCCCATGCGAATGTCCATCGAGATCCCATATCCAAGCGGCCGGATGTGCACGTCATCGTGCTGCTGTCCATATCACAGGACGGCAAGTATCTCGCCGCCGTCTCCGGCCACGACAAGACACTATGGGTCTTCGAGCATGACGGGGCCGGAACTCTGAAAGAACTGAGCAAGAGGCCCATGCCGAAGCGGCCGTGCGCCATCGCCCTCTCCAGTGACAGCCGCGCCATCATCCTAGCGGACAAGTTCGGCGATGTGTACGCCCTACCCGTGGACCCGGACCGAGTCTCGCTCTCGGGAGAAACCGTCTCGCTCTTCGTCAAGCACCAGCGCGACTCCAGCAAGCCGGCTGCCAACGAGTACACGGTGCATTCCAAGATTAACCTGCGGAGTCTCGAGATGCAGCACCGCGCTCTCGAGAAGAAGGGCAAAGAGCAGAAGGGTGCCAACGACGAGGGCAATGCTGCTTCTTCCGAGGAGCCGGCGTTTGAACATACTCTTATCCTCGGACACGTCTCCATGTTGACGGATCTCTTGATCGCTGAATATCAGGGGAAGCACTACATCGTTACGTGTGATCGTGATGAGCACATTCGCGTGTCGAGATACATACCGCAGGCCTACGTTATCCAGTCATTCTGTTTAGGCCACAAGGAGTTTGTCAACTCCATTGCCGTGTCGGAGACGCATCCCAATCTGTTAGTCTCCGGGGGTGGGGACGACACCCTATTCGTATGGGACTGGCCGACAGGCCGACTACTATCCCAAGCGGATCTCCTTAGCCAGGCTCGTCTGGCCACCGACGTGCAACATGTTGCAGTCACAAGGATACGGTCATCCCCGTCTGGCATCTTTGTAATTTGTGAAAGGTAACAGGATACCACCTCTCCACCCTGCGTATTTACACTTAGAAGCTAACCTTTCTTCTTCTTCCCTCTTCCAGCGTCCCGGCAGTCTTCCATTGGAACCTCTCTGCCGAGGGCAAGCTCCAACACTGCAAGATCATTGCGCTGCCCAGCAACCCCCTCGATATCGCCATATCAGCCACCGCCGAGCCCAAGCTCATCGTCACAGTCGACCCCAGCGGCTCTGAATCATCCCTAAGCCTGATAGCCTACACTCTCGCTAGCGGCGAGGCGTGGCTCCTCCCTACGAACACGTTTGACGAGTCGGCTCCCGAGGGGACGGTGCTGGATGTGTCGCCCGAGCAGATCAAGAAGCTGCTTTACACGGTTGAGAGCCTCCGCAAGAGGGGCGCTCAACCCGGCGGCGAGGCGGATGAGCAAGAGAAGTAGAGCATATGATTCATGTAGAAGGCCGAGGAATATGAAGACTACATAGCAGTTGTAAAACCACTCTCGAGATGAAACGGTATACACCATACAATCAACAATCACATAGACAACGTCTTGTAATGCAGGATCTTTTTAGAGGAAGGGGAAAAAAGTCTACATCAAAAGCAGAAGGAAAACGTGAAAAACAAAGATTAATTCCAGTCGAAGAAGGCCCTCTATGTCCGTAAACGCCAGCCCTTGCTCGTTCCATCCACAGAAAATATTATCAGCTAGAAACAAGCTGATAAGCCATTGCGACATGAGTTGTCTTTTTTGATGTCACATCGCAAAGCATGCTACCCCCCTTGTGCCAAAGAAAAGAAAGAAAAGGATCCCTGCCATCTCCTGCTCCCTTTATTTTCCCATCCTCTGCTTGAGGAGGTTGCCAAAATATGCCACAGCCCTGCTTCCCTCCTGCTACAACTCTTTTAACACCATAAAAAACTTCGCTTCCATGCGCCAAGGGGTGGGGAAAATGAACTCTCTTGCAGACGTTAATGAAAGAAAAATCAGGTCGTGATGTTGTTGAAGTAGTTCGTAGATGAAGGGGGAAGCTGCAGGTGTTGTTTTAACAACCTGGAGCATTTCGGCTTAAAACGTCGCGGTTTCCACGAGTCATCGAGGCCTCGGGGATATATACCGAGACTCGTTTAATAGGAACATGACGCTGCATCTGCGAAACAGCGACAGGGGAGAATGGGCGAAGGTCACTTCACGCAATCTAAGAAGAAAAAAAATAGATGGGCATCACGCATAAGAAGCGATTACTGGGATGCGCACTGGACACGCTCAGCGTGAGGATGACCATCATCATCGTCCTCGTCCATGGCGCCGTTTCCGAAATTGCGTCCAGAACCTCCTCGCTGATCAACGTCTTCTAGGCTAGCGCCCTCGGTCATAGCGTCGTTAGGAGGGATGGTCTCAAGGGCCGGAGATGGTAGCAGTTGACGCAAACCCTCGAAGGCGTCCGGGTTGTCGGTCCAGTTCTTGTCGGGGAACTTGACGCCGAAGGAGATGTACATGTTACCCATGTCGTGGTGTCGGGGAGAAGGCATACCCTGGCCCCTGAGCATCTTTACGGTTCCTAGAGAGCATCACTGTTAGCAGGCTGCAGGAGAAAGAGCTTGATCGACAGATGTTTCTTTAAAGACTTACCAGGAGAAATGGACTCTCCAGGGAGAATATCGACGCTGAGCCAGCGGTCGTCGAGATGCTCGATGTAAATGGTTCCACCGGCAAGGGCCGTGACGAGGTCAATCTCGCACTTATAGAAAAGGTCATCGTCCTTGCGGGTGAAGCGGGGATGGGGCTTCTCCTCAATCTCAAACACAACGTCTCCGGCCTGGATGCCGGGGGCCTGGTCACCCTCACCGCGGAACTCGACCTTGGTGCCGCTGCGGACACCACGGTCGACGTGGACGTGGAGGACCTTCCTATCGACAATGGTCTTCTTGCCGTGGCACTGCTTGCACCTATCCTTCTCCTTGATGATCTCACCCTCGCCGTTGCAGTCGGGGCACATGGTCTGGAATCGCTGGATCATGGGGCCCATCTGGCGCATCATGGTCTTCACGCCATGGCCATCACATCCCGAGCAACGCCGCACGGCGCCCTCCTTGCCGCCAACTCCGTTACACTTGGGGCAGACGATGGACCGCTGGAGCGCAAGCTTGGAAATCTTGCCCTTGTAGATATCTTCGAGGGAGACCTTGTGGGTATGGTGGATAGTGCGTGCCTTGGGAGGACCCCTGTTCTGCATGCCGCCGAACATGCCTCCAAGACCGCCACCGAAACCGCCGCCACCTCCACCGAAGAATTGTGCGAAGAGGTCCTCGGCAGCCATACCGCCACCTGCAGCACCGCCCTCGAGGCCGGCCTCACCATATTGGTCGTAGATAGATCGCTTCTGGGGATCGGACAGGACTTCGTAAGCGGAGGAGATTTCCTTGAATTTGTCCTCGGCGGCGGGGTTGTGGGCATTCTTGTCTGAGAAAAAGAAAAAAAAAAACCAGTCAGTATATGTCGAGCAACCAAAGGAATGGGCCACCATCGACCATCGGAGTTAAGCAGGGTTCGGAGAACATACCAGGATGGTACTTTAAGGCACCCGCCTTGTAGGCCTTCTTCAACTCCTGGTCATTGGCCTCTGGCGAAACCTATAGGGGCAAGTTAATACTTTTTTCTTTTCCAGGAAAAGATCATGGATCCTAGGACAGGCAACAACTTACACCGAGGAGGTCATAGAGTTTCGTTTCCTTGACCATTTTGATTCTGTGAAATTGGAATTATTCGACTTCGTCGGGTGTGTATCGACTGTGGAGATAAGTCTGGAAGACAGGAGGAGAATCTGTCCTACAAATCGTAGATGCCGAGTTAGTTGAACGCTCTTGAGATGTGAGATGACAGGATAGGTTGGCGACGATCGACGCTGCTAAGATGAACCTGCAGGTGGATGGTTTGGGCAGGCAATGGAAAGAAGAGGGAGGACCTAGGAAGGGGGGAGTGGCTGCCTTACTGGCTGACGCGAAGATAAGGTAGGATAGAGTATTACGGCCTTTCTGGCACACTCAAACTTCGGACTCGGGGTCTGGAGGGGATGTCGAGAGCTCGAGATTCGGGGTAAGGGGACTCTACGTTGAAATAGGGTATCGGACTTCTCGATGAATGCGCACTCGCTGCTTTGAGGTGAGACAAGACGTCGATAAGAGAGGATCGATGCTTCGAGTATGACGAGGGAGCGGGATCTGAGAAATGCGGAAGAAGTAGGAATAGTAGGAAAAGAAAAGAAAAAGAGGAAAGTTTACAGTGTTCGGCTTTTCTTTGGAGAAGAAGAAGGGAAATTCACGCTTTGCAAAGCCAAGGGGCGAAGTGGAAAGGCTGCAAGCCAAAAAGTTGGTACAAATATTTTTCGGATTTGCTCTGCGCCGGCTTCTGGCTTTTTTTTTTTGCTTTGCTCCAGCTTTTGGGGGGAGACAAAAAAAAAGAAGCGAAGAAGGGGTACTTGTGAATGAGCACCGAGAATAGTAAGGAGAGTACCTAATCAAAGGTGGGATGTGTGAAAATACCCAGTGCCAGGCCAGTCGATGTACTATGGTACACTGCACCCAGACTCCAGTACTGAAGTACTGTTCATCAATGGAGATGCCCACGGAGACGGAGGGCAACAGAAACCGCCTTCGCGCTTCTGGTGTCTCCCAGATTCCAGATGCGCCAACATTGAGCCAATCATTGCGCCGGTAGAAGCGTCGACCGAATTCCATGTCAGCCCCATGGAAGAAGGTGGAAAGGCATCGATCCGGTGCCCACAGTGGCTAGGCTGTCAAGCGAATACTTTGCTGACTACGAAATGTACGAAATGGAGCACTAGTTGGGGCCATGGAGCATGGCAACGTTGGAACCTGCAGGTATCCCGTTAACAAGGCAACCCCCTGTCCGTGCCTAGCCCCTCCCTGGACCTCCCATCAGTGGAGACTTGACCCGCATTAGGAAAGCCCGGGGAGACGAGACACAGCACCTCATAGGCCGTAAATACTACCTTGGTCCTTGCGTCAACAAAAGAATGTAAACTACGAAGTAAGTTAAACTAATAAGTGAACATGTCCGAAGTATAAGTGCACTTGTGCTGCATCCACTACGAAACCCGCCACGAATGTCGGAGTGATGATAGTGCGTAAATGTCGTTTACAAATCCTCGGTGACAATGTTCCCAGGTTGTCATTTTTGGGAGCCGTCTGAAGTCTCTTAGTGGAGCTCGACCTCGGTTTGGCTGCGAATCCACCCGTCGATTTGCGCGGGGGAAGAGGGGCGGATTCTTTAGAGTCCTCTTCGGTCCCGGGATATCGCGAGAAAGAGAATGAGAGAAAGAGAGGACCAAAAAGAGCACCCATATCAGAGTCAGGGATCAGCGCTTGTAGATATAATTTGATAGGAGTGAGACGAGATACCAACTCCCAATTTACCCTTAAGAGGCTGAGATATCAATTGAAGCTGATACTGAAACAACAATGAATGTTGACGCCAGTCCAGTAACCTGATAATACAATTGTAAGCCAAATGGGCTGTGCTTCGTCATTCCCTTTCTCGGTCAGCACATTCGTCCGGCCCTCAACCGTTGAACCCGGGGTTTTGGCTCCAATTGTCTTTTTCTTGTAGATTTCTCCAACTGGCAATATCTACGGTCTGGTGCGTGCTAATAACCGCTTAGTTGACCTCCTTGCTTACTTCCCTTCCAAGAATTGATGGTTTGTGATATTCTAGATTACCTGTAGCTTGGTTTTGGCTTCCCCATTTCGATCAGCTTGGAGATTCGTGAGACCCTGACCTTAGCCTACCTCGTCGGGTGCGTCAAACGTTCTGGGTCCTAGACTACCTCTGACTCAACATACTTGGTTCAGATAGCAACGGTTGCCTAACATCGGCTGGCTGGGTGATTGATGGATAGGCAAACAGTATACCTGTGTATTACTAGATTTTCTAGATTGATCCATCAGTAATATTACGAAGCACACATGAGGTTAGAACGAGGCATGCATCCAAGCGATCAATTGATGCATTCGGATGTCGTTGTTGTCTCTCAAACGAAACCCTGCCGCATGCCAGGCTGCGCATTTCTAAGCCTCCATATTCCAGTTTCCCTCCCCCCAAGTTGGAATATCAGCCGGCTTGGCTAGACGAACTCGACTTCAATGTTGGCTATCGCCACCATTCCAAAGCGACAGCCCTCCAACTCCGAGACCGCAAACAACCATTTTCCCCCTCCCCACTCCAACCTAAGTCGGAGATGGCACTTTTTTCCAAGCTTGGCAAATACGGAAAAACGCAAGCACGGAGTACAAATAAACTCCGAAGATCAATTTCTGTGGAAAATCGCACCGCCGTATCACTTCAAGTGATAGGTCGTGATCTTGGCCTTTATTACCCCGTTGCTTTTTAGCGGCTTAGGATTCGAGAGAGGACAGGAGCAAAAAAGTCATTACGGCTCAGCCGCACATCTTTCTCAAGATGCAAACAGTCAATGACAATTCACCCGTAGAAAACGTTGAAATGAGAAAGCGCCATTTATTACTCCTCGAAATCTATAACACACGCACAAGCACGTAGAATCGAACTCCCTTTTTGAAATTCGCTTTCCGCCATGTCAATCCATTGACCCCTTCTACAACCATGACCTGTCAAACATAAAACAGACAAGAAATTAAAAATGAGACTCTGCTAATGCACAATAACCCCAAGCCTGGATGATGACGGAACAAAAAAAAAAAAATAAAAAATAAAAAGGGCATTGGTATCCCCAATTAATCGGGAACATACACAGGAGCAAGTACTTGTACAGGACATTAAGAAGAAACGAACAAGAAAACACAAAACCTCTCCCTTTACGTTTGGTTTTTCTCACAGAAGGAGGTTCCGAAGAGATGGGCTGGCACTCGCTCCACTGGGAGGCCGATTCTCGGGCGGCCGCTGCGGAGGCGGCGGAAGAATGGGCGGTGACTCCCTGACATACGGACCACTCTCCCTGGCAACCGGCTGACTGGAATGCAACGGCGGGCTTGTATGTGTGGGGCCGTATGGGGGCCCTTGGCGGAGAAGGCCCTGCGAAAGATGATCCGGTCCTCGTGGTGGGAGTGACGCGGGAGGTGGGGGCGGCGGTGTCCCATTCGGCAAATGGTGAGGCACTACAGGGTGGGGATGATAAGGGTGCATGTAAGGGTTAGGCGGAGGCGGTACTTGGGGACCGCCGGATCGTAGAGGTGAAGGCGGTAGTCCATTAACAAGAGGCTGGCTCATATGGCTCCCATGGTGGATCGAAGAGACAGGAGGGGGCGGGGGCGGTGGTGGCGGTGGCGCCGAGAGGGGAGGGGGTCGAAGCGCAGATAAGCCCATGATGGGGCTACGCTGGTGCCGATCTCCGTTGAGATGGCGAGCGGGAGGGCTATGCTGGGTAGCGGAATGGCTATGCCAGTCGTCGTATGGGGCAGCAGGTGGTGGGTACTGATGCATCGACGGCATCGGAGGCGGACCTGCGAGATGGTTAATGTGAGGTGCCGGAGGCGCCTGAGGAGGCGGCGGCGGCGGAGGTGGTTGTTGCTGCTGCTGCTGCTGCTGCTGCTGAGGCGGAGGCGGCGGCGGTGGTGGGGCTGGTTGGACGTGCGAGGCCACCATCGGAGGACCAATTGGTGCAGGGGCATGTGGTACTGGTGACGGTGAGGAAGTCCAAGGGAATCGATGATGAGGATCCGCCGGCCGCTGCGGAGGCGGGCTGGCGAGAGCAGGGAGGTGAGCCGGCGCGGCTTGAACGGGGGCCGAGGGCTGGTGATGAGATACCATCGGGAGATGGACCTGCTCCGGTGGTGGAGGAGATTCTCGAAGCGGCTTCGGCTTCCGGTTCGTCTTGTGGCACTTGTGGCATTGGAACTTCCTCTGTTCCATGAACCTCTTCGCCTCTTCACTAAGTTCGTCATGATATCCATTGGCCATAGATTCTCCGGTCCCATCATTGACAGGCCACCATTTGGGGCTGACGTCGATTCCGCATGTGACGCAGATCTTGCTGCCGAGGCTTTGCGAAGTCGGCACTGGTTCGTTCGCCTGTCGCTGGCTGGACGTGCCATTAGCAGCGAGAGTTGTCGTAGATGCCCGCCGAACCGCCGTATTGGTGGAACTGCCGGTAACCTTTGCGGCCGCCGTAATCAAATTGGCCTTTCGGACGGTATCAGTGATTGACCTGTCGGCCTGCTTGAAGTTCTGGGCGTAAAGCTGCAGGGCGTTGAGTCCGCTTTCATCTACAATGTCGTACATAGGATGGACAATCGTCTTCATAGGAGTGTGATCCTTGCACCAGATAGCCGCAGACATAACTCCACTCTCGCCATTGATCGTCACAATATGGAATTGATCACGCCGGGAGCCCTTGATTGGCGTAATATCGAAGCCCAAAACAAAGCCGTTTTGTCTGGCACACTCGACATGAACTGCAACGACTGCATTAGCAAAGTTTACAATGAGAGAGCATACTCGGGTGGGCCTTGGACTTGGGGAGTGGGAAGAAGGAAGGAAGAGGAGGAGAGGGGGGGGGTGTCTTCTTACCAGGAGTTCGACACTGATGACACGAGACACAGGCCCCGACTACCTTGTTGCAGACAACGCAAACATCCTCAAAGCGCGAGCGAGGTATTGATGCGATCCCTTCAGCTGGAACTAGAGCCTCACCGGATCCGAATTTCACCTCTGGTGTCCAGATGGCACAAGTGACATGCACCCAGTTATTGTCTGCTGTTCGCTTCAGGGGTTCACGTGGGTTGACAGGCTTATTTGCCTCCTCTTGCTTCTTTCGGTAGTACTCGGCAGCCTTCTGAGCCTGTTCTCGCTCAGCTTTCTCACGGTCTCGGTCCTTGTCTGACTTCTTCTTATGAGTGCTGGAAGATTTAGGCGGACCCACAAAGTCATGCTCAGTGTGTTCAATCGGGCAAAGAACACATTTATAATTCTATACACATCATCAGTCAGTAAGGGTGCCCCATTGTAGAGTTGACAGAAATGAAACAAGATGAGACAGCCACTTACGAGGGAAACTTGAGGGCTTCTGTCATTTGTACACGTATCGCAGATCCACTTGCCAGGTTTCGTGAGAACGCGGGAGTCGACGACACCATAGCAATTGCGATGCACAGACAGGCGGCATTCTCGGCAGGTCAGAAGTTGATCGCCCCGTGGTTCCAACTGGCTGCAAATCGCGCAGGGCAGTGTCCTCGGTTCGGGCATGACCACTGGAGGCGTCGCACGATTCTTCTCGGAGGTCTTCTCCTTCCTCTTCGAGTTCGTATGCGTGCCGGACTCATTCCCGCTGCGATCCTCGGATGCACCCTTGAGCTTCTTGCGAGGAGGCTCGCCATTCTGAGCGCCGTTGGTTGCATTTCCGTTGACTTGGGCAGAGCCAGGCTCTGAGGCAGGTGGTGAAAGGCTAGGCAAATCCTTGGCGGGGATCAATTCCTTCAAGAGCTCCTCATCTTGCTTGCGCTTCCAGGCACGGCCACCGGCTTGCGCGACCTTCTTGGCCATCTCTTCGATATCCTCCCACTGAATACCATAGCGACGCCACAGCTCGGCACAGCGTCGGCAAAGAGCAGCCACGTATTGATCTTTCTTGTCCTTGCCGGATGACTTGCCGCCTCCTTCCGAGGCGCAAGCGGTCACAGGAGCCCTGCGCCATTGGCGAGAAGACTTGGTCGAGCAGAACTTGCAAATGAAATTCTTCTTCCTCTGCATGGCCTTTTCCGAATCAAAGGCAGAATCGTCTAGGTCGTCTGCAAGGTCTTCCTGGAGCTTATTGGCTTCTTCCTCGGCCTTCTTAGCTTCCTTCCTTCCTTTCCGACCCGAGTAGTCGCCCCAAATTTGCTTTCCGCGCTCGGTCTTCTTCCAGATGTAGTAATGTCGTACAATATCGCCATGTTTACGAGTCTTGACATGTTTGGTAATCATGTGAAGTTCGGAACCATATTTCATCACGGCCTCCTCGAATTTCTTCTGCTCGGCGGGCGTGAAATTGGGCTCCTTGAACACTTCGACCTCGGTCTTCGAGAGGTCGTCGAGAGCCTTTTCCACATCGAAGTTGTGCCTGTAAAGCGTGACCAGTGCGATATTCTGAAGGTTAGTGGAATGTTCGGGAACGCCCAAGGCCGGCGCCATCGCCATAGCCTTCTTGGTATAATCTTTGAGAACGTCATCGGGGAGTGTCTCTTGGGACGGTGGTTTCCACAGAAGTGTAGAGGTACACTTGGGATCATTCTCGTCATGATCCTCTCCTCGTACGGTGTACCCGGGTGGTTCGTCCTGGATGTATTTTGGTCGGGTTTCTCGACGGATCTTCTGGGCCTCGAGAGCAGCCTGGTTCTCCTTGGACAGCTTGGAATCCTTCCTCCCTGTCCTCTTGAACTCGATGACTGGTTCGTAGATCACGGGCCGGCCGGGCCAAGGTAAAACGGTTGCTTGGTGCCTCGGGCCAAGACGCGAGCTTGCGCGAGGATAGATACGATCGTCGTAGTCCAAGGCATCCTCTACCTTGCAATGCTGTCCAAGATACCGATAGGGCCACAGACTGGCCTGGTAGATTTGCTCGGGAGTTCCTTGAATGTGCGCATCGTCATCTGCCGGTAGCGATGGAGTACCAGTCTGAGTGGTAGCGGCGACCTCCTCTTCCTCGTTGAACTCGTCATCGTCAAAATCGAAGTCATTGTCAAGGATACTTGGAGTGTTTCGGGCGTGAAGCTTCTTCTCGTGCTTCCGACTACATGCTGCGCACGACCATCCAAATCCTCTCGAGGGCTTCTTGGTGACCGGAGGTGTCACACAGTTCATATGGTAGGTCAGCTTACAGTCGGAGCAGTCGACCGAATCATTACTAAGCCCCCACACGGTTAGTAAGCAGAGCTCAGCCATTCGTTGTTACCGCGACCAGGAACAAGGACCGCCCCGACCGAGACGCGGGTCCAAGCGACAGGGGAGGCAGGCAGGCAGACAAGGGACCAGACGAGACGGCGGGCGACGGAAGGGCCATTTGTGATGGTGGGGTGGGAACCGCTGAGACTCGAAACGGATATTTCGCCCAGCACTGCCAAAAATATGGGTAAAGGACAAATGAGAGGGTTAAGAAGAAGAAAAAAAAAAAACAAAAAGAAAAAAAAAACAAAGTATTGAAACTAACCTTGCACAATAAGCTCCGCACTTCTTGCACAACTTCATCGCCGAAGTAAGCTCCTTCCCACGGCCCTGCTCCACCAAGACAAATTTCCACCGCTCATCAAGTACCTTCTTAACCTTTTCGGGCACATTGATGATGGAGGTCGTCGGAATAAGATCGTAATTTTTCTGGATGTATCGATCATAGAGTTTTTCGTACCAGAAACAATCCGGAGTCTTTCGATATTCGTCCAGGCTTTTTATCTCCGATCTGTGGCGAATTTCACACTTTCCACGCAATGCTGAGAGAGGACTTATATCGGAATGCATCGTCGCAAACAGGAGCCGAGTATCCTGTACCCGGCGACCAATGTCTTTGGGCCGATAATACCAGTTGATGCGCAGCGCATCGACAGGACCCGATGCATCATTCTCAATATGGAGAAATTCCATGATGCGACCGATGTAATACGGTTCGCCAGGAGGTTCACAGACAAGGTAGACATGATCTATTGCGATGGTGTTAGTGGGTATTTGCACATTTGCTTTGCTGGCCTTGTTGGCCCTAGTTGAGCTGGGTTGGGCGCCAGGGGGGGCGGAGGAGGGGAGGAACCAAGGGAGAGGGAGGGGGGCGTTGACTGGTCACCAGGGGGGTGCGGGCTGTTATTATTCATCACCTACCGTTTGGAGCCAAAACCGTTCCATCATCTGCCACCAGCTTCCCACCATTGGTGATCGCGTTACAATTGGTAAAACTCAGCATATTAGTGGAAGGAGTTTGCGATGTCGTCTGTGATGCCGATCGCTTGGAGGGACCGGAAGAAGACGCCGATTGTGTAGAGTGAGCCGGGGTCGAATTGCCAGATTGCAATGCTGCTGACTTGCGTTTCTTTGATGAGGATTGGGATGTGCCGGTACTACCGTTTGCACCGGAGTTTGGCACAGATTGAGAAGCTGAGTTTTGCTCCTTGGTACCATTTTGAAAGGCGGCGCCTTTGGTCTCGTCAGTTCCAGATTTTCGCGAGGCAGCGCTAGCCCGCGGAGCCTCTGATGGTGTGGAGGCGGAAGAGTTATTTTGTCGTGTCAATTTCTTAGATTCGGCCTCCTTTTTAGGAGGGTAATAATCAAAGTCAAGGTCCATGTCCTTGTCCTCAGCGTAGTTGGGCCGAGAATTGCCAGTCCGATTTCTCGACCGCGTGCCATATGGCGAGGATGACGATGTGTCTGCCACGCCATCCTTAATAGGTGCCTCGGCACCTCCTGAACTTGCTTTGCTCATTGATTGCTGCGGTGCTCCAGAAACAGCCTCCAACTCGGTGGATTTTGTATCCTATCGCGAAATTTCGGGGTTAGGGTATAAATTTTTGGGGGCTAGGGAGGAGAGGACTGGGACATGTGAGAGAATCGGTGTTGGCGTGGCACCGCGAGGGCTGGATTGCCAGGCGTGGGAGAGGGAAGGCACGAGGGAATGTGAGGTGAGGTAATGGAGATGGGAAGCCGAGACAAACTTACATTCTGGGTCCGCTGGGTCATGGCGCAGAAATATCACCCAAGGGCAGTTTGGAATATCCCCGGGATTTGTCGTGATGGCTCGCCAAAAATCTAGGGGGAAAGGGGGGAGGGAATGGGAGGAAGCCAAAAATGGCGAGATCCGCGATCTTGAATTTTATGGGGGAGGCGAGTTCACGGGGTTGATGGTCCGAGGGTGTAGGTGCAGCTTATCTCGAGAAAGTGAAGACACCAGAATGATCCATAGACAAGATGGAACATAAAACGGGCCGGAACCCAACGCGATGATAGAATGAAGGTGTGTTGGGGGAAAATGGCCGCGCCGTCACGGCTTCGGTCGTGACGGGCGTGAGTGGGTGTCAGTCAGGATGGGAGATATAAAAGGAGCTTCGAGATTGTAAATGAGAGGAAGTAGGAATAAGACGGATTGGATGAAAGAAATATGTTTGGGACGGGTGGGGGACGAGCTGCCGGATGTTAAAACGAGGGGGGAAATTGGCAGAGCCGCTCGAGATCCTTCAATGTTCGGGGATGTGAGGTTTGAAGGAAGTGATGTGTAGGAGAAAGGAAGAGGAAGTGTGCGGATGGTGGATGGGATGAATATGAAGGAGGAAGAAAGTGAACCTGAAAGGGACTAGGCGAGGCGAGGTTGAACGGCACTCTGGGGTGCGGTGGAATGGGTCTGGCCAGAGCATCCGCCGCAACTTGTCACTAGAGCCCGGCGAAAGCCAAAAAATAATAATAAGAGCGCAGAAAGCGTCGGGTCCCTTGGCCGAAATCTGTGTACTTTCGTACCAGCGAGTACCGCACGCTTTCGTGCGACTATTGCTTCGTAGACTGTCAACTTGGTACCATAGAAATTGTACTCCCATGCGACGGGGGACGAGGGATAATACCTGACGACTACGGGGAACACCCCGATATTTACCATCAAATCAATCTTGCTAAATACTGGCAAGTAGTATGCGTAGACCCCTTGTACTTCCCATCAAATGCTCTCTACGTTCCACCTTTCCCGGCTCGGCCTCTCCAGAACATTGAGCCTCTGCGGCCTCTCTCATATTGTGTACTTCGTACTAAGTTCAAATATTACTACTAACCAGGGAAGAAGAAGAGAACATGACCTAGGCGATGGGGGCATGAAGGAGAGTCGTTTTTTCCTTCTTTCTGGCATCAAGATCAATGGGAATCGCTGCAAAGTACCGATATGCAGCTTGCGAGGTATCCGGGTCTCCTCACCCCTACGTTGCAGGCTACATCTTACCATACTGCAGGATACAAAGCTTGTCGCTGGGAACTACGTGACTGGTTGCTTTTAGCGTCCAGGACACAGACGGTACCTCCGTACCCACCCACAACCTCAACCCTCGTCAACGTACATCACCACGATCCATCAGATTCCATTCTTGGCAATCGCAGTCCACTTCGAACGTCAAGACGTTTGTTCCGGCTGCGGCAGTAAATTGAGACCATCATTTTGCCCATTCGCTTTTCTGCTACCTAACTTTACAGAGGAAACCCAAAAATAGGACGTCTTTGAAGATATTCCTAGGATGTGCGGTCTTCCTCGCGGCTGATGGAGATGGTGGGTCATCTTGAGCTCTTCATAAATCCTCGGTCCATTTTGCCCTTCCCAACTTTGGGCGCGCCTCACACAACATCCACTCGCCCAGGCGTCTCAAATTGGGCCCCTCCCTTTTCGTAATCCATGTGTGATCAATTCGAATCCAACGCAGATCTGCCACTGTGCTGCAGTCTAAATGATCTGGTCCTCCACATACAACTTATCACTATTCAATATTCCAATTCCAATGAGTGTCTGGCTCATTTTTTTTCCCCGAGGAAGAATGGCGAACGCGACGCCTGCTGACTCGAGCTTTTGGCTGCTACACATATTTTGGCATCTATCTATTTGCAGAGCCGACGGGGAGGGTAATGGAAGGGAAGGCGGCGAGATTGAGCCCGGATAGCCTGAGATGTGGATATCATCACGTGAGTAGCTCATGGTCAGCCTGGTCGGGGAGTTACCCCAAACCAGAGGAGTATGATGGTATGGCTTCGATTAAGATCTGAAATGTTTGCTCCACGATATCGCAGCACAATCGCAAGAAACAGATGACGCTTTTAAACCTTTCTGCTTTTTCGGAGTGGGTGGTGGGGATACCAACTTCCAAGTACAGTAAAGTTGGACGGGAAAGGAGCGGATCTACTTCCGTCACCGTGATGGAGTGACAAGTGACTGGGTATACAGTAAATCCAGCAAGGAGAGATGAAACTACTCTTCCCTCGGCCTCTCACGTCAAACCCCAACTGCCCTGATCCATATCGACCACCAAGTAACCTAGTTAATTAATTTCTTACCCGACATAGGCATTATGAGATAGGGCACCGTTAGACGAGAAATCCGAAATCATAGCCGTCCGCTCACAATGCCAAGAATGAGACCCTGATCTCTTCTCTCCGTTGTCGCCTAGAAGGCATTTCCATTAAGGTGTCCTTTTAGGGCTGCTTTACATTCGCATTACCTCTAGGATGGTTGGCAACGATCCAAATCTTACTTCACATGTGCATCGTCAAGATGCGCTAATTTTGTCGGGGTTAGGGAGCGTTCCCAGGCGCGATCATCTGGTCAAGAAAAACGGTTTTGCAGATCGATTCCCTCCGTAATCTGGACCAACTTCAGACAATAATATCCCGGACGTTCCAGCTACATACAAAGCAATATCCAGCCAGTCTGACGGACACCACTCTGTATCTACCTGAGGTATGCATGTCCACTAGACTGCAATTCCTGGAACAGTAATGGTACTGGGGTGCAGGGTCTGATTCGGAGAGGACCAGGTGGTAATGGAGGAACATTACGAAACGGTCAGACCTAGGGTTTAATATTATTATTAAACGGGGCAGTGATCTCTCGGTTTCTGACCAGGCTGTACAGGTCATATTTTGCCAGTAGTCTGCGCTCATATGAGAGGGAGGCAAACTCGCAGGTTGAGTGGTGCTTGAGGAGAAATGATGATGGGGGTTGTCGGTGTCGATGTTGTATCAATTGATGTACTTAGTATTATTACAATGCTTCGTCATTGGAGGGAATCATACAGTACGAAGTTGACGAACAGGCATCGCGTTCCAAACCAGCGGTTAGACGTTTTATGGCTAACTTCACCAATCACTGCCACTACGGAGTATAGCGGTCAGGGCAGTCACGTACGTCGAGCTCGTTGAAGCATTTTCACGAGTGAAACTCATCTGCACATGAAGATGAAGATGAAGGGACAATTAATCGGTGGGAATGTTGTTAGCATTGCAGGGGCACTGCTAGCGAGCTAGAAGAGTGTACACCATGATGTACCTACGCAGGATTTACATCGAGGTGACATCGTTTTAACTAGCGAGTACATCCCAGCATCGTCCAGAAAATTTCCACTCAACTTCCATTTAGACTAACATCCAGTCCCCTAGTTTCCTTGAAACTTAACGACCTTAGTGTTATATACGAACGTGTGTTTTCACTTCCACGGACTTCGCATTTTAGTGTCTTCCGTATGCTACTGGCTCAGCGCCGAAGAAGGTTAAGAATTCATCATGGCCCTCGAAGGAAGCATTAGTCGAGCTACGAAGTAGACGAGAGAGGTTGGTGATGAGGCACTCAGAGACGGGACATGTACAACTACACTGGAACGGCATCTCCACATTTCCATTTCTGCAGGTCAAGTGGAAGTATTTCCATTTCGTGCAGGTGGCCGAGTACCTTATCATTGTATTTCAGGACTAGTGTTGAGTACACGAGTACTCTCGTACCTCCGCCCTCCCGCACTGACGTTAACGAGGTGTGATCGAGTACATAGTACCTCTGGAAAATATACAACTAACGCTGCGGAACGCGTACAGTATACTTTAGCCCTGCCACGACACGGAGTGTTTTCGGTATTCATGTCAGGTCCCATCTTCCCGGCACGTGATATGGTGCCTGGAACCACGCGTATCCACGCCGGGGTTCCAGACGACGCGGGAACCAGAGGCAGACGCCTTCCAGGTTCCAACAGGCTCCAACGCCGCCAAAATCATCACCCTGTCACCCGTAGATTGATAATCTTGCGACTTCATGGGCCCCCCCAATATTTTCCCCTCATGATTTATGCTACAGGAAAAGTCCGTCTTCGAAATGGACACCGGAAAGAAGACCACCGGCGTGCTCCATCACACAACGATGGACCTGACCAAGCGACAGGCCGCCGCATACCAAACAATAACAACCACTCTCGCTGGTACTAAGCGTAGTGGGTCAGAAGGCCTGGTCCAGGACTCCCACCGTGCTACGATCTCCGCCAACACTGCCTTCAAGAAGGCGGCCAGCCTCCTCGGAAGTAAACCTGCCCAGCTAAGGCCCAGTCCGATCATCAGTTTGGATACACACTCCGAGCAGGAGTCTTCCGAATATTCCCAACGTAAAGCTATTAGCGCAACTCCATCGGCATCGGTGGAACCTGCGCTGTGCCTCTCTCACCGTGTTTATGGACTCCCACCTGGGCTTGTCGCAAACTTCGCAAGCCTAGGGATAAAGAGTATCTATCCTTGGCAGAAGAATTGCCTCCTAGGTCCTGGATTACTCTCTGGTGTGAAGAATCTAATATACAGCGCTCCGACGGGAGGGGGCAAGTCCCTCGTTGCTGATGGTAGGCATTTCTTTTCACTGTCGGGTCAAAAAAGACAAGTTCGTGAGCTGACTAACAGCTCAGTCCTGATGTTAAAACGCGTTCTAGCGGAACCGGGCTCAAAGGCACTCCTGGTTCTGCCCTATGTTGCCCTTGTACAAGAGAAAGTACGATGGTTGCGCAGCGTGGTGGAAGGGTTGACGCGACCTTCCAGCGCGGATGCCCAGGATAAGAAGAATAGTCACTGGAGGAAACGAGCTGATGAGGACACTGTTAGAGTTGTAGGATTCTTTGGCGGTAGCAAAATAAAAGCCACATGGGCTGATTTTGAAATTGCAGTTTGCACTATCGAGAAGGCAAGTTCTTCTCATCCTTCTTTTAGCATTTGTGTGACGAGGCGCAAGTCCTGATGTTCAATCCCGTTGTAGGCCAACTCGCTTATAAACTCTGCGATCGAAGAAGGCGGCATTGGAGACCTGAAAGCGGTCGTACTAGACGAGTTGCATATGATTGATGATGACCATCGAGGATATCTCCTCGAACTTCTTTCCGCAAAGTTATTGTCACTGAGCCAGCCCATTCAGATTATTGGAATGAGTGCGACCATATCAGTAAGCAAGCCTCTCAACCGCGAAGTCGTATTGATCTCACACCACTTAGAATATCAGTCTCCTGGCGAAGTGGCTCGATGGCCATGCCTACGTCACAAAATACCGGCCAGTCCCGATCGAAGAGCACCTCGTTTACGACGGTTGTATATACCCAGCAGACAGTGCAAGTCTGCTCGCTAAGACAGCCAGCTCTCTCATCACCCCTCAGGTGCCATCTCAGTCAGCGATGCGACCGTCGCGGGAGATACAGCCATCCCCACATAAAGAATTCAAGGACCCAGTTCTCAATGCAGTCGTCGCCTTGACTTGCGAAACTGTAGGAGCCGGCTATGGCGCGCTCGTCTTCGCTGGTAGTCGGCAATCTTGTGAATCAATTGCTCAATGGATTAGCAAAGCCCTGCCCCCGCCGGAGGATCTGGCGATTGCGATCGCGGATAAACGGTTAGACGTCCTGAGCGAGCTCCAGAGCCTAAGCACTAGTGTCGATTCTGTCCTGGCAGAAACCATTCCAAATGGTGTTGGATTCCATCGTAAGACGCATCGCTGAACTCCCCCCTCCCCACCTCGTCAATCCATTGCTAACTACTCTGTAGATGTTGGTGAATTCGTCTATGTCACATCGACTGCAATCATTCACTAACTGCGTTAGGCTGGGTTGACAACGGAGGAGAGGGAGATAGTAGCTAAGGCTTATGATTCGGGTGCAATCAAAGTCTGTGTTGCAACCTGCAGCCTTGCGGCCGGAATCAATCTGTAAGAGTTTTGATAATTTTGTGTTCATATAGTCATCAACTAATCGTCGCAGGCCCGCCCGTAGGGTGATCCTGCATGGGGCTAGGATGGGAAGGGACTTTGTCGGTCCAGCAATGCTGAGGCAGATGAGAGGCCGTGCTGGACGCAAGGGCAAAGACGAGGTAGGAGAGACGTACCTCTGCTGCCGACGGTCTGATCTCGAACCCGTCCTGGAACTTCTCCAGGCAGATATTCCGAAGATTACAAGCTGTCTAGATACCGATAAGAGGCGGATGAAGAGGTGCTGTTTCCCAATGCGTCTCTCTCGGTGTGTACCCAGCTAATATGACCCCATTCTTCAGAGCGCTTCTCGAGATCATTGCTATCCGTCTTGCCACGAGTCGGGAATCGGTCGAGGAATACGCCAGAAGATCCCTCTTCCACCACTCTAATGGCTTACAAGAAACGATGCGCTGTGTTGACTCCAGCTTGGCTGAGCTGGAAAAGTTGAAGTTCATCAAGTTTGACCCGGTCGAGTCCTCGTACGAAGCGACTCTACTTGGAAAGGCAATAGTTGCGTCTTCCATCGATCCGGACGATGGACTGTTCATCTACGGGGAACTCAAGGGAGCATTGAGAGCCTTCGTCATGGACGGTGATCTGCACGTCCTCTATACATTCACGCCGATCAATGTCACAGATACACCTGTGGACTGGAAAGTCTTCACTGATATGGTCGAATCCCTAGATGAGAGTGGCCACAGAGTGATGGAGCTCTTACGCCTCAAAGTTTCCACTATTTCGCGGATGTAAGCTTTCCAATAACTCCCCAGAACATTTCCAGAACGTAGCCGCTCATCTTCTCGAGCAGATCCCGAGGGGCCACTTTGCCCGAATCTACGCAAGAAGAAAAAGACCATGCCCGGCGGCACCGGCGATTCTACCTAGCTCTCCAGCTTCGAGACATATGCAATGAGATGCCCATCCACTCGGTTGCGCGCAAGTACGATATGCCACGCGGAACCGTCCAGATGCTGGCACAGACGGCACAAGGCTTTGCTGCCGGAATGATTAAATTTTGCGAAGTAATGGGCTGGGGGTATGTCGATATAGATTTCCCGTCTTCTCCACGTTTTTGGTGGCGCGCTAATACTGATGATGTTTTCTCGGTCGTCGGTTTAGTGCCCTCGCTGCGACCCTTGACCATTTCTCTGATCGTCTCAAGGCTGGGGCCAAAGCAGACCTTCTATCTTTGGCCAAGATTACTTTTGTCAAAAGTCGAACTGCGTAGGAGATCCATCCACCCCTTTCCAGACGTCTTTGTGGTAGGGATAGACGCTAACATTTGCTTGGCGGCTTAGGAGGGTATTCTGGGACAACGGTTTCCGAAGCGCAGCAGCCGTCGCCAACGCCGACCCCAAGGAATTAGTACCGGTCTTGATGCAGGTGAGTAGGTTCCTGGGAGGGTGGGCTTGAGAAACATTTTCTCTAGTTGCTAATGTGATTCTTTCTTCCCGCCAAGGCACAACCAAACAAAATCCGCCTTAAAGAGCAAGCGGAGGATGAGAAGTATTACGAGAGGCTGCTGATCAAGGCCAAGATCATCGTTGAGTCAGCCAACAAGATTTGGAGTAAGTCAAATGGCCTTGACTGTGGTCTATCGTCTTGCTAGTGTGGAGATACTAACTTGATCACTTATAAGGTTTTGAAATGCAAGAAGATATGGAGGAGGAATGAAGGATAGAGGATCAATAGAAGTATCCTCTCCAGAACCTCAGGGCTATGATTCGAATATCATGGATAAGCAGGACACACATCAATAGCATTACTAGCTCGTAGGTTAACCACCAAACACTTCTTTGTGTGAATTATGAACCATTATGTCCAGAAATCTCGCAGCAATTACCCCCCAGTATGGGACTGCCAGCGAAATCCAATTCTTAAAGAGGCCGGGAAAATATCCAAAGGGAAGAGAAGAGAGAGAGAGAGAGAGAATGATGGGGAAAAAGAAAAGAAAAGTAGCCAATAAATCAGTGACTCAACCATCCGAGGTAAAACTAATTAATCCAAGGTATCCTCTCGTAACTTCATCAACGCGGAAATCACCTCTGCGGACTTGGCCCGAACGGCGTTGTGATAAAGTGCGTTGGTCTCATAGACCTTGATACCTCGGATTTTCCTTGCCGTTTCCCTGGCGAGGTCAAAGTCAACGTACATGTCATCAACGTAACTGACAGCGTAGACGGGGACCTCGTTTCGGGTAAGCTGTTCCTCATCGTATAGTGTCGGCCATTCGTCGTACTCTGCTAGTTTCTGTGCGACCTCCTTAAGGGACATGAGTTCGGGGTATGTGTCGAAGTGGAAGGGGAAGATCATCTCGCCGGAGAAGAAAAGAGGAGTCGGGTTAGGGTCCGAGAGAGCGGACGGTCCGGCGTAGTCTTCCAAGAGCCAATCGAATACGCCAAGCTGACTGCCGGCTCTCAGAGCGGCCCAGTTCGAGGCCACGCCGGGTTGGTAGCAGTATATAGCTTCGTGGAGGATAGCATAGATGGGATTGTTATCAAAGGGCACATCCAGCTCCATGGCAGAGAGAGAGGCACGAGTCAAGTGCCCGAATTGAGAGATTTCCAACCTCACCCTCGTTAGGAGCGAGTGCACAGCTTGGAAGCCATCGTGGGCGCCGAACGAAAAACCGAGAGTGAGAAACCTAGGAACTGTAAGGACACCACCGCCAGGAAGTTGAACACCGCCTTGCTTGTGGATGTGGTTCGCAATGTAGTTGACGACGGCGTGATCGTCGGGAAACTTGGTGTAGTAGGCGAGGTTTCGCTGCATCAGTTTCTTGAAAGTAGCCTCGTAGACTTTTTCAGGCTTTACCCCTACCGGCGGAAGGCCGCCGGTGAGGAACACTTCCCTTAGACCCTCCGGGTAGAAGGAGAGATAGGTCGTGCTCACGAAACCGCCGAAGGACTGCCCAAAGATGGCCCAGCGCTTCAACTCCGGTGGGTCATTTTCCGTAATACACAGGCGAACAGCCTCGAGATCCTTGACAATGCTGTCCTGTCTGAAAAGACGAAGATACGCAACCTTGTCGTCGGTGCTGTCACCGGGAATGGTGGATACAGACACAGGTGTGCTGAGCCCAGTTCCACGATAGTCTAGAAGTAGAATCCTATAGGAGTGGTGGAGGTTCTCTCGTACGAGAGGGCTATCCTGGGGAAGGCCATTGCCGAAGCCCGGTCCGCCGTGCAAGTAAACCAGCCATGGTTTATTGTCACCGGGGCTGCCAGTAGTATCTGCGGCACCCGGATTTACTGCCGGCCTGTCATTATACGTGACGGCGCGGCCAAACAGATGGATCCTGGTAGATGCGGGGTTATCGTGGTTCAAAGGAACCTCAAAAGATAGATCGGTAACAATGAGCTTCCCTAGGCCGATATTAGAACTACGATGGCGTCGAGGAGTACGAAGGAACGCAAGAGAGGCTGAGGCTGAGGCTCTGACTCTGGCTCTGGCTCTGGACAGGAACCATTGTCTTGGGAGGACAGACTGCCGGGAAATATAGAGGGAGGAGATTGATTAACGGCCGCGGCGACTTACCTGGGAGGGAGTACGAGTCCTCGCTCACGAGCTGTGCTGGAGAAGGCATTATTACACTGGCAAGTCGTGATAGTAATGAAAAGGGATTAGTCGATGTTTGAGTATATGAAGGTCTCAACGGCCTTTGGCCAAACCAATGACCAATGTGGGATTGAATCAAACGATAGCTACGTTGGCGCGGTTAGAGCTGGGTTAACTCAAGCTCAGAGGAGCCCAGCGTTATCGGTGTGTACAACAAGAGATGAGGGCAAACGGAAGCTCGAGGTTGTGTCAACCTCGTCAATCGATTCTACAGGTTGGTCTAAATAAAACTTGAGGGGTATCTGCAGCCCTGCATTTAATTGCATGTGGTGACACGAGCCGGACGGATCAATTGAGACCTCAAAGTTTCTTGGTGGCGCATTTTGCATGTTGTGGTTGCGGAGGAGCACGAAATCTACGTCTAGTTCTCTCTCACTCTCCGTGCTCCGAGTGGGATCGGAGAAGAGGAGTGAATGCGACAAGTATAGGTACTAGGGGCTCTCCCTCTGATCATGTGGAGTCTTAGCGGCTTAGAAATTCTGGATAGCCAGCAACTATATGACGATGCGACCAATCAAACACTGAAACACCAGTAAGAGTGGGGGTGTTATAGAAGGTTACCTCGCCACAAACTAGCTTGTACCAGTACTTTGATGCCGGATTTTGCGGTGCCGACCCGATTGATTTCTCAGTTCGGTTCAATGCTGTCTCCTTCCTCTTTCCAGCCATCAAAATTGGAGCTGCCTCCACAAGGATAAATATCGCCAGCGCTGGGAAAACTGCAGTGCCTTCGCCATCCTTCTCCTCATTCCTCATTCCTCCTGCACCTCTCCTCCTAAATCATCAACGATTGTCACAACCCACAACCCTGCCGGCCTTCGAGTCGACAGCGCCTCGCGCGTATCCAACACCTCGAAAAAACTACATTCCAGGCTGATGAATTATATACATCTCACCCAAACGTTGGTTGAGAGTTTCAACGCCTTGGCCGATGAAGTGCAAACTCTGACAGACCGGAAGACGGTGCTGGAGCACAAGCTTCGCTTCGCACACGAGCAGGTAAGAATTCGGATTTCATTTGTTTGGCCTTTTCACTGGTTATCTGGCCTTCTCTCTTTTTCCGGCAGGACCGGCTCCTCTTCTCCCTGATGATTCTTATTTAGCTCTAGATCAAGAGTTGCTCATTTGCAGCAACGGGGATCGACAACCTTTATGTCTGATTCTTAAACACTCTCCTTTCCTCTTTTGCATGCTGTCTGATTACCATTTGTTGGTTGTTCTTGATCGCTAATTTGCTGCCCACACTTTGGGCATCTGCGCTTCTCAGTTCCAGTACCTTGCCGACAAGCATGCCCCCGCTGCGCCCGAAATCTCGGAGACTTTGGCAAAGCTTCAAATACCGCCCGAATTGACGCATTCCTCTACTAAATCTGCCAGTACTGTTCCGCTGCCTAGACGTGGAGTTACCGACGCAAGCCACCAGATTGCCCTCCTAATCAGAGACGGCAGGCGCGTCGCCCAACAACTCGCTTCTATCGCCGAACCAAGCAAGACGAGCCTTTCTAGCAGAGAGACATTTTCCCGCTTGTCAAATACCGCCACTTCAATGTCGACTGCTGCGTTAGAGCAAGACTTCACCGTCGAGGGGAAAAAAGGTTCACTGGCCTGCCCTTTCTCTACCGCCCCGCCCCAGAAAAATGCCGACCAGGCCGATGACGGAGCTGGGGAAGAGGGTCTTCCCGATCCCACCCCCCATCAGTCCACCGACCCCATATGTGCGGCCATGTTCGAAGAAGCTACTTCGCAACCGGCTCCTTCGGCTGCGAACAAATGCCCCATACGATATTTAGATAAGCATTCTCCTGAAGAGATTGCCAACTACGTCAAGACGCACAAGCACGAACTACCGCGTAGTCATACCGTCTGCGTTGGTAGATATCAGAGGAGCGAGGATCAAATACGAAAGTTGGATGCAAAGTATGGCAACATTGTGAGCATGATAGAGAGCTTAAGCCAATTGCATAAGCCTATGCTTCCAGTCTCCGAGGAGCGTGAGGAAGACGAGGTCGACATGGATGCCTCGAAGCAACGTGTTGAGGACTGGGCTCAGGGAGTCAGTGCCAGCGCAGCCGAATTCTCACCTCTGCCAGAGTACACTTCCGGAAACGATGAGAGTGAGACTCAGGCTAGAGAAGAACCCGGAGAAGACCAAGCGAGGGAAAGCCATTTCGACCGACCTCTGAAAGAAGTGCGAGTAGGAGAGTCACCCAGTCGGCCTTGGGGTATCTCGGTGCCCGTATACGAGCCCAATGGACTTGGACTTGGTGATGCTCCACTGTCTCCTCCCCCAGCTCCTGTACTTATGCCCACCCAATTGTCGAACGGGGCCGTCCCCAAAACGCCCGAGAAGCGTCCTGGAAAATGCCCTTTTGACCACACGAAACTTGGCGCAATGGGTGGCCTCGGCCTCCCTCCGCAGCATGCCCGCGATGGGGCATCCGATGTCAGCCGCAAGCCCGCGACTGAGGGACTGTTTGCTACAACCGAAAAGCAACACCAAACTGATAACCGAGCTCCTCCTCCTCTGCAAGCGCAACCGGCATTCATCAACCCACCCAAGTATTCAAATGGGATTCCCCAGATGGTCTTCACAGGGCCTGTCTTCATCGGCTACCCCATGGATCAAGCTCTCCAGTTTATGCAGGCTTTTCAAGCCCAGCAACGTTGAGAAATATCTTTTTTTCTTTTTCTTTTTTTCCCTTTCTCTTTTCTCCCCTCCCCGTCTTTCATAATCACATTTGATACTTCTCATGACTAGGGACAGCGTTGGCGTCTTGGCTTTCTTTTGATTTCTGAGCAGTTACTTATACCATCGGTTTGATTCGGGCGGCCACTTTTGTTTTTGCTTTCGAACGGGTTTCGATTGTATGATGATGTACGAGCGACTTCGGAGATATAGAATGAGATCACGAAACTACACAGTTTTACGTCCTTTGCAAGGGAATAGCCCTTTTTAATTAGTGGCTCTCGGGTTGACCACTTTTGTGAATTGATATTGCACTTTATCATGCATGCAGCCGCACTCTCAACGAGGGGACAGAGTTCCAATTCTCCTGTCTACTCGTCGCGGTTATTTACTCCCCAAGTAAATCGGGGCGACCTGAGTATCTATAGTTCTTTCAGTAAGATGAAGAGCAATATAAAGGCATTCATGATTCTAACCCGGCCCCTCACTCTATCAAATTCTAAAACGCCCGCCCTCTATCCAAACAATGATAACTCCAAGCAAATTCACAAAAACCCACAGATGTGAGAGCTGTTACCCGTGCCCATCCTACGCCCGAGTCCCATTCACTTTCCCTTTATCGCTCTCATCTTCATCAACATACCCGCCCACCTGATCCGTCGTATCCCACAAAGAAATATCATCATCATCCGCCAACACGGCAGCGGCATCGCCGGGGTCCAAAAGCCTCGCGCGTGAAAAGTCGTCCTCGCCGATGACGTCCAAGAACCCCAAGCCGGCGTTAGAGATGCGCGGGGAAGCAAGCGGGGAGGAAGAAGAGCCGGCGCGGCCTTCCTCGGGGGCGGCTTCGAGGGCGATCTCGGCGGCGCGGGTCATGGTGCGGCGGTAGATGAGCCAGCCGACGGTGACGCCGACGGCGCCGCCGAGGAACATGCCAATGTAGTTTACTGCTTTTGTGCCGGCGGACATTTTGCTGCCTTCTTCGATTAGGAGGGCCATGCGGCTTCCGATGAAGACGTGGATGAGGAGTTTGGGACTGAGAAGGAAGATCAAGAGTTAGATCTTGTTTGTGGAAGCGAACGTTGCTGTTTCCGCGGAGGGGGAGGAGGGGGCAAACTTACCTGGCAAAGGCAGTAGATAGAGTAAACGACAGGGGCGTAATGGAAGGAATTGTAGCCAGAAACCCATTCGACAGGCTGAAAGGCAACGGGCAAAACCGAATCATGGTCAGCATGCCCAGCCCATCCCTCTTCAACACCTGGCCCAGCGCCAAGAACCTATGATCCTTCCCCACGAGGTTATGCACATATGTACTCAGGATGGTCCTGCTCGCCATGAAAGCCGCCAGCGACCCCACTGTACACGCCGTCGCAACGATCGGCCAGCCGAGTGGGAATCCGAATATGAAGCCCGCAACGGTATTCGCCGTGCTGTAGCCTATCATAGGCGGGAAGGCGGAGACGAAGACTATGAACCACATGATGAGCCAACCACCGGGGGCTTGCCTCCACGCTTCGGCGACGGGGCTGAGCCATGTGAAGATGGCATGGGAGTAGATCAAGAAGGTAATCGTAAGTGCCGTTAGGCATACGAGGCCCAGGAAGACAAGTATTCGGTATAAGGGGGAGAGGAACATGTAGGCGCGGAAGAGGGTCTGGCCAGTTTGGGCGAGGGCCTGGCCGATTTGGACGAGTGCAGTGGTGATACGAGTACGGCCGGATTTGGGGGCGCGGGTGGGCATCGTCGAGAGGCGGAGGGAGGTCCTTCGGGTACGGGTCCATGATGGGCGCTGTTCGAGGGATGGGGAACCGGGGTTTGGTGAGAGGGAGAGGGCCCGCGCCGTGGTTAGATAGTCGGCCGGCATCGTGGGTGGGACGGGGGTGGCGAGCGAGGATTCGGAGGCCAAATTGTTTTCGATTGCTCGTGGTATCACCGCTGGCCGAGGGCCACAGGCCAGAAGGAAGTTTGTCTTGTTGAGAAATCTGGATGTCGAAGTAGAGAAGGGAGAGTTATCGGTCCATTGTTCGTAAGACGGATGATGGAGTTTGAACTAGAGAGCGGGATTCGAGATGAGACGGTGTTAGGTATCGAAGTTGAAACGGGAGGTCCGGAAATTCTGTGTCGCTGCCGCATATGGTTGTCCAAGTATTCCTTGCAATAATTATCAAGCAATGCGTCTTTCAGGCCTAAAGTTTTGTTTTGCGATTTTGTTCTCGTCATCACAAGTCTGCGCCTCGCTCCATCCCTATCAATAGCTGTTTCTTGGAAATGGCCTGGAATACCGCGCGTTAAACGATGCGAATCGCCAGACGGAAGTTCCGGAATTGGAACGTCATGCTAAACGCATTGACAGCCGGCAACAGTTGGAGACCGCGAAACCGACCTCAATCTCTTGATCTCGATAGAGGAGATTACAAGACGCCAAGTTCCTCTCATGCTTCCCCAGACAATCCTTAGACTTCAGAACTTATAGAAGGCCAAAACACAAGGGACAAGAACATAGACAATAGATTTTGTAGACATGAAGCCATCAACTATGCAGTATTGATTTAATCAATTTTAGACATCAACTGAAACCTACACTCACTTAACGATATTGAACTTTATAGCGTTTGTCAGTATACAGGTATTGCACACTACAAAGTCGTTGTCCAAAGGTAACGAGCGCTGTCGTTTTGCAATGAATCACGTGGTTGGCATCATCGTCGAGATGCTGCATATCTTCTTTTTATCTTTTAGCTTGACTCTTCTTTTTCAAGTTTAGAACCATTCCTCATAAACCTTTCCTTTTCACATGGGAGAAGGCCTTTTTATCTGCATCGTCTATCATTTTCACCATCTACTAACAGAATCATATCCCAAAATCGGGAACTAAGCTAAATCTGGTCTCACAACTGGATTTGGTTTCAAAACAATGAGGCCGAACTGATACAGCTTAACGACTCAGGCCCGTCCGTGGCTGGCGGGAGCGGCTTGTGAAGCCGCGGACGGTGTCACCTGTCAGCATCTGTTCATCCCCACTCATTGTCCCCGGTCCTGTACTTAAAGCGGACGACGTCACGTCCCCGAGAGAGCGGAGCTCATCGCGACCCTAGCTTTCGATACCTACCCATCCTAAGTCGATCATCACACCTGAGGAAATACAGTATTAAGCTCGCATCATGGGTGGCGGCGAAAAGAATACCAGCGAGAGCTCTTATCCCGTCCTTGCTCCTCGTCCCAAGGGCCAATGGATCACTAATCTCTACCGGGATCGCCTGAGCCAGTTCACCAGTGGCGGGCAGTATGAGAATGAGAACCTTCGTTCGTAAGTAGAGTCGCTTCGTCCTTTTTGCGAGTACTCCTAACCCTAGTTAACTCCTTTGCTAGAATGCTGCACGAGGCTGAGGTTTACGGCGAGCCTCATGTCAAGCTTTCCGCCTGGCACGCTCCTGATTTGACCCGGCCCACCTTCAAGGAGGCTACATCGCACAAATTCGAAAAGACTTCTGTCGGCCATTCTTTTGGACCTGCCTGGTCTACTCATTGGTTCAAGGTTGTCCTCACTGTCCCCGAAGGGCTTCGCCACAAGGAGCATCTCGAACTTCACTGGGATGCCAACAACGAGGGCATGGTTTGGACTGAGGATGGAAATCCTCTTCAGGGCCTGACTGGAGCTGGGGAACGTGTCGAATGGGTCCTTCCGCATTCATTCCGAGACGGAAAGGAGCACACCATCTACATCGAAATGGCCTGCAACGGCATGTTTGGTTGCGCTCCTGGAGGCGACTCCATTCAACCACCCGATCCGAACAAGACTTACCGACTGTCTAAGGCCTCAATTGTCGCTGTGAATCTACAGGCGAGGGCTCTCTCAATTGACATTTGGATCATCGGTGATGCGGCAAGGGATCTCCCAGATAACTCCCCAGCACGACACCAAGCCCTCGACACGGCCACTAGGATTTTGAACACCTTCGTCAAGGGTGACAAAGACTCTATTGTCAGGTGTCGAGAGATTGCCCAAGAGTGCCTTGGAAAGCTCGTTGATTCACATAAGGTGTATGAGAATGGACAGGAACCCGACGTATATGGCATCGGCCACTGCCACATCGATAGCTGCTGGCTATGGCCCTGGGCGGAGACGAAACGGAAAGTTGCTAGGTCTTGGTCCAACCAGTGCGATCTCATGGATCGTTATCCAGAGCTCCATTTCGCCTGCTCTCAAGCCCAGCAATACAAGTGGCTCAAGGAGAACTATCCCTACGTCTTCAACCGTGTTAAGGAAAAGGTACACAAGGGTCAGTTCCATCCCATCGGCGGCAGCTGGGTAGAACACGACACCAATATGCCCAGCGGAGAGTCTCTTGCTCGCCAGTTCCTCTACGGTCAAAGATTCTTCGAAAGCCACTTCGGGGAGAGGTGCAGGACTTTCTGGCTTCCAGATACTTTCGGGTACTCGAGTCAGTTGCCGCAACTCTGTCGCCTCGCTGGTATGAACCGCTTCCTCACTCAAAAGCTTAGCTGGAACAACATCAACAAGTTCCCCCATACAACTTTCAACTGGGTCGCACTAGACGGGAGCCAGGTTGTCTGCCACATGCCGCCCGCCGAGACATATACGGCTTCGGCTCACTTCGGTGACGTCAGACGAAGCACCAGCCAGCACAAGTCCTTGGGCCAGGATAATACCTCGCTCTTGGTGTTTGGCAAGGGAGACGGCGGTGGTGGTCCCACCTGGGAACACATTGAGAAGCTGCGCCGTTGCCGCGGTCTGACGGACAAGCTTGCTCTTGGAAAGACTGAGCTTCCTCGCGTTCAAATGGGCCACTCCGCTGAAGTCTTTTTCGACAAACTGGAAGCTAAGGCCAGCGACTTCGTGACTTGGTATGGCGAGCTATACTTTGAACTCCATCGCGGCACCTACACGACCCAGGCCAACAACAAGAAGTACAACCGACTTTCAGAGGCCATGCTGAGGGATGTCGAGTTCCTCGCCACCCAGGCTTCGCTTCTAGACAAGTCGTATAAGTATCCGAAGAAGGAGATTGATGATATGTGGGAGGCGGTATTGCTCTGTCAGTTCCACGACTGTCTTCCTGGAAGTTCTATTGAGATGTGCTATGACGATTCGGATGAGGTTCGTAGCCAACCCCGGCCCATTTCCTCTCTCCCCTTTTTACGATGGTGATCCTGAAGTGTTGGTCTCATGCTGACGAATCCTGTGCAGTTGTACGCTGAAGTGTTCAAGACCGGTGAGGCTATTTTTAAGGATATATTCCGTGTCCTCGGGGTTTCTCGAACAAGGCCTGATGGGGCTAACCATCCGATTGCTCTTAACACCCTCCCTTGGCACCGCAAGGAGCTTGTGAAGGTATCGGACGACGAAGCAGGAGTTGCCTGCGGCATTGGCCAACTCCTGCCCGTCAAGAAGTTCAAGACCAATCCTGGCAAGAAGGCTGTTACGGTCGAGGAAGTGCGGAAAGGAATATTTGTCCTTCAGAATGACCGACTCAAGGTGACTGTTGAAAAGGGTTGCATCACATCTCTCTATGACCTTGTCAACGAGCGCGAGGTTATCGAGGCTGGCCAGAATGCCAACAAGTTCCTAATCTTTGATGACAAGCCACTTTACTGGCAGGCATGGGATGTTGAAGTCTACCACTTGGATACAGCTAAGGAACTGATTGCCAGTGAGACTCGGATCGGTGAGGTCAAGGAGTACCAAGTCAGCGTCGTCACCAAGGTCAAGATAAGCGAGAAGAGCTCCCTGGTGTCGACAATTACCCTCTCTGCAGCTCTCGATGGCGTTCAGTCCTGGGTAGAGTGCCACGCCGAGGTCGACTGGCATGAGACCATGAAGTTCCTCAAGGTTGAATTCCCCGTCGAAGTCCGCAACACGGAGGCCTCGTACGAAACGGCCTTCGGAATTACTAGGCGCCCAACGCACTACAACACGACATGGGACATGGCCAAGTTCGAAGTTTGCTGCCACCGCTTCGCAGACTTGTCAGAGCCTGCCTACGGTGTGTCCATCCTCAATGACAGCAAGTACGGATTTTCCACTTGCGGCAACCTCATGAGGCTGTCTCTGCTCCGAGCACCCAAGGCACCTGATGCGCATGCCGACATGGGCAAGCATTCGATCAAGTGGGCGATTTTCCCACACGCTGGCGCCCTCGGTCCTGCCACTGTCAAGGCGGCATACGCTTTTAACAACCCCCTGAGGCCTCTCGCCGCTCCTAAGGAGAAGATCGAATCGCTTGTTGGGAAGTATCCTGTTACTCTTACCGGAGATGAGTCTTTGATCCTCGACACCGTAAAGCGAGGCGAGGATGATGAAGACGTGAGCCGCGGGGAGCTTCCCCGACGCAAGGGACGCAGCGTCATCCTTCGTGTGTACGAGAGTCTGGGCAGTCAAAGCAGGGCCGTCATCCAGACGAGCTGGAAAGTGAAAAAGGTCTTTAAGACGAACATTCTCGAGGACGACCTCGAGGAGATTCGCACGGAGAGTGCAGGAAAGTTTAAGATCACTCTTCGCCCGTTCGAAGTGGCCACCTACCGTCTTCAGCTTCATGACGGACGTGGAGAGCTTTGAAGGAAAGCGAGGGAGGTGGGCTTGAGTGATAGCATCAACCGCTGGGCGGCATTTGATGTTGTCGCCAGCTAAGTCAGAGACGGGGTTTGTTGTCGTCTTTTTATTTCGGGTTTGATCGGTCGGCATTTGTTTTTACAACGCAGATTGAAATCATGGTTTGGGCATGAATGGTTACGACATGGAGGTTACGAGCCCGTCCTCATTACGAAGCAGCAATAGGATGTAGGGCCGTAGTTCCCTGATAGCGGTATGATTCTAACGTATAATGCATCCTTAAGAAAATCATCCTGAACACCTAGCTTTTTGTGCATTAAAATCAAGGAATGCCAAGATGAGAGCCTCCCATTTCATCGTAGGATGCGACCAGCAGCGGAGAAGGTGGATCTCGAGCTTTGAACCGCCAAACATGTATGGCTCAAATCCAGTAGAAGCCATGTCCGCAAACTTGATTCATGGAGATATTAATGATACACTGCGCCTCCATGTAGAGGCAAGAAGAGATACATACATACATAGACGGAATCTCATGTTCCGGTCATTCCCACTCCCTTTTCATTCTAAACCCAGGTCTCGTTTCACAATTAAGAAAAACAAAAAAAAAAGAAAGACATCATTGATCCCCCCCTCCCCCAACTGCGCCTGACAACGAGGCTAGGCATCAGAGTCCGGCGGTAGCTCCTCAATCACATTCTCCACCATCTCAATAAGCTCATCAATATCCGGCCTCTCACTCGGCTCAACCGCCAAACACTTCCTGACAATCTCCCTCACCGGCTCGCTAATTTTCGCATCGGGGGGTCCCCTCGCGCCGCCTCCATCACCGCCACCACTCGCGCTCTGACTCGTAGCCGAGCGCCTTAACCCCGCACCAGCCGGATTCCCCTCGTCGGGGAATCTCCAATCGCCGCCCAGCACGCAGAGGGAGAGGGTGCCGCCCGTCTCGTCGGAGCGCATCTCGAAGGGGGACTTGCCGACGAGGCAGGCGAAGAGGGTACAGCCGAGGGACCAGACGTCTACCTTGGTGTCGATGACGGTTCCGGTGCGCACGTCGAAGAGCTCGGGGGCGCGGTAGGGCATCGTGCAGTGTTCGGCGGCGGTGTCTTGGGTTGCGATGGCGAGAGAGTGAGAGGTTATGGGGAGGGGGGAGGCGGCGACGGAGCCGAGGTCCATGAGGATGGGGTTGGAGCCTGAGTCGTCAATCATGATGTTTCCTGGGAGAATACGGGGTTAGCGATGTTGTCCCTGTGGACATAACAGATAGTGCGGAGAGAGCAATCGTGACTTACCGGGCTTGATGTCCCGGTGGGCATATGACTTTACGTTGGGGGCACCAACTGTGCTCTGGCCCTCCATCAACGGCCTCTGCTGCTCCGTCTCATGCTCCTCATCCGGCAGCGCAGCCGCCATACTTGAGACCCTCTTCCCTCCCTTCGCTTTCCCCTTATTTCCGCGCCCACCACCCTCCGTATCCCCATCGCCCATCTCCATCCTCTCCATGGCGATCGGCGCAGACTCATACCTATGCATCGACCTTAGCGCCTTACACACGCCCAAAAACAGCACCATCAACTTCTTCTCAGGGAACCGCGCATTGTTGACGACGTTGGCGTTGATCATGTCCTGCAGGTTACCCCTCCTGTAGTACGGCAGCAGCACGTAGACGGTCTTTGACGCCTCGTCCGATCCGCCGCCCCGGTCCGTCGAGATGGAGTAGTCGACCATGTGAATTATGCCGGGGACGTGGGCGAATAGGCGGTAGGCTTCGACTTCTTTCATGGCGTTGGAGACGGACTCGGCGCCGAAGGGGCAGCGGATCTTTTTAAGGGCGAAGGTCTCGGATGTGTTTGTGTCTTGCACGAGGTAGACGTAGGAGAAGCCGCCCTGGTTTCACCGGTGGGGGTTAGCAAGATGAGGAGAGTTCCTGGGACGGATGCTTGGAAATGGGTGGAGACAAACCTCGCCGAGGAGCCGGAGGATCTTGAAGCTTCGGCCATTGATCTTGAGTGTCGGCGAGCCCGGGAAGCAATTGAGGCAATTGCCTAGGGAGTAAAGGAGGTCTTGGATCATGTTCGCCATCTCTTTCTTTTGTAAATGGTCCCAATTCAGGACCCAGTGCTTCTTCGTGAGCTTAGAGGATTTGAAGGTTCGACTATCGAGGGACGGAACGACCGGAGAATGAAGGGCCTAGAAATTATCCGTGTTCGGAATACTCTCGCGCTCGCGCCTTCCTTTGAGCTGTCGTTGAATGATTCCAGCCCGTCGCTTGTTGAGGCTTGGGATGTTCGTGGTACGTTGTCCTCAGCAGGTTTCACCCTTGCTTTCAGGTGTAAGATGCAGCAGGGCCAAGCTTACGCGGCGAGGCGCAGTCGTTCGCAAAGGAGGCCAAGAATATCGACGATTAAACCAGGATGAAAGTACGAATTTCTGAGTGGACTGGTCGATCGCATTTGTTGCAGAGGACAGGCTGGAGGTTGTTCAAATGAGGTTGAAACTGCGGTGCTTCGTCAATGCTGCGCCTGGGCTGGCGACCTCAACTATGCAAGGTACTTCGTACTCGGCTTCTGAGCATCGCATGGATCAATGTTGCTTGTGCATTGTGCAGGAGCACAGCACAGCAACCAGGAACTTCTTAGGTAAGCTGGATAGCCGTTGCCATTGGAGGGTGATCAATTGTATCTTGTACTCTCAACCCGCTGTGTCGTCTTCAAGAGTGACATCACTGATTCTTAGGACAAGCCCAAAGTCTACAGAATAAGGTAGGCGAAACCTATCGCAATAACACCTCCTAACAACCAAACACTTCTTGCCAATGGTCCAGTCTTTATTACAATAGTACTAATGTCGATGCTCCGTAACAAAATAAAAGCATGACCCAACCCAAGCACCATCTAACCATCATGCTCTCGTCGCATCATTGCCCGAATCTCACAAAAAAACAACCTGAATGAACCCCAGTCCGAGCCTAGATAGGTGGTAGCTACTGAAGGCCTGGGACGTCTCTGAGAGTCGGGTTTGAAAGAAAGGAAAATGCGCGATGATAAAGGATGCCGGACGAGACGATATAAAGAAAAACATGATTGTGCCGTGAAAGAGGGAACAATATCAAACACCGTGGTATCATCGCTAGGAAATGCTTCACCCCAACAAGTCTGAAAAGCCCCTCCGGAGCTCCCTTCCACCTCGTCATTTTTTTTTTCGCCTTTCTGTTTGGCGCCTTGATCGTTGAAACCTTACTCGTACACCTCTGCCTCTAAAGAAACAAAAAGAGAGACATGGGAAGGCGGGTCATGAAGTTTCATTGAGAGACGGGAAAACGTCATATCAGGCGTTGCTCATCTCGACTCCAGTCCCTGTAGTCATCATCATCCATGAGTCTATACCTCCGATCACAATTTCTAGACGAGAATCGTCCCCCAAGTCATAAAATAAAAGTGGAATGAAACTCGAGCCGGGAGGCTAACGCCGTATGCCCAATTGCTCAAACTTGTGCAAGTTTAAAAGGCGTCCTCGAACGGACAATCGACGCTGTCATGACCGTCCCGCTCGCAGATCGCGCACCATTTGGTCTCGTCAATCACGCCGCTCTCCTTTCCAGCTACCGGTCCGGAGTCCAGGATGCTGGGCATGGGCATGGGCTTGGGAGCCGCCGGGAACGCAACTGGTGTCGCCTTGGGCTTGGCAGGCGACAGAGGCGCAGGTTTATAGTCATCGCTGGCGTTGACTGAAAGTGGCTTGAGACCATCATTATTGGCTCGGGGCGCCGACGTGGGTGTATCATTCGTCTTGGCCCCTTCCGGCCCGAACATATTGGTGCACGTCAGGATATCGTGTCCGCCCGTCTCGCAAATCTCGCACCAGAGTGTGCTAGTCTCCGTTGCCGTCGAGTAGCTGTCGCTCTCGGGCATAGTGTCAAGCGTGCGGCCTCGCTTGTGACCGTTAGGTGCTTCGGGGGAACGAGTTTCTTGGCTACGCGCGAGGACCACAGTATCTCGCGAGTCTCGTAGCGAGGATCGACGGGCGCTGACAACAGTCATAGCGCTCTGGCGCTGGTTTTGCAAGCCGTTGGATCGGCGAAGCATCTCCAGCTCTCGTTCAAGCTCTTCCTCCCGACCCGTCTTCTCCTCGAGAACGGCTCGGAGATCGGACACATCCCGCTCTAATTTCTCTCGCAGGCGGCGAGACTCGGCCGACTCTCCAGCCTCGGTGGTCCCTGAGTCACGGCTAAGCGAATGGATAATAGCCTTGAGGCCGCGGATTTCGTCTTCTTTTTGTTCAAGCTCCTTGGACAGTGCCGACTTATCATTGACCCCATTGATGTTAGGAGACGACTTGCTGGTAGTTGCCGTTGTCGCTGCTTTTTCCCTTTCGCGTCGTAGCTCTGCCCTCGTCCGCTCTACCTCTCCTCGCAAAAATTCGACTTCTCCACGTGCTTCAGCCTCGCCGCGCCGAGCATCTTCCAGACCTTCTTCGAGATCTTGGACGAGGTCCTCAAGTTGCTTAAGCTGAGACGCCACGGCCTCCACATCCTCGAGTCGGGAAGTAAGCTCCTGAATCTCCTGTATCATCTCCTTCTTCTGAGACTCATATACCCGAACGGTTTCGGTGCTGGCCATCTCAAGCGCGTCGATGGTACTGCGGAAGTCTGCGCGATGCGAATCAAACTCCGACGTAAGCATGGCAATCTTGTCATTCTTTTCGCGGAGCAAGATTCGGAGTTGCGCCGCGTCCTTATCGTCATCCATACCGCCGCCAAACCTAGGTCCACCGGGTTGGTCCATGAGACCCTGAAGTTCTGTGAGGGTGCTTTCCATCTCTGACAACGTCGCCGTTTGCTCCCTCAATTGCTTGTCGCGATCCTCAAGCTGGGCACGGAGCCGCTCAAGCTCATCATCATTGTTGGCCCTCGAAGGAGGACGTATCTTTGAATTGAAGGATGAGACCGACCCCATGCTTCCGTTAGTTTTCGTTCGGCTTACGCCCGTCGGCGTAACGTCATCGTCTTCGAAGCCAAGCGCCGAGGCGCTTCGGGGGCCGATGCTGGCTTTGGGATCGCCTCTACCGAATGGGAACTTCTTGGCAGGATCACCGGCCGTACCGCGGACGCTCTGAGCTAATCTCGGCGTCGTTGGGCTAACATATCGAGCATTGGTATTATTGCCCTTGCTCGGACTGGTACTAATGGAAGGTCGAGGTCCTGGTGTCATTTGTAGGCGTCGAACGGGCGATTCGGGTCGCGGCAGAGACGCTCTAGGTTTCTTGCCGAATGGGCTCGCCGCTCGACCGGGTCCGACGGATTGGCTAAACTTAGGTAGGGACGGTGTAGGCGGCGTGTAGTTGGTAGAATTTTGCGTTCCAATTTTTAGGCCTCCAGAAATTCCCGTCGGGGTTAGTGGAATCGAGCTTGGCCCATCACGACGGGTGGCTTTGGACGCTGGTAGGAAAATTCCAGCCCCTGGAGTTGAGGTTGAGAAGTAGGAAATTCTGCATCCCGTGGAAGGTTGTTAGTGCCCATGTTTCGACACGTAAGGATGGGGAGCCTTGGGCGAGTTCACGATTTCGGCCCAAAGTACCAATGAGGCTGCGGAAGGATAAAAACGAAAACCAAGTTCACGTACCCATCGACATCGCCACTATTCTTCCCTCGCGCCGCAAATTCCGGTTTAAGCTCGACGCCCGCAAACACGCCTCGCTTTCCCTGCACGGCGCCTATGAATCGGATGGTACCGACCATGTTACCAGGGACCTCGACCGTGTCGCCGATGGACAGGTCCTCGGGGACGAGCCTTCCAGGAGTAAGGGGAGGCATGACTGAATCGTTCAAGACGGTATCGACACCGTAGGACTCGCTAACATCGGGAATCGAAGCTAGAGATGATTGGGTGAGCGTCGCCAACGACCCCTTGCGTGCAAGGCCCGGTCGCACGGCAAGACGCGAATGAGAATTAAACAGAGAGTTCAAATTCGGTGTCGAGGCTGTTGCAACACCAGTCCCGACACTGGAGGATTTTCGAAGCGTGCGCCTGTTGCGACTAGCTGGTTGTCTGATGGTGCCGTAAATCGAGGCGTTGGACGCAGAAGTTGCAATTGTTGTTGTGGTCGTGTAGGCCATGGTGACGGAGATTCCTCAACAGGGGAGGACCAGTGACCAATTTAGGGGCGAAATTAAAGACCTGGTCGATAGATACGTGTTAATATGATCCGATACCCTGTGCGTGGGCTTGCCGATCCTAGATTGCCACCTGACGTTGCAGTGGCGGCGATGATGGCAGCGGGTAGCTGAGACCGGTGGTCTGGGCACAATTACTGGTTGCGACGGCGGTGTAAAATGAGGGTGTCCAGATATGGATGCGATTCGGTGGGTGCCAATAAGAACGCGCCGTGGTCATGGAAACGCGGGTTCCAACTTATCCAGGATCGGTTAGTGATACGTGCGAAAGTTGGTGTGCACTGATTTGGATCGCCACCCTTTCAGGTTGGTGGAATGCGGTGGTGCTTAGGTTTGTTAGGCCTGATTTAGAGTGTCGCCAGGGATCAAAAGGTTCACTGAGTCTCGCGCTTCCCGCCCCCGCGTCGAGCTGTCAAAGAATTCAATCTCCACAGCTTCGTTCTGCCACCCGAGAAGGAGGGGCGCCTCGCCTGCTGTATGGTTGGGATGCACCGTTGTTTACCTGCACCTGGATCTTGATCTAATATCTCAGACACCACTGGAAGAAGATCAAAAGATATCAGAGGGCGATAAAGGGGGGTGATCCGTTTCTTTCGAACGCGGCCTGGAAACGTAGTGTTTCAAGCTCGTAGTCTGTCGTCGAAGGGCAAGTCCCCTAACAACCTTCCTTTCCGTGCTCTGTCAGTTTTTGTCTCTTTTGTCTCTGCGTCTGTGTCTAGCCGTCGTAGGGGCATGCGGCCGTCTTTTTGGCCAGTGCCATATGACCGGAAAAGAAGTCGGAGGAGGTGGAGTTTGGCATACCTCAAGTTTAATATCGATGTTGAAACGACTAAGATCGATCAAATCTCCCAAGATTCCCCCTCCCTTTCAGCGCAGTTATGTCGAGTAGATTTCCCTTCAACCGTGATGAGGGAATATAAAGAATTGGATTTTGTACCGCAAGCAGGATTTGAACCGAAGCTTTGATCCGAAACTGATTTTCGATGGGAAAGACCCACGGGCCACGGACGAACTCTCTCTTGGGAAGGAGCGGACCGGCTCTTGCTCCTCAAGTGCAATAACGAAGAACAAAGGGAAGAAGGAGCGAGTGAGAGCAAAAAAAAAAAAAAAAAGAGTGAGGATGTCGGCAGTATTAGAGGTAGACAAGAAAGAACCCCCAGCAGATTTACGAACAGCCTTGGAACACCTGGACCACCAGTGACCACGTCAAGGTCTGGCGGACATGAGCAAGTATCTGATGGACCGGGCACAGAATGAGCTTTTCCCCGAGAAACGAACGACGAGCCGTGCTGGCCTGATTTGAAAAGAGCCTACAGCATCTGCCGGGTTAGACGAAATAGCGATGGCGATATGGGCGATATTTCCAACAGGGCTTGGAGTCGATCTCTCCCGGCAAGACGTCTCTGTTTTATGAAACGGAGGGCAAAGGGAGCGGGATGGCTACGTATATGTATCAATTGGTATTATATCCCACTGGTACGAAAAGAGTGTCGACTGCGACCTTGGATCAATTGATGTATTTTAGTATTGTGATGACCGACAACCGAGCGCAGACCTCCGAAGTATGGCGTAAACTAATACTTCGTACATCGCAATTCTCTTCCTATGGACATGCACCGCCCACGTTGCCATTTCCTAGCCCGGCGTCAGTTGCTATGGTATCTATCTGCAGGATCACAGTGATCAAACGTGCTGTGCAGCATGCAGAGCCTCTTCTTGGTCTGCCTGGTGCGACGCAGATGCCAAATCAGTTGCGGACTTGCAGACTTGCAGTCAATGGTCCAGTAATCGTCGTGAGAAGCACCCCCGTCAGCTCACTCAATTTCTTCTGGGGACGAATAAGACGCTCTTGCTGGTTTTTGTTTATGGTACCTACCTCCCGCCTGCTTCCCACTCAGGGGTCTGCGGGCGCGTCTCGCTAGGCATTATTAGGCCTCTCCTTGAGGTCTGACATTCGTCCGGTTGGCCTCAACTTGCAGCGCAGAAATTGGCCCCCAGGTTCGCGTCGTCAACGCCACCGTCATCCCCACATCCTCCTCAGTCATAGAAACCCGCTTGTCAGCCGTTGTTTATCTTCAATAACTTTTCATCTACGAGATGTACTCGAATCACCGTCTCTTCCAGAGACATCAATCCCCGCAAGAAAGCCCTGAGCCCATCCATAATCTTCTTGGCCACCCGATATAGAGAGTTGGGTAGCATTGGCAGCAGGGTATTACTCCTCCACAGAGGCGCAATGTCTCGCAAGCCCAGGCAGATCGGATGAAAGCCGTTTTCAGGGCACTGAGACAAACTGCTTGTGGCGGTGAAGGGTGGAAGATCGGAGGCTACCGGGGTTCATCAAGGCGTGTGCCCCATTCTCACCTCGGTCCTGGGGTTCCGTCAACCGCCTGTTGCCAGGGTAGCCACCCCGCTAACCTGTGATCGTGGGGTTATTGCAGCGAGTCTCCTGCATTAGGATGCGCTGAAGACGCAGCACAAGAATACGAGTGATCAATACTACTCCGAAGCAGTGTAAACGACCGAGCTTCAACCCGTTTTCGGTCGAACAGTGAATTACTTTCTCTGTCAACAAACTTTCACCCATCAATATGCACAAGTAGACAATCCTTCGGAGGAACTCAGGCCAGTTCGGCCACACACGGCTGAGATCGACCGGGTTCTCCGGAAACTTCAACGAGTGCCATGTGGGCTTAGACACAATTTCATGCCTCTAGGGGCACGTCGTTACTATTCTTAAGCCAGCAGCCATCGCTTGCCAGTGAGTCGCCAACTGACAAAGTAGTACTCCGGTGAGAGAGCTCGTCGTGTTCTTCCCGCAAGTCACTTTTACCCGCTCCACATTCTGGGTAAAATCGTGATAGTATGGTTCTTTATTTAATAAATAATACATAGAGGGTCTTCTATAGTACCCTTTCACAACCCATCAATGATATGGCAATCCATTCCCGGCCAAGCGCCGTGTGCCGCGTCGTGTCCAGTGCCGAATCCGGCTATGATTCATCGTGAACCTTCCAAAGTTGCTCCCCTGTTCTCCTTGTTCGGAGCACCTTCATTACTTTTAATAATATACAAATTCCGTATCGGGACTCCCCAGCCTCGTCTTTAATGAGGGTTCGTCCTCTCAACAATGTCAAGCCGCGAGACGGGCCGGGTTCCGTCGTTGAAGACGAACGCCTCGCGTCGTAGCCTCCTGATCTCGTCTGCTGATAGCTCAGAGTCGCGTACACCATCTTCGTCGGAGCCTCGGGGAACGGTACTAAACGTGATGCCCCAGACCTCTCCGCGATAAGGTGGGGTTTCTTCTCTCGCGACCAGACCGCAGTTTCTCAAAGTCTCCAAGCCGCCCGTCGCGGTCCTAATGCAATCAACAATTCCGCGTATTGGGTTGCTTTTGTTGCCTTCGGTATACATCTTGAAGTTTTCATGGATCTCGTTCTCCGAGTCTCCCCAGTTCTGTTTGGCTAGCCACCGTTCCACGAATTTCGCCATGAGAAGCTTGGCAGCTCCGTTCTTCTGTATCAGTTGGTATATTAAGAGCAGATTGGTCCGCTCGGCCATGTCTCGTAGATAGTACTCGTCGAAGTAAGGGTCGTCGAGTTTTGGGCGTTCGACATCATCTAGACCAATCTCTAGAGATCTTACCATCGCCCCATATGTTTTGAGGGAGTCGAATGTTGTAGGGGCCTCTGTAGTTAAGCGAACGATTATCTTGGTCAGTCTAGCCCTGGAGTGGCATTTTGAAGGAGAAAGACAGATTCACTGGATCTGGCTGTTTGACCTACCACCCGTTTGGGATAATAGAAGCGCGAGCGCTTTAAGACACCGTAACCTATGGCCGTAGTCTTTTCTCGTTATGCCGTGGAGGAGAATGTGGATCGTGTCGGCGTCGTTAACTGCGCGGTCGCACAGGATCTTGACGGCGACTTCTCTGATCGAGTAGCTCGGATGATTTATGAGCTTTTCCAACGTGTCCAGCTGAAGAGAATCTTCCGTCTCTTGTGTAATGTACTGCGTCTTCGGCTCGGGGCGCTCGATTTTGTTGTCTTCGATGACCATAGAAACTACCGCCATCATACTGCTAATCAAGGCGGCAGCAGCTATGGCCATCCCAATGAGGGCGACGCGATCATCGCGCAGGAAGGACATAAATCCCATATTGACTGCATCGGCGAAACTCGTACTATTTCGATGCGAATATTGGCTACACCGCAAGTAGAAGCGAATGGATCATTTCTTCGTTATTTCTCAGGCGCATGAAGGAAGATGTTCGAGGGGGCGAAAGCTGAAGCCAACAAGAAGCCGGAAGAAAGCTGTAGTTCTGCCACTAGTGTCATCACCGCCTAATTGTTGGGCGGTGAGTCCGATAAGATAAGCACCACCCATTGTCAGGGAAAAAAAAGTCCCCTCACAAAAATTTTGGTAGACAAGAAGAAAAAAGCAGCACTTCTTAGAGAAGGACAGCAACCTTTTCCCTAGTAGGAATCATCGCCCACCACACACCACCACGATGCCTCCTTCGCAGCTCAAGCGCCTTAAATCCTCCCTCCGGGAGCAGGGCATCATTGGTCCCCAACAGTCGAAGAAACAAAAGAGAAAGCTAGCTCAGGATGCAAAGGCTAGCAACAAGAAGCGGTTGCGCAGGACGGAGGCCCTCGGTGAGATACGAGATCAATTCAACCCGTTCCAGTTCAAGCACAACCCCCGAGGTCCGAAGTTCCAGGTCACGACCATTAAGCCTGCCAATGATAAGGGTATCAAGGGCCGACCAGGTGTTTCGAAGGCCATCAGTGAGGAGAGGGTATGATACCCCCCCAGTTCTTTCTTTCCTATCCTCGGCGTGGCCGTCCTCGAGTTAACCAAATGTATATTCTAGCGTCGAGAAACCCTCCTTGTTGAAATGCAAAGGCGAAATAAAGTCGGCGGTATACTTGATCGACGATTCGGTGAAAATGACCCCACAATGGCTCCAGAAGACAAAATGTTAGAGCGCTTCGCCCGAGAGAAGCAAAAACTCCATAAGAAGAGCTCCCTCTTTGATCTTGAAGACGACGGACCCAGTTTCGGGCTTACGCATAACGGTCAGGCTCTGTCTTTTGACGGGCCAACTCTTACCGATGACTTCAACGAAGATGATTTGTCGGGAGGCGAGAGCGATGAGTCTGACGGCGGACGAAATATTTCTAAGCGACTGCGGCTGGCCGAAGCATTGGCGAACATGGAAACATCCGACAACGAGCAAGAGGGACAGCCTGAGCGGAAAAAGACAAAGGCCGAGGTTATGAAGGAAGTCATTGCGAAATCGAAGCTTCACAAGTACGAGCGGCAGGCAACAAAAGAGGAGAACGATGACTTGAGAGCAGAGATCGATTCGGAGATGCAAAGCATAAAAGCACTTTTGTTTTCCAAGACTATGGCAGAACGGCCCTCGGCGACAGACGGCCAAGAGAAGAAAGTGGCCTTTATGCCCGGCGTGGATAAGGCGGCAATGGAGAAGGAGTTTGACCTCCGGCTAAAGCAACTAGCTATGGACAAGCGAGCGCAACCCGCCGCTCCCACCAAGACCGAAGAGGAGCTCGCAGAAGAGCGGATTGCAAAACTGAAGGAGCTAGAGGAGAAGCGCCAGCGACGTATGCGGGGAGAAGCGGAATCCGAATCTGATGAGGAGGAAGGCAGCGAGGACGAAGGTGAGGGGGCAGGCGATGCTGACGGAGAAGTCGAAGGCGGCATGATTCAAATGATACCCATTGAAAAGGACGAGGATTTTGGGCTTGGCAAAGGCATCAAGACGAGGCTAACAGCGACCGAGATGGGGTTGGACGATGAGGACGACTTTTTCATCGAGGATGACCTCGTGGCAAGCGGCTCGGATATCGAATCGGACGAAGACTCATCAGAAGCCGAGTTCGAGGCCAGCGAGGACGACGAAGAGGACGATTTTACAAAGGGCCTTTTAACAGCACAGGAAGAAGCAAACCCGGAGTTCGAAGATACCTCAGTCCTTCAACTAAAAGACCGCCAGGGCGGCGATGGAGATGGCATTCCTTATACATTCTCTTGTCCGCAATCCCTCGAGGAATTTGCTGGGATCATCAACCCATACCCGCGAGAAAAGCTAGCGACAATTATCCAAAGAATACGTGCCTTGCATCATCCACGACTGGATAGCAAGAATAAGGAGAAGCTGGGGAACTTTTCGAGGGCGCTGGTTGATTTTATTTCCACGCCCGTCAATACTTCTGTTACGAGCTTCGCCGTCCTAGAAAGCGTTATCCGACATCTTCACTCTCTCGCGAAGAGCTTCTCTATCGAGATCTCCAAACAATTCCGCCAGCACCTCCACGATATGGCAGAGCTCCGTCCAACAGCGCTCCATAGCGGTGACCTTGTCGTCCTCACCGCGATTGGGTCGATCTTCCCGACATCGGATCACTTCCACCAGGTCGTGACACCAGCCATGTTGATAATGGCCAGGTATCTTGGGCAGAAGACTCCCAAGACTCTCGCCGACTACACGACTGGAATCTACCTAGCAACTTTGACCATCCAATATCAGCAGCTTTCCAAGCGATATGTTCCGGAATTTATGGTCTTCTGTCTTAACACGCTTTGTGCACTTGCACCGGAAGCGCCCAAGTCAAGCCTGGGCAATTTCCCAGTGCACTCCCCCGCAGACGGAATTCGCGTCAGCGGACAAGGCAGCCCTGCCCCCCGAAAATTGGTGTTTAGTGACTGCGCTGCGGATGAGTTGTCTACGGGCGAGGCGGAAACCCTCAAGGTTTCTCTTGTCAGCACTACAGTCCAGCTCATAGAGACGGCGGCGGATACATGGGCGTCAAAGCCTGCGATCTACGAGTCCTTCGAACCTGCGGCGAAAGTTCTAAAGTACCTATACAACAAGAACAACCGACCTAAGCTGCCCTCCGCGTTGAGCGAGAGGGTCGGCAAAGCTTGCGCCAAGATGGAGCGCTCCCTGCGAGTGGCTGAGCTCTCTCGACGCACGCTTGAACTTCACCACCACAAGCCCCTCGCCATCAAGTCATACGTCCCCAAGTTCGAGAACGAGTTCGACCCGAACAAGCACTACGACCCGGACCGGGAGCGTGCGGAGCTGGCCAAGCTCAAGGCCGAGCACAAAAGGGAGCGCAAGGGGGCCCTGCGGGAGCTCCGCAAGGACGCCAACTTTATGGCGCGGGAGAAGCTCAAGATCAAGAAGGCCAAGGACGAGGCATACGAGAAGAAGTTCAAGAGGCTCATTGCCGAGATCCAGGGCGAGGAGGGCAGGGAGTCGAACGAGTACGAGAGGGAGAAGAAGGCGAGGAAGAGGGCGAGGATGCGAAGGTAGAGGAGGCTTCGCGTTTCTCCTTCTCTTTTGCGTTTTATCGTTTTTTCACGGCGGCCATTGTATATAGATAGATACTCTAGAGGTAATACTCGATTGGAAGGGCACATTAGCCCCCAAATGAAAGAGAAAAAAAAGTACTCGTCTGGACGAGCGCCATTAGCCGTGCCATGCCAAGGCCTAATGTGCCGGAACCAGCTTCTTCCAAGGTCGCAGTTCACACCCCTCCCAGTAGTGTCCCAACCAAGGATTATAAAAACCTGGGCCCCAGCGTAATTTAGTGCGCAACAAAAATGAGATGCGACCCTAGAAATGCCAAAATCTCAGGGCGGTTACGTGAAACGAAAGTGCAAAAAAAAGATGTTCCAGATGCTCCTGGAGGGGGTCGAACCCTCGCTATTTAACCCAGTTAGTCGCTGTGTGATAATTACCTTATCGGGGTAATTGAAAGCTTCGAGGCGGACTTACACTTTCGCATTTCTCGTCATATTGATCAGCTAAGCCGTATCAATATAAGAACGACACGCTAACCACTGCGTCACAGGGGCTAATCTGTTTGATGTTGGTGAATCCCAGATCATATTTTAATACATACAGCTATCACCTCGGAGCTGGACGATTTGGGGACTTTTTATAATCGGCAGGGCTCACTCACTGCTCTCCAACTTCAACTTGGGATTTGATGCTTGACGTAGACGACACATTTCTTAATTCGAGATCATTCGTATAATTTTTTCTACTTCCCCTTCAATTGAGTTGCAACGCGGGATGCTATAAAAATAAATAAAAAAATAAAAAAGGGCATGAAAACCGCGGGAACGAAATAAACAGGAGAAGCCTTCTATACCCACCTCCTCTCCCACAACATCTCCATCACCACCATCCAAACAACAGGCATCAACCAAGAGACTCAAAACACCAACCCAATTCATTTCATTTAATCTCCTTTCAACATTATAATGCCCCCTCCACAGAAACCCCATCAAGATGACTCCGAAGAAGAAGAAGACTACATGACAATGGCCCTCCCCACCGAGTCTGCCCCCAAAGCCGAATCCTCCCTCCAACGTACCCAGCGCCTAAAACGCGAAGCCCTCGCCCGCAGCCGGCCCAAATCTCGCGCCGAGCTCGCACAGGAAGAAGCCGCGCGGCGCGAAGCGGCCCATTCGCGCTCCTTGCTAGAGACACCCGCCGCCATGGGGAGCAAAGGGTTGGCCATGATGGCAAAGATGGGGTTCAGAGGCGGGGCGCTGGGGAAGGAAGGAGGATCGGGGGGCGTTACGGAGCCGATTAGGGTGTTTGTGAGGGAGGGGAAAGGAGGGCTTGGGATAGAGGAGGAGAAGAGGAAGAGGTTAAGGGAGGAGGAAGAGAGGGCTGAGAGGGAGGGGAAGAGGGCGAAGAAGGTTGACCCAGGGGATTATAGGGCGAGGATGATGAAAGAGAGGGAGGTGGAGAGGTTGGAGAGGCAGGTCAGGGCTGCAGCGAGGCTGGCGGAACAGTTGCACGAAGCGGAAGAGGAGGGTGCTGAAGAGGAAGACGTCACGGAAACGAGCGGGGAGGAGGTGGAGAAGAAGAAAAAGAAGAAAAAAGCGAAGGCAACTCCGCTAAAGTCAATCAATATTTTGTGGCGTGGACTCGTGAAGGAGCGGGAACTTGCGGAACGAGACCGTGCCGCGAGGAGGGAGTTAACGGAGAGCCTCTCCACTCGGTTCCCCAGGTACGCAGACGAGGACGATGGAGATGCCGATGATAGGATGGCCATGGGGAAGGATAGGGTGGAATATGTCGAGTCTGAGGATCTTGATGAGGAAGACCC